GGGGGGGGGGGGGGGGGGGGGGGCAGGACAGTGGGCCGTGGACTGTGGGGGAGGCGAACATGAAGAGGTTCATCAGACGTGACCAAAGCACAGCCGCATACCACGATTAAACCACGCATGACTGACCCCGCAGCCCCGTAGACCGCCACACCGCGCACTCCGAGGCGGCCATCACTCCCATTCCAGCTTGCTCGACGCTCTTCTCATCGTCATCTTCTCAATTCTCACGTTACAGTAACCTCCCGCCCGTCTTTGTCTGCGCGTTATTCGCCTCGCGCCGCCCTCTCCAGCCTCTTCCACACTCCCTCCCCACACTCCTTTACTTTACTCATCTCTCTCTCGCTCAGACTGGCTCTTTTGCCATGCTGAACCGCCACCCATCGTGAGTATCCTCTGGCCTCCTCACTGTGCACACGCTTCAAGCAGGGCTCACCATAGTCCCTACTTTCCAGGTTCCGAGTCTCGCGATGACCTCAAGTCGACTCTCGCTCCTTCACCCAAAATCACACGCTACCCAGGCCCACTCACCGCGACCGAGCCAGAGATCAAGTTGCGTCCCTCATTCTCCATCCCAATGATCAGTGTGACGCGTGCCGAGACCGACGACGGCCACAACTACTCATCCTCGCAAGGAGGGCATACCAGCAAGGCGAATGAGGCGCGCGCGGCCGTTGAAAGCGTGCAGAATGTGCTTGAGGAGAACATCGCGGGGATAGACGAATGTGAGTGACGGCGTTGGGGAAGAACGAAGCAGAAGCAAAAGCGACAATGGCAGCTTTGCGGGAAGGCGACTCGGAGAGCGTGGGGAGGCGGGCTTTTAAGGAGGACGCAGCGCTTTCAGTGGTAGCAAGAGCGGGGAGGGAGAGTGTGTCGACAGCCTCAGACTGACCCCAGCCCCGCCATCATTCCGAAGCCGACGCCGAGGTCGCCCTCTGGAACCATGGTATCGCAAGAAGGTACTATCCATTCCTGAGCGCGCTGACGGCAGTGGGTTATTATCGGAGGCGCAAGCGGCGTCATTGTCGTCGCGATCACTGTGCTGGTCGTGGTCATTGTTGTGGAGACGCGCTAGCACAGCGGTCACGTGTGTACATATGTACGATAGACAGGAGACTCGGAGATCTATGGCTGGGTGTATCGTAAGGCATTATAGTGATCCATGAGCAGCATGTGAGCGTGTAATCGGGAGCGTACCCCGCCTCCACTCTCGCGCCGCGCCGCGCGCTGGACTCTGTACATGGCAAAGGCTACATGCTGTAGACGAACAGCGCGTACATGCCGCATCTAAAGTCGTCTCCGCTGATCCGCAAGTCCGCAAATCCGCAGCTCACAGTCTGGCGTCAGCTCCACCGTCGCCGGCACCACTCACGTGCTCACACTACTTCTTCCTTCTAACATTGTACTTCTCCACCGCCTCGTGCGTACTAGGATCCGCGAAGACGCGCGCAAACACATCAATACTCCGCTTGATGCCGTCGACATGGCTCTCGTTCATCCACGCCTCATTAAGCTCCTTCTGCGCGGCCATGACGACGGGTGTAAGCTCTGCGACTTTACCCAAAACCTCTTCGCCCGTGTCCACGAGCGCGCCCTCCTCGGCATAGACATTGACGAAGCGCGCCCCGAGCTCCTCGACGGAATATATCTCGCCGAGAAGCAGCATCTCCTTCGCCATACTCAGCCCGACGTGGTGGCGGAGCAGCGCGGCGTCCACGACGCTCGGAATGCCGACTTTGGTCTCGGGCAAGCCGACGCGGACGCCGGGGTACGCGATGCGCAAGTCCGCCGCGAGCGCCATCTCGAACGCTGCGCCGAGGCAGTATCCGTTGATGAGGACGGCGGTGACTTTCGGCGAGAGGCGGAGCGCGCCGACGGCACGCCCGACACGCGAGATCAGCGCTTTCGCCGCGCCCGTGTCCAGGCCCGAGAAGGCTGTCGTGTTCATCCCCGCGCAGAAGGCGCGGCCGGCGCCCGTCACCGCAATCGCGCGGATCGCCGCCGGCGCTTCTTCGACCGCCGCGATGAACGCGTCCAGGTCTGCCGGCGTTAGCGCGTTCAGCTGCTGCGGCCGGTTGAGGGTGATGAGGCGCGTCGGGCCGCGGTCCTCCACCAGCAGCGTCGAGGCGGTAGATGAGTAGCGCGCTGAGAGGGGCCGGGCGAGCGGAGTGGAGAGCGCGCGGCGCGCGACTAGGGCGATCATCCTGGGTGAGATGACTAGTGCTAGAGTTGAGACAAGAGGAGATTGTGAGTGGGCTGTCGACGGTAATCAATGCCGCCAACGCCGAGTCGGCGATCGCCGATCACACTTCCGCTCGGGGCATCGCGCAACGAAATCATAACGGGCAGTGGTTGTGCTCTTGCATCTTCGTCAACAGAAGGCAAGCAGATGGAAACCAAGGCTCTACATCCAAATTCTGTATTACATCAATGGCGCCGGCGCCAACGCCGGTACCTCCCACTTCCTCGCTGCTTGGGCCCGCTCACTACGTCTCCTCGACGAGCCGCAACACACCCACACTCTCCACATGCGCTGTCTGCGGGAAGAGGTCGAAGCCGCGCAGGCTTTCCAGCACATAGCGCCACTTGCCTTCACCGCGCTTCTCGCTCTCGCTGACGAACCACCCGATGTCGCGCGCCTGCGTGTGCACATTGCACGACACATACACGGCTGTCAGGGGGCGGAACTCGAGGAGCTGCTCGAGGAACGGCGTGTCGCAGCCCTTGCGTGGGGGGTCGATGACGACGCACGAGTGGCTGCCCGCAAAGCCCGCCTCAGCCAGCCCGCCGAAGATGTCCTCGGCTTTGCCGCACAGCCACGTCGTCTTGTCCCCGAGCCCGTTCATCTCGGCATTGGCCTTGGCCGCCGTGATCGAGTCCTGGCTGATTTCTACGCCGGCGACGCGCTCGAACTCGGGACTCAGCGTGATCCCGAACAGCCCGGAGCCGCAGTATGTGTCGACGAGGTGCGTGGGGCGCTTCGATGTCATGCCGGGCGGGAAGATGGCCGCCTTGACGTAGTCGGTGAGCGGGATGAGGATCGAGTTGTTGTTCTGGAAGAAGGAGCCTGCAGCAAAGGAGAACAGGAAGTCGCCAACGCGCTCGTACACCTGCGCCTTGTGGTTGGTGATCGCGACGTGCGGGATGTCGATGGGGGTGGAGGGGTCGAAGGGGTGCTCGGCAGTAGGAAGGGGCTCAGGAGGCGGCAACGAGTCGCGCAGAAGGAGCGTCGCGCCGCGCTTAAACGTCGCAATGGTTCTGATGTCAGCTTATGGCCCCCTCCAGTTAGAGCACAACATACTCCCTGACACGCTGGCGCTCCTCCGTGAGCTTGGCGTTAAGCACGTCCGTAGCAATCACGCATTCCTCAATATCCGCGACGCGCCCGCCGCCGATTGTGTTGAATCCGATCTTGGGGATCCAAGCAGTGTTTGCGGCATCCTCCTCGGTCACGGCTGCGCGCACGGCCTTGGGCATGGCATCGAAGTGTGGTGTGATCTTCGTGCGGTACGCCCACTGCTTTGGCGACCCGATCGTGTCCAAAATCGCGGGCACCTTTGCACCATCCAAACCAGAGTAGCGTTGGTACGCGAGGTCAACGGTCCGCTTCTTGTGCTCCAGCTGGAGCGCGTACGGCACGTCCTGCAGCTGGCAACCACCACTGATGTTAGCGTCGTGCCTCAAACAGCTGGTTGAGGCCCAGCGCGCGTCTAAGCACGTCTGCACGCTTGCCCGCGTGCAGCTTGCACACTCACCACAGCCCAAAGTACTTGCACCCCGCCCCGGGGAACTTGCGGCGGTCGCCCTCGCCACCACGCAGGTCGTCACAGTACTCGAGCGTCTCGACGTAGTCCGCCACCGAGTGGAACCGGTCGTGCTTCCACACCTTGGCGCGGATCAAGTCGCCGGGGTGCGCCATAGGCGCGACAATAGCCCACCGCTTGCCGTCTTTCTCCACGAGAGAAATGCTGTCGCCTGCGGTCAGGCATCGTGCGCATGAGCCAAGCGAGTGTCACCTCTGCCCACGCCCTCACGGCACTCACCATTGCGGCCCAATGCCCCAACCCTCAATTCGTAGACCGTCTGCAGCTCCAATCCCTCCGGCGCCGCCCACTCGCTCTCGTCGCCGCGCTTCAACACGCCCTCCACATACTCCTTGCCCAGGAAATCCGCAATGTCGTGCGCGAGAATGTCGCCGTGGGAGTATGGGTCGGGGAGGAAACGCTTGTTGCGCTTGCGCTTCGCCTTGCCTTGCTGCGGCTTATGCTGTGGCTTGAGTGGCTTCACGAGCGCCGCGCCGGCCTGGGGGACGCCGGGGGCGGTTCCGTCGGCCGCCGACGATCCGTTGAGCGACGGCTCGCCGTCGGCGCGCACCTTCTTTGGGGCGGGGGAGCCGGTTGGCGAGGGGATAGTGGACATGGCGCGTAGTGTTGGACGATGGATGTGAAGTAGATGTGTGCGAGTTGATGCGCGTACGAGTGAGCGCGCTAGCATTGACTCGCGGAAATTGTTGTTGCAGCCAGAGGCCCAATCCACACGTTCATAGTGGTCACGGGGGACGGAAATTTAAAGTGGAGGTCGCAACGAAGTTCAGTCGCGTGAGCATCGCGTGATGCCTAAAATGGGGGAGCGTATAAGAATTGTGAGGACGCGCGTTGAGATCAGTCCAGCTGCCAGCTGCATGACGCTGCCATCCACCTCCATCAACAATCCATCTCCTCCAGCAACCATGGCGTCTGTAGAGGCATCATCGTCCACCCAGACCTTTGACAAGGCAAAGGTTGACGCCCTTAAGGCGTATCGCCATGTGGGTGCTCATGTCGTCCCAGCTAATGGAACAGAAGGTGCGCGAGCACCGCAACTTCAGCGAGAATGTCAAGAAGATCCGCATGAATATTCGCGCACTCGAGGCCGACTTTGACAAGACCGAGGACGACATGAAGGCGCTGCAAAGCGTGGGACAGATCATCGGCGAGGTGTTGAAGCCGCTCGGCGATGGACGGTGTATGTCTACGAGGTTGCCGTGGAGCTGACAGCAGTCATCATCAAGGCGTCGTCTGGACCGCGCTACGTTGTGTCTTACCGCCCTACTCTTCCTGTCGAGAAGGTGAGAGTTGCACCCTTCCCTTAAGTCCGCGTGTTCGGCGCTGACTCGGCAGCTCAAGTCAGGCGTCCGCGTCTCGCTTGACATGACGACATTGACGATCATGCGCATTCTCCCACGCGAGGTCGACCCCATGGTGTACAGCATGTCTCTCGAGGACCCGGGAAGCGTGTCGTTTGCGGGTATTGGTGGTCTCGGAGACCAGGTGCGCGAGCTTCGCGAGGTCATTGAGCTGCCCCTCATGAACCCCGAACTGTTTGACCGTGTCGGTATCAAGCCCCCCAAGGGTGTGCTGCTTTACGGTCCACCAGGGACAGGCAAGACGCTTCTTGCGCGTGCCGTCGCTGCGACCCTCAACACCAACTTCCTCAAGATCGTCTCTTCAGCTGTGAGTTGGGTGATTGGCGTCATCGTGGATGCCAGGCTGCTGTATTCTGTCCGAAACACTTCTAACCCTAGATTGTCGACAAGTACATTGGCGAGTCGGCGCGTCTGGTCCGGGAGATGTTCGCATACGCGCGCGAGCACGAGCCGTGCATCATCTTCATGGACGAAATCGACGCCATCGGCGGTCGCCGTTTCTCGGAAGGCACGTCAGCCGACCGCGAGATCCAGCGCACGCTCATGGAGCTGCTCAACCAGATGGACGGTTTCGACAGCCTGGGCCGCACCAAGTTGATCATGGCGACGAACCGACCCGACACACTCGACCCTGCGCTTCTCCGTCCTGGCCGTCTCGACCGCAAGATCGAGATCCCTCTGCCGAACGAGCAGGGCCGGTTGGAGATTCTCAAGATCCACGCCAAGGGCATCAACAAGAGTGGAGACATTGACTACGAGGCTGTCGTCAAGCTCTCGGACGGGTTCAACGGCGCTGACCTGCGCAACATCTGTACAGAGGCGGGTATGTTTGCGATTCGCGAGGACCGCGACGCGATCGTGCAGGAGGACCTCATGAAGGCTGTCCGCAAGATCAGCGACGCCAAGAAGCACGAGACGACTCTGTGAGTGCAGGCGTGGAGCTATGTGAGATCCAGAGCTGACGACAGGGACTACCAGGCGATTTAGAGGGGAGGCATGTAGAGATACAACGTCGTGGCATATGCAACATTCTAGCAGCTTGCTGATCGGCACTGGGACACGGATGTGAGTCAACTGACGAGAATCTGCTGCATTCGCATCTTACAACGATCGAGTCTTGTGTCGGTCCGCGGGCCTCCCTCGTTCCTCACTGTCCAGCCTGTACCATTTCACCTCTTGAGACCTCCGCGTCTCCTTCACCTCATCTAGCTTCCTCGCAAACACCCTACGCCTCTTCCTTGTCCTTAGAGTATGTCGATTCGGCATCGCTGCTGGCGATACTCGGCGACTTCTTAACGAGTACAGCTTCGACACGCCGCGCCTTGCGCCTACGAAGGAGGAGCCACGCAGCCTATCGTCAGCCTCCTCCGCGGTGCAACTCACCAGTCCACCGAGCAGCAGCATGCCGACGATGGCCACGACGAGCACGATCCACAGACAGCTCCCTTTCTCCGCGTCATCCCCCGCACCGGCATCCTTCCCGTCCTCTGGTACGGCGCTGGCCGCGGCCTCGCGCGTCGGCGCAACCACGGTGTGCACGACCCGCACGCCGTCCACCGTCGTGTAGTCGAGGTATGTCGTCCACCCCGGCCCGCCGTACACTACCGTCTTGGTCTGCGTGTACGGGTATGTCCAGGTGTAGACGACGGTGGTGGGGCCTTCGGGGAGGAAGGTGGAGCGGGGCGGGGGGAGGGAGGCGGGCGAGGGGAGGGAGGGGAGGGCGGGGGGCGATTGCGGCGCGGCGCGAACGAGGAGGATGAGGGGGAGGAGGAGGGTGAAGAGGAGGGCGACGAGCATGGCGAGGGGTGTGGATGCACGACGTGGATGGAGGGGAGGAGACTTGGCGGAGAGAGGTGAGAGGGAGGCATGGGAGGAGGCTGGGTGGTCACATGCCACTGCGAGCGGAGGTTGTGTGCGGAACGTCATGGTGAATCTAGGGCCAGGCCGGCAGGTACTGACTGCATCTGATCACCCGAAAGGGCCGGCCACTAGCATGCAGCAGCTGCATGCTGATCGTGATCACTATTGTATGCATGCATCCAGATTGGCAACGCCTATGCATAAAAGCAAGTAGGCAACGTTGTCGTCACGACAAGCATGGGTGGCCTGGTGATGCAAGCGATTGGTGCCGCGATCGGCGTGTTAGCATGAGCGCCATGCATCGAACAACTGCAGTTGGTGCAGCATGGTGGGATGACTCTTCTCGCCGACGAAGGCGCGGTGATGCACAATTCAGTAGAGCGATAAAAAAATTGTCAAGTTGTTCGGACTGAGTCTTTAAGACTTGGGAGGGTGGGGGTGTCTCAGCGACCGGCCGGTCTTGATTTGGTTTGGTGGTTCGGTTGTTTGGTTGTTTGGTTGGTTGGTTGGTTGGTTTGTTTGGTTTGTTTGGTTGGTTTGGTTGGTTTGGTTGGTTTGGTTGGTTTGGTTGGTTTGGTTGGTTTGGTTGGTTTGGTTGGTTGTTGTAGCGGGGTAGGTGTTTGGCAGATTTTGTAGATGGGTGCGATAGATGGGTTGGGTTGTCGGTCTTGCTGGGTTGTCGTCTTGCTGGTTGTCGGTTGTTGAAGGTATTGTTGATATAATCAAATGGCTTTAGATAGTGCTGGGAGATACACGTGACCGGGGAAGTCACGGGGTTGCTCGCCGACCCAGACCAGCTGGGCCGGTGCCACCCAGCGTGTTGCGACAGGTTAAAGAGTACACTAATGTGGGCGAAGAGCCTCTGGAGTTTCTATAACGCCGCATATGTGGCGTGGTGGAGGTGGGTAGGTGGGGGGGCGAAATTCGGATTATAGTCCCGGCTGTGGGGTGGTGGAGGAAGCAGTGGTGGGAGGTTGAGCGGTGGTATTGAGTAGTCAAGTGATGGCGAGCAGGCGTTGAGAGGTGGTGGACAACCTCCACATCTGGTCCTGGACTATCATGAGATCACTCTGGGTGGGCATCTGACCACCTGGGCGCATGGGTTTGGAGCTTGGTGGGCATGAGCCTTCGGGCAAATCGGCCGGCTCTTGGCTCCAACTTGCTTCCGCTATCCGGTCCCTCCCCCTAGCTTCCCACTATCCGCCGCTTCCATGCATCCATCCCACACAATCTAGACAGCGGTACGGGGACCCTTCTCAACAGCGACGTCGCTGGCCGAGTCAAGGCGGACGTGCGCCGGCGCGCGTCTGGCGCGCTTATTCTTGCGGCGGCGGCGGCAACACCACACGAGCTGAAGTCAGCTTTGCTCCCTTCTCTCGCTCCCTCATCCCTCATCTCACCCCAGCAATCAACGCGAGCCCGCCCAGCGTACCAAACAGTATGGCACACACGATCGTTATCGTCTGCTTCTTGACTTCGGCGAGCAACGCATCCGCCTGCTGCCGGAATGCGGCGGCGAGGATGCCGCTCATCGCGTTCGGGTCGAGCGGGTTGAAAGGGAGTCCGCCGCCCCCGGTGGCCGCGGCCGCGTTGGCGGCCAGCGCTGTGCCGGACGTCACGCCGCCCGTCGGTGTGGGTGCTGCTACGACGCCCGCGTTCCATACCCGCGTTACGGTAGTGGGGAAGGGGAAGGCGAAGGTGTAGGTCATGGTTGTGGGTTCGGTGCCCGTTGGAACGAGCCGCGTCGGCCATAGGTCCATCAGGTCGGGATTGGGTGCAGCCATCGCCCGGAGGGCAAGCAGCGGTGCGATGAGGAGAGAGATGAGCATGGTGTGGGCGCGGTAAGATTGACAGACGTGACCTGAGTGCTCAAGCTGCAACTGATTGCAAGAAGGCGTTGTCCTCGCTGAGCATCGCTGCATATGAGTGACAGCAAGCAACATCCAGCCGTCTCACGCATCACAACGAGTGGCATGGTGGAACGAGGAGAACAAGATTAGTGCGGGACCCACGGTGGAATGAGACGATCAAACGACAGCGGTCGTGATGCTGGAATCTGATGTGAGGTCATTCCGCCCCAGATGCCAGGCACCCATCAACCTCAACTTCCACCTCCGATGAGCCATAGGCCGTACGGCTTTTGAACTTGCGAGCTTGGATATGCATGCATGGTGCGATATGGAATACATACATGGCCGGCGGCTATGCGACTTGCGCCCCGAGGCCCTCAGCGAGCATGCGCGCGGGACGCGCGACCTCGCCGCGCTCGCCCATGACTGTCAAGCGCAAGCTCACACCAGCCAGGTCCGGCACGTCGTCCAGCGCCGGCATGCGCGTCAGCTCGTACTTGCCAAACGCCCAGTTGAGCACGTGCGACTCGTACCCGCCGGCGGCGGACGGGAAGCGCACGATGCCCTTGACTGCAGGTCAGCCAAGCGGCCAGGAATAGCCAACGGCAAGACTCACTGCGATAGATCTCTGGGATGTGTTCAAACTTCTTGAGCTGAGCGGCGAGCTCCTCTCGCGGCAGGGGCTGCACCTCGCCCACCTCCCCCTCCTCTTGGCAACTCCCGCACTCCTTGCCATCCGCGTGCTCATGCTTTCCTGGCCTTCGCCCGCCCCGCCACACCGACTTGGTCTGAACTTCGTCAATGTGCGCCCCCTCGCCCCCAATTGCCGCCCAAGTATCGGCTTCCTCGCTGCCCTTGAGGAACAGCGTGCTGTCAAGCCCAAACACGAGTTCCGGCGTGAGCGGCTTCTCGCGGCTGATCTTGACGTGTGGTGTCGAGTCCGTCAGATCACCCAAGCGATCGAGGAGGATGTCGAATTCCCGCTCTGACACCTCTTCGTGCTTGCTCAAAATGTGCAGGTCCGTGTACTGCGCCTGTAGTTTGGCGCTCGGCGAGTCGTCCTCGTACCCTCGAAAGTTGACGCAGTCGATGACTGTCACTACGCCGTCAAGCTTGAAGCCCTGCGGCTCGAGTGAGCGAATCTGCAGTGCGAGGGTGGCGGGGAAGGCGGAGCCGCTGGAGTCAGCGCGGTCGCTTCAAAGCGGCAGAAAAACGAGCCATCCGACATCAAGCGAGCCCACAACGCCCGAGCACCCACCTCGATTCGATAATGATGCGGTCGGGTTTGAACTTGTCCCGGATCTCAATGAGGGCGTTCTCCACCAGCCCAACCATTGTGCAGCATAAACACCCGTTCAAGATTTCCGATACACCAGTAATGTTGCTCTGCTGCGCGAGCAACGAGTCGACTGGAGTCAGCGGGTGGGGCGGAGAGCGGTGCGGTGTGAAGGTACGGAAACCCACCCTCGACGTCTCCGTACTCGTTCTTGAGCAGCACGACCTGCCGTCAGCTTGCAACCGAACACTCCGAGCCCACCTTGTAGTCCTTCGGCAGCTGGCCCAGCAGCCCGAGGATCGTCGTCGTCTTGCCCTGCGCGTCAGCTCGACATCTTCTGCCGGAGGAAGTGGAGGAATGTCACCCACCGCGCCTGCCGTTAGCCATGCCGCCACACGCACTCACCCAGGAAGCCGGTAAAGCAGGTCACGGGGATGGCGGTGCGCTCTTCTGTCTCTCCCATGATGAGTGCGATGCCAATATGCCAAGCTGACACGGCGCCGATGCCTTCGGAGCGACCAGCGGAGTGTGTGTGGAGGCCCCGGAATGGCGCCGGAATTTGGTCCCGCCTCCACCACCTGATTTCGGCCAACGCAAGCAATCGATAAGATGACAAGTAGCCATCATGCCTGCTCTCCAGCCCGTCGCCGAAGTGCCGGGGCACGCCGACCCGGCCTGGGCGGTTGCCTTCAACCCCTCACGCGCCCTCCTCGCGTCGTGCAGCACCGACCGCACCGTGCGGCTCTACACGTACTCTCTGCCATCCGACTCGACCGACGTCAGCTCCCTCGCGTCCCCTACCTCTCCCATGCCGACATTCACCCTCGCGACCGCCATCCCGACAGGGCATAAGCGCACGGTGCGCAGCATTGCGTGGGCGCCAGGAGGGCGGACCCTCGCCACGGCTAGCTTTGACTCGACCGTCGGTGTGTGGGAGGAAGAGGACGAGGGCGAGTGGGAGTGCGTGACCACGCTTGAGGGCCACGAGAACGAGTGCAAGAGTGTCGGGTTCAGCGCGGACGGCGGGCTGCTCGCGAGTTGCTCGCGCGATCGCTCCGTCTGGGTGTGGGAGGGTGAGTGCGACGCGAGCCAGCGCTGACATGCAGTCCAGCCCGACGCGGACTTTGAGTGCATTGCAGTGATGATGGATCACGGGGCGGACGTCAAGGCCGTTTCGTGGCATCCGCATGACGAGGTGAGTACTTGGCAGCTACCTGACAGCCGTGTACGAACACGCCCTCTAACTCCAGCTTCTCGCCTCGGCTTCATACGACTCCAACATCCACCTGATGTTCGACGACCCCGATAGCGACTGGACATTGATCCAGCGGCTGCAGCCCGCCCTCGCCCCCTCACCTCTCGAACTCCCATCCACCGCTTCCCCGTCGTTGCGAGAGGCGCTCTCCCCCACCCCGCCCGAGAAGGAGGCGGAGGCGCTCGACGTCCCGCCTCTGCGCGAGCCCGAGACGGTGTGGTCCCTCGCCTGGTCTCCGGACGGCAAGTTCCTCGCCTCGGGCGGCGACCAAGGCGGCGTGCGGCTGTGGGAGCGCGTGCCCCGCGCTCAAGCTGAAGCGGAGGAGATCGGCGAGATGGAGGTCGCAACGGGGATGGAGATGCGCGAGGTGAGCCACACGGCCGCGCACGCTGGCGCCGTGTTCTCGCTCGCTTGGGGGCCCGGGCCGGGCACCGAGGGACTGTTGGCCAGCGGCGGCGCCGACGGGCGCATTATTGTTTGGGAAATCGCGGGCGGCAGGCTCGTCCCCATCGCCGGCGCGCGTGAGGCGCATGGCGTCGCGGACGTGAATGGCCTCGGGTGGAATGTGCGCGAGGATGGCAAGGGTACGGGGATCCTCGCGAGCGCGGGCGACGACGGGAGCATCAAGGTGTGGCGCGTGGTTGCGGATGCGTAGATGAGATTAGAGCGGTAGAGGGATGGGATTGCATGGCAGACACTGTGGCCAGGCGTTGTGGAGGACGACTGGCACGGGCTTTGGCGCCGAGCATGGCGGCCCATCGTTAGATGTGTGTAATTTGCTCACGACTCTTACGCAACGATGTTCATGTGTTAGCTGAGCACACTCCAGACGTACAGTAGCTCGTACGGGCTTCTCATCGACGACACACAGAGGTATGATGGTGATCTCCTCGGGCTTGCCATTCAGCCGTTATAGACATGTAGCTCCTTGTCGTCAATGACGCCCTCGTCTTCGCGACCTACTGTCACCAAGGCATCCCTACCGACCTCCCTCAATGTCATATGAGACCGTACCACCCCCACCTCCCGTCGTGACCGCATGTATGCATTTTCATCTATACTACCGCCACCCATGCCCGCCCATTACAACTTGCCCTGCGCCGCCGGCTTAAACTCCTTCTTGGCACGCTCGCGGAGTATGTTACGCAGAATTTTGCCCGAGGGACTCTTCGGAATAACATCAACGACAACGACGCCGCCGCGCAGGGCCTTATGGTGCGCGACACGCGCCGCAATCCAAGCCTGGACGTCGCGCGCGAGCGCCTCGGTGTCCGTGACGCCCTCCGCTGCGACAATGTATCCGCGCGGCAGCTCGGTCGCGTGTCGTCCTGCACGCCAACCACGCCGGCGTCGATGACGCGCGGGTGCTGCAGCAGGAGACCTTCAAGCTCAGCCGGCGCGACCTGGAAGCCCTTGTACTTGATGAGCTCCTTGACGCGGTCCACGACGGACCAGAGCCCGTCGTCGCCGCGCACGAGGACGTCGCCCGTGCGCAGCCACCCGCCACGCTCCATCGTCGCGGCGGTCGCGGCGGGGTTCGCGTGGTACCCCTTCATGACGCAGGGCCCGCGGACCCAGAGCTCGCCGCGCTCGCCGCGCGGCGCGTCGCTCCCGTCCTCGCGCACGAGGCGGGCTTGGAACGTCGCGCACAAGCGCCCGATGCCGAGGTGGCCGCGCCGCGCGTCCTCCTCCGGCGCGAGGAAGATGCCGGGGCTCGTCTCGGTCATGCCGTACGACTGAGAGATGGTGCAATTCGGGAAACGGGCTTTGAAGGCGGCGATGAGGTCGCCGGAGAGCGGGGCGGCGCCGCACGACACGGAGACGAGCGAGCTCAAGTCGTAGTTTGGGACGTTTTTCGAGTGCACGAGGAGCAGCACGATGGGGGGCACGAGGAACGAGTGCGTGATGCGGTATTTCTGCACGCAGGAGAGGAAGTGCGTCTCGTCCCACCGCGGCAGGATCACCGTTTTGATACCGACCGTTACGGGGTGGACGAGGAGCGCGATCCACCCGTAAATGTGCGAGATGGGGAGGAAGCCGAGCACCGCGTGGTTCTCGGGGTCTGTGGCGGGCCACAGCGGCTTGGTCGCAAGCACTTGGCTGGTGAGGTTGTAGTGCGTCGTCATGACGCCCTTGGGCAGGCCCGTCGTGCCGGAAGAGTAGCAGAGGACAGCGGTGGCGCGGGACTCGAGGCCGTCAAAGTGCTCGGGCTCGGAGGGGGCGCCGAGGTGTGCGTACAGCGACTTGAAGCCCTGTGCGTCCTCTTGCGCGAGGATGAATATGCGTTCGTCGGGGATAGGAGTCTTGAGTTGCGCGCGTGCCTTGAGCAGCGCGGCGAGGTTGTCGGGCGACACGAAGATGGCGCACGAGCCCGAGTCGTTGAGCTGGTGCGCGATCTCGTGCACGTCGTAGCTTGCGTTCGCCGGGCTCACGGTCACTCCGGCAGCGATGAGGCCGTACGCGGCTGTGATCCACTCGATGCTGTTCAGGCCCCAGATACAGGCCGTGTCGCCACGCCTGATGCCGAGAGCATTCAGCCCGCTTTTGAGGCGCAGCGCAGACTCGCGCAGTTCGCCGCGCCGCAGCTCGCGCCCCGTGTGGCCCTCGATGAACGACACCACGTCTTCGCGCACCGTATTGGGCACCCCCATCTCGGGCGTGGGGAAGATGAAGTCGAACAGCCCGATCTCCGGGAGGAAGGGGTTGGGGAAGTCCGACTCGTAGATAGTGATGTCCTGGCCTGTCATGATGTGAAGCGAGGTGAGAGGTGTGAGTTGAGACGCTTCGTCCAAGACATGTTTAAGGAAGAAGCGATCGTTCACGATGGCAGAACGGCCCGGCAACACGGCAACACGGCAAATAGATGTCCGACGACCAGAGCCGGCAAGTGGGCTGCGGGGGACGCTGACGTGAGGCAAGAGCGCGACGAGATCGCGGCATGTCGGTAACCAGAACGTCGAGATCGGTCAACTTGGTGCCGGTGATCCGGTAGTCGTCGGCGGAGGCCGGATCACGTGACCGTTGGTGTCGACGAGGTCATGGCGCTGAAGTGGGCGCGACATTATGGGCGCAGGTCGGGCGGCTAGCTACACGCCATCTTGAAGGGAAAATACACGGTACGAGAATTCTGACCGCGATAACGTCTGCTTGATCCGAACTGCGGCCGGGGACAGCAGCTGGTTCCACCGCGATTGTGCTGTTACAGCTCCCCGCTCCTGCGCATCATATTGCTCGTTCCTCACTTCTTTTTCTCCAGTCATTGGGAGTGTGGGTACGCATTAGTCGCTTACCCTCTCTGGGGCCGACCATCACGCCTCCTGCCCCACGCCATGGCCACTCGTGGCACCGCCACAACGCTTCACCGATCGCCTCTCCTCAGTATGCCCTACAGGGAAGCAAGCGCCGTGATGGCGAGAGTGGGAGCTGTTCGGGCCACATCAGCGTCGAGTACACCACCTGATGCATGCACGTTACGCACCATGACCACCTCGATGGCATCCATGTATGTCACATGAGTGGCGATAATGAGGGGTGGCGGAGTGAAAGTTGAGTGGGGCAGTGCCTCAGGCACCCATTTGCGGCCGACCCAATTCAAATGACCGTCCCCCTAATATAATAGATATAATATATTTATCGCCGGGTGCGCATGCATGTAATGAAAATTGGTAGAATGCAGGCGCCGAGTCCGCAGATGCTCCACGATTTAGCGCAGACGGATCCGATCAGCGCGCGCGCGGGAACGCTGACGAGTTGTGGGGTGGAGCCAAGCGGAAGCAAATTTGAGTGGCGAATTCGATCGGCATGGCACAGCCTTCTGCGACTTCCGCGTCGTGTTTGGTGGCCACGGCGCCTTCCCCTGTCATTTGCAAGTGCAGAGACAGGGGTAACGGCGACATGGCAATCAAACAGGATGCACGGTTGCAAACAGGACCTGTGCGCACCCAACGCAAAAAAGCCCACCCCTCGCGCACGCCGGAGCGTACGTGAGAGGTGGGCATTGCGTCAACCGCCAGGCAGTTCTCGTAGAGACCAATTGGCTGTTGGGTGTAGCGAGAGAAGTACGAAGGGATGTGGAAAAAGAGAGGAAGGAAGAATAAAGAGGTTCGGGGAGAGGAGGAAAAGAAGAATGCAAGAGGAGTTCGGAGAGAAGATTTCAAGGAGGGTAATAGTTGTAGTGTCAACAACATGCTCCAACTGTAATCACAACCGCTGCGTACCCTTACGATAGATCCAGACCACGGAGGGCTTCGAGTTCGAGGAACTTGCTGGATCCTCGCAAGGCGTGCGAGCGGGCTCGTTGCCAAGGAGATTTGATGGGCGGTGGTTGTGTCTCCGATTCTTGATGAACCTCTGTCCTTGATGTCAAAAGGGCGAGAATCCCGACGCCACTACCTGACTCGCATTATTCGCGCGCGCACGAACGGCCCAGTCGGCCAGTGCCACATCATCCGTTCCCGCAGATGCGGGGCGGCGAGAGGAGACACCGGCGTCCAAGAACCATTCGCTATGTTTGCGATGCAGCCAAGCGGGGGAAGGCGATCCTACCCGGATTTTCCTGGGTTTGTCTCGACGGCTAGAAGAGAAGAAAATACTCAGCTGAATTGTATTGCCGTCGCTCGTTGTTTCGCTCGTGTGCTCGATGAGTCACGGGACGCTGTGTGAAGAAACCGAGGAAAGGGAAGGTCTAAGTGTGTGACCTCACCTTGAAGAAGTATTGTTGCAAAGCGCAGTGGCGGGCACTCGTGGCCGACAATGACCAGAGGTCTTGGAGGTTGTCACGAGTACAGTAGCCGGGATAAAAAAAACGTCCTTAATCTCTGGCGACGAGGCGATCAGAGGGTGGGGGATAGTTGATCCAAGCGCTGACCATGGGTCTTGGGTGGTCGTGTTGCTTCGTCCACGGATGGGTGTCGAGATTAAATGCGAGGTAAAATGTCGATGAGGAGAAGGATGAGGAGATGGATGGAGGAGAGATGATGAATGATGATGGTATGGATGGATGATGAAGAAGAACGTAACCCAGGGGGGGAGGGGGTGCTAGTTCTTTATGGAGGGAAATGCTGGGTGGGTGGCTACGGTGGCGTTGTGTGAGTCGAGTGGGGGCCGCGAGGCCGGGGGAAGGGGGATGTGTGAGGTGTACGGCTGTGTTGTGAAGGGGTTAAGTATTAATCCCTGTTGACCGGAGGGGCAGCGCCCGAGGTTCGCAGGCGTAAATGGGGAAGGGCCCAAAGGACGGTGAGTCCGGGACCCTGGATGATTGGGCACTGTGTGCGTGATTCGCCCATGACTCGTTTCCCCCCATCATTGAAAATACTCCCGCATCATTTCCAATCATGCCAATCACCCACCACGGCCTGCCACTCAAAGGCAAACAAGGCTCAGGGACCAAATTGGGGGAAACAAAGGGATGCCACTGCCAAGCTGCGAGGCCCAAGGCACCCACCTGCTACCTGCCACAATGCCGGCGATCGGCGAAAGCGGGATTTGCGCATGTCATGGTGTGGCACTTTCCAGTGTCATCCACGCTGTGTAATAAGCTGTTAGCTCAGGCACTCAGCGGGAGGTGGCGATGATGCATCCATGTCGCCACCCGGCTGCCAGCTGAGGCTGTTGCGTTCTAGGATGGCTCAGTCCATTCAGTGAATGCCCAGCCTGCCCAGCCTGCCCAGCCGACAACCGATGCAGCCGAAGGTACTTGCGATCTCGCGTTCCTTGTGCCCTCGCATCCAAGAAGCACAACCACCGCACAGACCTCTGATCCCATCCCGATCCCCACGATCCCCACGATCGCCATAGCCCAAAGCTTCGACCGCGGGGGCGAGCATGGGTCCGTGCATTCCAACACTCCGGCGTTGAGGCGCAACGAGTAGTCATGGATGACTGCACAATCGCACAATCCTCGTGCCGCGGGGAATCGCGGGGGCAGGCGTGCATACTGTTGGCTTGTTAACGCTTCAGTCCGGGTTCCTCGCATGTCGCACCAGCTGGCTTGTCCGGTCCGTCCGCGGTGGACTTGGAGGATTGGTGACGCATTCCATTAGGGTAAACCAATACACAGGCGGTGCCTAGTCAACCACAAAGGCGATGGAGATGAGTACAGCCCGTGACTGCGAATGCCGCTGCGACAACGGACCCGATTGGACTCGGCCGTGACCGGAGACCCAAGACCATAGCATAGCGCACGAACGCGGTCATGGGACCTCGGGACCACGGGACGCGAACCCAGTTAGGCTTCCGGTGCGAACAGCAACATTCCGCCGAGTGGAGCGCAGCGGTGGCTTTGGGAATCTGGCGTGGACAGCGTCGTCAGGAGACATGTTGCTTCCAACTAGCCATCGTTTCCAATCCGTTACCGTTTGCCCCACGAATCAGTTCTCACTGCACTCTATCGATCTATCACCAATCATTTTGTCCCGGCCGCAGGAAGGGCGCCGCTCCACCGTAGCGATTCCAGGTCTGTAGCGCCCAAATCGCGGTCGCTCTGCGAACGACAGAGGGGGAGATTGATAGGCGAGGACTTACCTCTGAACTCCATAGTGCTTAAAGCTGTTAAGCATAGTCGATGGGTGCATCTGCACGTTATTCTCACGTGAGCTCGCATGCCCCCATCAGCCAATGCAGCCAACAGCACATTGAGCGCAGAGCAGGAAGCTGCCTCGCGCGCGATCGCGCGCTGGAAGCACCGGTCAGAGTATCAGAGGACCAGAGTAGGCACTTTCGAGAGCAGGAAGGCCACCGCACATGTCCGGTTTGAAATCGCGACGTACAGTCGGATGTGGAAGACATGCACAGCGACACATCCATATGACACACGCTCTCAAAGAGGCGTCCGCGCCGCCAGATCGACGTCTGTGAGACTAGAAATGACATGGATGGAACGGGTGGACCTCCTATAGATGATCACAGCGTCAATGGGATAAAGATAAGAAGGGATGAGAAAGCGAGATGCTGATGTGTGAGGCGACTGTAGTGTGATCGGACACGGAATCAATTATAGGTGCATTCAGTATCAGCGGAAAGGACCCAAACAACTCCACGTCACTATACACGTGGGTTGCCGCCGGCTCGGAATGAGACCCAGGCTCGGCGACCAAGTTCCAGCCTTCGGCGAACAGGGGCGAATGAGCGGTGTGCGGGGTCCGGCCACTGAACCTGACGAGCCGACGCCGGTACGCCTGACGCGCCCATGACCGTGCGCCACGGGGACGCGAATGACGTCCATGAACACTCATCACTCAGGACTCGACGTGTTGAACATCCACCACCACACATCTTCTTCCCCCCTTCTTCGCTCGATCTCACGTTCCTCTCTCTTCCACTCACGTACTCCTCATATACGTACGCTGCATCGCCAGCATTCTGGCCTTGCCCCCCTCCCCTCCTCCCTCTTCCACCCCATCCTCTGCGCAGACACAACCATGCCTGTCGCAAAGGGCAAGCCGCGCCCCGTCCCGCTCGCCATGCCGGCCAATGGCGGCAACGGCGATGCGCGCCCCCACAACGCTGGTCCGCTCACCCCCAAGACTCCCAAGACGCCACAGGACGAGGCCATCGCCTTCTTCTCCGGCGCGCACGACGGTGCCCCCGTCCAGGTCTGGGAGCTCGTGCTCGAAGATGACGGCGGCCCCGGTGAGGGCAAGTCAGTGAGTCGCACTGTCCGTGCTCGCCTGACGTCAGTACATCCGCTTGCCTGCCCCAACCACGCCCTATGTGCTTCGCTTCTCGATCCACCCGGGCACGTCGATTATGCGCAATGGAAACGGTGTGCTCAAGAGTGACTTTCCCATGGATGGGGGCGCGTTCAAGCGAGGCAAGTTCTCCGAGCGCAAGCTTCCCTCGGATCTCTCAAAGTGAGCAAGAGCGATGAGCCAGCTGATGCAGACCTATCACCATCGATCTTCCTATTTCAGCGCCGGGCGCGTTCTGCTATTATGTCGAGTATGACGGAGCGGATGGCGAGCGGGTCACGGGGAGACGCGGATACTTCAACGTCGACCCCATCATCTCGCTGCCGGCGCGCACGCCGTTCAATCTCGAGGGCGATGTCCTCGCTGACACGAGCTCGGGGAAGGTCGAGAAGAAGACCATCACGATACCCATTGATGGCCTCACGATTCTGTCGATCATTGCGAAGTGGCAGGGCAAGGTCAACGAGTGGGACAAGCACCTCGCCGAGGCGAGCAGGCGCGGGTACAACATGATCCACTACACGCCTCTGCACGTTCGAGGCGACTCGGGCAGCCCCTACTCGATCTTCGACCAGCTCGCGTTCGACCCCACCTTGCTTAGAGACCCCAAGGCCAAGGACGGTGGCTATGCTGAGATCTGTGACACAATGCGCTACGCACGCGACAAGTACGGACTTGGCGCCATCACTGATGTCGTGCTCAACCACACAGCCCACGACTCGGCATGGCTCCAGGATCACCCTGAGGCTGGGTACTCGCCACACAACACGCCGCATCTCGCGCCCGCTGTTGTGCTTGAGGACGCAATGTTCGAGCTCACTGACAACCTCAAGCCTCTTGGCCTCCCGACAGTCGTCAAGAGCGAGGCTGACTTGGCCACTCTGGGCAAGGGGATTAAGGAGACCATTGACAAGCTCAACCTGTGGCAGTACTACACCATCGATGTCCCAGCATCCGTTAGGGCTATTGGTGACACCCTCGCCGCTAGAAAGATCAAGCCGTGGCGCGGCGAGCCGTTGACAGGGAAGACGACCGTCGAGCTTGCGAAGATCGCAGTCGAGACCCCGGGCTTCGTCAAGAACTATCGCGCGTACTCGGCGCCGCACTGCACTCATGTGGACGTGGAGGAGGCTGCGGGCTTCGTGGACGCCGCCTTCCCTCACCTCGCCCACATCCAGGCGCAAGAATGGGGCAAGATTCTCGACGTGATCAACGTCGACCTCTACAAGGAGTTCAACGACGACGTGGCCGCCGCCAAGGACCAGATCCTGGGACGCTTGCGCTTTACTCGCCTCGAAGAGGGCGGGCCTAAGCTCGGCGAGATCAACAAGAAGTGAGCCTCGCCCTTGTCCGTTAGCTGATGCCAGAAACCCCATCATTGAGCCGTATTTCACCCGCATCAAGCAGAAGAAGGGGACCAACCACCCAGCCGCTGCTCTCACGGTGGCAAACAACGGCTGGATGTGGGCTGCCGACCCGCTCAAGAACTTCGCTGAGTACCCATCGAAGGCATACCTCCGCCGCGAGGTCATCGTCTGGGGTGACTGCGTCAAGCTGCGCTATGGCAAGGGGCCCGAGGACAACCCATGGCTGTGGCAGCACATGACTGACTACTGCGAGATGCTTGCGACGACATTTGACGGCTTCCGCCTCGACAACTGCCACTCGACCCCCCTGCACGTCGGTGTGCACATGATTGACGCTGGTCGCAGAATCAACCCGAACCTCTACGTCATGGCTGAGCTGTTCACTGGTAGCGAGGAAATGGACCTCAAGTTCGTGCGCGAGCTGGGTCTCAACAGTCTTGTCCGTGAAGCCTACAACGGCGGAAACACGAAGGAGTTTGCCAGACTGTGAGCATCGGGCCATAATTCAGCTAACGTGCAGGCTCTACCGCTTCGGCGTCGGTAAGCCCATTGGCTCCATGGACTCCGCCGTTCTATCGAGCCCCGGCGAGATCAAGGGGCTTGGTGGCTCTGCCTCTCGCCCTTGCATTGTGACGCCTCTCCCGGGCTCTCACCCACATGCCGTGTTTTACGATGTCACGCACGACAACGAGTCTCCAGCCGACAAGCGCACTGCCGAGGACGCTCTTTCCACGGGTGCCCTCGTCTGCTTCACCAGAGCCGCGCTCGGATCGAATAAGGGCTTTGACGACCTCTACCCCAAGCTTCTAAACCTGGTCACTGACACGCGCATGTACTGCGTCTCGGGTCCCGCCGACGAGCAGGGCATTGGGCGCGTCAAGCGCATTCTGAACCACCTCCACACCCAGATGATGATTGAAGGATTCGAGGAGGGCCATGTCCACGAGGAGGGCGATTACATCATGGTCCACCGCGTTCACCCCACCACTCACAAGGGCTACCTGGTGGTCGCCCACACTGCCTTCCCCGGCGCCAAGGGACGCGGGTATATCAACCCCTTCCGACTTGCGCGCACTCAGGCCAAGTTTATCTTTGGTGCTTCGATCCACACTCGTCGCGATGAGTGGAAGGATGACCCAAAGGTTCACTACGGCATCCCTTCGACTCTCACCGAGATTCTCGCAGAGGACGTGACCATGCGCGAGGGCTCCGACGAGAATGGTCACTACACTGAGGTCGTTGTGCCAGATTCATTCGACCCGGGAAGCGTCATGGTCTTCGAGACCGCGATGAACGGCATGTCACCAGGTCTTGATGAGAAGTGTCGTGAGGGCGTTGATCAAGCCTTTGCCGATGTTGATCTGGTCGACCTCAATGTCCTGCTCTACCGTGCAGACGGCGAGGAGAGGGACGCAACTGGAGGGGACGGCGTGTACGACATTCCCAACTACGGTAAACTCGTTTACTGTGGATTCGAGGGATGGATGGCGCCGCTGCGTCAGATCATTGCTCACAACGACCTGGGACACCCGCTCTGTGAGCATCTCCGCCAGGGCACATGGGCGCTGGACTATGTCCACAACCGCCTTACCAGGGAGATTGACACTCTTCCTCGACTGGCCAAGCCCGCTGCCTGGCTCAAGGAGCGTTGGGAGGTCATCAAGCAGACTGTGCCCTCGTTCATGCGGCCCAAGTACTTCGCGCTCGTCATTTACGAGGGCTACAAGGCGGCGTGCCGCGCAGTACTTGAGCAGCAGTCCGAATTCATCATTTCGGGTCACGAGCTTACGAGGAACCTCGCGCTCTGTTCCGTGCAGATGTACGGCCTCGTGAAGTCAGCGAGCATCAATCCCAGCAAGCCTGTCGCCAGCCTTGCCGCCGGTCTGCCGCACTTCACGGCAGGCTGGGCTCGCTGCTGGGGCCGCGACGTCTTCATTTCCCTGCGCGGTCTTTTCCTGACCACGGGCATGTTCGAGGCTGCGCGTGAGCACATCCTCGCCTTCAGCACGACGCTCAAGCACGGTCTCATTCCCAATCTTCTCGACTCTACGCGCAACCCGCGCTACAACTCGCGCGACTCGCCTTGTGAGCTGAAAGTGTTGAAGTGCACTGACGACCAGGGTGGATGATTCAGAACATCCAGGACTACACCAAGATGGCGCCTGACGGTCTGTCAATCCTCAAGGAATCGATTAAGCGCCGTTTCCCGGCTGATGACTCCTGGGTTCCGTGGGACGACCCGAAGGCGTTCTCCTGGAGTAGCACCATTGCTGAGGTCATCCAGGAGATTCTGCAGCGCCACGCCGAGGGCATCGAGTTCCGCGAGCACAACGTGAGTGTGATTGTACCTGTAAGTCCGCTAACGTCAGGCCGGGCCCAACCTGGACATGGATATGAGAGACGAAGGCTTCAACCAGAAGATCTGGACCGACTGGGAGACTGGATTCATCTACGGCGGCAACCGCTTCAACTGCGGTACCTGGATGGACAAGATGGGTTCATCGGAGAAAGCGGGCAACAAGGGCTTGCCCGCCACTCCGCGCGACGGCGCGCCGATCGAGATCACTGGTCTTCTGAAGTCCACACTCACCTGGCTTGACGGGCTCAGCCGCAAGGGCCAGTTCCCGTTCAAGGGGGTTGAGGCAACTGGTGGGTCGAACTGGCCATGCAGGAGCTGACTTTCAGTCAAGGGGGATAAGCGCCTGGTCACGTACAAGGAGTGGGCAGACCTCATCCAGGCGTCGTTCGAGAAGCACTACTGGGTGCCGCTTGATCCCGCCGAGGACAAGGACTTTGTCATCAACTCGTCACTCGTTAACCGTCGCGGCATGTACAAGGACGTGTACGGCACGCCCAAGGACCGCGAGTTCAGCGACTACCAGCTGCGCTGCAACTTCACGCTGCCAATGGTGGTCGCGCCCGAGCTGTTCACGCCGCTGCGCCAGCTCGCAGCGCTGCGCCTGGCGGATCGCACTATCCGTGGGCCGCTCGGCATGAAGACCCTCGACCCTAGCGACATGCAGTACCGCCCCGACTACGACAACCAGAACGACAGCACCGACATGAGTGTCGCTAAGGGATGGAACTACCACCAGGGCCCCGAGTGGGGCTTCCCGCTTGGCTGGTTCCTGTCTGCTTGGCTCATGCTAAGATTCGGCCACGAGGACGAGGACCTGCGTGAAGAGGCTGGGTTCAAGAGTAAGGAGGAGAACCTGCACCACGTCGCGAGTGTTCTGCTCAGGCTACGCGAGCACATTGAGAAGGACCCGTGGCGCGGTCTGCCCGAGCTGTGTAACCATGGTGAGCTATTGCTCCCACTGAGCAAACTGACAACCAGGGGGCGCGTACTGCCGCGACTCGTGCAACACGCAGGCATGGTCGGCGAGCACAATCCTCGACGTGCTCGAGATGTTGCACAAGATTGTAAAGGGCGAGTCTATCCGCCCATAGAACGCATAGGAAGTAGTATGAAGGCTCAGGATCGCATATGCAGAGGTGCTCTAGCCGGTGTCTACTCTACTCGTCGCCCTTGTCGAGGCGGACGGCTGCGGCCGACTTGACGCCGAGGAGGTCGGTCTTGTGGCCGACAAGAGTACGGATGTCCGAGATCTTGTACTTGATCATGGTGGGGCGCTCAAGCGACATGCCCCAGCCAAGCACACGCACGCCCTTGGGCAGGCCCATGGGCTCGAGCATCTCTGGGCGGAACACGCCCGAGTTGGCGATCTCGATCCACTTGCCGAGGCCCTCGTGCCACGAGAAGACCTCCATCGACGGCTCGGTGTACGGGTTATACGCGGGCTTGAAGCGCAGCTTGTGGTTGCCCGTCTTGGCGAAGAACTCCTGCATGAAGCCGATGAGGTGGCCGAGCGTGATGTCGTAGTCGGCGACGACACCCTCGACCTGGTGGAACTCGGCGAGATGCGTCGCGTCCGTCGCTTCGTTGCGGAACACGCGGTCGATACTGAACAGCTTGGCTGGCTTGAAGCCACCCGGCTGGTTCGCCAATCGGTACAGCATGTCGGTCGAGACGGCGGTCGTGTGCGTGCGCAGCAGGAGACGCTCGCTCTCGGCACGCGAGAACGGTGCACGGTACCCAATCGATCCGTAGCCTCCAACCTCGTGCGTCTTGGCTACGCGCTCGTAGTATGGCTCGTCGGGGATAAAGGCCTTGGCGGGGTCTGAGAGTCAGCGAGCAGCTCGATTCATCTAACGCCCCTCCTCTGCGACCACCTCTCCTGGCCGACGTCTCTCCGGGCGGAGAAATGCTCACCCTTAACGTAGAAAGTGTCCTGCAGCTCACGCGCAGGGTGCTGTTGGGGCACGAACATGGCGTCAAAGTTCCAGAACGCGCTCTCGACGAAGTGGTTGGTTGGCATCTCGGTGAAGCCGAGGTCGAAGAAGATCTGCCGGAACTCCTCGCGCACCTTGAGGAGTGGGTGGAGCGCGCCGCCCTCTGTCGCCTGCCCCTGCGCGGCAAAGTTGTACGGCTTGAACTCGGCGTCCTTCCACTTGCCGGACGCGACCATGTCGCTCGACAGATCCGTCTCGAGCGTCTTGACCTCGGTCGCAAACTTGCTCCCCTTAGTCGCTGAAAAGTGGAGCTGTTTCCGCGCAACTACAAGCTTGCGCTTCTGCAGCTCCTTGAGGATCTTGTCCTCCGCCCCGCCGCTTGCCTGCACGCCGCGCAGCTGCTCCGCCGTCTCGTCCACGGGCGCCGAGGCCGCACGCACAAAGCCGGCCCCAGCCTTCGCAATCCACTTGTTCTTGAACGCGCGGCCCTGGCCGACCTTGACCGTGTCGTCGCCGAGGAGTTTCTGGCGTCAGAAATCCAGTCGCGAGGCGAGGGGCTCGGAGCCGGGATAGAGTCGCGCTCGGGCCACGTGCACGTCTCCGCGCACGCCGCGAGTAAACGAGTCGGCAGCTTACCTTCAGCTCCGGCACGGTCGCCGGCTCGCCTGCTCCCTCGGCAGGACACGCCTGCCACACACGGAACTCGTGCGAGCCGCTCGCGGCAATCTGCGACCCTTCTTCCGTGAGTCCGTACACGTTCGTCGTAATCTGCTTGTAGTCGACCATCTGAAGTAAGCTCGATGCCCAGTAAACATATTAAAGCAATGCTGGCCTTCTAGACGGACGGCCGCGCGCTCCGCGCCACCCACCTCCTTGCTCAACAGCGAGTCAAGCGCCGACTTGACGACAGCCTGCGCCTCCTGGGAGGAGAGCGCGGCCCCGCCCACAGAGAGCTTGCGCGAGTCGTCGAGCGTGCCCGATGGCGACGCATCGAGCGCCTTCAAAATGGCCGTCTGCACCTCGTCGACCGTTGGGAGTGCCATATTCGTTGTTGTGAGATGCCAATGTGGCTCGGCCTCGACATTTCGTCGACAAGACGGAGTCGATCGGCGCGCCTACTGGTGCCTATAATTAGGTGCCGATCTTTACGGTGGGCCTATCCTTTCTAATGGCTTTTTCCACATTTGAACAATACTAATACCCTTCGTAATTGGAAGTGGACCTTGTTTGGTTCCTCGTCTGCGTCTCGCGGTCTCGCTTGCAACGCCGAAACAAGTCGCGTCACTCTCTCCACACACCACACATCATGGACGCATCTAAACGCGCAAAGCTCCCACAAGTCGCGCGCGCTTCCGTCAGGGCTGCTGATAAGAGCGGCGCCCTCGATCGTAATGAGTACACCATGGCAGTGGCGCGCGCCGACGTCCTCAAACGCCTCAATCTCACGGAAGTCGACAGTGAGGGGAAGAAGATCATTAAGGAGGCAGTGATGAAGGCATTGGTAAGCACTTCTGTGTGTTGAGCTGAATGGTTCAAGGCCGCGCTCGGGGAGAATGAGGAGCAGTCATCGAACGAGGAGGTTTCGGAGGAGCAGCTAGAGGACAATGAAGAGGTTGAGGAGGAGCCGCCAAGGAAGGGCCGACGGAGGGAGACTAAGCTCAAAGCCCCGTCTGAGTCTGAGGACAGCAAGAGCGACAGCTTCGACCCGTTCGACGATGACGAAGAGCCGCCGCGCAAACGCGCACGATCCAGCAAAGTTGCGTCTCGCGGCGCCTCGGCCAGCACAGGGCGATCGCGCACATCCACGCCGCTGAAGCAGGGCAAGCCGTCAGCCAAAAGCGTGGAGGTGATTGAGGACTCCGACGACGAAGCTGCGCCAGCCAAACGCAAGTTGTCCACGGTGTGTGCCTAGGCTTCTTCGCTGTGACTGAGCTAACATCAGTCTCCCTCGCCGGCCTCGTCTATGTCGAGCGTGTACGACGAGCCGCCGAAGCAGAAGGGGAAAGCAGGAAGCGCGCCTAAGAAGACAGCGACGAAGGCGAAGGGCAAGAAGGATCCGAATGAGGGAGTGAGTATGCCTCCGTCTTCCAACATAAGACGCCCCACACGCGAGCGCCCGTTCCTTTGAGGGTCGCGACAAGTCGCTCACAGCAGCTGTCGCCCGACGAGGCGCAGATAGCCGACCTCAAGCGCATTGTCGTTGCGTGCGGCGTGCGCAAGCAATGGTGTGTAACTGGCGTGACTGCAAGCTGACCTAAGGACGAAGGAGTTTGCGGACTGCCCAACCGTAAGGCGGCAGCTGTTCCGCGGAGGCAGCAGCTGACTTTAGCCTTCATCCCAGATCAATCACTTGAAGAGTATCCTGCATTCGCTCGGCATGAAGGGCAAACCGACGATGGGCAAGGCCAAGTCGCTCAAGGAACGACGCGAGTTGGCACAGGAGCTCAGTGGGTCGTCTGCTCCGTCCTCCTCCTGCGACTTCACTCACCGCAGATGATGTGAAGGAGTTCGAAGCAAGCCGCGGTGCCGAGCGTCCCAGACGCGGACACGCTGAGCCGGACCGAAGAGTTTCGGCGTCTGGCGCGATGGCTGCCGTCATGGATTTCCTTGACGACGACGACGACGACGACGATGACAAGTAAAACCGCGATACCCGCATGCCGCGCCAGGCACGTTCAAGCATACTAGCTTCTGAGAAGTGGCGAGATATGGGAGCGGTTGTGCCTGGCGGAAGGGGGAATGTGGGAAGCCGGCAGAAGCGGATGCATGAGGCCGGCAGGCGATACTGCTGGTCATCTTGTGACCATGCTCGTGTACACCGGCTCTGCATGCTCACCGGGCGCTCGGAGACTCAGAGTGCAATCTCATTCAGCCATCCAAGCATCGGAGCCTCGGCAAGGGCAGCAGTCGCCATTCAGACTGCATTAAGTTGGGCAGGTAGAGCGGCGCTTAGGGCAATTCAACGCCACAATTTACTATCAGGTCCACTTGCCCTCTGGCCTGGATCGCCCTTCTCTCTCTGCGCGCCGGGCGGCGTGCGGATCCACCTCCGCGCCACTATGCACAACGAGCACCAGCACGGACCACATTTTGTAACTGCTCCTGCAACTACTCCATCCGCATCCTCATCGCAATGAGCTCCCCACGCTTCGCGGGCCTGCCACGCTTCGCGCTGCGGTGCGCGCTCCTCTGCGCCGCTGTGCTTGTGATCCTCATGGTCATCCCGCACTCGCCGCGTCCCGCGCGCCAGCGGCCGAGCATCGACAGATTCTTCCGCTTCGGGCGGCCAGCTGAGGCTTGGGTCGACCTCGAGACAAGCATCCCGTGGACGAGGTATGATGGCGGTGAGTTACAGATGGAGGACTCGATCTCTGAATCCCGTACGCGACGGGGGGCATAATGAGCAGTCACCGAGGAAGATCGGGCGGAGGTGTACCATTAAGCGATGAGAGCTCAGCGGACAAGGGCGCTGACATCAGGCATTGAAGGCTACACTGTCTGGTCGAACCTGTTCCTCTCTGGAGGCACGCTCGTTGCCGCCGTCGAGACGAAGGAGGCTGCCGACAAGCTGCCCAAGCCGCGGGGCATCCTGAGCGACTTCGATGGGGTTGAGCGTATCCCCGCTGGTCCGGACCTTTGGGCGACGAGCGCCGGGGCGGACCTGGTCCGCGCTGAGTTTGGCGAGCGCGCAATCCGTATTCCTGGGATCACATATCTCTTCAACGACCCACCCGGGGAGAGTGAGTTGCGAGCCCGCTAGGAACGGCGCTACTGGTCCTGCTCGTCGCTGTCACCGGCTTCCCACCGGGCGAGAGTATCCAGAGGCAGGGCCGAATGAGAACACCAGCACAGCACGAACGTACTAACCCCAGGGGGCCTAATTGCGCATAACCACCACTTCGTCTGCGATCTACTGGCGCCCGCGGCGAGGGCTGTCGCCTCGGCGCGCGCAGCTGCTGGCCTCCCAAACGAGCTGCCACAGCGCATCTTCTTCCCCCGATGCGGAGCTGACCCGTCTTGGCGTGACCACCGCGGCTTGAGTGGGTACTGCCCTCTGCCTAGCTGATATCAGACTCCTGGCTGATCCGCACCATGTTCCCTACCATTATCGTCGAGGACAAGCTCACGTGGGACGACCGGGCCCGCGGAGACGTCGCGTATGTCTTCGAGCAGGTGGTTATCGTGGACCGATGTGAGTTGAGCGCGACGAGACAGACAGAGATCATGTCGGAATGTCCGCTGATAACAGCCGCTGCACACTCAGCTTCGGGCGATGTCGCGCGTTGGGGGAGAATGAACGCCAACGTGCCACAGATGGACGCGCCCGCCAACTTCTGGGACCCATTTTCAACGGCGATGGCCCGCGCCACAGGAGACCTGCTGCGCGTCGGGCGATTCCAGCTCCCCGTCGTCGTGTATCTCGACAGGAACTCGGAGCCTATGGTCTCCCCTGAGTCGAGCGAGGCGCTGATCAAGGGCCTGCGCGAGCTCACCGGCCGGGCCGAGGTACACGTCGCGCGCATCCAAAGCATGACGCGGCGGCAGAAGGTGGCGCTCCTCTCGCGCGCCAACGTCATGATCGGGCTCAACGCCGAGGACATGCTGCAGATGGCGTGGATGCGCGCGGGCAAGGGCAATGCGGTGGTGGAGCTGTTCGAGGAGGACGGCTTCGCCAACGACTTTGCGTTGCTCGCCAACACGCTCGGCTTCAAGCACATCGCGATACAGGGCAACCGCGAGCTCACCCCGCGCATGTGGAGCGAGCATCCGAACGGCAAGCGCGGACCCCAGCACCACGCCGTCGTCGACGTCGATGCCGGCGCCGTCATACATGCCGTGGTCAGAATCCTGGACGGGCTAGAGGGCAAGGTGGGCCGGCAGCTGTTGCTGGGCTAGACTCTGTATACTAGATTGGGTTTGTTGCATGTGATAGATTGACTTTTAGTTGGTGGCAGCATTTGCGCCCAGCGGTGGCACGTGTTAAGACGTAAAGGAGACACGCCAACAAGCATGGAGGGGATGAGTTGTTCGCACCAACCAACTCTGCTGTACTGCAACGCGTACACAGGAGTAGAGCCCAGTATCGCACGGGCAGCGCTTCGGACATGTCCCGACTTAAGCGATCCCACTCCCAGACTCAGCCACAACTGTCAGCCACGCTGTCGTCAGCCTTCGCCTCCTGCCAATCTCCTCCCAAACGGGACAGACAGATATGCAGCCTGATATGAGCGCGAGCCCGTCGCCACCATCTAGGCCACACTCCACGCCACCCTCGTCCCAGCCCATCCGCGATAGTAGAATACATCATCCACTCCCAGCTCCCAAATCTAGACGAGCGCGCCCTACGCACGCCGTGCAGACATAGCGCTTAGAAGGAGATGGCGGCACCACGCTGAATGTCAGTGCCAGCTCATTTCCAGCCTGTGAAATACTCACCTGCTTCTTGTCACCGCCAAGCTCGAAGTGCTTGCAGCGCTTGAGCGAGATCTGGTGCTTGGTCTTGCACGAGGTGCACTCGAGGCGGAGGACGACCTTCTTGGTGGTCTTGGCCTTCTTGTGGAAGACGGGCTTGGTCTGACCACCGTAACCGCTCTGCTTCCGGTCGTAACGACGCTTGCCCTGGGCGGCGAGCGAGTCCTTGCCCTTCTTGTACTGGGTGACCTTGTGGGGGGTGTGCTTCTTGCAGGTCTTGCCCTTGCAGAAGGTGCGGCGGGTCCTGGGGTTAGTTCTAGCTCCGAGGTGTCGGTCGAGCGGTGCAGGAGGTGGAGTGAGGGAGCGGGGTCTGCCGTGGGATATTGGAGAGATCGGAGAACATCTGCGCATGGACATTTCTGTCCTCACGCAAACGAGGGTGGAAGCCCACACGTCGCAGGCGGCGCAACCATCGGAGACTGCACGCGCGCAGTATCCTTCGATGGCCGCGCACATCTCTGCCGGCCGATAGGGATCCGGTTCTCCCTCCGACCACAAATCCTTCTGGACAACCTCCCGACATCTCCGCCCAGCCAGCTCCAGCCGCTCGCCGCTTCATCTTCATCTTCGCGGTCGCGAGTCGCGCGCGCAAACGTACTTCGGGATGTTGACCCTATAGCGTCAGCACAGCTCTCACTTCTGCACGGGACAGACGTTTGTCACACTTCAAACGTCTATCCCGGGCCTTCCTCCAACGCCAGCAGCGCGCGCTTCGAGTCGACGCAGACGTCGTGGTCGGTGTCGGCGCGCGCGCTGTCGACGTCGGGGCTGCGATACGCACATGGTGGGCGGGTGAAGGTCTTTTGTTGAGGGATGAAGAGGTGGTCGTCTCGCCGCCGAACTGATCGCACCGAGGCAGCCAACGGATCCAGAATTCGCCCGAGTTGACGACTCAATTTCATTGGCTGCTGTGAGGACAATCGAGAATGCACGAAAGTTTCGGCGATTAGACAAGCGGCCGATGAGCACAAATTTGCCACTTAATCGACGAGTTATATTCCACGTGCGTGCATCACGTGACGGCCAACTCGTCCGCTGGGAGGGTGGTCGTTGAGAGCAGCGCCGTGTTCCACTCTTGTCCATCAAAAACGACGCCCAACATGTCGACCTTCGGTGGGTATGCGTGCAGGCGGCGCTGACAACAGCTCCCCCCGAGGCCCACCAGCAGTTCCAGGTTAGTCGCGCGCGCGCCGTCGCGATCGAGGAGTGGATGGAGGTGGTGGAGAGAATTTGGAGGGGGCGTCTGTGGCCTCGAAATACTTCGCGGTCCGGCCTTGGATCTTCGCGCACCGATCTGCGCGCAACGCTGTCCTCGTGATAGCGCGCGCTGCGGCTAGAGGCTCCAGCAATCAAGCTGGACCCAGGATGATTTGCTGGTGGATGAGGGAGGATGTCTGGGAGGGAGGCCGTAAAGAGGAAGGCGGGGAAGACGACTCCGGTGAGAGCATCGCTAACATTCAGCACATCCTCCGTCTCCTTAACACCAACGTTAAGGTAGGTCATTATCGGGCAGCGTGCGAGTAGGAAGACTGGGCGGACTTGAGAGGCTGGCTCGCGTTGTGGTGGCAATTTGTCGTCGCGCCGAGAAGACCCTGCAACTCGAGTGAATAGCGTTCGCGACGCGGTTAAGCGGACGCACTTGTGCGCGCCATCTTGGCTACTGTCGCATCGCCTCTCGAGTACCCAGTCAATCCCACCCGCACGCTCTGCATTTCGTCTCAACTTGCGCTGACAGACAGGGTGGTGGCAAGGTCATGTTCGCCCTTACTGAGATCAAGGGTGTTGGTCGCCGTTACTCCAACCTGGTCATCAAGAAGTGCGTCTGCCTCTCTGTGCTCGCTAACCTCCAGGGCCGACGTCGACCTCAACAAGCGTGCCGGCGAGCTGAACTCGGACGAGCTTGAGCGCATTGTCACCATCATGCAGAACCCCGCCCAGTTCAAGATCCCCACCTGGTTCCTTAACCGTCAGCGTGACCTCGTCGACGGCAAGAACTCGCACGTCCTGTCCAACCAGATCGACCAGAAGCTGCGTGACGACCTCGAGCGCCTCAAGAAGATCCGCTCGCACCGTGGTCTCCGTCACCACTGGGGTCTCCGTGTCCGTGGCCAGCACACCAAGACGACCGGTCGTCGTGTTGGTGCCCGCACCGTCGCCACCAAGGGCAAGAAGTAATTTTGTTCTGGTAGACTGGTCGGCAGGCGGGCGGGCCCGCGCAGGGGGCGCTGGGCCCTGTGTCATACATTTGGATGCACGCATTCTCCCACGGGAGCGGATCGAAGTTGTGTTGCGGAAGTGTGTGGAGGCTGCACGCGAGAGGCGATTGTGCAGTTCGGAGCTAAGGGCTGGGCAACACAGCAGTCAGCGTGCGTAACGGGCAACCATGGATGTGCAACGCCGTGCTCCTCGTCGTCACCATGCTCGTCATGTGCACCTGCACTGAAGCTTCCATAGGGCCAGAACAGATCGACGCTGGCGCCTGCAGCACGGTGCCTGCGGCCCGAAAATGGCTGGCCATCAAGCCGAGCAATGGAAGACTGGAGCAAGCCGATCTTAGTACGATGGACGCTTGATTATCACAGTCCTTACACACCAGTCTGCATTCCGAGACGCCCTCGAGGCTTTCAACAGAACCATGCCGCTGGAGATAGAGATAGATATCCATTTTGGGAACAGAAGTCATGTGGACCGCCCCTCCGCAGCAAGCGAAGCGATCAGCCCGTGTAGTATGTTGCAGCGCAACGTGTTGAGCAGAGCATGTGTCAGCGACGGACTTGTGCCACGTTTGTTAGCTGACAGTGATTGGGTCGCGGCCGGGTTTTGCCTGGATTCCGACGGAAGTGGGTGATCTACAGGCATACCTCATGTTCGGCATGACGCGCCTGCTTAGCTGCGATTATTCCAGACTCGAGTACCTCACCGGTTATGCCCCGCCTCCAGTCTGCCTCCTGGCCCGTCCCGCGGCCCACGCCGTACACGTTGGCCCACCTCTCATATATTAACTCTGAACATCTCATCTCTACTCACTACGCTTCTGCCTCTCACTCACCCACTATGTCGTACACTCTTCACGGTCACATCCTTTCCACTGTACGTCTCTGCCTCTCTCCCTTTCCAGGACAGCAGGCACCTCGCTGACCGCAGTGCGCCGCTCGCGTTATCGTCTCGGCTGGAACCATGGGCGCCGATGTCAAGCTCGAGTCGCATGAGTTCGCCTCGATCCACGGACCTGAGTGGGCGCAGAAGCAGCCGTTCAACCAGATGCCCTACCTCGTCGACGACGACACCGGCTTCCTCGTGTTCGAGTCCCGCGCCATCGCCAAGTACATCGCCGTTAAGTCCGGCTCGGACCTCGTGCCCAAGCAGAGCGACGTTGAGGCGTACGCGCGCTTCGAGCAGGGTTGCTCCATCGAGCAGAGCAATTTCGACCCTGCGGCGTCTGGTCTCGCCTTCGAGCTCGTCTTCGCCAAGATGTTTGGTTTCGAGTGCGTACGCTTTCCCTCCATGTTTCTCCTGGAAAACGGCTGACCCCAGGACCGACCAGAAGCGTGTCGAGAAGCACATCGCTGACCTCACCAAGAAGCTGCAGGGCTACGAGCGTCTTCTGTCCAAGCAGAAGTTCGTCGGCGGCGACAAGCTGACACTCGCCGACCTCTTCCACCTCAGCTACGGCGCCATCGTCGCCCAGCTCGGCGTGGTCCCCAGCCTCACGGACGGCTCGCTCCCGCACGTCAAGGCTTGGTGGGAGACCATCAGCAACCTCCCCGCCTGGAAGGAGTACGAGCAGCAGAAGAACGCCGCCCTCGCCGCCATGGGTGCGTCGAAGTGAGCATATCAGCGCCTGGATAGATGTATATACAGCAGCAGAAGAATGCACGGTGCAACGGGGTATATCGGGGAGCAGTCGAGTGCGCGGCCACGCTACGCTGTAATAAGCATAGACACCGCGAAGAGTTATCTGCGCTTGGCGTCGATCACTGCAACTCGGCACCGTCATCATTCCACCGTGGGTGGTGGACGTCAGCCGCCACGGAATGCGCCGAGCCACGTTAAGCTTCACAACATTAGCCGTTCTTATACATCATCCAGATACATACTCATCTACATCTACAGAACATAACCTCCGTCCCCGGATGGCGATGGCTTCGAAGCCACAAGCTGAGTTAGAGTGACTGGACTGGCGATCGCCTTGAGGCACGAGCAGGGAGCAAGTGACACCCGCGTACCCAAGCGGTTCGCATTCTGCTGAGCTCCTTCTCGCATCCGCTCTCGTCATCTAGAGGGACAGATGACCTGAGACCTGAATCCCCAGCACCGGAGCCACGTTCGCATTGGACACAGTCGCGGGACACGGCACGCTGCAGTTGACGAAGATACAGTCATCTCGTCGTTGGACCCGTCGCAGGTACCAACCTCGGATTGTGGGGCAATGGCTGGGCAAAATCCGGTGCGAACCCTACGGCAGCACGCCGGGCTGTGGATATTGACACCCTCTGTCCTGCGGTGCTCGGGGTATGGTCGATGCATAACAGCAGGCTTGGAGACAACATCATAGCAGGACTGCCGCTCAGTTGGGCGCTGGAGGCTGCGAGATGGATGCGGCAGGAGGACGTCTAGCTGCGCTGATGTCTACCGACACCCTCTCACTATCAGACATCTGGCAATGCATCGATCCCGTGAATGATATCTAGTTGACTTTCACACGGACCATGTTTGAGGGTGAAGCGTAACCAGCTGCGATTGTGAACTGCGCTCGAGAGAGCAGTTTGAGAAACATGAGGAGGGTCTAGCTGATCGACGGGTGTGGCGGCAGACGGAGAGGCCATCATCGCTTGATAAAGGGCACTTTCGGCACTACCGCCTCGCTAGAGCACTACCTATGCATCACCTTATGCGGCGCATGCAGAGGCATACCAGAGCTATGAAAGCCCCAGAATAGCTATCTGAGATGCGCATTGCGGGATACTAGTGGAGGACGCCAACATCAACTCAGCAACAAGTCGTTCGTTTAGCTCAGTGGGAGAGCGTTCGCTTCACACGCGAAAGGTCGTGAGTTCGAAACTCACAACGAATAGGAAACGTTCCCTTTTGCCACTCACCACATGTGTTGAGGATTGATGGAAGAGCGGGACCAAAAAGTCGGATCTGGCGATCATCTCCGACCTCCACTTAATGCTTCTCCATTCTTGACTTTCCACCACAATGCTCCGCGCTTTTACTCGCCTGCGGGCGACGCCGCTGCGGGCGGTTGGCGTGCGCACACAGTCAACGCGCGCTAACGTGCTTGACGAGCTGGAGGCGCGGGGCTTTGTGCAGGCCATCACGAGGTGGGTGTTGAGTGATGCCAGTCGTGCATGACATGAGTTGGACGGGAATGTGTTCTTGACGCCGGACGCTTCCGCTCACGCTAGTCCGGACCTCCGCAAGCAGCTCGAGACTCCGACCACGGTGTACGCGGGGATCGACCCCTCTGCGTCGTCGCTGCACGTCGGCAACCTCCTTCCGCTCATGGGCTTATTGCATCTGCGTGCGCGTGGACATCGGCCGCTTGCCCTAGTAAGGCTCCAGCAGGTTCCAGCTAACCCAGATCGGCGGCGCAACCGGGATGATCGGCGACCCCTCCGGCCGCTCGACGGAGCGCAACGCGCTCTCCGAAGCCGACCTCGCCACAAACGTGGCGGGTATCACGGCGCAAGTCCACCGCTTCTTCGAGCGGGGCACGGCGTACGCCTCGAAGCGCGGCTTTTCTCCCGGGGACGGCGATGTGCGCGTCGTGAACAACTACGACTGGTTCCGCGGCGTGGGCTTTCTCGAGTTCCTGCGCGACGTGGGCAAGTTCGCACGCGTGAACACGATGCTCTCGCGCGACTCGGTCAAGAGCCGCCTCGACAGCGACACGGGCATCTCCTTCACCGAGTTCAGCTACCAGCTGCTGCAGGCGCACGACTTCGCGACGCTGTACCGCACACACGACTGCCGGCTGCAGCTCGGCGGGTCGGACCAGTGGGGCAACATCGTCGCGGGCATCGACTTGATCCACCGCGTGCGCGCGCAGGCTGCGGCCGAAGCGGCGGCGGCGGCGGCGGCCCAGGCCGCGCGGGAGAGGCAGGATGCCGAAGCGCAGATGACGCAGAGCGAGCGGCGCGCGGCGGCGCGCGCCGCGAAGGAGGAGGCTAATGTCTCTGCGGCGGCGGCGCGGCGCGCGGCGCGCGAAGCGGCCAAGGCCAGCGCGGGGGCCGCGGCGGAGGCCGTCGAAGCCGCGCGGTCGGAGGCGCCGCCCGCGTACGGCCTCACCATCCCCCTTTTGACCACGGCGTCGGGGGAGAAGTTCGGCAAGTCGGCCGGCAACGCCGTGTGGCTCGACAGCGGGCGCACGAGCATCAACGACTTCTACCAGTTCTTCTACCGCGCCCCGGACGCCGACGTGCGCAAGTATCTCAGCCTGCTGACGCTTGTGCCGCGCGAGCGCATCGACGCCGTCATGGCCGAGCACGAGCGCACGCCGCGCGCGCGCGCGGCGCAGGCACTCCTCGCGGACGAAGTCACCGAGCTCGTGCATGGCCCCGAGGCGGTGCGGAAGGCACACGCCGCCCAGGCTATTTTGTACGCTAAAGAACCCCGGGCGCTCAAGACGGCTGAGGTGCTCGAAGCGCTCGAGGGCGACCCGCGTCTCATCCGCGTCAAGCGCAGCGAGATCCGCGGCGTGCCGGTGTCCAAGCTCGTCGCCATGTACGGCCTTGTCGGGAGCCGCAGTGAGGCCACCCGCCTCATCAAGCCTCGTAACACGGGCATCCACATCAACGAGACCCCCGTCACAGATCCCCGTCAGGAGATTGTGCAAACCAACCTTGTTGACAAGCACCTCGCAGTCGTGCGGCGTGGCACACGCGATATGCTCGTATTCCACGTCTCATACGACAGCGATTGATATGTTTGGGGCTCGGCACATAGCACTGTATCACAAGCACACTTCTCACTATGCATTCATACAGCCCGCTAATAAGTTACAGCAAAAACTATAACAGAGTGCCTATAACGCTTCTCTACGCCATCCAACTGTGCGTCTGCCAATCGAACGCGCCATAGCCCGGGATCGAGTCCTGCCGACGAGGCTGTGGCACGCCTGGTGCTGACCCGTTGCCGAGATTCATCTGCTGCTGCTGCTGCTGACCTGGCGTCGAGTTGGTCGACGCTGTCATCGGCGTTTGCTGCTGGCTAGACTGCTGGCCCTGGTTCTGGCTGCTGCTGCTGCTGCTGTTGTTGTTGTCCCACGAGAAGCTGAACACCCGACTCAAGAAGTCGTCGGGAACCTGCGATGCGCCAGCTGGCCCAAGCTCGCCAGAGTTGTTGTTGGTCTGCGGCGGCGGGAAGTAGGACGCCAGCATCGACTCGACGGCTGGGTCGAGTTGACTACCAGGCTGAAAGTTGGGGTTCGGCAAGCTGCCAAACTGCCCCGCGTTCCCGCTGTTGGGGTCAACATTGAAGTTGAAACCGCCCTGCATCTGGCTCGGCATGCCAAGCTGCCCTTGGAACATTGCCTGCGCTGGTGTCCCCTCGCCCATGCCCTGCTGGGCAACCTGGGGGATGTTGGTCTGCGAGGAGGGCATGGGGTACGCGCCAAACACAGGGCGCTCAGACGTCACGTCCATCTTGCTTGGGCTCGCGTTGTTCAGGTTGTCGGAGGAAGGTGACACGAAGGACGTATTCGAGTTGGCACCGTTGGACACGGGGCTGTCCGTCTCCAGTTGCGCCTGACGAATAAGGCGCTTCACCACACGCTGAAGATTGTGCTCTTCGTCGTCGCCGGTGCCATCGCCATCGTGCGTAGCCTTGCGCTTCTGACCGATGAGAGAGCCGGTTGGGCGCCGCCTCTCTTCAACCTCGCCTGAAAGTCAGTAGCTGCTCACCCACTCAACTCACTCATCAAGAAGTCCATGACCTTGACGGCGGCCCGAGCCGGCACCGAGGACTCAATCTGGCGCATCTGGTTGAGCGCGCCCTTGACCTCCGCAACCTTCTCCTCATACGCCTTGGTCTTCATGTCGCGGCGAGTCGTTTTGAGCAAGTCAATTATAACGACCATGCCCGACACAGTGACGTAGAAGAGGGGGATCCACCACTTCTCAAGGAAGCGCGCAACGCCGCTGTCGTCCGACATCATGCGCAGCGATGCGCGCGCCGCACGGATGCACTGCTCCTTCGAGTACGCGAAGCGCTCGTCCTCGTAGCCGCGCGAAAGCCACGGGCGGTGCAACCGCAGCATGCGAGAGTGGATCGCGAGGCTGAGCGTAATCTTCTCGTAGTGCTCGACCAGCTTTTTCGGGTCAAGTGACACATCCTGAGGGATGGACGCCGAGCCGTCGGGCTGGAAAAAGGCTGGGAGCTCGAGCATGGCTTTGCGCAGCTCGCGATCGACACTGAGGATGAATGAGTACGGCGGGTGATTGTTGTTGTTCGCCTGCCATATCTGGCGCTGGCTGATCTCGGCAAACTTGAGCTTTGCGAGCTGGAACGACATGCGCGTGCGCACATTGAGTGGCTGCGGGCAGAGCGGCTGGCCATCGACGAGGTCCTCGTCCTCGATATTGGCAGGGAGGGCCGTCTTGACTGCACGGGTCAGCTTGTGTACGCGGTGGCGGAGCCAGCAGCGTCACTCACTCTGGTCAGGCTGGATGCTGCTCGCGTAGTTGTAACTCGGGGCGAGCGACCAGTCAAGGAACACAAGCTGCCACCAAATGCGGCGGCCAACTTCACGCTGGATGAGGCTTTCCCAGCGGCCCTTCCACATTGGCAGCGGGCGCCCATCGACACTCTGCTGCTCTGCTCCGAGGCGCGAGATGCCGAGGCCCTGAGCCGTCTTGATGGCAGCACCGAGGAGAGCCCAGGCCGCGTCGGCGCGATCGCGATTGTTCTACTCGTTAGCTGTTCCCTCCAAGGTCGACTCACCATCAGAACAGTCATGAGAATCGTCGCTTGGAGGTTCTCGAGGGTGTGGGTCCCGATAAAGTCGCTGGCCCATTGCGCCGATCGCGCGGCAGCGTACCATATGTCCGAGAGACCTTGCACTTCCTCGGCTGTGAAGTGTTTGCCCGCCTCGGCCGAGTCCATGAAATGGAGGCCAAGCTGCTCATTAGCAACAGTCCACTACCCTGCACTCACGGTGATGACCACGAGGTAAATGGCGAGGAAGGGCATTGAGATCTCATAGACGACGCGTTCTTGAGGCAGGGCCCAGAGGTCGCGGCATTGGCTGAGGAAGGTTGGCACGTGCAGCACACGGTGGAGCCAGTCGACACGGAGAAGGAAGGCGTTGACGAGGAGTTCGCCACGCTCCTTGGAGGGCAGGACGCGGGTGAGAGCGCTGAGGATGACATCGGTTCTCTTGTAGCACATGTCGAAGACATCAATGGGCGCCAAGGTCTCAGAGAGGGCCAGGATGCGTGCGCGGCGCTCCTCCTCATTGCGGACCGGCTGGAGGTCGTACGACGCGGCCGTCGAGCCGAAAGGCTGCAACCCTGCTTCACCTGCGGTGAGACCAGAGCGTGTGAGGTGGTAGCCTTGGCCTGGCCTGCTGATGGTCGACTCCTTGCGACCGCCGAGCACCGGCAACGAATGAGAGCCGTCAACACGCGACCTGCCAAACGCCAAGTGCTCGAGTGTGAGGGCTGCGCCCTCCGTGTCGCTGACATTGTCGTCGTCGTCGTCGAGGCCGGCCGACGCCCTCCCAGAATCTGGGCGATCGACAGCCTGGGTGGTCTGAACCTTCGAGCGGATCTGTGTGAGGAAGCTTTCGAGGTCGGAGGGCACAATCGAGCCCGACTTGACCAGAGCCGCCTCCAGAGCATCGACACGGTGAGCGAGGTTTGCAAGATCTTGTGTTGTGGCATAGTTGGACCTGCATGTCAGCGCGGGTGGTGGAGTTGTCGCTCACGATGCGACGAGCTGTTTCTCGGCCTGAACGTCAGCCTCAATCCCATGAACGGCCTGCAAACACTTACAGTGCCAACCTCATGGCAGCGCGCCTGGTCTTGTCGCAATATGCATGGCCCTGTAAAAGTCAGTCGCCACGAAGAGGCTCCAGTCAACGTCGGACGCACCACACGGGAACCTGTACTGTCAGCACCTTCCCCGCAATCACCGTCTCTCTACACTTGCACTCACTTTTTGTCGCACTTGATCTTTCTGGACTGGTCAGCTGGAAAACTCAAACTCAGGACACGGCGACTAACCGCCTTCGACATTCGGAGCAGCTCTGCACCACCCGGCGTCGGGTAGCGTGCGGCTTCTTCTCCTTCTTGACCTCCTTGGGGCCTGGCGTCTCTTCCGACTCCTCTTCTTCGCCGCTCATGATGACTTGCGATGCGTCGTCTTCGGCCGGGCCTTCAGAGTACGATCTTGCGGAGCGCGACGAGGGCGAATCCCTCAAGTGGAGGAGCTGGGGGAAGGGTGGTAGCTGCGGGACGCCTTTGGGTAGTGGTGGATACCCCTTGGATGCGGGGGGCTGCGACATTAGGACGACCGGGGTGTCGCCTGCTCAGAGGAGACAGTGTCGGGTTCGGGAATGAGAAAGGTAGGACTCTGGATCGCCGAGGTGGGATGCGAGACACGCAAGTCACAGTGAGACGGATGGGTGATGGGTGACAGTTGATGGAAGGTGTACACTGATCTAGGAGAAGAAAGAGAAGGTGCGGATGCAAGATGTCGAGTGATGAGAGTGATGAGTGATGTGCGGAGGATGACGGCGGACGGGGCGGCGAGGGCGAGGGCGTGCGGCCTGGGGAATAGTGGAGGGGCGGCGGAGGAGGAGAAGTGAGGAATTGGAGCCGGGGGGGAATGGGAATGATGGAATCATCACCGTCTCGGGCCTCTTAGCACCTGCCAATCCTTCCTCCTTGCCTCCTACTAGCTCTCATGAATGTCTCACTTCGTCACTTGGCCTCGGACCTTAACGGCCACCTCCGATATCCATCTGACCATGTAACTCCGAGGTGCGAAACTCTTGCAACTCTGCATCGCGTGCCGTATCGCCCTAGCCTCCCAGCGCGCCCAGCGCCCATTCCCACCGATCACAGGGCGCAGAGGCCAGAGGTCAAGTCCGGCGCTCCGGGCTCCCTGTCGCAAACATCAGCCACTGACGCCGGCCTCTCGGACCGTAGTCTCTTAATCCACCTAATGCCCAATAGGCTGGGGCATCGGATGTCGCCGCCATATTAATTTTGCATGCATCATGACTGGTTACGCCGTCTGCGGCTGTGGAACACGTGCTGGCAGGCACTGGCGGGCGTGGCGCTCGCTGCCCGCTTTGAGCGCGTTGATGTTGATAACGCCGCACAACTCACAGCCAATTCGGCGATTGTACAAGCTCGAGCGCGCTTGAGCAGTTGAACTTGACTGCACATATTGCTTGGAATAGGCGAGTTTGGCCGTCACCCGGGCTGGGCGGAAACTCCGACAAACGACGAGCGTCATACTCTTGCTGAGGCTCCAAAGTCCTGTGCCCGAATTTCATACTCTATTGGCCTGCGCCCCTCCACAAGCACGAGTATCTAAGCTTGCGCCCTTTAGAGTTGGCCTGTCGCGCGCTCGACTTATCTTCTGAATGGCGTGCTGAGCCGCAAATCTCTCGACTCGACACGACGCGAGGAGAGGGAAACTCGGGCACGCCACTGCGCCCAATTCCTCTCTCGCAGATGGTCCATGCGGAGCACATAGCGACTAGCGAGTCTTGCCAACATCTGGGATCTGGCGTGTCACGAACGATTATCAGAGCATCTTCGGCAGTGTCCGAAAGTCTGGAACTGGAGGGTCGAAGGGACACGAGTGCTGCTAAAATGCGGAACGGTCTGAATGGAGGATCACGTTGTGTGTTTAAAGATTGATTGGAGATGCGTCGCCCATGCGCGATGCGAACCCATACGCGCCATACGGAGCTGATCACAGAGTGCACCCGGCGTCGTTCTATCGTGGACCACCTGATCAGTACTCCTGAATTGCGGAGGCCGAGGAAAGGTGCACCAAGACGGTCAACTCCAGCCCGCCTCAACCACCTCAATGGAACCAAACAACCCCAGCCTGGTGTGCAAGACTTTGCACGCAGCAACTGCGGGTCCTAGAGACGCTTTGCTTTTCCCGTGAGATAAGCAGTACCTCTGACATCACCACGATCACCACAGAAATCCCCGCCAACATTACCACGTGCATTCATTCGTTTCATACCTTTGCCGTGAGGCCGAGGCGGATAAGCTGCTTGATGCCGGGCGCCCAATGCGCGACTTCGGTGGTCGCGCTCGTCAACAAGTCGGTGTGCATGTGCATGGCGCTGCCCGCGTCACCGCCCTTGATCGCCTGCGTGATTTGGCTGATCCGGTCCACCGTGTGGTCGGGGATGCGGTCATTGTTCAGCTCGTCGTACAGGATGTTGAGGCGGCGTTCCGTGTCCTCGATCACCTTCTTGACGGTGCCAGATGCGTTGGGGTTGACCTGCTTGATGCGCGCAAACTCGGCAGACAGCGCCTCGAACACCTGCTTTTCCTTGTCGCCCATGTGCGAGCGGTCACCGGGGGCTGGGATTAGCTAGAGTATGCAAGATGGAAACGGAAACTCACGGTGCGACGCCTTCACGGGGGAGGGAGGGTTGGGGGGTGTGGGCGTGTGCGATGGTGGACGCGGGCCTGCACGTCCTGGCGGAGGAGGACCGGCACGCACGCCGGATGGAGGCGGACCTGCCATGGGAGGCGGGGAGAACGTGCCGAGCGGCTGTGGCCGCTGCTCCGCGGCACGGTTACCGGGCCCCAAGGGCGAGAGTGCCCGTGGAGGGGGGCCTGCGAGGACAACAGGGGGAGGACCAGCACGGGGCGCACTGCGAGGTGGAGGCGGACCGGCCTTGGGCGGAGGAGCGTACGAGGGCGCGTGCTGCTGGGGCGGCGACATGGGCGCACCAAACTGCTGCTGCTGGGGTGGCGACATTGGTGCACCGAACTGCTGCTGAGGAGGCAGGCCGTACGGCGCCTGGGCGGGGCTCTTCGCAGCCGACGGGGGCCGGGGGCCGCCCTTTGGCGGAGGAGGAAGAACGCCAGGCGGCCCGCCTGGGGGCGCACGCGGCGGCGGGGTCGAGCTCGTGGGTGGGAAGGGGCCTGATGGCGCCTGCTCCGACATCGGGAAGGGCGAGGTAATGGGCTGCGGCTTGGGGGTCGAAGACGCCGAGCCCCGATCACGCTTGGGCGCGGCAAGCGAGGGCGCGTCGTTCCACCCTGGAATGTCGCGACGCTGAGAAGCAGGAACGATGGGCTCCTTGTGCTCGGTGGCGCGAGGAGGGGGGCCCAGTGGAGGTGCAGAAGGCGCGGGCGCGTTGTAGTTCGATCCGCCGTAAGGGTTGTACACCTGCGACTGGTCGTACCCGTTAGAGCCCATGTTCGAGGCCGGTTGGAAGCTGTTTGGACCAGCTCCGTAGGCGGAAGGCTGAGCGTTGAACTGGCTCGAGCCACCGACTCCCGGCGGCGGGGCGTAGGGGTTTGAGGGCGCAGACGTCGTAGCTGGACCGTACGGGCCGGCAGGCTGCGAGGAGGGAGGTGGAGCGTAGGGGCCAGAAGTCGGGGGCGGGGCATAGGGGCCGGTCGGGACAGAAGGCGAGGGACCACGGGCAGGAGCTGAGGCGCCGTACGGTCCGCTGGGCTGGGTGTACGGGGACGATTGGGCAGCGTACGGCGAAGAGGAGGCGTAAGCATTGGGCTGGAAGCCCGGGGCAGAGGGGTAGCGGCTGCTGATTGACGCCGAGGGCTTGTGTCGCGAGCCAGAGCTCGGCCCGGCGGTGGCGGGCTGCCGGCCAAAGGCAGTGGAGGTCGATACCGCGGCGCTGTCAGAGATGCCAGCAGCGGTAAAGACACGGCTGCGGGCCTTGTCGAACTGGTGCCCGTCCGAGCCGCGGTAGTCCTTGGGTGTCATCTTGATGTACTTGGCCGCGACGTCGACGAGGCCCTGCGTCGCAAGCAGGTCCGCGTATTCGTAGAAGCGGTCGTAGAGCCCGGCCAAAGCGTATGACCTTGCCCCGGCCTCCTCGGGTGGGACCTTGGCGGTAACGTCCTTGTCAATGTAGCCAGTTGCGGCTTGGAAAGCAATGACCTTCTCAATGAACGACTGGAGGGCATTGGCGTGGGCCGAGTAACGGGGAGCGTCGATACTGGCCTCCTCCTCCTGCATCTCGTTTATCCAGATGCTAACCACGTGCTCGAGGTTGCGCGCTGCGAGGTAGCAGAGCGTGGCGTCCAGGCGCGCGGCCTTGGCCTCAGCCTTAGCCTCGGGGCTGTCCGAGCCGGTGAGCAGCTGCCACTTGAACTGGAGACGGCGGCCGAGCTGGTCGGCAAGGTTGGCAAAGTCAGCCTCCTTGGCGTATGTGCAGAGGACAACGAAGGCGACCTTCCACTCGGCGAGGTCGGCGTTCTGGACGATGTCCGCGAGGTCCTCGGTGACAATCGACTGGTACACACGGAGGAAGGGGTGAGCCAGCGTGCGACGGGTGAAGTACGCCTTCTGAGTCGACTGGAGGAGCTCGGGGCCACCGCGCACGGCAAGGAGGAGGGCATCCGCGAACCGCTCCGAGGCAAGGCAGAGGTTGACAGCCGAGGAGAAGTCTCCGAGGACAAGGGCCTGCGTGATCAGGCGGTCAGTGTCCGACTCGCCTGCGGGGTAGATGCGGAAGACGTTCTCCTTGATCGACTCTGAGCGCACCGACGAGGGGCCAGACCCAACGGTGGCAGCCACCGAGGAATCAGTGGGCTGGTTGAGGTGTGGGATGATCGAGTCAAGCTGGGGGTTGCGCAGGGAGCTGGTCGCCATTGACGAGAAGAAGTCGGTGTCGCCGCCAACATCGGCTGGGGTCATGGGGCGGTCATCGCCAGCAAAGAGAGCCCTGGAAGACTTGGCCTCGGGCGTGTGGTCACCAGACTCGAGCGGGTCCTTGCTTTCTGACTTTGGGGTTGTGTCGTCCTTGCTCGGCTCAGGCGGCTCCTCGACTATGGTCGGGACAAGCTTCTTGACGAGTTCGTCGACCTGGCGAGCGACGTTCTCCTTCGAGAAGCCGAGGAGGCTGACCAACTCGTCACGCGAGTTGGCCTGGAATAGCGACTGGAGCGCCTTCCACGACGGGTTCTCAGCCTTGGAGGAGGAAAACTCTGAAAGCTTCTCCTTGTTGCCAGCGATCTCGTCAAGGCTCTTGGCGCGGTCGATAATGCTCTCCTCGGTCACGACATGGCGCAGGTGAACAACGCTGCTCTGGTGCTTGCCAGCAGCGGAGGGGAGGTTAGAGACGGAAGCAAGAACGCCGCCGTACCCCCAAGAGGCAGAGCACGGGCGGTACATCCACTTAGGCGCCTTGGTGAGCGACTGAGCGTTGGTCTTATCGTCCGAGGTGCTCGTTGTGCCAAGGTTGGCGAAGATGTCATCAGCCGAGGCATCGGCGGCGAGCTTGTTCTCCTCGGGATCCTTGGGGCCAGTCGACTGGAGCGAGTTGATACCAATGTGGCCGTCAAACGATGCGACCGCAAGCAGGTTCGGGTTGCTGGGGCACCAGGCGGTTTCAAACGACCAGTCGGTGGTGGGAGCGAGTTCTCCGACGATCTCGCCGGACTGCGGGTTCCACAGGATGGTGCGGTTATCCTTGCCACACGAGGCGAGCAGGTCGGCGTCCTGCTTGCACCAAGCGACGGAAAGAACACCCTTGGTGTGGCCCGAGAGGATGCGCTCGGGGGCACGCGTGTTGCGGAGGTCCCACATCATGACGATTGGCGACTCGTCGTCCTCCGACGCAGTAACGAGGCGCGTCGCCTGCTCGGGGTGCCAGCAGAGGTCGCTCATGCCACGGCGCTTGCCGATCTGCGTGCCGGCACGGCCAGAAGTGTGGTCGCCCTTAGCGGCCCCTCCGCCGTACTGGAGGGCAGCGATCTCCTTGCTGTGACGCAGATCCCAGATCGAAGTGAAACCGGACGACGACGAAGCGGCAAAGACGCTCGCGACGCTGGGGTTCCAAGCCAGCGACGTGATCTCGCCGAGCTTGGTCGACACTGGGCCAGGAGGGATCGGGTCACCCAGGCTCTCCAGGTTGTGGATGTAGAGCTATCGTGAGAATGGGTACACCTCCTGACATACCTCAGCATTGACGCCACCCGAGAGGAGGAGGTTCTTCTTGAGCGGGTTCCAGTGCAAGCCGCGAACGGGGCCGGTGTGCTTGTCGTTCTTGTAGATGAGCGCATCGCCGCCCTCGAAGATCTTGACGGGGTCGTAGAGGTTGACCTCGCCCGTCTCGAGACCGGCGGCAATAATGCCGCGCCCGCTAGCGCCCGCCTCCGGCTGCGACCACGCAAGTCTGTTGAAGCTGGTGTGAGCTGGGCAGGGTCTGGCGACTCACCGGCTCGAGACGGTGACGCTGCCCTTTGGGCCCGCGCCTTGTCCGCCGAGGCTGTAGCCCTGGGACTCGGCGCCGTCACGCTCATAGAGCTTGGGCGCCCAGATTTCGAGCTGCGAGTCGTTGGAGAATGACTCGTCGAGAGCGCCCGCGACGGCACCAGTGACGATGAGGGGCTCGGAAGCAGAGGAGGGGTCCCACGCGAACGTCGCCGTGCGCGAGATGTCCTTGAGCTTCATGCTGCCGGACGTGGGGTGTGGGCTGGAAGAGGAGGGGGAGAGGGGAGGGGGAGGGGGAGGGGAGGGAGGGCCGGGAGATGGGTTGTAAAGATGAGAGAGAGATGAGTTCTTCACGCAGCATCTACGTGGTGCCGTCACGTTGAGGGAAGGAGGGCTCGGGGGAAGGAAGGGGCGGCTCACTGACGAGGGAGCTGCGGTGATGTGCTGCATCGCTGGCACCAACTTCTGGCCACGCGTCATCCGCGGGCCTAATGGGGCCTGTCAGGACAACAGAAGTCTTGCACGCCTAACATTCACGTGGCATGCAAGTGCGGGGCATCGTGCCTGGTCAAAAGTTCACGACCACCAGCGACATTCACCCAGCATCCTGTATTTCGAGTGACAACACAATACCATGGTCGACCCCTTCTTCCAGTCGAACAAGAAGCGCAAGCGCCCATCTCGAGGTGGCGGTGGCGGCGGAGACTCGGGCCCGTCCCGCCTCCCCCGCGCCTCGAAGGAGCGGGTGCAGGCTGCTCGGGACGAGGAGCTGTCGTCTGGCGACGAGGGCGGGCTGGAGGCGATCGAAGACATGGACTTCCAGAAGGACCGGGCGCCGCACACGCTCGACGACGCGGACTTTGTCGATGCCAACGAGACGGCGGCGGAGAAGCGTGTGCGCCTCGCGCGGGGATACCTCGAAAAGGTCCGGGCGGAGGTGGCGGCGCAGCGCGAGACGGGGGACTACGACGCCGAAGAGATCGACAGGGAGCTGATCGCCAGCCGGTTGCGGCAGGAGGTGGTGAGTTGTTGGGGAGGAGACGCGCTGACAACAGGACGAGGCGGAGGGGCGCATTCACCGTTTCTACTCTGCTGCGGAGGCGAGCAGCACGCGCTTCAAGAGCACGCAGCACCCGCCGACGGGGATCGCGATGACTGCCGCCGGGCCGATGTATGCTTCGATGAAAAACGGCGCCGTTCTCCGCTTTGACCGGGATACGCTCGCGCATTCGGCGCTCCGCGCCGAGGGCGGGGGGCACAAGGGCGCGGTGCTGTGCGTCGCGGCGAGCGAGGACGGGAAGTGGGTAGTTTCCGGCGGGACAGACAAGGTCGTGGGCGTGTGGGATGTGTCTGGCGACGAGCCACGATGGGCCGCCGGCATGCGGGGCCACAAGGACGCGGTCAGCGTGAGTACACTCTCGGCGTATCTGACGGCAGTCGGTCGTGATTCCGCCCCTCTCCAATCCCTCCGCACACGTCCTCTCCGCCTCGCTCGGCCGGCACCTCACCCTCCACTCCCTTTCGACGCTGAGTGCGCTCGACACGTTCTTCGGACACCAGGACTCGATCACCTCCGTGTCGGCGCTTAAGCCGACCGTGTGCGTGACTGCCGGCTCGCGCGACCGCACCTGCCGTTGGTGGAAGGTCGAGGAGGAGGTGCAGCTCGTGCTCCGCAGCGGCGGGAAGACGCGTTCCGACGGCCGCGAGTACTTTGAGGGCAGCGTGGACGTCGTCTGCGCGCTTGATGACTCTCACTTTGTCTCAGGCGGCGATAGTGGCACGCTGGCGTTCTGGAGCACGGGCAAGAAGAAGCCGCAGTTCACGCACCACCTCGCACACGGCGTCGACGTTGAGGGACGCAACATGTTCCCGTCTACTGTCCCCCCGACTCCACGCTGGATTACGGCACTCGCGGCGATTCGCGGGACCAACATCGTTGTGAGCGGCTCGTGGGACGGGCGGATACGCTTCTGGGCCATCGACGACAACTTGCGCACGTTCAAGCCGGCGGGTGAGGTCGCGGTCGACGGCTTCGTCAATGATCTCCAGATCCTCTCCTTGGAGGACGGTGTGGTTCTCGCCGCCGCTATTGGAAAGGAGCCGCGCCTCGGGCGGTGGCTGACTTTGGACGGGGCGAAGAATGGCGTGTTTGTCGCCAAGATCGACCTCAAGGAGGCTGAGGAGGTGGCTGACGAATAGACCGACGATAGCGCAGTTGTGTAGTTATCCATGCATATTTGGCCATTCTACGTCTGTCGACGAAGCTGCCACGGGGCTTCCGCCACGCATCATCCACATTGGCTCGAGCTTCTCGTCCTATATGCTAGCCAGACGTACATGCAGTGCTGTAATTATATGCTGAGCCGCGGTGATGAATGACCGGGGCAGATCATGGTCAAGAAGAGGAAGACCGCCACACGTGGCAAGAGGTCGGGGCACTAGCAAATCACACACAGACCTCTGGTGATGTTGATGCGTAGTGTGCACGGATGCGCGGACCCCCGAGAACAGAGACGGCGACGCCTTCCCGTCCGTCTGCGTGGCGACATGTCGGGGAGGCATGATGTGCGCTCATCGCTTATGCCCAGCCGCGACAACAGTGTTTCTCGTGCTGCTGTTAGCTCAACTCGAATGCCCAGCCTTCAGCTCGCACAACATGCCATCGGCTCAGCCCCACCACCCCCTCGGCGCCTCGCCATCCCTACGCCCCGCTCGGGTCGCAGGCCAGCGGCTCAGCATGCCAACAACAAGCCACTGCGCCCCGCGCTCCGCACGGACCGTTGCTCCATCGGCCATCGGCGTGACTTTAAACATGGCACCACTTGCTCGGCTGCGTCCCCTGACGCTCGGACTACCGCTTCCACGCCTTCTTCCACTTCGCCTCTCTTCGCTCTGAATCTTCGACAAGCCAAAGCTGATTGCCTTCCTTGTGTGCACAACGGGCCCTCAGAGCACGCAGAGCGACTCACAGATTGTCAATGTATGTTCCCAAAAAGTCGTTGTCCTTCTTGAGCTTGTCGGTCTCGCCCTCGACCTCGGTAATGCGGACGAGGAGGCCGCGGAGCCCGTCGCGAAGGGAGATGATTTCTTTGAGCGCCTTCTCTTTGGCGAGGGCGGACTGCACGGTGGGTTCAGAGGAGGGGGCGACTGTTGGCGGGGCACCCCAGGCGCCTGCAAGCTCGCGGTCGTAGTCGTTCATTAATTGAGTCGATGAAGGTAGGTCAATGGATGATGATCGGACGAGATGAACGCGAGCAGTGAGTGATGTCGAGTGGAGTAGATGTGGAGGTTATATCGGGGGCTTATGTCGGAGGTTGAGCATTAATGGCACACTGCCTAATGTCCATTAGAGTCATCTGATTAGAGTGTGCTATGGTGGTGGTCACTTGCTGTGCCCTCATCTCTCGTAATTTCTAGCTCCCTCTCCTTTTTCTGGCGCGTCTCGACGCCTCGATGTACGTATAGCGCGCTCTTCCACCTCTCACAGTGAAATACGCATTCCCTCCTCCTCCCCCAGGTGCTCTTTGGCCCAACGCCACTCGAGTCCTCCCTTGTTGCGTTGTCCCCTCACAAATCTCGAGCCGCCACAGCCGCCACAGCCGCGACCAGAACTGCAGAGAGAGTCGACGGGATCGCCGCCACCCGCAGTGGCAATCTTTGGTGGTCGGGTGGGACCTGAAGCGTCCGATTCCAGGCAAGTCGTACCCTTTGCCTCGCCCTTGCCCCTGAGCTCTCGACGGGGAAAGCACTGCGCGTGCTCCCTCCCGACATTGTGCATCTGCGTCCCTCTCCTCTCCGCTCGACCCCCACTAGCTCTCCTCTACATTACCTCCTAGCTGTCCTAGGTCCATCCGATACGCATAGAGATACGGCATTCCCAAGGCTTGACTGCTTAGAGCTAAAGCAGCTGGCCATAGCCATCTGAAAAGCAGGAGAGAGAACTGGAGACTGGTCGATGGCGGAAATCAGGACACGGAGTAGGACCAGGACGCGGGGTTGATGTCTCACCTGCATCTTTCGAGACACGCTACACGACACACCCTCCACCCCGCTTGATCACTCTCCTGTCATTCTTCCAACTACTCCTCCTCATTTATTATACATATCCTCACTCTCTCTCTCTCCACATCTCTCTTCGCGACGCTCTCCCTCTCTACTTTTATCGCAGCGTCCACCTAATCTCAGATCTCCCTCCTCGACACACTGGCGTCCCCCCCCCCCTCTCCTCCGATCTCACTGCCCTTGGAATTACCCGCGCTCCTACAGTACCTCCTCTTCCTCCCCCTCCTCAGCGCTATCACCGTCTCTTTCCATCAGTCCTCTTTCATCACCTTTGCACCACCACAACAAGGCGCGGCGCGTAGCGCTCGCACGCCGCAATGTCCAACTTCTTCACCGCGACATTATCCGGCAAGGGCTCGCGCGGCGACAAGGGCAAGTCGCGAGGGAGCACGCGCACCTCCGGCTCGTCCACTGCCTCGCACGCCACCTCGCCGACCGACCTCTCCCAGTCAAAGCCCTATGACCAGCATCCCTCACGCGCGATGCCTAGCTCTGGCCCTCATGGCCCACATGCTGTCGACGTGAGCATTACCCCAGCACCCCAACATGACAACGCTTCCACCTCGAGCCTCGACATTAGCCGCGAGTTTGGCGCGCACTCGCCCAGCCGTCTCCACGCCGCGAGTCTCAAGCACCAAGCGTCCAACGCGTCTTTGTCCCCGCGCAAGGCTTCGGACAACATGTCAATCCGCTCCGTGTCGTCAACCATGAGCACCAGCACCTTGCAGCGCCCCAACGACGAGCTGGGGAGATACCCCTCAATCAATCGCATTACGCAGCCCCAGCCCGAGCGCTTGCCCAACGGCAGTCGCGCCATCCCAACAGGCAACTCCACACCGCTGTCCGGACCGCCCTCGGCATACATCCAAGGGTATACAACAGCCCACAGCACACCTCCCCCGCTACCTGCGTCGTACACCCCTCCCCCACCTCAGCACGCATCCTCCAGTACTCCACCACCTTACGCCTCGTCGTCGCAGGGGCCCTCCACTCACCCTCCTGCCTCTTACTCGACTTCGTCCTCGTTGGCTTACGCCGCGGCCTCAAACTCGCGTGCTGCTTCTCAATCGCAACCCCGCACAACGACCTCTCCCGCCCCCTCAACATATGCACCATCCACTTACGCTTCCTCGACCTACACACGTTCCATTTACACACCTTCCATCGCCTCCCACTCTACAACCAAGCTGACAGACGAGTTCAGCTTCCCTCGGCCGTCAGACGAGGAAGTGGAGCAGCGATTCTTGGAGCTCGTCCGCAACCGTGACCTCGACCACGATCTCATGGGCTCGCCAGCGCCGTCGCTGTCGTCAAGGACGGCCAAGTCTCGAGGCGCACAGCGAACGTCTACTCAGACGATCTCGGCGGGCGCTCGTGCGACTTCAACATTGTCAATCAGCACCAAGTGGCAAATGGTCGAGGCGGAAGCGCGCCAGCAGTGGGAGAGGAGAAAGAAGCAGCAAAAGCAGCTGCAGGTGGAAGGCTTTAAGACTGGGCGAGGGAAGAAGCCAGTGGAGGCGACCATATCCCGAGACAGCCCCGAGTGGTTCATCCGCAAGGTCCTCGACAACCAGCTCACTCACCAGGATTTGGTGACACTCGGCGTCAGCCTGCGCACCTTCCCGCTCAAGTGAGTGTCTATCTGTGGGGCTCGTATTGACAATATAGTTGGATCCAGGAGTTCATGGACTTGAAGGGCCTCGTCGTCATGTCCAACTACCTCAATACATTGACACATCGACGAAGCAAAGCTGGGCCTGATGTGGACATGGAACTCGAGCTGCTCAAGTGCCTGCGAACGGCTATGAACAACAAGGTGGGTTCACCGGCTTGTTCCGCTCGCTGACCCTCTAGTTCGGCCAAGATGAAGCCATCAACAAACCCCAGGTCATCTACGCCATCGGGCAATCCCTTGTATCTGCTCATCCGTCGTGTCGCAAGGTCGCAGGAGAGATCCTCGTTGACTTTGCCTACCTCGACATTGGCAGCAGCGACCGCGTCGGCTTGTCAATTGTGCTGCGAGCCTTTGAGCAGCTACAGGCGCAGTACAATCAGCAAGTGGGCGTGTCGAAGAAGTTGTCCAAGTTCGAGCGGTTCATACGCCTGAATGAGGAGTTCGCCCTCAGTAGGGGCCGCATGGGCAGCACAGTTGGACAAGGTCCGCTTGTCAAGGGCATGGACAACCAGCAACTTGTCGAGTACTTTGTACGTGTACCAGCTTGCTCTCGTGCTGACACCACAGGAAATCATCGTATTCCTGATCTCGGGACTCGTGTCCGCATCCGACCTCCGCACGCGGATGTCTATCCGCAGTCAGCTCGACGTCGCCAATGTAGGGGCTCTACTCGAGACGATCAAGGACTGGCGGGAGCCGAGGCTTCTGAAGCACATCGAGCAATTCTACGACGAGGAGGAGGCCGACCGGAAAGAGTTCCTCGAAGAACAAGCTGTGGCGCAGGTTGAGACGATGAAGAACCCAGAGGAGATGGTGCGCGCCCTTTTGGAGAAGACCAAGGGTTCCAAAGCGAGCGCGTACCTGCTCAACACCTTCCGTCACATGCTCCTCATTAAGGAGGAGGGCGATGAGCGTACCCGCTTTTTCCAGCTCATTGACCAGCTCATCCAGAGCATAGTCATGCACGACTCACCCGATCTTAATCAGGACTTCTCGCGCGCCTTTGGCATCTCGGTCTCGCAGCTCATGGGCAAATTTGTGGACCAGCAGCAGCTCGAAAGAGTCGAGGCTGAGAACAAGCAGCTCAAGTCTGACTTGGCCGGGCTCAAACGCGAGAAGCAGGACCTCCTGGATGAGATGGCCGAGGGCAACCAGAGTCTCGTTGACCGTCTGAGGAAACAGATTGCCGATCTCCAGAAGAAGCTCAGCAGCGCACGTGCTGCTTGGGAGAGCTCTGAGGACACAAGGAAACGCGAGAAGGCCGACTACGAAACGCGCATCGCCGAGTTGGAGCTCTACATCCAGGAACTGTTCAACATGCTTCGCGAGACCAACCACCTTGACCAAGTACAGGCGATGACCGACGGCCCCATCGACCGTCATAAGCTCATCCACGACCTGCGCGAGCAATGGGAGCGCAAGAAGACCATCCGCAAGCTCGAGGGCGGTGGCAGCCGCAAAAGGCCGACACGGTCCAACACCATGACGACTATTGGCACTGTCGAGACCGAGAGCTCCTTTGGCGACGACATAGGCGAAGACTACGAGGACGGCGAGGTGTTCCAAGCCCATGAGGAACGCTTCCAGACCTCAGACCCGCGCTTCTTCGAGAACCGGAGGCGGTCGTCTCACGGCAAGTCGTTGTCCAACCAGACCGCAATGTCTGGCACGCAGTTCATGGACGCTGAGGAGGAGCGTGTGCGCTCGCACATCGAGGACTCGTTGGTCCGTGGTGTGGACCGGGTGGCTCCCATGCGTCTCTCGAGCGCCGGTTTCCGGAGCACGCGCGGCGACGGCCACCGTCGGGGTGGGGCACCAAATGCTCCTCCTGTCCGGGAGAAGTCTATACTAAGAACCAACTCGAAGAAGGCCTCAATTCCGCCTCGCTTCCTCGAGGAGATACGGTACGGCGCGCTGCAAGGTCAGCAGCGCAGCGTGTCGGCTCCATTGAGTGGCCGCGCGTCCATGTCCAATGTCGTCAACTTGGACGAGGACGCGCCCGACTTCTTGCTCGCGCTGCAGGCCGACCCAATGCTCTCCAAGGTGTACCGCGCAGACCCAGCCGTCGCTGCTGCCCTCCGCCAGGACCCCGCCGTTGTCGCTGCTCTTCGTGTGGACCCTGCCGTTGCCGCGTCGCTCGCCGAAACAGGCTCTGGGTCCTTCACTCTGGACGACCCGGTGCCATCACCACGAGACTCCAAAATGTCCAACACCGTCCGGCCCAACCCCGAGCTTGCCGCCGCGCTGCGGGGAGAGGGTGACTCGAGCCTTGCTCGCGCCGTGCGGGCCGATCCCACAGTCTCTGCTGCAGTGCGGGCCGAATCAGCCATCTCTGCAGCCGTTCGCGCCGACCCCGAGTTGGCTGCCGCTTTACGTGGGGAGGGCACGTCGCCGCTCGCTGAAGCTGTTCGTCGCGACCCGAGCGTCGCAACTCCAGTGCACGTCGACGCGAAGGCGCTACGTGGCGAGGGCGAGTCTCCACTCGCCCGCGCCGTCCGCGCAGACCCGGCGCTGGGTGCTGCCCTGCGCGGCAAGGGCGACTCGCCGCTTGCTCAGGCCGTACGCATTCCGTTCACGACGCGTGCCGCCCCGCAGAACATCGAGCTGGCGACGGCCTTGCGCGGGGAGGGCAATTCTGCTCTTGCCCAGGCTGTGAGGGCCGATCCGGCAGTGTCCGCCGCTGTCCGCGCCGATCCCGCCGTCGCTGCTGCCGTCCAGACCGACCCCGAGCTCCAGGCTGCCCTGCGCGGAAAGGGCGACTCTCCTCTTGCTCAAGCTGTCCGCGCCAACCCCGATATTGCAACGGCTGCTCCAGCAGACCAAGAGCTGGTTGCCGGGCTGCGTGGGAAGGGCGACACCCCCCTCGCAAAGGCTGTCCGAGTGTCAGCCACGCCTACCGTGGCTTCGACCGTGGCATCCACTGCTGAATCCAGCACCTCATCGGCGGACCAGTCGACTGCCGCCTCATCCACAACGTCGGTCTCTGTCCACGATCACTCAGCGCTCCTCAGCGAAAGCGACTCTTCTCTGGCAAGGGCGGTGCGCTCATTCCCCGGTCTGGGGTCAGAGCTGCAGGGCAAGGGCGACACGCCCTTGGCTCAAGCAATTCGCGCCGAGCCCACACCTGTCCGCTCCTCCTCCATCAGCATTGCTATTCGCCGTCCCGACCCCGGCGCGCTCCGTGGTGAGGGCGACTCCCCGCTGGCGCGCGCTGTCCGCGCCGACCCGGAGATGGCAAGGGCTCTGCGAGGCGAAGGCCAGTCGATTCTCGCCCAGGCCGTACGCGCTGAGCCCATCGTACTGGCAGCTGCTCGCAGCGACCCGGAGATGGCAGCGGCTCTGCGCGGGGAAGGCGCGACCATACTCGCTCAGGCCGTCCGGGCCGATCCGTCCACGTTCTCCGCGGTCCGCGCCCAAGCAGACTCACTCGCAGCCCGTCGCAAGGCGTCCATCTCGCGTGGCGGGCTCAACTTTGCGACTGGAGGGTTCAGCGTCCCAGCGTCGGGTGAGGTGCTGGACGAGTTGGACGAGTCTCCACGGTCGCCTTTATCTCCAAGAACGACCTTCTCGGGCGGTCTTGCGCCTTTGCCTACCATCGCCCGTGCTGGCACTTCGCCATCTCACGAGTCCTTCGCGTCCCAGGTCCTCACTCGCGCGCGAAGCGTGCGGGGTGGATCCAGCGAGCCCGACGACTACATGCCCAACACTCTGCCGCCGATGCCAACAGTCGACGAGTCCGACGAGCACCGCGCGGTTGCCGCACATGCGGCCGAGCAAGCACGCCTGGAAGCAGAGTCATCAGGCGATGATGCGGGCCAGGCTACAGTTAAGGTCACCGGCTTCACGCCTGCAGGAGCCACTCCCCCTCCTCCACCTCCACCACCACCACCTCCTCCCCCGCCTCCGCCCCCACCACCTCCACCCCCGCCTCCTCCTCCCCCGCCTGCTCGTGGGCCACCCTTGCTTGCCGAGCTGGCTGCCAGACTGCCAGACCCCAGCAGCAACGCGCCACCAGCGCCACCACCACCGCCGCCACCACCTCCTCCCGGTGGAATGCCAGGGCGGCCAGCTGGCCCACCTGGTATGGCTGGTTTGCTGGCCGGTATCCGTGGAGGCGTCAACCTCGCCAAGACTGGCGGCACGCCAAAGAAGGTCTCGGCCCCTCCACCGCCACCTCCTCCCGGCTCTATGGGCACGATCTCTCGCGCACCCGGTGCTCCTCTCAACGCGCTGTTCCACGGCGTTAACGACTCGCGCAAGCATGTGCCAAACATGGCGTCTGGAAGGATGAAGCAGCTGCAATGGGACAAGGTTGCAAAGGGCCAGCTCGGCAACACGGTCTGGGCCGCTCCTGAGCAGCTCTCCGCCGAAGAGGAGCTCGTGCAACGCATGAAGGCCGCCAACCTCTGGTCCGATATCGAGAACGAGTTCAAGGCCAAGGAAATCCTCTACGATGCGGTGAAGAAGAAGAAGGAGACTGAGTTGCTCAGTGTCCTGTCACCCGACCTGCGCAAGCGTATCGAGATTCTCATGGCCGGCAGCAGCGCGAAGAACTTCAAGGAACCCGAGAGGCTCAGCGAGGCCATTGCCAACTTCAACAGCGAGTTGTGCTCCGAGACGTTCCTGCACGAACTGCAGGGCGTGCTTCCTAATGATGACGAGGTTTGTTATAATTGTTTTCCACTGGCTGACTTCAGCGCGGCAAGCTTCTTACGCACTCTGCCGACTCGCCGGCCGAGCTCGAGCGCCTGCACCCGGCCGACCGGCTCATGGTCCGCCTCATCCAGGTGCCTCATTTGGCTGACCGCGTCAAGGGCATGCTCTTCCTCGTCAGATTCCAGGGCAACATTGACCTCCTGCAGCAGAGTCTCGACCTCCTGGTTGTCGCGTGTCACGACCTCCGCAACGCCACGCTGTTCCACCAGCTGCTGAACGTCATCCTCACGATGGGCAACTACCTCAACGGCACCAACTTTGCGGGTGGCGCGTACGGTTTCAAGATTGGCTCCATTAACAAGCTTGTGGACACCAAATCGACGAATGGGCAGAACTTGTTGCACTTCCTTGAGCGCACGGTATCGACGCACTTCCCTGAGCTCAATGGCTTCCTCGACGAGCTGGCCAAGCCATCCGAGGCGAACCGCGTCAACTTTTCCGACATGCAGGCGCAGTCCAAGTCCATGCTTGCGGAGATCCGCGCGATCCGGGCCTCTCTTGAGGACAACTTCCAGGACTCGACGGACGGCTACGCACGCAAGATGTTCCGCTTCTCGGCAAGTGCCGAGGAGGACCTTCAGAGCCTGCGCGATGACATTGTCAATGCCGAGAAGGGCCTGCGCGACGTGGAGAACTACTACGGCGAAGGCGATGAGCACGGGCGCCCGATGCAGAGCCAGGACTTCTTTGGCATCTTCCGGACGTTCACGTCGTCCTACAAGTTCTGTCGGCAGCAAAACCGTGCCCGGGCGGAGGAGATTGCGTTGCGAGAGCGCCGAGCGGCAGCCCGCGCTGCGCTTACGCCTCAACCCACCGGCGCGTCGTCGAATGAGACGAACCTCATGGACACGCGCCTCCAGCGTCTCAAGCTGGAGGGCACGCCGCGCATCCGGCGTGAGCGGCGGCAACCTGCGCCGCCTCCATCTCCGCTCCCTGCCAACGTGGACTTTAGCCAGTTCATGCTGCCAAACAGCCAGGATGACAACGTCGACTTTGGCTCGCTGGCCCAGCAGATGATTACCAACTTGTCCACTACCGGTATCGAAGACCTCGGTACAAGAGAGCCTGTTGTGAGGCGCTCGCCCGCCTCCCCGACGCCAATGACGGCGCGCGGTTCCAATGGCTCAATGCTGGGCAAGTTGCCCGAGGAGGAAGAAGAGGAGCCCCGATCAAGGCCTACGAGCGAGCAGCTCATCATTGACTTGAGCACGCCGCTCAAGCGTGCGAGCATAAGCTCCCACCGCTCAAGCCAGCGATTGAGCGTGCATACACAAGCTAGTGAGCGCAGTGAACGAGATGGAGAGCGCGACAGCGAGCGAAGCGACCACATGTCCATCTCCTCCAACAGCGGCCGGGCGAGCCGAGTGGAGATTGAGCTCGCGAGCGACGAGTCCAACGACGAGGCATTTGCGACACCAGAGAACAAGCCGTCGTCCATCTTTGAGACGCTTGCAGACGACGATGAGGCGGGCGACGAGACAATACTCGCCGAGCGGCCTCCTTCCCTTACCTAGATCATGTGATTGTACTTAGTACCCAGCATCTTGTCCACCCTAGTAATGAACTTTTGGGATGCATGGGATCGGTGATTCAGTAAGTGTGCGCGCGATGCGGCTTCCAGTGCTCATGGAGAGGACATGTCGGCGGTCAATCGGCGACCTCCACCGACCTCCACCTCGATGCTTCAATCCAATGTTGACGCGTCAATCTCTCGCCTCACCACCCATCCGCCATGTCCTTCTATTTGGCAATAGTCTCGCCGCTCGACACCCCGCTCTTCGAACTAACCTTCAACAGCAGCAAGCCCGCTGCCCCCAGCAGCGCGACGTCGGCGAGCTTCAGTTGGTCAAGCTTCAACGGCACAGAGGCGACGCCAACGCCGTCGGGGCTCAACCTCGGCCTCGTCACGGGTCCCGGCGGCGAGCGGCATCTCCTCCAGATGATCGCGCATGCGGCGCTCGACACGGTCGAAGAGGTGGCGGAAGGGACGGGGAGTTTGTGAGTTGCGCGCAGCGCTCGCCACACGCTACATCTGGTCACTCCTGCCGGCGGGCGGCGGTGTGCGGAAGCCAGCTCACCCCAGATACCTCAAGAACGTGGACAAGCATAATGAGTGGATGGTGTCTGCGTTTTTGGCGACGAATGGTGCGTCCGAAGGAGGACGCGCTGATCTCAGTCAAGCTTGTGTTGTTGCACGACACGAAGAACGACGATGGGATCCGGCTGTTCTTCGGAGACGTGTGGGAGACTTATGTCAAGGTGCGTGGGCGTTGCGAGGCGAGGAGGAAGGGGAGAGTGGGAGACATGTGCGCGGCGCAAAAGTCGGTTGAGGGGGCGGTCCTCGGCCTGCACAGGCATCGCGGCGCCGTTGAGGTGTGGGATTAGCCGTGCCCGCTCCCCAGAGAACACGATCTGACGCGGACCGCAACTGCTCCTCTTAACCTTTCTGATCTCACGCACTCGTGCTCCAGGCTACCGCTGTATACCGCGCTAATCCCAGGCCGCCCTCAACCCCTTCCACACCGTCAACACACCGATCCGCAACCCCCTCTTCGAAGCCAAGGTGCGCGCCTCGGCACGAAAATACCTCTAGACGTCTACTTGATGATAATGCATGTTCTTCTATTTTTACGCAAACTCCTCAGCCTTGCCCGAGACAAGCAGGCCGACGATGAGGCCGAAGAGACCGAGGACGGAGCCGAAGATCTCGATGACGAGGATCTTGACGAAGAGCTGGGCATCGGTGGCATCCGCGATAGCGGCTGTGGAGCCTGTGATGCCCACTGAGACGCCGCAGAACAGGTTGCACAGGCCGACAATGAGGCCGCCCCAGAACAAGGAGAAGCCCGTGTAGTAGTTGCTCGACGTGTGGATGTCCTTGATGTCGCTGTTGAGGCGGGAGGAGAAGACGATGGCCATGATGACGCCCTGGGGTTAGTGCTGAGCGTGGGCACCTCTCATTTCGAGGCAGGCGGCTTCCCAAGCTTCCCAATACTCACGTAGATGGCGACGACCTCGCAGAAGATAATGCTGGACGAACATGCGCGCGGAGGAGAGTGCGTAGGAGTAGAGCCAAGATCACAAGGTGCCGGGCGCGCGGTGGTAAGCTCAGACTCCACGACCACACCTCTAGATGCTCACGAGATGAGGTTCTTCGTCCTAATGCGAGGTGCACGCACACCACCGCCAAGAATACTCGCGCCAGTAATGTAAATACCCCTGCGGTTAGCAACAGGTCCAACCTCCAGCCGGTTGGCTACGCACCATCCAGCACCAAACACGCTGAGGCCGATACACAGTCCGATGCCTGTGGCTGCCCAAGCGAGAGGGCTCGACTCGGCGAGGAACTGCCCGGGGTTGAAGCGCTCACCCTGGCCTTCGGGTTAGCTGGCGATGCACATGTGAGAGCGTGAGGGTGGGGGAGCTGGCGGCGGACACGCACCTGTGAGGAGGAGGTACAGGCCGTACGTGGTGGCCACGGTCAGGAGCAACCCCGAGAGGTAGGAGTAGGTGTAGCCCATGCTGGTGCTGGACTGGAGACGGAGCCGGAGATGGAGAGGAATGGGGCAATGGGGACGAGGCGAAGCCGGTCGCGGTGTGACGGTGACGGTGGTGACGGCGACCACCAGGTTAGGCGCGGGAGTATTTCCACCGTCATCGCCACCCATTCCGTAGGCGTGCCGCACCCCACCACCGCTCGCAGCTCGTCCCCTGATGCTGCCTGGCTGCTGGCGCTCCATCACTCGTCTCCAGTCCGCAACAACAACCGCTCCATCACCCATCACCCATTCTCCAGATACAAAGCATACACATCCCTCTGGCACCCGGCTTCGACCTCACCTCCCGAATCCCTCCTCTCGATGCCGCCCGCAGACAGTATCGCCTCCGACAATGAGGCAACCGATCGGCTCACGCACCGCGGTATGGTCGCAGCCCAGGCAACGCTAACCCCAGAACCCGTGTCGCTGAAGCGCGGGCGCGAGGGATCCGTGGTGCGTATTCCGCTCGTTCTCTCCCTTCTCCGCCGCTCGGCCGGCCTTCCCGCATCCCTCCTCCCCCCACCTCATCGCCACCGTGCGCCGCCACAAAGCTGAAACTAATGTGCAGGACCACACCGCAAGCGAAGCAGCCAGCGCCGCATACATCGCCGCGAAGAAGAACAGGCTCGAGGAGACGCCCGAGACGCAGGAGACGCAGTCCGAAATAGACGAGGAGAAAGCGCCGAGCAAGGAGGGACGCACGGTTGGCGAGGTGCGCCGCAAGGTTCAGGAAATGACATGGAAAGAGGGCGAGCGCGTCGAGCGTGCCGCGTCAGACACCGATAAGGACGAGGATAAGATTATCTCGACTCCGGCCGAGGGTGAGGGTGAGGAGAAGCGAAGCGAGGAGGGAGACTGGGTCAAGGTCGACAAGGCCGAGGCCTCTGGGGATGAGGCTGAGGCCGAGGCCACCGGAACCAGTGGGACGCCGGAGACGACTTCGGAGGATGCGCCCTCGCTCAAGCGCAAGGCTGACGAGCCCACCGAGGAGACTGAGGAGAAGAAGCGCAAATCCACATCTGTGAGTTTGTGAGGTCCAAAGTACATGCTGATTGCAGCCAACCCCAACCCATTCGCCGCCCAAATCTGCCGAGACCGCTGCGGCCGCCGAGCCCAAGAAGCCACAGGCGACTTTCGGCTCGTTCTCTGCCAAGCCGAGCCCGTTCGCAGCGATGGCTGGGACATCTGCGTTTGGGACTGCCGCGAAGAAGACCGAACCGAACGCGCTTGACAAGAAGCCGGCGGCATTCGCCAGCTCGGGATTTGGCAGCTACTCGTCAGCGTTCTCACCGTTCGCGGCCAAGAAGAGCGAGGCCAAGGCAGAGAGTTCGTCGTTTGGCGACATTCTCAAGGAGAAGGGAGCCGACGATGCAGCCGAAGAGAAGAAGCCACAGCTGGATCGACAGGACGGTGGGTTTCAGGGCAGGTCACGCTGACTCCAGTGCCTACGGGAGAGGAGGAGGAGGAGACGATGTACCAGACACGCGCGAAGCTGTTTATGATGGAGGGTGAGGGGGCGTGGAAGGAGCGCGGCGTTGGCCTGCTCAAGCTCAACCGGCGGCGAGATGACAGGAGTTGTGCGCGCCTCGTCATGCGCGCGGACGGTGTACTTCGCGTCATCCTCAACACGGCGTTGTACGTCGGCATGTCGTGCTTAGAGGACGGCAAGCATGTCCGCATGACGATCTTTGAGGCGGGCGAGCGCCGCTTTGTGACTATTAGAGTGAGTCAACGCCGTGGCTGCAGTGCTCGTGGCAGCGGTGTGCATGTGGCGCTGTTGTGTGCAATTCCAGATATAACTGACCTCAGACCGCATCTCCGAAGGTCGCTACCGAGCTGGCCTCAGCCATTCACGAGCACACGCCGCTGCAGTCCAAGAAGAGCAAGTCGCCTTCGGAGCCAGCCGAAAGCGCCGTCTGAGTGCGCGTCCAGAGTGTGCATGGTGTCGGGTTTCGGCGAGCTGCCAGGCTGTAATATGCATTGTGTACGTCGCTCAAATGGAGGTGTTTGGTGTGTGACATGTTTGGTCACCGCCTTCGCAATCACCGACCACGGGGCGTGTAGTGCCATCGAGCATGTGAACACACGCCTGGACCGGTGCGCGGGCATGGCGGGCAGGCCGTGCGTGGCCGAAACGCCTCGACGCCTCGGTACTCGCCTTGTCCGTGTCGCCTTTGTACACCTCGTTCCACTGCATCTTGAAACGGGCACGGGCCTCCGACGCGCGCCACCGAGGACGACGGACACGTTCGCACAAGTGAGGTGTGGCCAGCTGGGTGCTGAGGCTGCGACTGACTGCCAGCTTCATCTCTAGCACATGGGCGGTATGAGCAGCGCGTTGGGCTGGAGGCATACTCTAGCAGCATGTTGGTACACATCGACTGATCACTCAAGGGATCAGGCGTGACCTAGGAGGACGCGGCATGCGTGTGTTGATGGCGTAGCTGCCAGCGAGCTGCTCACGCTCCATTATCAATAGCTTGCCAGACCGCTCGCGAGCCCGATAGCTCGACATCTCGTTTTTATAACACCGTTCCGCCAAGCCATGACGACCGCCATCGGACCCAAATGCCCTGACGTCCGCGCGCCTCCCACCTCCTCACCCCACGCCCACCCACTCCCATCTGTGCTCGGTGGGGCCGTCCACCTCGCAGCTCACCACTCGACTCGCCGCCGCCATCGTATCCACCTCCCGCCTCTACTCCGCCGAATTCCACTCCGCCAGGGGTCACACGTGACCCAATTGAGCCCTGAGAGGCCACATATGCGGCGTTATAGAAACTCCAGAGTCCGTTCGCCCACATTAGTGTATGATTGACCTTGTCGCATCTCGCTGGTTGTCACCGGCCTTCGGGCCGGCTCGACTCCGCTCTCGGCCTCTGTGGCTGCCCCCCCACCCCCCTTCCTCCCGACTCCGCTTGACCGGGGACCTGGAGCCCTGCTAGCTGGGGCTCTATGGTCCTCGGGCCCCCCCCTTCCCCACTCCTTTTGCCTCTCATCCTAAAGTATTGGCTCCACCGCCTCATCATCTTCACACAAGTCCGACTCCCGGCGGCGTTGCATCTCCAGAGATGAACGGCGGTGTCAACTCACTATCTCACCATACCCCATCCCCGCACCTGCTAGATGTCCTAACATTCACCCCGCCCTTCCTGGCACAAGTTCTCACCGCTACATTACTCTGTACAAACAAACTCTATTACTCGTCACTGATCGCCTACCACTCACCCATCTCGTCCTCCAGGCCCGAATCGTCATCGTTGATCGCACTCCGGCCGGCGGCCCGGCGGCCCACAGCCGACAACACAGCGACCAGCTTCTGTCTTGCACTGTCAAAGGAACGAATCGAAGTGTCCTCCTCCTCCTCGTCCAGGCCGACAAAGTTGGCCTGCGTGAGCACAAGACGGAGACGGGCAGCCTCCTTCTGCACGCGGTAGTTGGCCTCGAGGCGGTCAATGCTCTTGGCGGCCGAGTTGTAGCGCGACGACGAGAAGAGCAGGTCAACAAAGCCGATGCAAGTCATCGCAAGGTTGTCGATCGCCTCCGCGTTGACGCTGACAGCGGCGCCTGTCGAGCGCTGCGGGAACGAGCTACCGGGGTAGAGCAGCTCAAGCATGGCTGACACACACTTGAGCCGGGGACCACCGCCACGAAGCTCCTCCTCTGCCAGAGCGGACACGAGGGACGCGGGCGAGGAGTAACCTGAGAACAGTCCCCAGAGGCCGAGTAGCACAAGTGCAAGCGAACTTGTTGTACTGTGCCGGGGGGCGCTTTGAAGGATGCTCTTGATCTCGCGGTCGAGCGACTTGAGGTCGCCAGCCATTCCACTCTTCTGCACGTTGGCGAGCATTGGTGGAAGAGCCGTTGCGCCTCCAGTGGCGGTCACGAGGTGACTGAAGAAGCGTGTGTAGAGGTCGTACAGAAGGATAAGATTGATCTGCTCGGCGATCGCAGCGATAGGTGCAAATGTGGGCGGGACGAGCTCGAGGCAGCGTGAGGCCTCGTCCAGGGGCAAAGCCAGGACGGCGCCGAGAGGGGTTTCCGTCTCGCACAAAGTGCGCGCCTCTGCCCACAAGTGCTCGGCCCCTTGACCGTCGCGCGTCATGAGAGCCAGCAGCGCGAGGCAGTACGGGTCCCGCGACGACATGCGAAGGCGGACGGCAACATGCCAGCGCACAAGAGGAGGAGGGTCCACAATGCCACCGACGATACGCGCTGCCAAGCTGGTCCATTCGGCGGTGACCTCAACCGGTGCGCCGAAGTAAAGGCGGAAGATGTCGAGGAAGAAGCGAACGACGTTGCCGGCGCCGGTACCCTTGTCCTGGTAACGCTTACCGACGCGCTCAATGAACGGACCGAGGATGACAAGAAGACCAATGGTGATGAATATGCGAACAGACCAGTCGACGAGCGTGTGCGGACCAGGTACGAGAGCAGCAGGCAGAGCTCTAGCAAGCAGTCGAGAGCTGTGCTCGGCAGTGATGAGAGGAAGTCTTCCAATCACCTGCCCGCGAGACATTTCGCCAGCATACGAGACAGGCGACCCCATAGTCGTGCTCGGGTGGGGGCTAAACATCTTGGAAGCCGAAGGGAAGAGAGAGAATGATACGGCAAAGGCGGCGAAAGCACGCATCCCGGTCGTGCCCATCTTCGAGTCGACAGACTTCTTCTTCGTCGTGCGGGCACGCTTGCGTGTCGGGGCCTCGTCCTCGTCTTCTTCTGACTCGACATCGTCCGAGTCGTTGAGCGAGGCAGCAGCCTGGGCTGCCGCAGCCTGCTGAGCAGATATGACGGCTTCACGGTTATCGAAGTCCTGGCGCCAGGCGTCGAGCTCAGCCTGGCCGCTAACGACGGCACGCCACGTCTCCAGCTCGGCAACCTTGCGCTGCAGCATCGCGGTGCGACGTTGCAGGAGCTCGATGTACATGCGAGCACCAATGAGGATAGTGGCCTTTGCACTGGCATTGGGGCGAGTCACCTCGCCAAGGCCATCCACAGTGCCATCGGGGGCGCGGACATCTGTCTTCTTCTGTTCCTCGTTCGACGTGCCGTACAGAACGCGGAGTGCGGGGACTGCGTCGCGAAGATCGGCCTGGGCCTGCTGCACCTTCTGTCGATAGCGCCTCTCGGTCTTGTTATGTTTGCCAACATTTGCTGGAGGCGAGGAAGAAGGTGGTTTGTTGATCGGTGCGTTGGGGGCGCTGCGGCGGGGAGGGGGCAAAGGGAGGGAAGGCATGGATGTCGACTCGGACAGGGATTGCGGTTGAGACGACAACTGCTGAGGAGGCATGGGCTGCCCAATGGGTTGAGGCTGCGATTGCTGTTGCTGCTGCTGCTGTGATTGCTGCTGTTGCTGCTGCTGCGTTGACTGCTGCGGCGGCGGCGCTTGCGACTGCTGCATCTCAACTGGGCGTCAGCTGCGCGGGACCCGATCTAACTCACGCTTAACTTGCTGCACCTGCTGCTGCTGAAGATGCAGCTGGTGCTGGTGGTGTTGGTGGAACAGCTGTTGGTGGTGCAGCTGTCCCTGCGGCTGCGGGGGAGAGTGGAGGTGCTGCATGGGGGGCTGCGACATGACATTATGCTGCTGCATAAACCACTGCTGAGCAATGGGGTCCTGCGGGATGCCGATGCGCCACTGCTGGAGGTTGCCATCAAAGGTGAGCGCCGACGGGGGCTGGATGGCGCCCATAGGCATAGGTGGTGGCGCGCTCATCTGTTGCTGCTGCGGCTTGACGTCGAGTTGTATCGCCGGCTTGAGGTACTGCGGCACCTGAACGGGCGCGATGTGCTGGTATGTCATGGACAGCGCGTCGAGCTCCTGCTTAGTGTCCTCTGGGAATATGAGCATGTCTAGCTCATCCGCTGGGAAGTTGGAGTTGAGAAGATACTCGTCGGTGGCGAATGACAGGTTCGAATTGGGACTGTCCGATGTGGCAGGTGGTGAGAGAGAGGGGTGAGACAGGCCCGAGGAACGCGGCGAGAGCGTGTTGGTGTTGGAGGTGGGGGAGAGGTAGGACTCGTCGAAGCCTGGGAAGGAGAGGGCTGGGGGAAACAGAGTGGCGGTGGGTGAAGTTTGGGGGTTGTCGTCGCCCTCCTCAAAGTTGAATATGTCGGACGGTAGAACCGCAGACATGGTGACTATTGATGTGAAGGGTTAAAGAGAGAAAGAGAGAGTGTGAACTGGATGTAGTAGAGTTGAGTTTGAGGTTGAGAAGATGTGTAATGAGAAGAGAGGAAGACTGATGAGAGACCGTACGCCGTGGCAGTCGCAGTCAAACGCCGTACGCTGTGGAGGGGGAGACGCCGGGGGGGGGGGGCGTAGTTGGGAGTGTGCGCGCGGAGTGGGCGACGGGGCGAGCGGGAGATGGGAGATGGGAGGTGGGAGAGCTACGAAAGGATGGAGGAAAAGAGGAACGGAGGATGAGAGATGGCAAGAGGAGGATGAGAGAGCGAGTGCAGTGGGACGACGACGGACTGCGCGCCTCCACCGCCTCCACCCAGGAATGGGAATTGATCGTGCCATCCATCGTCCCACCGCGCACCGAAACAATCTACACATGGCACGATCCCCCCCCCACGCCCGAGCTCAGGGTCCCATCTCCGCGTCTCCGTTCATCACCCATCCAACCCAAGCTCGGAACCAAATACTCCCACGTGGAGGAGAATTAAGCATTACCTTCCAGGCACATAGGCACCCTTGACATCAGCGATTAGCGATCCAAAGTGCATTCCCGAAACGCGACCGTCTCGCCATCTTGCAGAACACAATCCAGCGCTTGCCCACACCACACCATGCCGCATAGTCCGGCCGAATACATGCTCGGACTAGTCGCGGCGCTTCTTCGCCTTGTTCGCCCGCTCCTCCTCCGCTGCCACTGCCCGTGCCTTGGCTCGAGGATCAATTACCTGTTCTCGTAAGCTTCGCGCTCCAGACTCAGTCCACGTGCGGAAACTTACTTCGTACTCGTCCTCGGCGCGACGCGTCTCGTCCGAGATCTCGTGTGCAAACTTGAGTGAATGCCGCAGCCACCCCACATCGTCGTCCACCTCGAGCGCCGCCTCCCCGTCGCCCGCGTCATCATCCATCGGCTCTTCGTCCACCTCGGCCTCCATAACTTTCTTGCTGAACATGCCCAAGTCCCGCAACAAGTCATCGTCCTTTGACCGCTTGTCTTTGGCATTCCACTTTTCCCGCGCTGCCCGTCCACGCGCGTGCTTGTACTTTGAGAGCTCCTGTTCGAGGGCCGATGGGCCTCGCCGCCGCTTACGCCGTTCTTCCTCGTCCTCCGAGTCAGTGTCCGAATCCTGCCCCATGCGCTTCTTCATCGCTCGCAGGTCCTCCTGCATCCGCTCAATGTCCTCTTTCCTCGACGAGCTGAAGTGAGCTGGCATAATCTCGATAAACTCACCTTTTACCGGATCGTTCGCGCTCGTGCTGCTCACGAATTGCCTTGAGATCGACCGCCTTGCGCTCTCTCTCCACTTTGGTCTTCGGTTGCTCCTCAGCCACTTCGGTGGGTTCGTCGGACAGGTCGGGCATAGGCTTCTTCGACTTTTTCTCCTTACTGGAGCTTGATGACGCGACGACTGGTGTCAAATTGATGCTCGCCACCAATTACCTACGATCGCGCCGGCCCATGTCCTTCTTCTTGACTGTCACAGCAGCCGCGTCCAGCTCTTCCGCCTCGCCAAAAGACAGCAGCCCAGTGTTCCTGAAAGCGGTTAGGCGACCAGACTATTCACGACTCACTTCTTGGCTCGGGCTCGCTTCTCCTTCTTCTCCATTTCTGCCTTGGCCTCAAGCCGAGCCTGGTGCTGAGCCCGCTTCTCGGCGGCAGTAATGCGCGGCACGATGTCATCAAATGGGTTCTCGATAATGCGAATCCCCTTAATCTTTGGGGGCACCAGCGGCTTTTCTTCAGCGTCGACATCGAGATTCCCAATGTTGAGGACATCTATTGTGAGTTCAGCTTTATTCCGTTCTTCGTACTGTAATAAGTCGGTCCTTGGATGCGCCCGAAGAGTGTGTGCTTGCCGTTGAGCTCGTCGGCCCGATCCAGCGTAATGAACCACTGCGAGTTGTTCGTATGCCGCTTGCCATTGTTGGCCATGCCTACCAATCCACGCCTGCGCGTCAGACGCTGTCAGACGCCACAACCTACCGATTGAACTTCAAGCGGCTGTGGATCTCGTCCTCAAATGGCTCGCCATAGATGCTCTCACCGGCTTTCCCCGTACCTGTCGGGTCGCCGGTCTGCACGATGAACCCCTTGACAACGCGATGGAAGATGACACCGTCGTAGTAGCCTGGCGTGAGCTCCGGCTGCAACTATGCCAGCTGCATCCTCACCTTCCATGGCGAGCTGGACGAAATTGCGGACGGCCTTGGGATTCTCCTTACCCCAAAGCTCAATCTTGATGTCAACCTATAATCAAAGCGTCTACCTTACCTCGATCTCGCCTGCAGTGGTGTCAACAATGACCTTCCCCGTTGGCGTTGGCTGGAGGTTAGCATCGACAATGAGGTGGTGCGCGAGTGCTGCGTACCTCAGTAGAGTAGCTACGTAGGTCAGTGAATCACTCTTCAACTGCACTGCAAGCCACTCACAGGTTGGACATGGTGCACAACGAGGCAGCGTGCCGGTGTGACGGAGAGTATCGATTGGAATGATGTACTATTGAGCTGATGGACCTCCACCGGACTTCGGTGGTGAGTGCCATGTGCCACAAGGACGGCGGTTCGGGGCTAGTGCCGTTGCATTAGCCCCAGTCGTTAGGAAGCATGATTGGCATTACCTAGGACACGTGGTGTTTGTAATGGAAAGAGAGCCGCGAGGCACGAGTCAGGGTGTTGAGCCGGGAGCAAGTGTGAGGCATGCGAGGGCAAGCCCCGCACAGACCCAGTATGCCCAGCACCAACTCGAGCAGCACTGCCGCTGCCGTCCCTTCCACGCTCACCACCCGATCCACCCCACTCGTCAACCATCCAACTCTTGTCAACACATCTGCAACTCAACCCACACTCTCCTTTATACTCGCATCCGCTCGCGCCTTCCCTCTCCTCCAGGCCGCTCCGTCTTTATCCTCCCCCTCCCCCCTCCTCTTGACCAGCCATGTCTGAGGGCCTCACGCGTCGCCGTGGCGCAGGGGCCTCGTCCGCCGCGCCGTCTTCGGCTGGCGACTCGGCGCCCCCATCGCGCCCCAAGTCTCAACAGATGAGCGGGTCAGCTGTCGAAGGAGGCCGCGGCAAGATCGCGTACGATCCACGCGACCTCAACGACGAGAGCGAAACTAAGGGCGCGCCCCGCCTCACCCTCATGGAGGAAGTGCTCCTCCTCGGCCTCAAGGACAAGGCGGTGCGCGCAGACTAACAACACTGCTGACGACCAGGGCTATCTCTCGTTCTGGAACGACAATATCTCATATGCGCTGCGCGGGTGCATCCTCATTGAACTCGCGCTGCGCCGGCGGATAGCAATGGTGCGCGACCCTTCCCGCCGCGGACTCGCGCTCGCGGACCGCCTCATCGAGGTCATCGATGAGAGGCAGACGGGAGAGACTATTCTTGACGAGGCGCTCAAGATGATCAAGAGCAGTGAAAAGTACGGCGCTGGCGCGTGGGTGGACTTGATGAGTGGTACGTAATTATCAGACTGCGACGCGTCGCGGTAGCTATGTGCTCACTTCCTCTAGGCGAAACGTGGAACGTCATGAAGATTGGGTACCAGCTCAAGCAGGTCCGCGAGCGTCTCGCCAAGGGGCTGGTTGACAAAGGTGTCTTGCGAACGGAGAAGCGCAACTTTTTGTTGTTTGACATGGCGACGCACCCCATCGCAGACATGAACGCCAAGGAAGACGTTGTGCGCCGGTGTCTCGCGCTCCTCACCGCGCGCACCGCCGCGATCCCACCTCAGGCCCTTCAGAAGGAGAATGTCAAGTACCGCTACATGCGCGCCGTGTCGCTGGTCTGCGCTGGTAAGTTGCCGAGCCCATGACGTCGCCTGACAACAGCCTACGCCTCGTCAGTGCTCGAGAACGCGCTGCAGCGTCTGTCATATGATGCGCGCGAGGCGGCCTTCGTGCGTTGCGACGAGATCCTCGCGGAATTCTCGACGTGGCCCTTTGGGATCGGCACATCGTCCGAAGCCGGGCCCGTGCAGGTCGGCAGCGGCAGCACGCGCCGTCGCGAGGGCGGGAGCGGCATCGGCCGCGAGAGCGTGCAGGAGCTGGTGCGCGAAGTCCGGAAAGAGATTGCCGAGAACGCCGGCGGGGCAGGCTCGGGTGGCGCTGCCGAGGACCAGGAGGAGCTGTGCTTTGAGGTCGTCGCCACGGTCCTTGAAATCTTTGGGCGGATGGACAGTCTGGTAAGTGGCCCTGGAGCCTGACACGGATGAACGGTTATGCTGACACGCAGCTGTAAGCGCGCCGTCGCACCGCCCAAGGAGACCAGCTAGAGTGTGTCTTTAGGGTTTTTAGATGTCTAGTATGAGCGATTCACGTCGCGCAAGCATTGTTGGCAGCATGAATCGTGTGTGATAGAGTGCGCGCGCACACACAAGACGATGAGAGAGTGTGGGGAGGAGGGCGGAGAGGGGGAAAGACTGGCAGAGGTGGGGGACGGAGTCGTGGGACGAGCGAAGGTGAAAGAGGCCCGTGCGTACATTCGCTTGCAATCAGCTTTGGCGGTCACCGGAGGAGCGACATGTAGCAATACGCGGCCAAGTACGCGCTGCGGGACATGAAAAACTGGGACGCGAATAACTAGTAGGGTAGAGGAAACGCGGTATGCGGCGTCGCGCACTCACGCTAGTGCATCCCGACGGTGACGCGGTGGCACATGGGGAGACTGGAGCTCGCCCACAAATTCTGCTCGGAGGCGGAACGCCTCAAGATGTGCGGAAGTGGACGCACAATGTGTTGCGTGTGCAGCTCTCCGAATTCCGGGGCACGCGGGGTCGCGGTGAGGCGGGCATCAGATGGCCTGCGTGTTCGCACACTTGGGTGTGCTGCGGGTGTGCTGCAGTGAGTCTAATTTAGTGCTGTGGCTGTGGCTTTCTGGATGCTCAAGTGTGAAGAAGTGGGGCTCAAGAACGTGAGGGCACGTGACGCACTGCGTCTTCGTGATTTTCTGAGGTGCTCCGCAGCTGCAGGTGTCACACCAAGCATCGCACGCGCTCACCCGGAGATCTCACATTGTGAGCCGAAAGACTGGGTCGGAACCCCGGAGCGTGCGTGGATGCGTGGACTGCCGTATGCACGCGCGTGGGGACATGACGTTGCACGCAGGGCTCGATACGTAGTACGGTGTACGATCGATGGCTGCGAGCGGAACAGCGTGAGGAAAGTTCTCTTCGGTCGAGATCAGGCCTAGACGCGGTGGGCGCGGACGCACGCGGAAGTCTTAGATCGGGTCATACTCGCTAAATCGTCAGATCAGATCTCTGGCGGTGTCTGTAAATCCTGAACCTGAAGCCTGAGCAACTTGTGGATTGGGAATAGATGGTGAATGTGATGATGTTGATGGCGGTTTCGGGTCTGCTCGTGTCGACGACGACTTGTGGTGCGGGGTCGACCAGGCGAACAAGGCGGCGAGCACCGACGTGATGAACGTGGCCGCCACAGTGATGTGCGGGACACCTGATGCGCCACCTTACGCCTCAACACCTGGCCCGCACCTGGTACATACAATCGGCTCACGTACTCACGCAGCGCCACAGCCACGTCTCGTGGCCAACCCTGCCTAACCGAGCGCCACTCAAGCTAACCCCTGCCGCCTCGCTTTGGCTCCTGATCGACCGTCCGACACGCATCGTTACTAGCGTATTCGTATGTACGCATCTAGAAGCTCTGCATGGACACGGACAGGCTCCAAACGTGCGGGGACGAGGGAATGCTGACAGCCGTGCGCCACCGGGGCGGAGCGAGTGCCAGTGTGCCCTCCATCCTCGTCCACCTCGCTCACACCGCCCACTTCCTAGACGTCCCGCTCGAGGCTCGCAGCTGCAAGCCCGGACCGGCTCTCTGCCGACGTTGCAATCGCCGCTCTACATCTGCCCCGTGTCGCAAGTGTCGGGACGACTAGGCCCACTCTGATCGCCGATCGCACGCCGAATCATGCAAGCTCCAACGTCTGTAGCGGACTGGGCCGGATCATGTGCACGCTAGCCTGGTATGCTGGCAAAAGCGAGGCGGCGCGATGGATAGTCCGCTTGGCCCCGCTACGTCCATCTTGATTTCGACTTGGTTTGAGCTCCACAACACCTGATGCATGTCCTGGCCCGTTCCCCTCCGCCCCGTGTGCTTCAGACACAATTGATCTTGACACATGGCTGCAACACGCCCTGGGAGGAGCTGCAAGAGACACTAGCGTCCCGTCACACTTCCAAGGAGAGTCACGACGCCCTGGACGCCCCACCCCTCTCAACACCATTGTCGTTCGCGTCCCTCTCCAGTTCCAATCACCGGCCCCACTCGGCCCGTCTACCGAGCCCGAGTTCATGTAGCAATAGACCGATTAGAGCGACAAGCCGAATCAAGATTCAGAGTTGGGGCTGGCAAGACGCGGGGAGGTCAGGTCGAATGTGTGTGGAGTACGGACTATCCATGAACTGTCCAACGGAGCAGCAGTACTGCTGATGTTAGTTGTTGTTCTAAGCCCGCCGCCCACAGTCAAGCCAAGCAAATGCTATCCATGTGCATCGCTCGCACAACAAAAATACTGTCCACCGAGAGCGGAGAGGTACTATAGGTACACCAATATGTAGGGGAATCGGCTATTGTTCGAGGTCCATTGAGTCCATTGCTGCCGAGGAGTCGAGTCGAGAGGCGCAAACGAGAGAAAAATGGGGAAAAGGTCCAAATCAATGTCTAGAGGAAGGTGTTCCGGCACGGTCGGTCTTCCCATCTATGAGGTCCAAAGAGGCAAACAGGTTTAAAGTCCAAGACGGCTTAGAAGTAGTTGGGGTCGGGCTGAGTCCAGGTGTTCCCGGCCGAGAGGTAGTCGTTCGAGGGAGCGGCGTAGGCATTCTCCTCGTTGCCAGCGAGCCCAATGCCGAGACCGACGAGGGGCTGTGGCGCGTGAGCCTTCTGTGGTGGCACAGGGAGGCCAGGGCACAGTGTTGGGGAAGTGGAGAAGGCTGACTGGGCGAGCGGAGACGGCGAGAAGGGGAAGGGCTGGGGAGTGTAGGTCAGGAGATTGGGCGTCGGCTGGAAGTAGGCCTGCGACGGTGTGTGAGGGGGAGTGTTGAGGATGGGTTTCCTGACGGGAGTGACCGGCATTGGGTACGAGGTGCTCGCCGACGACTCAGTAGGCGAAACGGGAGCCGTGGCGTAGGTCGTGTAGATGTTCGGGTCCTCACCGCCGTCCATCATGGGGGTGTGGTCGGGCGCCACGGGCATCACAGGGACCATGGGCGAGACATTGATGACCGGCACAGGCGGACCCGAGAACCATGGGCTCTCAAAGTGCGCAGGCGAGGTCATGGGAGCACCGTGTGGCACGGGCGAGTAGGGAGAGAAGGTGACTGGGGTCGAGTAAGACCGGCGAGGAGGGACATGAGTGCCACGGATAGGGCCTGGTCCGGCGAGGTAGGGCATCGAGTAGATGGACTGGTCGACAAAGTATGGAGCGGCGCGGGCATGAGCGTACTGCTTCGCGGCCTTAGCGGCGGCCTTCTTCTCGCGGGTGGCCCGGTTCACCTCCTCGGGGACGGGCGAGTAGTCGCAGGAGCGGCGGGCACGGGTGCAGTTGGCGCAAGGGCTAGAGCCGCAGCACTTGATCTTGCTGAGAGGGTCAGTGACTGCATCGATGGTAAAGCAAGAGATAAACGTACCGATGACGGCAGTACTGGCACGCCATGGCAATGCGTTGCCTGCGAGTAGAAGCCTCAGAGCCCGGCATGATGTTGAACGAGTTGGGGTTGAGGGGCGACGAGTGGACCGAAGTCGGGCTGCCACCAAGTGGCTGCTTGTCCATCTGGTTCTGCATGGCGTCGAGGGGAATGTCAAGTGGCGGTGGTGGTGTAGGAGTGGTAGTACCGTGGTGTCTGTGCGGCAGAAATTGAGCACGGGCGCGGTGACGAGAGGTTGATTCCAGTTGACGAAAGCGTTCAGTGTTGATGCACAAGGGGAAAGTGGAGGAGGTTGAAGAGAGGTAGAGGTTGAGAGGAGGTGGTAGACAGCGAAGAAAATAAACAAAAAGGCGAGCGATGTGAACAAGTAAGAATGGATAGAAGGAGAGGGAACGGAGGAGGAGAGGAGGAGTACGGGAGAAAGGCAGAGAGGAAGAGAAAGGAGAGGTTGATATAGAAGATGAGAACGAAGGAGGAGGAGGATGGACGAGGGTGGTGATGAGGAGGAGGCGGCAGGTCTTGTCGGTGGTCGGGGTTGGGCGGTCGGTGGTGATCCCTTGGTCTTGGCTCACTGGGGGATCGCCTGCTCGCCTGCTCGCCTGCTCGCCTGAGCTCCCAAGCCTCTTGCCTTGAGACCGAGACCTGAAGGGTGGGCGGCCGGCGGATGGGCGGAGGAACGGAGGAGAGACTTGGACTGAGTAGAGGCAGCATTTGGCGGCTCGATATGAGAGCCACGAAGGGAGGGTCGAGGGCCCAAGAGGGCCCAAGATGGATGTGCGATCGACGGGCTACTGACGAGGTACAGGGAGCCGAGCGGAAGCCGGCTGAGTGGCTGAGACATGCGCAGGTCACCACCAGGATTTTGCTCCGCTTACTCCGGCTTGTCCTGAATTCTAGCTGATGGAATACGTACCCCACAACCACTGTAGCGTTCAGTTCAAGGCGCGCACATTACGGCAGCGGCGCAGACGGAACGGGCCCTCGGCACTTACGTCACATAAGCCGAGTGTGAAGTTACTCAATCGAGCAGGGATGGAGGAGAGGTTAAGGGAGAGGAGTGCGTAGTTCATCCATGTTAATCCTGCTGAGGTGAGAGCCACAGCTGACAAGAGCCACAGGAGCGCACTGACTGTCAGGGGATCAGCGTGATCACCCAAGGTTGCCTCATTCCTGAAGCCACTCCTGAATTCCGACTCAGGGGAAACCCTTTGACAGAGTGTCTGTCTGTTGACTCTTGTCACGCCCAGCTGCCACTGCCACTTGTCTGTGCCACTTCTCTCTGCAATCCTCTCTCTGCTCTCTCTGCTCGCTCTCCGCCCTCCTCCCAAGATGTGCCGAGCCCTACCGCCTTCCGCACCTCCTTGCATTGTATCTCCCTGGAATTGGACGCCAAAGCAGCGCGCTCGCCGTCATCTTGCATTCTCCCAAGGTTGATCCCAACAACTCGGTCCGGCAAATTGACCAATCACCGCCCGCTTCTCGTGGCACTCACGCACTCATGCAGCGCGTGCAGCGCGTGATGATGGCACCACGGAGCCGCCTCCGCGAGCTTAGACCACCGAAGCCTAACGGAAACCAGATCCGCTTCCGCCACCTTTACACATGCACTTGCGACGCGCGCACGCGCGGTCTTGCCGCGCTATGTAACTACCGTACGCCCCGCAAACCATGCCCACCGCTCCCCCCTCTCCCCCCCCCCCCCCCCCCCCCCCCCCCCCCCCCACCCCCCCCCCCCCCCCCCCCCCCCCCCCCCCCCCCCCCCCGCGAACGGCCACATTAAAGCGGGGCGGGCTTGCCTACTAGGACAGTACCTCCTTCGCGTCCCCTCGTCAGATGACAAGACAGCGGGCGCCCAGACACGCGCCGTGCCAAGGGACTACACTCACACTCGCGCACAGGTGCCAAGCAGGCAGTGCCCAGGGTGGAGGGTCACAGTGAGGGCGGCAGCCGACGATCAGGTGGGTGGGGGAATGCAAAGCATGCATCACGCCCCCCCAGCCGGGCGCTGCGGTCGGCAAAGTGTTCATTACTCTGTCCCCGTTGCTCAATTCGGCCGCACTCTGGGTAGCGCCTCATGGGCGCCTCCTATGGTCCGCGCACATCAGGACTCTCGCGTGCGCGGCGAGGCTTCATGTGGCTGAGGCAGACCCTCAGGTCGGCTGGGCCACTCAAGGCCGCCACACGGCATGTACGGCATCTGCCGAGGGTAGGAATGGTGCCTCGCTTGCAGGCACTTTCTGCCTGAGCTGATGCTGGGTACCCATCCGAGGTCTCTCCAGAGCCAACTTGAGCGCTTCAGGCCCAGAGGATCAGAGGCTGAGCATGAGCATCGGCGGCCACGGCACGATGCTCCTGCCCTTTGCCCTTGCACGCGGTCGCCACTGCCCATTGTCCCTGAATGTCTTTTGCGTACACTGACGCCACGAAGCGTGTGAGTGTGGTGGCGGTGGACAGGGCGCGGGCAATTTGCCACGAGCTCATGTGTTCAAACCAACGGACCCACTCCTTCTCGTCGTATCGACCGCAATGTCAATGGCCGGAGCGTCTCCGGTATTCGACCCTGCGCCGCTCATGGCGTGCGGATTGCTCTGCTAAACTCGCTGAAACTCTTAATGAACAGACTTGACGGAGGCGGGGCAGCCCGCTGATCCGCTGAATTGACTATTATGCAAGTGATAATGCCCGCATGCCTTCAGCGTCTCTACATGCCACATAGATGCGATGGCGGGTCCCGAACGGCCGGTGTCTCTGATCACTCGTGCACGCACAATCCTCGGTTCAACGGCTCCACCAAAGCCAGCGCGCGTCGACACGTCGCTTGCCCCCGCCTTGCGTCCGCGTGCTAACCCCCTCGTCGTCATCGTCATAGCACCAAAGACTCGAGTGGGGGAGGGCGGACATTACCAAAGATTGAATTGGCGGATGCTCCCATGCCGGAACGGGCCCGGCTGTACGGTCGCCAAGATCTATGGATGCATGTGCCCGAGTCCGCGGTGCGCGCCCGGTGCATACCGGTACTGCTCACGACGCGCACGCTTACTCCGCAATCTTCACACGCTAAACCGAGCTGTGCAGATGCGTATGACACGCGAGGTTTGCCACTAAATCATGGCCATCGTTCACGTCACCGCAGTTGTACCTACAGAAATGCCGTGAGGTGCCGTATTGGCACTGAAAGTGCCTAGGAACCGGCTGCTGAGCCGGTTAGCTTCAGAAAACTGCCGGCATGCCACCTGACTTGAACAACGCTTGGTGCTTGCATCCAAATGTGTTCGCGCGACAGTGGGTTCAGTGCCTGGGCCGAAGCCGACGAGCTTGTTGACGTGTTGCGCCGCTTGGCCGCATCGCATGCCAGCATGCCAGCATGCCAGCATGTCAGCGTGGCACACAGGTGCGTACACCGGGGCTGGCAGCTGGCCAGGGTGGTGTGCGGCTCCACCAATGTGGCACTGCCGCCGATCACCGGAACCTGCAGTCCCGTCGCTCGCGTAGAATTTCTGACCCGCTGCTGCACGAACATCTTCCTTTTTTCTTGCATGCAGACGTGTCGTGTTCTGCTGACAAGTACGGCCACCGGTGCATTGAGGGTGCTGCGTAGATCTCCCGATGCAGTCGGGGTAATGGTCGGCGGATCGGCGAACCGGTGTCGGGAGCCAATCCGCGGCCCGCCATGACCGCCACTTTGGCGCCGACGGCGATCCCCCGCACTCGATTACCAGAGGGTCTTAATTCTCCAGGGTTCAATTACGGCCGTCCGAATCCAGCCAACACCTTCCGCAGCCAACGACGCCGCCTGCGTAAATTTCAACCGCCATTTTTCCAGGCGCACGCCTGCCTGCCGCTGTGGGATCTGTGGCTGTAGACATACATCCAGAGCTCGGCCCGACCGGCGCCACCACCGCGAGCCCCGGTCGCTCTGGACCGCCGCTGATCGTCGATGGCGGTGGCGCACCGTAGATATGCCGCAAAGACATCAAGTGGTGCTCATAATTGATCTAGGGAGCCGGTGAGGACGGCTTTGGCGAGCGGCGATGTCCGTTCGCACCGTCTCACTTTGGAGTTCGACAAACTGGACTGCAACTATCCAGGAACTCATTAACGCCGTTCCGGGCCGAATCAAAAGCATCCGTAATGTTATCAGCTCACTAGGGATCGTTGGGTCCGTTGGGTCAATCGCAATCGCAGCCGTAGGGATACGTGCGGCCAAGCGTCCCCGTAGACCGCTCGCCGCCAACACGCCAGGGATCCCAGGCGGTGCCTGTCACTCCTACCTGGATGGAGCCGCAACCTCTGTTTTTTTTTTTTTTCGGCCGTCGCCGTCTGCATCATCAGAGCCTTTGTTGCAGCTTGGGACACCCATCGGCGGATAACTGCACCCGTCCCCAAGGTCCCCAAGAAGGCTGATCGCTGCTCCCTCATATCTTTGCAACTTGTCACGCTTGCCCCCAGCGCTGGCATTCCTTCATGCCTCTTGCCCTTGTCACGCACCCACGCACACTTGTTACCCTCGACTAGCACCCCTCCATCAGTTGTTGACGTACAGACACACTAGATATTATTGCTCCGAATCCCCCAACGTCCAAGAAGAAGAAGGCTGTCGGTTGAGACAAAGTGTCGGGCGGCTGCGTTACATCAAAGATAACGTCCCGCCACGGATTCCACAGACGCCACAGAACGCGTACGCGCGTCGCGCTTGCGACGTGTGACCATCGCCTTGCCGTTATGTATTCTTCTCCAACTCAGCTTTGCTTCACAATTCGTGACACCAAAGCAGCTCTACTAACGACGGGTCACGCATCACCGACAACTTCCCATGGTGCGATGGCTTCTTGATACGTCAGAACTCCTCGCCTGCACAACGTGAGTTCAGGCTCCGCCCATAAGCCCCCCCCCCCCACCCCCCCAACATCACTCCTTTGTTCACGAGGGCCCTTCTCGGGTCAGTCATATGCAGTCACTTTCTCGTAACAACAGGCCCACGCGCACCCGTGCGGACGTGCCGATGTTCACGTCACCTTGCTCGAGAAGGCACCGATCCGACGGCAGATGTCCCACTCCCTTGCTGCAATCAGTAGAGCGCCGTTCTCACCATTCTTCTCAACGCGCGACGTGTTCACAGACTCGATGCATGCCTCTCTGCGATGCGCCTCGTCACGTGCCTCCGTCCCTATCTCCATTTAGGGCCGGAATGGCCGCAGCCACTTGTCCGCGCGCTCGAACTCCTCGATTACGTTCGGCTGGATGGCCGTGTTGGCCACCGACGGGTTGGGCCCCTGTTCCTGATTGGCCGTGCGAATAGCTACCATGATCTGGTGTGGTCAGCAACGTTGCTGCAGTCACTCGTCGTCAACTCACAGCATCCCAGAAACGGAATCCACGCTCGACCTCGTTTGTTGGATTCTTGACACCAGTGAAGGCCTCGTCCACGAACTCCAGTGCCATCCGCTTAGCGTTCTGGAAGTTTGCACTGTCAGGAGTTATGTCGCCCTCGTTGTAATGAATCGCAGCGTCGAGATACGTCTTAGCCAGGATACCAAAGCCGGTGTTGATGTCGCTCTGGAAGGGCAAGCCTTAGGTTGTCAGTGAGAGGGGGAGTTGAGCACGCACTGATGCACATATCCAGGTAGTCATCGCGTGTGCGGCGCGCGTGTCCTGAGAGAAGGATGTGCACGTTTAGTGCTTCCAACAGCTGTCGCAAGGCCTTGGTTGTTGCCTTAACAAATGAGTTGAATACCAACAGCTCGCGCGACAGCGGTCCAGACCATTGCTCGGACTGTCAATGTTAGCGGACATACCACGAAGCCACCTACGCGGAAGTTCAAAGGAACCACACTAAGAACGCGCATGAAGAGAAGGGTGTGCGCCTGCTCTTCCTCTGATCCGAAGCCTGGGCCTCCGGACAGAGCTGGCGCCGAAGGGCCACCAAATCGGTTGCCGTGAACGACGCCAGCCCTCAGAAGCTCCAAGATAATGTAAATGGGCTCTTGCAGTTTGTCCGTTACGCGTGCTGCCTGGCATGCGGCATGGAAGGCCTTTCCAATAGGCGACTGGTGGTGATTGCTATTGACGAAGCTGAAAATGTCAGCGATCCTGCTAAGCACTTCAACTTACCCTCGCACGTCGAGGAGTCGCCAAATGATGTTAGCAACAACCTCGTCCTTCCTCTCCAAGGTTTTCGACCCCTTCTCCTTTTTGGTCGCTGCGATTGTCTCCTCCTTCTCGAGCGTGCCGATGCAAAGCTTAAGATCGATGGTAGAGGACTATGAGTCAGCGAGTCAGGAAGGAACTCACGGATTGGCGTCGTAGCTCGTCTCCGAGCACATGATGCGGGACCATCCAAGTCGAGCACTTTTCAACGAGAGACTGCGTCAAAGGGTCGTTAGTAGGGACAGTAGCTCCTTGGTGAGGAGCGTAGGGCGGGTCAAAGTAGTAGTGCGCAGACTGGGGTGTCAGTGTGGACGTCCCGGGGAATGGGACTCACGATCCGCCTTTGCGCCCACTGGGGGTGGAGGGGATTGATGAGGAGCGCAAGAGTTGTGCAGCGCGGTGACGTAGCACCTTCAGTGATGATGTCTTTGATGAAACGGCGGTATTCCGGGGAGTCGGCGAGCGGCTGGCGCTCATCGATTATGCCCGATGCGAGGTAGCCTACGAGCTGCGCGGAAACCATGCCTCGACACAGAAGGAAGTAAAGCTCATCAGGGAGACGAGGCGAGAAAATCTCGTCCAGGTCAGATGGAACGTCGGCGGGTGTAACGTTTTGGCCCGGAGGAGGAATCACGAGCGGAAGAGGTAGGCAGTTCCCGTCCGTTGTCAGGACTAGAGAGAACTTGATGGCTAGGCGCGCACGCATAAAGCTTTCGAGGTAGCCGGTCCCCTTGAGCTGAACTGCCCATCCCTGGCACACGCCAAGTCCAGACTTGCCTGCCCGTAGGTAGTCCATCGCCGCTCTCATGGAGAAGCTTTCAGCGATGAGTGGGAAGGAGCGGCTCAAGCTGCAGCCTGCCAGCAGACCGAGGTCCAGGAACTGGTCGTAGCTGAAGTTCATGTCTGCGAGAATGCGAGGCTTGTCGTAGTAGGTGAACGAGCCGGACCAGTCGATCGAGGCGATGACCCGATCAACAGGCCACAGCAACGCCTCGGAATCGGACCAGATGGCGTGAATATAGCCCTTAGGATGCTTAAGCAAGTATGCAAGCTAATGTGAGTCGTGCACTGCGACGCGACATACCTGTGCACCGGGAAGGTAGGGGGCCATGACATATTCAACAAACCGATGCTTGAATGCGCGGAGAAGAAGGCGGACAACGTCCTGCGTGTCGACCCACATGCCGTTGCGGACCTGCGTCAAGGCAATCACGGCGCGATCAACCTGTCCATCTTCGTAATACGCCCATGCCTCGTTTTTGACGGCATTCTCTCGGTCTGCTTGGGGGCTCTGGCCCTTGGGAGGTGGACGCTGGGCCAAAGGAAGGCCAGGGAAGACGAACACGGGCTTAATGTTGTGCTTGTCCAGTTGACGGAGATCGCTTTCAATTCGGTTGGCCAGCGAAAGCGGCAGGCCACCGGTCGAAGCAATGAGCGGCTCGCGCTGGTCTGGGTCCGAAAGCAACGTGCGCACGTAATAGTTGACGTCGATGCCGAGTCGCGTGTTGGCAAGCGCACTCAATGGCGCAGAGGACGTAAGTCTCCGTTCGCGGAGGTAGACAGCAGTCAGCAACCGAGCTAGCGCACGACTCACCATCAAGACTACGGACTCCCATGATGTGTGAATGTGAAGTGGGAAAGGGTGGAGGAAGCGAGGTAAGGAGGTGCGGCGGTCGATTCACTCCTACCGGCGTTCAGAAGCGCCCACGGCCTATACAGCGGGAAGAGTGAGTCGGCACTGAAGAGCAGCTAGGCCAACAAGGTGACGGCTGCGAATGTTTTGAAGGCGGAGAAGAGTTAAAGAGTGCGATGAGAATGAGAGAATGAGAGAGGTCAATAGAGGAGAACGAGGGATGTCTGGCGACCATGCATGGCCTGGTGGTCGTGGTCGACGCGCGACGAACACCGTCGACCCCACGTGGTATACCCTGAACCCGCTGTCCCCTCTTTGGCCACCGCACTGCACGGACCGCTTCCCATCATAGGTGCCCCACAATTCAATCCGATCGCAGCCCCTCCACCCTGCACCAAACTCGACATTCCACCAACGAGTCCTACGTACCTACGTCCCACAACTAATACATGCACAGTGGGGATCATCGTGTATAAATGAAAACAACTGTCAAGCAACGTCTAGGCATCGCTCCGCAGCCCTCTGGCAGCGTCTCGAGCCTCTGCAGGCGAAAGGGCCTTGTCGACGCCCTCGTTGAAGAGTTTGGCCTTGATCACATTCGCCGTCATGGCATTTTTGGCCTCGTTGGCGATGCGGTGACTGAGATTAGTGGTTGGAACCCATTTTAGACCCACCTGTCCTTTACTGGGTCGCCAAGTACCGATGGCTTAATCTCAAGGCCATGGAAGTCTTCCTTGCCTCCCTCCTCTGCCCCAGGAGGCGATGCCTTCAGTCTGAGCTCCGCTGTCGACTCGCCGACCTTGGCTTCAGCTGCGCGCAGCTTGGCATTAAGATCTTTGACTTGAGATGTGGTGTAGGCGCGATTCTTTCGTTAACCAAGAGCGCGTCATCAATACACACTGAAAGAATACGATTCTGGCTGAGGGTCTCAACCCAGTACTTATTCCACAGAAGGTCGAGCAGCTTCTCATCCGTTTTTGACTTGTAAATCTCTACCTTAAGAGGGTAGTATGCATTGGCGTGAGCGCCAAAGTCCTCAATCTTGTCAAGAGGAATCGATTGGTACTCGGACGAGCCCCCTGATGGCGGAGTGTAGCCGAGGGGGTATGTGCGGAATGCCCCGATCTCAACCTTGCCAGCGGACACCGTACGGTTTGGGTCAATCAAAGTGTTAGTCATGCCTCGGACGCTTCTTACAACGACGGCGAGATACGGGTCTTGGTGAGTTTGGTTGGTCATCTGCGTGTCGACATCGATTCCCGAAAGCCAACACCCATATCCAGGGTGCCTGGGGTTAGCGCATTCTATCATCAACGTAGCTCACGAGTGATACCAGCCGCGCTGATTCTCGGTTTGACCCGCGGCGTTGCGCGCGGAATGAAATTCGACCATGTACTCCATCGCCTGGTGTCAATGAAAGCAGTACAGGAGAGGTGCAAGCTGCACACTCACCTCGTTACCCGCATTGACACGAGTCTCGGTACCCTGTACGGGTAGAGCCACCGCATCGGTGATCCAGAACGCGCGGTCTCGGACGCGGCCGTACATGACGCCCATAATCTCGTACTGACCTCCGGAGCGTGCATGAATTGCCTCGCCGTCAGCGGTGCTGATAACAGACTTGTACCATTTTAATCAGTGCGACCGCCGAGATCTTGACGGTCTGAAAGTAGTGGGGGCTGGTGTCAGGGCGTCTCTAAGCGCTATACCGAGGACGACTAACTCTGTAGCCCATGGCGCTTGATCCTCCAGCTGACGTTCTTCCTCCGCACTGTAAAGAAAGACGAGCTCAGCCGGGTCGACTGTCTGAAGTGATTAGCCACGTCGTCGAAGTGACATGTACGAACGGCAATGCTGTTGTTGATCTCGAACGTAGTCCGCGCGGCTTGCTCCATGGTGAGCAACTTGTTCGACTCGGACTGTCGAGTCTTATTGATGTAGAGATCGTAAAGAGACGTCCTGGGATGGCTGCAGTGGAACGGACAAACGTCATGTGGAGGTTGACTGAGAGCCAGCGGAGCCAGATGAGCAATCCACGTGGGGATCGCGTGTTGGGGAGAGATCCTCCACGTTCAAATCACGTGATGTTTTTGATTCATCATCGTCGGAACGCCTGTCTCATCAGGGTTGCTCGAATAAGCCTCAATGTATTCCGCAACCTGGCACGCAGATGCTGTCCCGCTGCCCCTTGAAGTCGACTTGGCACTCTTCAACACGCACGTTTAGTGGGTACTATCAGGTTACTCTTGCAAGATCGACCCAAACAGCCGGCTCGGCATTCAGGCATCGCGTGCTGTTCCTCACTTCTAACCTTGCGCCCAGAGGGCTACTGACGCTTCGGAATCGCGCTCACATCCTTGACTGACGCGTCTGTCCTTACTGTTGGGCATACCCACCCCCCGATTTCAGTGGTTGACTTCCTGACTTCTCCTGTCGACCATGCACCATCTGCAGGGCAGGGCTCGGACTCCCCCTTGGCACCCCTCCATGGCCCATCTCACCGTCACGCGGGACGCTGGGACCATTAGAGGTCCAACCATCGCGGCCTGCTTGGCGCGAGCTTATAACGTTGGTCGTGTCTGCACTCACCTCCTCCTGTACACTTACGACTTTGATTCAGCGTTCAACGACATCCGACCACCCCACACTCCTTTCTCGACCAACTCGTTTACGCTTCCAGCTTACTCTCTCCCTCTTTCCGACCCTCCTCGCTCTGATCATGGTCGCTCTCCAATTCCTCACACTGTTCGGTCTCCTCCCGGCCCTCGCGCTTGGCGCCCATGAACCGCGCCACGTTCAGCCCCACGCCGCTGCTGCCCGCCGCTCGCGCGTCCAGGCCCGCAACCCCGCCAGTGTCGGCGCCCCTCCTGCCCGCCGCGGCGCCGGCTCGCGCAAGCGCGGAGCGAACGGCTCGTGCCGTCCCCGGCCCGCGCCTGCCCACGAGGAGACTGAGGCTCCTGAAGCCGTTGTTGCTGCCGCTGACGGCGACGACTGGCAGGCGCCCGCGGAGCAGCCTGCTGAGCAGCCCACTGAGCCGCCTGCTGAGCCGCCCGCTGCCCAGCCCACTCAGAGCGAGTGGCAGGACCCCAACGCCGCTCAGCCTGAGCAGCCCGCTTCTGCCCCCGAGCACGAAGGAGAGTGGAAGCCCACTGAGTCTTCGGCTGCGCCTGAGACGGTGAGTGATTCCACCTGGTCCTGCTGACTTCTAGCCCGCTCCCACTGAGGTCACGCCCAACAACAGTGGCCTCCTGCAGATCGACGGGTAAGAGGGGATCAGAAACTTGAGCTAAAATCCAGCACCTGCGGCCCCTGCCCGTCGTCTCCCGAGGCACCCAACGGCGAGCAGTGGTGGCTCGACTGCGGTCTCGACGGCGCCGGTTGGGCCCCGCCTCACATCACCCTCGACCAGCTCAAGTACATCGACCTGAATGGCGATGGCATCTTCGCGCCCTGCACCCAGTACTTCGACCAATTCTACCGCTACGGTGGCGAGTTTGGCATTCCTCCCATCATGCTGGCCTCCATCGCTCTTCAGGAGTCGACGTGCCGGCCTTGGCTCGTCGGCGGTATTGGAGAGCAGGGCCTCATGCAGCTCCTCGGCCCCAACTGCGACGGTGCGCCTAACGGTAACTGCCAGGACGTTGACTTCAACGTTCGCCGCGGCGCCGAGTACCTTCGCAAGCGCATTGACGAGCACAACGGCAGCGTCCTCGCAGGTCTTGGCGCCTACAACGGCTGGCGCATCGGTGTCACTGCTGGCGAGGTCTACAACATGAAGAACGAGGGCCGCTGCTGGGCTCAGCCCAACCTTGACTACATGCACCAGATGCTCAACGGCTGGCTCCAAGGCAAGGAGGGCTGGAAGATGGGCAAGTGGTGTGAGTATCTGACGGCCGACGCGTATTGTGCTGACTCCAGTCAACCGCAACGACTGCTAAACGCGACTTGTCGCGGCGGCCCCAGACAAGGCTCCGTAGATCCCTTCGCCCTCTTATTTCTTCAATCTCGCATTCACATAAACCCTTCTCCCTCTGTATACAGCCGGTCTGTACTGAATACGTCCGCCATGCTGCATGCTGCATACGAGTCTGTCCTTGTCTCGTTCCCTGATTACCGCGATGTTTGAGCGCAATGCCGGAGGTTCATCCGCTCTGCCCTGCTGCGCCCAGACACTTGGCATGCGGAGCCCGGTGCTGCTGCCTGGGTTCCGTGGGATGCTTCACATTAAGCTGCAGCCCAGAGTCCATCCAGCTTGGCATGTGGGTTGTGCGGCCATTGCGGTGCGGAGGAGTTGTGACACAAAGACGAAAGGTTGACTTCATGAGTTCGCGGCAATGATGGAGTGACGACGGCACGCCATCCCACGACGACTCTCATTACATTTGCGACTCCTTTCATGTCGTGCGGCACGCCGCTCCTTATCCCACCGTCAATCTCGTCTGTTGATCGTGGCTCCGAACTCTCCGGCCACATTCCGGTCTGCTCCAAGGCCCCAGGCCCCCTCCGAACTCAGCAACCCGCTCGTACGTTGCGGAATGCAGTGGCAGGCTGCGCGCTCTCACCGTTGCAGCGCGTCGCGTCCCGTCCGCCGGAAAATGGACGAGGCCCAAGGTCCGAGTGCCGACGCATATCCCGCAGGCACCCAGGAGGCACGCGTTTGCAGGTACACGCCGGCCCAACTTAACCTTGCGTCATAGGTTTGCGTCAATCTCGCCGCCGAGTGGGTGTACGACGCCGCTAGAGATACACTTGTGTTCGTGGCGTTGAAGTGCGTCGGTGCTATAAATTGCGCCACCGCCACCGTCACCATCACGACCATTGTCGCGGACGCGTCGCGCCGCGTTCAATACTATTGCGGGAGTGCCTGCGCTGCTCCATCTTGCATTCCGCAAACTCACGCGCAGCTGACGGTCCGCTTACTGCCGGATGTACATTCTGGAAGCACAGCGTACGAGCCGGTTGCAAACACAGTATTGGAATGGGAGGTGCCACTTTCGCTGGTTGTCCAACATTGCCGGCCGTTGTCGGTGTCTGTTCCTCCTAGTTGCCTGATTGCAAGATTCCCTGCACCCATTCTCAAGGGATAGACAATGCTTGCCCGTGGGTTTCGAGAGGAGCTGGTCGCCTGCAGGCTGTGCAGATAGTGCTCGTGCACTGTAGATGAATTCCGCTGTCGTGCAACACAGCACCCCTGTCTGACATTGGGATATTCTCAGCCAACGCGGCTTCTCACAGGGGTGACCATATGTCCCAGCTTTCTACTAACAGATGGCTGCAGCGTCAGATCGCTGATATCGGGCGGCACGTCATTGTGGGCAGTGAGTGACTTTGCTGTGGCGCCGAGTTTGTGAGGGAGACATCGTGCACCGCTGTGGGTGTTCGCGCTTGTTGTCGTGGTGTCAACCGTGCTACCTTTGAAATCAGTAGCCGTCGACATTGTTACGTTAACTCAAGTCGGGCTGGGTATCCTCCGTTAGCATTAATTTTATCTGATATCCTTTGAAAGTTGTCTCGTTCTTGTGAACTGGTTGCAGGTACGCGTGCACCTCGTTACAGATGGATACATATCATCGTTGGGGATTAAACCGACATCACGTCGCTCCCGGTGGCAGCGACTGCTCTTCAAGCTCAGTAAATCTCTCCTCCCCCTCGTCTGAGCATAATCGTAGTCGCGGCGTAATCAAAATCAGATGCGATCACGACTCGTGACACACGCTACGTAACATAATTGTCTTGTTGGTTGGTCGGTGTTCGTGCAACGGTGCAAGCCGTGCTAAGTAAATGACCGCCCTCGCGGCAGATAAACCAAACACAACGCCACTGTTTCTGTCAATCGACTGCTGATTGTATTCCCTGGTACCGGAATGGACTGCCCCAGTAATGGTCACGGTTGCAGACAACAGGGTGGAGATACTTGCATTTGCTACAGTGCCCACATATCTTGACCAACTTGACCCACAATCCGACGACGGACAGACCTTGCTCGCTTTTCGCGATGAGCAGGTAGACGGAGGTCAGCAGGGCTGCGCTGTCATTTAATGGCGAGCCACTGGTCTGAATGGAAAGTCACTCCGAGGTGCGGTGTCGCTCATCACAACGCCGGTGAGTGCCAGCGCGTGTCCTTCCTTTGCCACCCTCCCCGACCCGCCACGCTGATCAGCTGTGTGTTGCCTAACCGGTATTGAGAACCGCGGAAGGAAGGAGCAGCACAATTCCACGATGCAGCGGGCCCTCTACATCCGTCTCCTCGCCGCTACTGGGGATATGAGTGATCGGCGGTCCTCCTCTCGAATGATCGCCTCAGTGTACGTCCTGAACAACCTGCCGAGGCCAACAACTGAGCGAGACCAGCGGCCCCAAGAACAGTGCTACTCTCCGGGCCACCTCGTCTCGTGGTGGTCTCGACACGAGATGATCTGACGTCTCTTAACTGCCAGCACTTGCAGTTCGCAAACGACCAAGGCGTCGGACATTGTGCCATATCCAAACGATGAAGGTACGGTTGTCTACTAACCCCGGAAAGTCCGCTCCCACGGTGCAGGCTGCGGCCAGCGTTTCTCTAACCATTCACCCAGCAGCGCCTTGACCTCACCCACCCCATCCTCCACGTTGTCGTTGAGGCCGAGCATGGCTGTGTTCGGCCGGCGGTCGACCTCTCGCAGAGTTTCATTGGCCTGCTTCGGGTTCTTGAGCTCGAAAAACTGTGCGTCGGTCTTACCCGAGACGTATATGTAGCGCGAGAGAAGACGCATTGTGTAGTGTCGCAGGTTGACCTTTTCTCGGGGCATCGACGTGGTGGACATGACGGATGCAAGGGAGAAATCAGCCTCCTCCCAGGTCGGTGTGAGGGGCAGGTGTGGGGGCGCGAGATGCGGCGGCGCTTTGCCGCGCGGTCGAACGTAGATTGCGTCTGCGGGCGGGAAGAACGATGATAGGCCAAGAGGCCCAGACGATGAGACGAGCGCCATGATCACTGATGTCAGCGTCGAGAGTTGCTGTGCTCACAGCAATCGCCACACTGTGGCTCCTCAAAGGTGAGGCGCTTAAACATATCCGCGGCAGGGATGTCGGTCTTCTCACTCCAGAAGGACCCAAAGCACTTGTTGAGGTCCAAGTTGCACCTGGCGTCAGCACTGGCGCCGCTACCGCAAGGTGACTCACTTGTCATTCGAACTGGGTTCACGTCCCGGCTCGACGATGGGCGGCATGTGGCCGTCGAGCGATGCTGATGTCAGCGTCGCTAACATAGCCCGCACAGAACAGGTACTTCACGCGCATAGGTGAATGCCACCCCATCTGATCGAACGTCTTGTCGATCCTCATCCTGTTCGTGGTCCAGCGCTCGCCACGCTCCACCTCAATGCCCTCAATGTCGTCCTCGTCCTCGTGGATGTCGAAGAACTCCCTAATCTCCTGCCGCGCAGAGTTACCCCACAATCCCTCCACGCCACCAAGGTTGGCGACGACATAAGTCCACAGCAGCGCCTCACGCCAGCGCTCTACCTTAAGCGCAGTCATCAAGAACATGATCTGTATGTCGGGTGGCCCATCTTTCAGCTCGCGGAACCGTCGCGACGAGCTGCCGGTAAGAGCGTCCTTGAACATAATGCTCGCTTCGTGGTGCATGTTGCGCGACATGACGCGCGGGCCATGCAGGATGTACGGGCGACGCCGGCGCGGGTACCTCTTTGAGAGGAAGTAGTTGGCGTGAACCAGCCCGCCCGTTTCCCCAGCGTCGTTGAACAGTTTCTTGTCCAAGACAGGCCGAGGTTGCTGATAGAACTGATATCAGCTGCATAGAAACGCCCGTGACTCACGCTGTCATCGAAGCGGAAAACATCCCCGTACAGTGGTGAGTGGAAGTCAGCGACCTAGGTCATGTCAGCGTAGTTCACCCGCCACTCACAGAGTGAGGGCGCAAAACAAAGAAATCATCGTTCAGCGCGATTGACGTCTCAGCAAGCCCGGGAAGCCAGCCGAGACGACTCTCGATCGACTTGGAGTTGTATGATGGGAGCGACTTGCTCCTCCACTCCGCCTCGTCAACCACCTCGACCTTAACGGCGTCCTGCGCAACCGTCGGCAGGTGGAAGATCTCCGAGTGCACGGCGTACTGGATATTCGGACCCTTCGCGCTGGCGTTAAGCTGCGAGAAGTCCAGCCAAGTGGGTGTCTGTGCAACACGCAATGTATCACGCGGCGAGAGCACGGTAGGCGTAAGTCGGGCTGTGTCATGCGTCACGTCGAACGCGTAGTCGTACACCACGAGATGAAACGTCCGAAGGTGACCTTGGAGCGCCTTGAGCACCGAGCGCATCGAGTATACGAGCTCATTGTAATCGCTGCCGTTAGTTGGCAGCGAGGCACTTCGCTGAAAGCGACAACGTACCGGAAGTGCTGGTCAGGGCTGTAGATGCCGGCCTCGCCGCGCCAGTACTCCATCTCACTGCGCCACCGTCCATCAGACCCGTTGACCCATGTCCACGTCGCATCGAGCTTCACCTCGGGACCTGCGTCGTGCTTTCCGCAGCTGGTGGTGCCGTCGAGGAACCAGCTCTCAAGGCAATGAATAGGAAGTGACCGCGTTGGGCGCAGCAAGGGGAAAGGGGCGGGTGAGGGCGGTAGGGTAACGAGCGCGCGGTATCGGGGGTCGCGAGAGTCGAGGGCATCACCTGGCCTCTGAGAGGCTGAGGGGAAGTCCGACGACAGTAGACCAGGCGATTTCGCGGAGCCGAGCAGTCGGCAGATGAGCCAGGCGGCGATTGTCCAGACGGCGCCTACGCCGAGGACGCGCAGGCGCGTGAGGGCGCGCAGGCGGTTGGCCATGAACCTTGCGAGGCCTCCTGTTTCTGGTGAGGGTCTCCTTGTGCGTGGGAGGTGCGAATCTCCTCGGGCGCGCTGAACGGTGCGCGAGGGAGAGGCGTCAACTGCGGTAGCGTAGCATGCTGCAGAGTCCGAGTTGGCAACGGTGTCTGGCATGAAATCATGCAGCCGGCAGCCCGGGGCGAGTCGATGTAGCGAAGGGGTTGGACTGAGCGGTGCACAGAGTGCACAGGTCGTCGGGGCGGAAGCGAGATGGAAGCTTGAAGCTGAGTCGGGAGTGGGTCAAAGTGCCAGCAAAAGTGAGAACCAACGAATATTACAGACGGTCAAATCGTGATAGGAGTGTAAAGGAATGTGATGTGCCTTGGCTCGCCCACTCCCAGTATTTGGTTCCCCTGAACCAGCAACCTCGCCCACACGATATGTCGCACGACCACCACATGTGACACAGCGATAATGAACTACGATCCGCCGTCCACGACAGCGTAAAACATCATGTATGCATGTCTACAACCCTCGAATTAAGACAATCCACTATGAAGAATAGCGATCAGGAAATGACACAGCAACTGGGCAGGGAGCGACGTGGGGCGCCCTTTGCGCGCGAGCTGAGAGACAATCTTGCAGCTTCGATAATCGTCTCCTGCACGCCGCGGTTGGCCTTTGCCGAGCATTCTGGGTTAGCAGGGACGACGTAGGGCGAAGCACTCACCAAGATACCTGCTCGCCTTGAGCTTACGGGCGGCCGCAAGGCCATCGTCATGAGACACTTGTGCGTCTCCTTTCTCATTGTCTCGTAGGTCACACTTGAGCGCTGTTGTCAGCGTAGGCGAGCTCTGGAGCTTACCGGTCAATATAATCTTGACGCCCGGACAATGCTTGTTCACCTCTGGTCCCCACTTTTCCTCGACATTTTCCAGAGACACGGGGTCGTCCACCTAAGGTCAGCTTAACTCTTGACACCGAGCTCACTGAGAAACAAACAAGCACCACATGTGTGTCGAGGTAGGACAGCGAGCGCAAGCGGTCAAAGTCCTCTTGTCCTAGTGTAAGCTTTGCAAGACATGTCACGCACCAGCAGTGTCCCACAGGCTCAACTCGACCGGTTGCCCGTCAACATCTACGGTCTCGATGTAGTTCTCGAACACTGCCGTCAACATGCCGTTAGGGATCGGCGCAATGCGTACCTGTCGGCTCACTGCGGGTCAGCGTCGCAATATTTCAAGCTCACTAGTTGGTGGGGAAGAAGCCTCAACACGTTAGCATGTCCAAAACAAGGACGTACCCTTCGTGAAGACGGTTAAGAGCGAAGACTGGGTCAGCTGCGGTTACAGAGGGGAGGGGGCCGTACCTTGCCGCAACCGCCGTCGCCGACCACAACCAGTTTGCGGGGGATCTGTGTCAGCCGATCGTCGACAAATGCAAGCGTACGGGTTTTACCATTCGCACCAGAGCTTTGATATTGAGGGCGTTCTGGAGCGAAGCGTAGTGGTTGTCGCTAAGACCAAGGCCGGGGCGTGCATGGTTTTGTTTGTTTACAAGTCAGTGTGATCGGCACACAGCCGAGCCGATTTGCTCCCGTCGCCACCTTATGGACGCACCCTCGATTGGATCCCACGCTAATCGTCTCTTGTCATTCCACTCCATCCACCTCATCTCGAGTAGACATCCTTCTTTCCTACATCATGGCTCCTCCTCAGCCAACATACGTTTCCTCAACGGGTCAGCTGACGACCCCGCCTATAAGTAAGCGCGTATACGACACCATTAGCGACTACGCGACCATCGCGTACCTCTTCGTCGAGACACTCGTCGCCGTACGTGTAATCGTCTGATGCTCTGACACTGCAGCCCATAGTCAACCCCAATCCCGGGCCCACTGCACCTCGAGGCCAGCAGCCTGCCAACGGACAAGCTGCTCCTCCTCGCGGAGGCAGCGTTTTGGGCGGCAGTTGGGGGCGTGGCGGTGGTGACGGCGGAAATGGCGGCGGGGGTGGTGGGAACAGCCGCTTCATGTCCATGAATGACCTCCGCGGTGGTGGTGCGTTTTTGCCTTCCTTCCAGCGCTTATACTCAGACACCGTCGACTCTTGCCGAAGCGCATGCGGATAACTGTCACCCCTTGACCACGCCCCGCTTAACACGTTGTACCGCAAACATGTATACACAAGTTCCAAAGTCATTCTACTCTGCATCAAATCATGAGGGCATGCATCGCGACCGGCGCTCAGCAGGTATGTATAGCGTGAAAAAGGTCCATGGGAGACTCATGGAGGACGAAGGAAAGTTTATGAGGGGGCATGGGCCTTAGCCACGCCAGTGCTTCCAGCGGCGGTAGACGGGAGCCTCCTGTGCCCACTCGCCGTCAGCCGATGGAGCCGCGGCCGCGCTCTCGGTCGCGTTGGCAGCGGCCGACTCGACAGGGGCGGTGGCATTGGCGGCGTCCGACGCAACGGGGGCAGTGGCGTTGGCAATACCCGACACGATAGGCGCAGTGGCGTTACCGGCGTTGGAAGGGCTGGGGGAGGCAGCGGCGGTGGCGTTGGCGCTGGGGGCAGCCTCCTCCTCGTCCTCGCAGTCCTCCTCGTCCTCATCAGGCGTGGGGGTCACGGGCGAGGTCTCAGTGCCAGTCTCCTCGTCCTCGCAGTCCTCGTCGTACTCGTCATCGCCCGAGGGCGAGGGCGAGGGCGAGTTGGTCGAGCCACCAGCGGACGGGTTTGAGCCCGAAGTGGAGCCGGAAGGCGAGGCGGGGCTGGAGCCCGAGGGAGTGCCAGAGTTAGAACCGGAGTTCGAGCCAGAGTTAGAGCCAGCAGGCGCGGGCGTGTTCGAACCGGCAGGCGAGTTCGAGCCGCCAGTGGCGCCGGCGCCAGGGGCGGTGACGGTGACAGTGACGGTGACAGTGGCGCCGTCGCACGACTCAGCAGGAGCGGCGGGGCCCTGAGGAGCAGGCGAAGTCGGCGAGTTGGACGAGCCCGAGTCGCCGGGGCCGTCGTTCTTAGGGAACGAGCCGGTGTCGGGCATGCCGGAGTTGGTCGAGCCAGAGCTGGGCGAAGCCGGGTTCGCCGAACCAGTGTTGGGCGAGCCGCTGGGCGACGAGCCAGCGTTAGGCGAGCCGCTAGGCGAAGAGCCGGTGCTGGGCGAGCCGCTGGGAGACGAGCCGCTGGGGGCAGTGGCGGAGCCCGAACCAGGGGTCTCCTCCTCAATCTCGTCGCACCAAGGGAGGTCCTCGTCATCCTCGCTGCCGGTGGTGGGGATGGGCGAAGTCGACGAGCCGCTGCCGCTGGGAGTGGTAGTGTTGCTGCCAGCGCCGGGCGTGGGGGAGGTCGAGTTGGCGCCGTCCTCGTCCTCGTACTCGTCGCAGTCCTCGTCGTCCTCAGCAGTGCCGTTGGAAGTCGAGTTGCCAGTGGGAACGGTGACGTTGCCGCTGGGGGTGGGGACAGGCGAAGTCGCGTTGGCCTGGGGAGCGGTCTCGTTGCCGGCCGGGGCAGTCTCGTTACCGATGGGGGCGGTCGCGTTGGCCTCCGGGGTCGGGAGAGGCGAAGTGGCATTGCCACCCTCACCCTCACCAGTGGGGGTGGTGCCGTTGGTAATGGGGTTGCCCTCCTCGTCGCACTCGACGCCGTCCTCATTGATGTAGGTGCCGTTGACAGCGGACGAGGCATCGGGCGCAGCGGCCGAGGTCTCGGAGGCAGGGGCCTCACCAGAGGGGGAAGCGGCCTCGGTGCCGTAGGCCGCAGCCTCGTCGCCGCGCTTCGCGACGGCACCGCGGCGGAAGGACCAGCGCGAGCTGTCGGCAGCCACCTGGCCGGCCGTGGCGAGGGCGTAGAGCACGCCAAAGGCGATACCAGTGTTGAAACGCATGTTTAGAGTGAAAGAAGATGGATAAAGGCAGGAAAAGTGGAGAGCAGCTTCGACACCAGGTCTGGAGCTGCGGGGAGTCTAGGTAGAGAAGAGGGGGGTCGTTGACAAGAGTGTTGAGGATTTAACGAGTGACTGGCTTCGAGCGAGATGGTCTCACTTGAACGCTTGCTTACGAACGATGTTGAAGGATGAAGAGAAAGAGAAAGCGCGAGCGAGGCAGTGTTACTAGTATCCTCGAGGACTGGCGGCAGTCACTGGATGGAAAGGCGGGGGGAGTGAGGGCCGGGAAGCAAAGGGTGTCGTTGACATGTCTGACTCTGGAGAGAGGTTGCAGGAGCTCAGACGGCGCCACGGCAGCGCCAACGTGACTTTACGAGGTTGTGAAGGGGCAGCCCGCAGGGTACACAGGGGTGGCCGACGCGCCCGCTGCCGTTGCCGACACTGCCGGAACGGATGCAGGGACTTGACCGACTGACTTGGTGTGCCGTCAGACCGGGCAAGGCCTGCTGAGGTGAGCGGAGAGGGAGCTGCAGCAGAGCGACAAGTTTGCTGCCCACGTTGTGTGCCCTGTCACGCCTGTGCACTGCTCATGCAGCTCCGGTGAGTCTAGCCGAGGGTCGCGACGGGCTGGATCCCCCAAAGACCCAAGGCCAAGGGTGGTGGAAAGCAAGGTCTCGCCCACGAGAGGAGGGGAGTGTGGCAGCGTGGCAGGGCAGGCACAAAGACGCGACTGGCAAACTCCCCCGAGGCCCAAAGGACCGAAGGGGCCCGTGCTTCATATCCGCAGGGGTTCAGGGTCTCCCCTCCCTGAAGTCTGCTCGACAGCTCCCGAAAATGTACTTCCGCGCGACTCAGCAGCGCAGCAGACCGCAGGCCTCAGGGATCAGGGAGGTTGCAGGGAACGGCTGCCCCCGACGCGTCGCGGCCGACGTTGGCTGATGAGATGCTGTGGACTGCAACTGCTCAAGCAATTCGGCGCGACGTCCACACGCAGGTCTGCTTCGCACTCTCACTGAGAGTAGGTGCATGCTCACGCAGTAGACGAGCTGGGCAGTCATGCATTGCATCCGTCTGTCTTTGTACAGTAGACGTCCATCCTGCAGTAGGTCGCGCCGAACCCTATTCCTCTGTCCGTGCGGAGGGGCACGAATGGACGGACAAAGACGATCAAACTCGTGTGCGATCTGCCAAGCCTCTGATCCTCAGACGACGATCCTGCCCAGAATGCCCAGAGCGGCAGGTGGCGCTCTTCCATCAACTCGACACTCCTTATTACCGGGAGCAAACGCCTCTGCGCCACAGTAATGCAGACTGAATACGCAATGTTGGCTGGTATGAAACACCCCGCGCGCCGAAGGCCAGAGGGCAAGAGGGCCATGGACCAGTCGTGTCCTGTTTCGCTCCCATGTCTTTACAACGTCCTGCCAGACAGGACTGCAAAACACCAGCCAAGACGCGCAAGAGCACGCGTTTCGATCAAGGCACCATCGTTTGACGTGGCCAGACCTCAAACAGGCGCTGACGTCGTTTGGGTTCCAGACATGCTAGCCAAGTCTGGACAAGCGATGAGAGCCTGTTTTGACACCGCAACGCGCCAAGCTGATACCAATCCCGACAGTCTCGGTTCACCCCTTCGTATTCTGACGCGTCTCCCTCAAAGGCCGACAACCTTATCGTTCTTTTGCTCTTCTTTGACCGCACTTCCGTCGCAACTCATCACTCCAACTAGGTCCAAGGATGAGACTCGCGACGCGGGCCGAAGGGCCAAAGATGACCATTTCATTGACTGGACCCCGGGTTTCTTGACCCCGAGTTTGGTTCAAACGAGAGTGAAACTTCAGTGCCTCCTCCTCCAGTTGTTGAAGGCGATGAGATCACGTCTTAATCACATCGCGCCTCCTGCCCCTCCAAACGCGAGAGAGACGCGACCTTAGGTGGTTACTGATGGTCGTCCAGACCCGGCCGAGACGCAACATTATGCTTCTCACTGACTGTTCCTCCATCCGCGACCGAGACGCGACCGAGACGCGGCGTTATGGTACTTTTGCCCTTAATCGTCACTCCAGCTGGCGTTGCAGCAAGGCGGTATATATCCTTAACTGATTGACGCGTCGTGACAGAATTGTAATGGTACTGACGTGAAGCAGCCTTTGAGCGTGAAGCGCCAGAATGTGAAGTGACTGAATTCCACCTGGGAGCGCGCATGGTTTGACGGACGGATAGAATGGTGCAGGCGGTTGATCATGGGGTGCGCACGCGCGATCTCCAGCATCTTTATGGCTCGGGAACTCTGCAGCTCTGCGCTCCCCCTCTCAGAGCGGCCGAGGTTTTGCGGATCCAATGGTAGAAGGCGATATGCTGCGGGTCAATGTGAAGCCCGCGCAGGCAAGGCTGAGCTCCAACTCCAACTGCACAGACCTTTGCCTAGATGTGCGTACGGGTACTTATTCACTTTCAGTGGACGCCATCGCTCGCAGCATGCACCACCTCTCTTGATCACGTGATGTATCATCCGAGGTGTATCCGGTTTGCGAACCTCCACTTCGCAAAAGTCCGTTGCTCGCTTTCCGTTCCCGAACCATCACCATCTTGATGCTCCTCCACAGCGGCCGTGCCCTCCGCTGTCTGCTCCGCTCCCAGGGGAGACTTGGCGGGTTAGCGTTACCCCGACGATGCTTAACAACACCTCCTCCTCAGACTTGGTTTACCGAAGACGAGAAGGCGAATGCCAAGATCCTTGAGGCAGCCGCAGCCAAGGTTGCTCTCTTCAACGCAGCACAAGAGGTGAGCGACTACCAGTGCAGACTGACGGAAGCCAAAAGATGACTTGACAGTCGACGAGAGCCGACAACGCGCCAAGGTGCAGAAGGAGATAGGGCCCTTAGCAGAAGTATACACCAACTACCTCACTGCACGGAAGGTAAGAGCGACAACGGCCAGGCTGACGACAGGCGCTTCATGACATCCAGCCGCACCTATCTGACCCCGACGAATCGCTGCGCGAAATGTTCCAGATGGAAGTCGATGAGCTCTCCGAGCATCTCAACGCCGCCGTCGGGCAGCTTCCCGACCTCCTCCTGCCGCCATCCGAGACCGACCCTCTGGCGCTCATGATGTCGTTGAACGCGGGCGTGGGAGGGTCCGAGGCCGCGCTGTTCGCCGAGGAGATGGCGAGGATGTACACCCGCTTCGCGGAGAAGCGTGGATGGAAGATTGAAGTCTTGAGCCAGACGGAGGGACCTAACGGCCGTGGCGTCCGAGAGATGACCATCAAGATGGAGCCTGCGCCCTACTCTGATAGCGAGGTCTACGGGCTCTTGCGGTGGGAGAAAGGTGTACACCGGGTGCAGCGAGTACCACAAACGGAGACGCAGGGGCGCGTGCACACCAGCACGATCACGATCGTTGTCATGCCCATTTACCCGGATGCTCCGGAAGCGCCCCTTGTCGACCCCAAAGACGTCAAATCCGAAGTCATGAGGTCGCGTGGCGCCGGCGGCCAACACGTCAATAAGACTGAGTCGGCGGTGAGGCTCACCCACATCCCCACCGGCATCACCGTGTCGATGCAGGACTCGCGCAGCCAGCACCAGAATCGGGCGTGGGCTTGGGACGTGCTCCGCGCGCGTTTGAGTGAACGCAAGCACCAGGAGGAGATCGAGGCGAAACGTGCCAGCCGACGGAGCCAGGTCAAGGGCGCCGACCGTGGTGATAAAGTCCGCACGTACAACTTCCCACAGGTGAGTAGGTCGCGGGCTTATCTGACGAGCAGGACCGATTGAGTGACCATCGCATCGGTCTGAATCTGACTGGCTTGAGGGAGATTATGGACGGCGACGGACTGGACAACGTCATTGCAGCGCTGCGGCGCGACTTCAACGCTCGCAGGTTGGAGGGCATCCTCGCGGGCGAGGAGGACTTCGACGAATAGACGCTAGCTGCATTCGCATTACTCTACTCGGCGGCGTGGGCGCCGCTGAAGAAGGCCCGGATCTCCTGCTGCTTCTCGTCGAAGCCTGATGACCCGATGCCGCCGCCCTGCCGCTCTACGCCCTCGAGGTGGGTTGTTACATCCGTTGCCAAGATTTCCACGGTGAGAGGCGGCAGCCCAGGGAGGTTGTCGTAATCAAGCGGCTGACCGGTCGCCTCGCCCTTGCGTAAGCAACTCTCGCTCTGGCAGACTCACGGCGTATCCGACATGCAGTCGCGTCCAACCGGTCTGGATGTCAGTTGCGTCCGGGTGCCACGTCAGTCGCTCACGTTCGTCATGCCTGGTGTCAGTCATACATTCTTACATTCTGCCGCAGAGCTCACCCTTGTAAGCCCAGTGCGAGTCGATGCCCTCCGGTCGACGGGTCAGGAAGGCGCTAAGGAACTCATAGTTGAAAATGCCGTGCGCCACGAAAACGAGATGCTTGGAGTCCGGAGTGGCACCATACGACTCGCGCAGCGCATCCTCGACGAACAGCCTGATACTGCTATGAGCTTCACCCAGCAGGCAACGTACGCCTCGTTCGCGCGATTGCGCACGTCGCCGAGGTTCTCACCCTCGGGGAACTTGAACGTGCGTCCTGGGTGGCGCACGTACTTCACGTCGTCGCCAGCAAAGAAGTGGCCCTCGGCTGCAGGTCAGAGAGTCCTGGCATTCCACTTACCGACACCGAAACCTTGCTCGCGCAGCAACGGTGAGACAGTCAGCGGAGGGTCAGACTTGTTCTGAAGCTGGATCTGCTGGCCCTGCCGTCAGCCGGTCCAAAGGTGTACTGACGGTCCAGTGCGCACGCTTCAGCGGGGAAGCGAAGACTGCGTCGATAGGAATGTCAGCGAACGAGGCGCCGACAGCCTTGGCTTGCTGACGATCAGTGAGGGAAGATGTGAGGCCCTACGTTCATGCCTGTCGTCAGCGTTGTCCTCCGCCTGCCTCACCGTGGTTTGACAGCGGTGCATCGGCCCAGCCAGCCCACACTGGGCGGAGGTTGTCTCTCGTCAGCTAGTTCGGGCGGACACGTACCGGTCGACTCGCCATGACGAACCTGCCGTCAGCTGGTGGCCATTCCCGCGAGCCTTGTGCGACCCACTATAGTGATTGTGATCATCGCGTTTGATTGAGATGATGGTCAAGTGTACGACTCAGAACGTGCGACCTGGCGGGTACATGGTTGACTCGGACCCGGTTCAACCGGCGAAAGGGCCGACGTCGGCCATGCCCGTCGAAGTGACTGCCCAAGATATAGTGGTGATATAATGATCACGTGTCGCACACGCGACGCGTCGCCCTCCACCACATCTCCCTCCACGACCTCCACCTCTGGACTTCGGTTTCGCGTCAACATCTCGCCCTCCGTCTGTGTCCACATCGAGCGCACACTCTCTGCCATGTCCGAGCAAACTGCCCAGCAGGGCAGGCCGCTTCCAGTTCTTCTCCTTAGCACGCTCGTTCCCATCGCCCTCACGCTCATTGTTCACCCTCTCATCCCCGTCTTCGGCCTCACGGAATACTTTCCCTTCCCGCCGCAACCGACCTTTCCTGCCCTCCAGGCCAACATCGGCTTTTCGTTGCTCGCGCTAGTGGGGACGCTTCTGGTTATCCCGAAGGTGACACCGGCTTTCCTTGCGAAGAACATCAAGGGACGTGACCTGCTCAAGCCTGGTGGGAGGACATCGGGGCCCTGGGTGTGAGTTTGCTTTCAGGTTGCGGCGCCTAACAACAGCCCCGAATGTCTCGGACTGCCATGCGCGTCGCTATATCTCCTCCTCATGATGCTTTTCATCCCTTTCCCTTTCTCGCACATCTTTCAAGTGTCGTCCAACAATGGCGTAGGGCGCGAGAAGTTCCCAACTGGAGAGGTGAGGTGCAGAACTCTACGTACAGCTGACCGAAGCTTACGTTCTACTTGACGTCGTTGCTTTCGCTTCTCACTGCAACAATGCTTGGGTTTATTGATGATCTGTTCGACATTCGATGGCGACACAAGCTTCCAATTCCTCTCATAGCAGCTGTACCGACGCTTCTTGTCTACTACGCCACGGGCGGCTGGACGTGGGTCGTTCTCCCAGAATGTGTCGGCAAGCTGTTGCGCTCCCTCGGACTACCGGGCTGGATCGGCGCACCAGTGATTGACCTCCGTACGTAACTCCTCACCTTGTCCTCTCCTGACGCCAAGACATCTTCTACTACTTGTACCTCGTCCTTCTCCCAACATTCACGACCAACTCCATTAACATTCTGGCCGGAATTAATGGCGTCGAGGTCATTCAACCGCTTATTATTGCGATGTCCGTTACGCTTAATGACCTGCTCTTCTTGCCCATTTGGCCTGAGTGGCTTCTTGAGTTTCTCGGCATTGAGAACCCCGCAGGAGGACGTATGTTGCCATGGGCCGTTGGACAGGTCGTCACCCGTCACCTCATGAGCCTCTACTTCATGATTCCTCTCATTGGCGTCTGTGCCGGCTTTCTGTGGCACAACTGGTGAGCCATTGTGTGGGCCTCAGCTGACGGCAAGGTATCCAGCCCGGGCGTTTCCTGGTGATACATTGTGCTACTTTACGGGTATGGCGTTCTCGGCAGTGGCTATACAGGGGCACTTTTCCAAGACAATGCTGTTGTTCTTCCTTCCTCAGATATTCAATTTCGTGTTGTCATGCCCTCAACTCTTCCATCTGGTACCTTGTCCTCGCCATCGGTTACCACAGTGAGCAGGACGCAGGTTTCTATACTGACCAGTTTAGCTTCAACCCTGAGACTGGGCTGCTGGAGCCATCCAAGGCGATTTTCAAGAAGCGTCCTTCATTGCTGGGCCGAGTGATCTTGGAGGTTTTCCAAGTACTTGGCTTGACAAGGCTTGAGCGCGCGGGCGCACCAAGTGTTCCCAAGGACGGCCCGAGCTTGTCCGATTCCCAACCGAAGGAAGGCGACCTCACGTCGGCCACAAACCTTACTCTCATCAACGTTCTTCTCGTGAGGTTGGGGCCGTTGCGCGAACCCACTCTTTGCCTTTGTGTGGGGGCAGTACAGGTTGCCGGTAGCGCCGTTGCGTTCGGCATCCGATACGGCATTGGCTCATTAGTATACGGCGGAGACAGGCGATAGAGCATCTTGAGCATATCACGATGTATCATAGTTACACACAGAATGAGGGATCGGCCATCCCATCATTGTTCAAAGCGCAGATTATAACCGCCACCTGGCTGCTCATCAAACTTGAACATGTCGGTGCTCAGCCCAAACTTGCCCAGCAAGCTGTTGCCAAGATCCTTGAGCTTGCCCAACATTTCGTCCTTCTCCTTCTCCTGCTGCACCGCGATGCGACCAGGTAGCGTTGCAAGGGCGCGCTTCGCCTCGCGGAGCTGTGGCGACGAGGGAGGGAGGCTAGAGACAAGAGTACTGTAGTCTTGAGGTCAGCTTCAACGCGCCGAGCAAACTCACCTTCCTGAGCACTTGTCAGCGAGGACCACGTCCCCAGCTTGTCGTTGGCCACCGCTCGCCGATGGACAGCCTTAAGATAACCCGGGTCCATCTTGATAGCTGGTGTGAGCGTACTGCTTTCCCCTCAAGCCGCATCCTTACCCTTGGTGCACACTTCCACGGCCTTCTTCCACTCTTCCTGCGCCACGTAAACGGCCCCTAGATTACCATACACAGCCTTCGTGCACTCGCGGATGCTCTGCTCTATCTCCTCCCGCTCCGTGTCCTTCTCGCGCGCGTTTTCGGCTTCGATTGCTTCTGCCTCCGCCTCCGTCACTTCCTGCAGCCCGCTGTGAGCCTCGGGTGCGGCTTGGAAGGGACGTGGGGGAGGAAGGTCGGGGAGAAAGTCGAGCGCGCTCGTGTACGAATCGCCCGCCTCCTCCAGGCGCCGAGGTTGGGCGAGGAAGTGCTTGTTTCCAGCTTCCTTTAGCGTGGTCGCACGCGTGAGCAGCTTCTGTTCGTCAGCGACCGACGAGACCCAGTTGGAATCTCACCCTCAACTCATCGGTCGAGAAGCGTGTCAACCCTTCAATGTCTTCCTCAATTCCCAGGTCACCTTCGCTTGCAGACTCGAAGTGTTCGTCTGTGCTATCGGCTGTGCTTGCAGGCTTCGCTGGAGGTGGCACGCTGCCGAAGCGCTCCTTTACCCATGGTGGAGGCTCAAAGAGGCGAGCATCAAAGGGTGTTGGCTCTTCGCTGGGCGAGGGGATGTCCGGCATACCCTGCGAGATGGTGTGCAGAGGTAAAGCAGAGAGTGCAGTTGGAAGAGAAGGTTCAGAGGACGTTGAAGGTCAACGTCATGGCTTCGCGTGGTCTACGCATGTTTTCCACGTGGAAGTGGCAACGGACAGTCGAATTGATGAATTGAGGTGTTGAGTTCAAGTTCAGGGTTCGACTCCGTTGGAATGGCCTCCCGACCTCTGAGTTTCTGCCCAAGTCACGTGACTACTCGGTCCCTGCCTGATCTCCCTTCGCAACTGTCTCCCTCCTCCCCTCGTTGTCCACGTTCCCGGCCCCGCCTCCTCAAGCTTCAACCCTCCCAGTCTCACTCACATTTCTCAAGTCTTCACATCACCGACTGCTTTTGCTCATCACTCCTCCTCAACCCATCACCATTGCCCGGCAACATGGTGCGCGCGGTCGTCAGGGATCTCTCCCCGCGAGGGCGCATCGCTGCTGTCGCTGGCGCTTTCTTCACTTTCCTCTTCCTCCTCAACTTCATCTTCCCCTCCTCAAACCTCGCCAGCCCTCACCGATGGACTACTGCGTCGTCTTCCGTCCTTCGCTCAAAATTCCTGCGCGCTAAGGCGCGGGCGCCACGGCCGCCGATTCACCACCCCATCCCGAAGCTCATGGCAGACGCTCGTGACGCTTTCGACAACAAAGTCAAGCGTCAGTCTAAGACGCTTAGCGAGGCCGTCCGCGAGTACCGCCGCCGTTATAAGCGCGACCCGCCCGCTGGCTTCGACAGGTGGTTTGAGTTTGCCAAGGAGCACAAGGCGGTAATGATCGACGAATATGACCAGCTGTTCAGCGATCTTGAACCTTTCTGGCAGTTGACTGGCAAGGACCTGCGACAGCGCTGCATCGATGTTGGTTACCTTCCTTCCGTCGACCTTGTCCGCGTTCAAAACGGCACCGCACGCACCATTGACGTCAATAACGGTTTCCAGAACTCTGAGGCCGATGCACGTGCGAAGGGCTTCCGTGTCATGCTCGAGAAATTCCAGAAACACCTGCCGGACATGGACTTCCCTATCAACGGAAAGGCTGAAGGACGTATCCTTGTCCCATGGGAGGAGCGCCTCTACCAGAATCTCACCAAGGATGCAAGCAGTGAGTCTCAATTCTCGTCGTTACTAACTCGTTCTAGAAGGCATCAAGCACGTTCTTGGGGGCGAGTTTGTGGCAGACTGGAGGGGGGACGGCAATGTTTGGGAGTCCTACCGCCGCACCTGCGCACCAACATCACAGGCGCGTCGCCTTTTCGGCTCTCTTCGCGCTCAGCTGAAGGAGGGGCAGGTTCCCATCTCGCGTCTTGCCAACGCAGGTATCACGACCGACTCTGTGGACGAAGACTTCGAGTTCGCATCGGACGTCGACGACAAGTTTGACTTTTGTGACCATCCTTGGGCCCACTACAACCAGGGTCATTTCTTCTCGGACTGGCGCACTATCCACGCTCTCTACCCCATGTTCTCCCCTGCAAAGGGTGTGGGATACTCTGACATTCTCATCCCGTCCCACTACTACTTCTCCTCAACCAAGCGATACACCTACGGTTGGGACCCCGTCAACATGATCATCAAGGACGTGGATGACATGGAGATCCCATGGGAGGAGAAGGTTGACGACATCTTCTGGCGCGGTGCTACCACCGGTGGAGGCTCGAATCCTCCTGGTTTCCTCGCCCAGTACCAGCGTCACCGGTGAGTTAATGTTTCTGTTTGCGCTGACGGATAGCTTCATCAAGATGACCTCCGACCACTCGCGCGTGAACCGCACCATCGTGTTCGCGGACCCTCCCGGCACGGATAACTTCATCTCGGCGCAGGTTGCCGTTGGTGACCTGAACGACGAAATGATGGACGTCGCCTTCACAAAGGCTGTGGGCTGCACGCAGTACCCCAACGGCGGCTGCGACGCGATGCGCAAGGATCACCGTTTTGCTGACGCTGTTCCTCTGGGCGAAAATTGGCGTCACAAATATCTGATCGACCTTGATGGCATGGGTTACTCCGCTCGTCTCTTTGCTCTGGTGAGTCACAGTCTACAAGAAGAGACGCTGATCGTCTAGCTCAAATCCGAGAGTGCTGTCCTGAAGTCAACTGTGTACTCCGAGTTTATGTCTGACTGGATTCAGCCCTGGCTGCACTACATTCCCGTGTCCCAAATGTACAACGAGATCTACAACATCTACGCGTACTTCTCCGGCCCCTCCGTGTCGATGCTCAACGCCGCCAACACTACCCGTGACCAGTTCCAGTCATCCGGCCTTCACACCCGCAAGTTAGATGGCGACGCCGAACTGCGCAAGATCGCGAAAGCCGGACGGGAATGGATGTTCTCCGTCGGGCGTAAGATTGACATGGAGATCTACGTCTACCGGTGAGTTTGCTGGCTGCTAAGAAGTGAACGTGTCACTGACAGTTAGCCTGTGTCTTGAGTGGGCTCGTCTCAACTCGGATGATCGCGATGACACGAGCTACAAGGGCTTCCTTTAATGTTAGATGGTGTCTTTGGCCAGATCTCGTTTGAAATAGTGTTGCCTTGATGGTAACTGTGACCATATCCCTCTCTGCCTCAGTGTGAGGTTGTCGGAACAATTTGATTCATCATAGACAATGCATATGCAACATAAACAGAGACCTAGTACCTAGTCGGCGCGTGGCATGACTTCAGCTGATCAGGTGCGGGGACTCCACACCAACATTTTGAATTCAGTCCGCTCGACCCCGCTCTTTGGTTGTCGTTCACACACTTCTCTTGACTCCTACTACCGCCACCCTGGTCCAACGTCGTCTGACACTCAACATGGCAGGGGCACCACCACCCACGGCTCATCCTCAGCAGGAGGGTGACGACGAGGATGACGAGGGTCACATGGACGTGCAGTTCATTCGCGGCTTCGCTGAGTATGTCGCTCCGCGCACTTCAGCTGACAGCAGCAAGATTCAACGCGTCCCACAGGAGCTGCAGGATGACCCGGCCATCGCGCGTCCCAAGATCAACATCCCGAAGCGTGGCGAAAAAGACTTCGAGCCGCTCGCAGAGACGGTGAACCTGCAAGAGATGATGCTTCAGAACAGCCGGCAAGCGCTCTTCGACGCGCTGCAAGGCGTGCGCGGTGTGGCGAGCAAGTCTCTCTCGCACGCTCTTATTACGCCAGCTTCACCATTTCCGCAGCTCATCATCTCGCGCGGCCACGTCTTGGACACACTCGGCATCACCGTCCGCCCGGCCGGCGGAGGAAAAGGCCGTATCGAACTTCTTCCAGAGGAGGCACTGTATCTCGCCGAGCGTGGCAGTCTGCAGATTTGGAATGGGATGTCGCCGACTCAAGAAGAGCCTGATCTCGGGACGTGGAGCGAGGAGGAGTTCGGGGTCCGCGGCGCGGTCGAGATGAGTGTGCTTGAGTGCTTCAGCGCATTCATGGGCATGGAGGGCCTCTCGTGGCAGCGGTATCAAGCGTATGCCTATCTCAAGCGTCTGGGGTACACGGTGCAGCGGACACGGCGATTCATCCCTGCCCACTTCCTGCCGGTCGAGGAGCCGGTGAAGACTGGTGTGGTTGCGAAGATCGCTGGGCTGTGGGCGCGCCTATGTGGCGCTGTGTCCCGTCTGCTCGCTGCCGCGCGAGCGCACCTCCCATCCCTTCGTGGAGGAGTCACCGGCGTCGGACTCGCACTGGGTAGAGTATTTAGCAGTAACCCTCTGCGCGCCACGATCCTTGGCTCGTGGTCAGGTCAGACTTACTGTGAGTATATTCTCCTGTCATGCCAACTGACATCCAGCTTCCATCTTTACACACATCCGCTTCATCCCGGCAGGACACACCCACCCAGTACCCTCAAGGTTGTCCTGCGCAGCAGGCAATTCGCAGTACTCTTCCCTGGTGGATAACCCGTACCTCCCCTTCTTCCACGTCTGGAAACCCGTCACATCCTGGAGTAAAGCGAAGTGGGATCGTGGAAGCCCCGCTGGCCTGGCAAACCAGCGACCTGACTACGCGATCGCTGCTGTTGAGTGGGTGTCTTGCCCTACTCTTCACTGACTTGCAGATCACGCAACACTCCCATGCCGACCCTGTGGCAGCTTAATGAGGTGTTCCATTGTCTCCCCGACGAGCCCAAGGGCCCACCCCGCCGTGTGGGGCCGCAGTATGAAAACCGCCGGCCACATTTGCAGCGCGTGGAGGAGGAGGAAGCCCCGGCATCGTGGTTCCATCGCATTGTGCCTTGGCTGCGAGTCAAGGCGCCGATGGAAAGGCAACATTCAAATCCCATGGCGGAGATGCGGAACGGGGATCGCGCGTTCATCGTGGCGGTGAATGACTCGGGCAACACTGGTTGGGTGCGGTTCGGCCGGTCAGGATTTGAGAGCTTTCCTATGGTGTAGAGGTCTCATATGCATACATCTTACATACATGGGAGGATGCGTTCCAGTCTAGTCGGCACGCCCGCGTAACAGCGTTTCTACGTTGCTTGCTGTGGCCCATAGCCCATAGCTCCTCACTTAGTGATTGTTCGCTACCACTCAGTCTCCCCCTCAAAACGATCGAGCTGTGCAACCGCTGCAGTGACTTCCTTCTGCCGAGCAGTGCGGCGGTAGTAGATCGGGCAATCCGCTGAGGTGCAGATAACGTCCTGATGCAGTGAACCCTGGCAGCGCTGGCACTGTGTCCACAGGCGAGCAAAGTCGAGTTGCAGTGCCGACGTTGTGGCTACCTGCTTCGCATACAGATCTGGCAGATGACGACGGCAATTGACACACACGGCGCTCTCTGTTTGCTTAGCCGGATCAGTAAGCGTATGGACCCACCCTTCTTTCCCTTCAGCGGCGTACGACAGCCAAGACAGGTAGCCGTCTTAACCGCAAACTTCATGAGGCCACCCACAGTGGGCGTTGCAATCTGGATACTGCGGGTGTGCTCACCGGCCACTCGGCGTCAGCGGCGCCAAAGTGCGACTCACAGAGGCTGTTGGCCTTCTCCCCGAGAATGGGTTCAAAGATGCGCATGAGCGGTTTGGCGAGCTGATTCTCCAGATAGTAGCGCGTGTCAATCGGCACGTTGTTCTCCAGAACGTAAAGTGGGTCCTCAGACTTTTCGTACGCGGCGGCGCCTAGCAAATTAGAGCAGCCTGGTCATTCACGAGCTCACCCTTGATGCCCTTGACAATCACATAGGCGACTCGGTCTCCAAGAGACGGAGCAGAGCCTGCATCACGCTTCTTCATACGCTCTGCAAGCTCGACGTGGGCCTGCTTGCCGGCGTAATCTAGGGGGGTCAGGAAGCCATAATGGGGCGATCATACCTGTCTTTGCAAGCGCCTTGGTGATGACAAGCTGTGACATGTCAATCTTGTTTTGAAGCAGATCAGCAATAGTCTGCTTGACGTATCTGGGGTGTTAACAGCTGTGTCCGCACGTCTGCTCACTCCTCAGCACCCTTCACGTCGCGGTCAATTAGCATTTTGAGCAAACAGGTCTCGATCATGGTCGAAACCAAACGACAATTGTCACGTCGGACCGTCTGCTGATTAATTTGATTGCGCATCAGATAGGGAAGTGGGTCTTACCTCAATTCCCTTCGCGTCCATCTTATCGTACTTCTCTGGGCGTGTCCAGTACAGACCGGCGTATCGCTTCTTGCTGATGAGGAGATAAGGGAAGTAAACCTTCTCGAACTCGAGTTTGATGGGCTTCTTGAACTTGGTGGAGACCAGTTCTGCCGCCTCCGCGCCCAGACGCATGGCCGTGGGCAGGTCGGGGCATCCAAACTTGACCATGACGGAATCCGTGTCTCCATAGATGACTCGTGCATCGTGGTCATAGCCATTCCTGATGCAGTACTCTTTCTCAACCTCTTGCTTGGTTAACTCAATCATCTGTCGACCATAGGCTGTTACGGAGGTTGAAATGGCCAGACACGGCAGTTTGCCAACGGTAGCGCCTGTAAAGCCGTATACAGAGTTTGCACTGATCTGTAGTGTGAGTGCTGCGCTTGCGTGCGAGTTTGCTCACCTTCAGCGCCAATTGACGGCCGTCTAGAACCGCACGTTTGAAGGGATCTTTTTCCACTTTCAAATCGGCTTTTGCACGCTTTCGCGCCGCAAGGAGATTCTCGAGAACGTGAGGCAGTAGTCCCTTCCGACGACTTGCCATAACGAAAAAGTCTAGAGATCAGCCTCATGCACCATGAACGGCTCTCACCATTGTTCGGTGTCTGTACATAATCCTCTCCCTCCACGAGTTTCAGGCGCTCGATTGTTCCCTTGTCCAGTAGTGTCGTGTAACACAAGTTGTGCGCCATCATGATGGAGGGGTATAGCGAGGCAAAGTCGAGCGTAGCGATGGGAGTGTCATAGTACCCCTTGCTCGGCTCAATGACGGTCGCTCCCTCATATTGTTCGTCCGTCCCCTCACTCCTCATAGCCGGGATAAGGTATCCCTCTTCCCCTGCGCTGCGGTAGAGCTGCGAGATGACACGGATCTGCTGGCCTCGTGTGAGAACATCGTTGAAGGGGATACCTGTCACGCGCGCCAATTCGGTGTAGTTGACCAAACACATGAGACGGTCGAGTAGACGCTGAGGTAGGTAGGCATCCTGAGGTCAACGCCGAGCTTCGTACTACGCCTCACCTTCAAGCAGTACACGGCAAGTCGACGGCGGGAGTCGGCCGTACCGTTTTGAAGCTCAGTGATGATCGAGTGGTGCACGTCCTCCTTCTGCTCTCCAAGGAAATGTGCGCAGACGGCGTTGAGTGTGTAGCTGCGGAGCTTGTGATCGCGTTGAATGACTTGGAGAATGTCCATTTGGAGGCGTCCATCGATGTTGACGGCCTTCGAGTCCCGTTGCCCAAAAGCCTTCGAGGAAAAGTGCGTGTCACGCACTTCCGACCGGACACCTTGTGAGTCAGCGTAAGTCCATCTCCCTGCCTACCTTGCAGGCGGCCCAAATATGCAAAGTTTGGAATCTTCAAAGCCTTGGCTCGATCAAGGAGATAAGGGAGGTCGAAGTTGGCGGAGTTGTACCCGATGATCATGTCCGGGTCCACCGCCTGGACAAACTTGGACCACTCCAAGAGAAGCTCCCTCTCCTCGCGGAACTCTAGCACTTGTGATCCCACGATGTGAGCGCACGTGTTGAGAGTGAACACATTCCGGATGAAGGGTTTTGTCTCCCCTTCGCGGTCAGCATGGATAATGGCATCACAACGCACCATGTCTTGTCACCATTGCAGCAATCTGGATGACGGGGTCAATGTTGGCCTCAGGGAAGATGCCTTTGCGGCCCGCGCATTCAATATCGAAACTGAGTACACGGAGTGGAGCGATAGGGAGCCACTCTCCCTCCGGAGCATGCGAGATGAGGTCTTTGTAACTGTCTGTCAGAATTGACATCGGAGGTGGGCTTACTGAATGGTAAGCTCGAGTTGGCAGTGAGATCGCTTGTCATAACCTGACAACATCTCATACGTTGTGGCGGGCGCCTCGACCCAGTTCATGCCAACAATCTTCAGTTAACCCTTGCTCCACTGGCGGCTCACCTTTGTGTCAATCATGAACCGCAGCGTAAATGCGATGTTACTCTCGTACGTCAAAACTTCCTGTGGAAACAGGCCCTTGTAATCCACTTGGCCGCGTTCGAAGAGACGTGCATGATGAGCGTGAGGAAGAGGGAAGAAACTTATCTTTTACTTTGGGAATCGCTTTAGGTTCCGAACACATGATCTTGATGAAAGGAACATTGTCGTCTCCGCGGTAGCTCCACAGTGACTTGCGATTGACAGTGAGACAGTGGACAACGGCGGGGCCTCCCATCTGTACCGCGGCCTTCAGGTCAACAAGGAGAGGAGGACTGAGCCGAGCGACTTACATTGAGAGTGTCCTTGAAGGCCTGACAATCGGCCGGCAGAAACCCACTGGGCGCGGCAACGTAAAAGTAAGGTCGGAAGCCATGGACGTGTGCCAGGACTGAATTGCCAGCATTCGTGGTGCCGAACAGACGCAGTGTGGGACCATGCTTGGGATGACTTGATTCAGCGACCTCTATCTGTTGAAAGACTGCTGTTATAGACGGACTCGCCAAGTGGGACACGTACTGATAGTGTCCTTGCGTTCGTCAATGCTTGGGGCCACTGGGCGCGGCCAGGCTGCCGATGTCTCTATGGAACCTGCGGGTGAGCAAGTCCGCATGAGGACCCAACCTACCTCCGTCATCTTCAGCGTCCAATTGTTCTAGGACTTCTGTGAAGCTCTTCTGTTCCAGGTTTGAAGATCCCGCGGGCTCGAGCCTCCGCTTCTTTAACAGAGGCTGAGAGGTCATGGTGAGGATGGGGCGAGAGTTATGGTGGATCGGGGGAGATGACAAACATCTGGAAATGATGAACTTGACCAGTCACGCGTCGTCAACCTCCACCACGCGTCAACATTTACGTAATGACATGCGATCGCCACCTGCCCGCCTGTCACTGCGGCGGTCTTGCCCTTCCTGTTTACAGCTGTCAATGATCGACTGCCTACGATCCAACGAGCAGCTGAGCTGCATGAGCTGCATGAGCTGCATGAGCTCCCGTCCTTGCCGTGCGTGCGTGCCAAGGTCAGGAAAGCCTGAAATCCTGTGCTTGGATGCATGTGTGGCGCTCAACCATCGTCTGTAGATCGGCAGGCCGGTGGGTGGGCATTCTTGCTCGTACTTGCGGCCGCGGCTCAATCGGCAACATGTCCATGCAGATACTCCAGATACTCCAGTTCCTCCTAATACTCCACGACTACAGTCAGGACTAGCATGCTGTGATGGGTGCTGGCATGCCGTCGACTGCAGATGCATGACCCGAGTCTAGCAGAAACAGGTGGTGAGACTCTCTGCTCTTCTGAAGTACCAGTTCGAGACGGAGCACAGAGCATTTCTGCAAGAGTGGGGAGGACGACGAGGATTGAACTGGTTCCTCGCGATATCCGGTTCGCGAGGGTTTATATTAGCCGGTGCGCCACGGGGTGAGATTCGGACGGGCCCAGATGGGCGCGGCGGCCGGTGTCGTCACATCGATCACTCACCCGCGTCGGTGCGCCCCGCATTTCCGTACAAACCAGCACTCGGTGTACTCCCGGCACTCCTCCACGACCGAAAAGGCGTCGACAACTTTAATCCGTTCCGCCTCTTCCCCATCGTCCGCGCTCCCACTTGATTCCCAGTTCACTTGATCCTCCCTGCATCGAAACATGTTCCCCCGTGTTGCTCTCCAGCGCGTTGGTGGCCGCCTCGCCTCTACAGCTAACGCTGCTCGTCACTACGCTACGTCCAGCGCCTCGGGCCGTACGTGTGAGAACATGAGTGGGTGCTGACTTCCAGCTGTCAGCTTCGGCCTGAACGATGATCAGCGCGCCATCGATGGTTTGTTAGCCCCGTGTGGAAAATTTGGCCAGTAGCTGACCTTCCTAAGAGCTGTCTCGCACGTTTGCCCAGGAGAAGATCGTGCCCGCTGCTGCTGAGCTCGATCGCACCATGGTGAGATGTCCACATCAGCTCTCTCCTGACCGGCAGGAGTACCCTTGGGCGATTCTCAAAGAGGCTCACGCCGCGGGTCTTATGAACACTCACGTTCCCGAGGAGTACGGTGGCGCTGGCCTTGGCATGGTTGAGTGCGCGATTGTCTCGGAGAACCTTGGCTTTGGCTGCACGGGTGTCCAGACTGCCATCGAGGGTTAGTCTAGGCCATCAGCGAAAAGCTAATGTAACAGCGAACGGCCTGGCGGAGGCCCCGCTCATTGTCGGCGCCTCTCATGAGCTGAAGATGAAGTACCTTGGTCGCATGGGCGAGACACCACTCGTTGCCTCGTACGCTGTTGTGAGTCCAGTGTCCCGGAGGCGTGCTAAGTGTCAGACTGAGCCTGGAGCCGGCTCTGACGTCGCCGGCATCAAGACTAAGGCTGTTAAGGAGGGCGACAAGTTTGTCATTAATGGTACTAAGATGTGGTAAGTTCACCGATCATGTGCAACACAATCAAGCTAACTCCAGGATGTAAGTAGTCCTCCGGCAAATTCAAGTGACCCAACGAATCACTAACTGGCACAGCACCAACTCGGGTCACGCCAACTGGTTCGTGAGTCGCCGACGTTGTGGTTGGGAGGACAGCATCTGACGCTAGTTTGTCCTCGCAGTCACCGACCCTTCCGCCGGTGTCAAGGGTCTGACCGGATTTGTTGTCGATGCCGACACCCCGGGCATCACTCCCGGCCGCAAGGAGATTAACATGGGCCAGCGCTGCTCTGACACACGTATGGTGACCTTCCAGGATGTTGTCGTTCCTCAGGAGAACGTCATCGGTGCCGTGGGCGAGGGCTTCAAGCGTGAGTGCAGCGGGCGCAGAGTCCATGGCTAATGGGACAGTGGCCATGAAGGCGTTCGACATCACTCGTCCTCTTGTAGCCGCTGGCGCTGTCGGTCTCGCTCAGCGTGCCCTCGAGGAGGCGACCAAGTATGCCCAGGAGCGCAAGGTAAGCGGAACTTGTCCTCAGAGTACTCACATGCTAGACCATGGGCAAGGCCATTATCGACCACCAGGGCGTCGCTTTCATGCTGGCGGACATGGCCGTCAACGCCGAGGCTGCACGCGCGCTCGTGTGGAAGTCAGCCTGGGTCAAGGATGCTGGCCAGCGCAACAGTGCGTTGTGACCGCCGGGAGAGACTAACCCAGGCTACTACGCTTCCATGGCTAAGCTCTACGCAAGCCGGGCCGCTGTTGAGAACGCCAGCATGGGTGTGCAGGGTGAGCTTCGTACAGCATGGGGATACTCACAATAGTCTTCGGCGGCATTGGCTTCAACACTGAGATGCCCATGGAGAAGCTCTACCGGTATGTCGTCTTAGCTTGTACCAAGCTAACAGTCCAGTGACTCCAAGATTTTCGAGCTGTGTAAGTCGTCCCCTACCCAGATTATCTCATGCCTTTCACTGACGACTCCAGACGAGGGTACTTCGCAGATTCAGCGCCTGGTCATCTCGCGCCACCTGCCCGCCCTCTACCCCGCGTGATCGATAGTATAACGAAGTGGAGACATAGAACCAGACCAGACATCCGAATAATCAGGTTGTATGGCTGGGTTACAGGGCGAAATGATGCACATATCATCAGACCTACACCACGCTGACTGATGTAGGACTCAACGTCATAACATATACAGCACTACGAATTCTGATCTAATTTGCGAAGTGCTTGAGATTCCAAAGAAGAACGACACCTTTCGTGTTGGCCGCAGCCATGTACTCGCCTCCAGACGAGAATCCAATCGAGTTAACGCGCCCAAGCGGGGTGTTCTGAGTTGGCCAGTTAGAGAACGCGGTCCCGGTCGGCAGGTGGTACTGGGGTAAGCATCGGTCACGGCCCACGCCTCACGAGCTTGAGCTGCTTCTGCTTCGCTGAGGACGCCGTGGCGAACAATTCCCCAGAAGGATGGAAAGCCATAGTCGAGATTGGCGTTGTCAAATGCTCCAATGACTTGTAAGGTTCGATCCTGCTGTTTTCGTTGATCCCAATCGACGTCAATGATGCTGACCGATAGAGATTGACGATGCCGGTAGAAGATCTGCCTGGTCAGTTTGACACCTCTCGTTAAGCCTCACCCCAGAGCGGTGTACTCCGAACGATGTTGGCGCATGAGCATGCCGCCGTACGCTCGGTCATCCTTCCAGCGTCGCACAATCTTCCTCTCCGTCACATTCCAGACCTCCACCTCTGCTCCATCACGGCCCCCCAGCACGCTCAGTTCGGAGCTGTCGTCGCTCCAAGCAAGGTCTGCGACGGATCCGCCGCGGCCACTCTTGAGCTCGGCCACAACAACACCAGTGCTACCGCCATGGCTCCACTCCACGATGCTGACGGCACCACGCCGGCCAGCCACAGCGAGAAGAGTTCCGTCGGGCGAAAACCGCGTCCGTTCCAGCGACTGTGGACTAGTTGGGGTAGGCGCGGAGCCAAAGAGATTTCGAGGAGAGCGGGTGATCGTCTGAGAGGCAAGGTCATACGTGTAATAGAATGGTCGCGTTCCGGTGATAAGAAGGGATGTCCCAGACGGATGGAAAGAAATGCGAGAGAGAGGAAGGGACGGAATGTGAAGGGTAAGGAGGGGGGCGTTGGTGTGACCGTCGATCTGAGGGGTGGTCAGCATCACTAAATGTCTTTGACAAACGTTGAAGAATCGCACCCGGCGGTCGGTGCCAGCTGTTGCCAAGACCGGCATTTTGGCAGAGGGATGCCATGCCAGATCAACTGTGCCAGTGAGTGCGCTGCTTGAACCTTCTTCACTGGGGACAGCGGCGTTAGCATTGCGCAGTCTCTGAATGTCGATTGTTGTCGTCGGCAGAGAAGGACGCTGATCGCCAAAGGCGTCGGTGCTGATGAACGATGCTGTCGAGGCTAGCAGGCGCTGCATGGTTGGCATCTTGCTTTCGAGGCGTCGCGAAGCCCAGTCAGGCTTGGGATGAAGGCGCTCAAACCAGTGGTCAGCTTCGAGAACAGTGCTGCAACCTACTGCTCCCTCAGCTTAGATTGCAGCTGGCTCCCATTGACGTGGTCCACGTCCTTCTGACCACGTGCAAGCTTCCTCATACGCTTTGAGCCTTTCAGCGAGACAGACAGGGCATCATCCGCTGGGTCGTGCCAAAGCTCATGAGACTCATCTCGTGGGTCTGATTCTGGGTGATCGCCCTCAGGCTTCTCCATGAACTCGATCTTAGGTCCATCATCGAACTCGTCCTCGGAGACGTTATCGTCACGGCTGACTGTAGGTAGGTCCACCGTGAATAGCTTTATAATGAGCGTCATCCACATCGCAGATCATCCCACCTCATTGTCCCGCATCCACCCCAGACCAGCCTCTGCGACGTCGTGATCGAACTGAGTCTTCCGGTGCTTGCGAGTGCCGAAAAGACGAGCCTCGAGTTCCTCCTCTTCCTCATACTCGTGAGAGCTACGCGAGCGAAACCCGAGAGGCCGTTTGCTGGGGCCGCGCGACTTCGCGGCGGACGGCATGCTTGTTGTTGATGAATGGTTGTCAGTGCAAGACCAAATTCAAGTGCGCGACAGAAAATGTGAGGTAGATCCACGTGACATGGGGCCCCGGTTTGTTTTGCATCCGCTGAACCGGCTTTCGGGTGGTTGCCTCATGCCTCGTGAATGCTCACGCAACCGTCATGGGACAGCAACCTCAACGGCCATGTCCATGCGGCCTTACATACGGGCTCACAAGCACCTCCGGACGGTGTGGTCTGGGTCTCCTCCACTGCCATGGGCCTACGGTCTCCGCCCATCTCTCACGCAGTCAAGGTTCGCGCCTGGCAAAATACCACCCCCTCGTCCAGCACACGTCCTGAAGCCACGGTTGCAGCACACCGCGGCTCCGGCGAACGTCCACGAGAGCACCACGAAGACTCTACTCATTGTTTACTACAGTATGACAGACGGCACTCGGCAGATGGCTCAAGCTGCCTACGAAGCGGCGCAGAGCGCTGAAGGCGTTCATACTCGTCTGGTGAAGGCGGAGGACGCCGGCCCCGACGATGTCCTTAATGCATCCGGCTACATCTTCGCTACGCCTGAGAATCTTGCGGCCATTGCGGGCGTATTCAAGGCCTTTATCGACCGCTCCTATTATCCTGTTCTAGGCAAGGCCAACGGGCGACCTTACGCTGCGATGATCTGCGCCGGGAGCGACGGAGAGAACGCCTTGCGGCAGCTAGACCGCGTTGCTAAGGGATGGCGATTGAGGATGATCACTCCAGGTATCATTGTCTGTACCCACGCCCAGACGCCTGAACGCATTTACGCTACCAAGAAGATCGAGCCAGAGGATCTCGCTCGTTGTGCGGAGATAGGGCAAGCAATGGCGGAAGGCCTTGCCATCGGCGTATTCTGACCATCATTCGACATCAACTATGCCGCTGTCTGCGCGAGGCCGGTGCCAAGCATCCTCTAAGCTAGCATGGCACCGTCAGCTCTGCACATTCCGGCGTAATGTGGAGGCGTCACCCGCCACCACTCGGTCCCCGCGACAAATGGACTCCGGACCACCTCCTTTCCACACTTCACCACCGCCATCCATTAGTCTCCGATGGACTCTTCTGCGTCTGCTCGTCCATACCACCATCTTCTCATGCTGGGTAGCTACATCTTGCTGATGCTGTAGGCCTTAAGTGCTATCTTGCATATCATCCTCGCCGTCTCGAGATACCGAACCAACCAAGAGCTGGTCGGTCACCTTCAAACTAACTAGCGTGCGAGCCCCAGCCAGAGGTCTCTTTACACACTTACATTCTGAGGCCATTGCCACAGCACTCAGACTGCCATTCTTGCATACTCTCGCTGTCCACCGGACATGCGCCCCATGGACGCATCCTCGGTCAGTTGTCGTTCCTCCATCGCTCTCAGTGCGACATGTATCACTTCGCCGTCAGTATGTTTCTCCCTAGTCACTTCACCACCATCAGTACTTAGGTCCCTGGTGTTTACCGGATATCAAGAGTTCGTTGGATGTCTCGTTTTATGTCTGCTCTAGTAATGATGCCGGTAATGCGCGACGACGATGCATCCAGGCGGACGTCACGAGAACTCAGTACTCGGTGTTCGAAGCATTCAATGGGGCTGGTGTATTCTTCCTGAGCGTGCAGATAGTAACGTCAGTGTCCCATCTTCAATCATACTCCTTACTCTTCCCCATCAATAATACCTCTGTCTTGTCCTAAACTTGGGTGGCGACTCCTTGTCCTTCCTCAACACCCTCATACATAAGTCCACGTAGTACTTTTGCAAGTAGCACTTTTGCACGTAGTACTGTTGCACGTAGTACTTTCGCACGTAGTACTTTTGCAAGTAATACTTTTGCATGTAATACTTTAGGACGTAGTACCTTAGCACGCTACCTTTGCACATAGTATCTTTGCACTGCCGGCAACACAACAGCGTCCTGAACCATGTTAGTCGTTGGGTGGACCCAAATGCTATGATGCAGTTTCAGTCTCTGAGCCTGTATATCAGCTGGATGATCCCCGATAGGTTGCCGCCAGCGATCGGAACGGTTGACGGACAGCAGAGTCTTATGCTGCTGTCCATGCCAGGCATAGCGAATCGATAGTGCATGTTTGCAGAGTTGACAAATCGCTATACCATGGCATCCACTAGTCGGTTTACCCGTGCACCCCAGACAATAATACGGTTCACATATCTCCTTGAAGAGGAGGGTGCGGTTTATTGTTGAACACAATCGAGCGATAATGTTGACACGAGTCATTATGCACAGCTGCTTCGATAACTTGGACGGTACAGTAACCCAATTCCTGATGTATTCGGCGCGAAGATGTCTCGGCAAGGAAAGTGTGTCGCTCTTTGCACTGGATTGTGCAAAGGCTAGGCGCGAGGTATAGACATCGAGTCGAATTCCAGCACCGGACGAAACTATTCACAAGAGCAAAAGACTTTTGATGAGCATTCCGAGAATAGAAACGGATTGTTGAGTGTTGTGGACGGGTGGCAGGAAGCTGCATGTGTGTACGCGACGGCAGTCAGCAATCTAGGGCTATGCATGTAATGCACGAGGTGCAGCCCATATACATAGTGCCACGGCTAATGTCGAACACCAAGTGGAGGGAAAACACCGTGGCCGCCGATTATTGCGTGCTTGTTCACCAATAAACCCATTGACTGGAATGTTTACTATACCAAGTGATTTGGCCTAACATTTGCCTATTTCACACGCTTGGAGCCTTACCATACATTTGCGACGAATCAGTGTGCTAGATGACTCTCGCCGTTGAAGGTAACTTCGAAATGGCGTGTGGGGCTACCATACTGTGGCCTCAACTGATGGGTATCTGGAACAGTGTTGGACGTGACCCGAGTAGTCATCACCCACTTGTACATTTGGGACACCAACGTTTCTTACAACTCTATTATGGCTTTTACTGACGACCAAGCACCTCGATATTTCATCCAGGTCGCGACCGATATGTTTCATCGAGGACATGTTCTTGTGCAATAGAAGATGCAATGAAGCATACAACAGTCCCAGCTGTGCGACTTGCCTCGTACAAATGTCCCTCGAAGCATGCATAGAAGGACACCGGGCACCAGCAAATGCAACCTTATAGGGGAAACCCTTTAGGAATGGGTCTGACGGTTGTAAGCAAAGTACAGGAAGTGATGAAGACGGTGTGCAATGTATAGTGGGCCGCAGCTGAGCAAGGTTCATCAATCTTGTCGTGTAGCATGTCTGGCGCGTCTCTCTCGTCCCCTCCAAAACTGTTCAAGGCTTGCTATCATCACTCCGGAACCATCAGCGATGATAGCCAATGTGAAGTGCGTCCTCAAACTAGAAGCGGTGAGCAAAGTGAGAGAGGCATTGCCAACGGGTCTGCCCTCCAACATGCATCATTCAGCGTCATTCGGTTGATGTAAGTTGGTGGGCGTGGCAATGTAAGGGGGCCGGGCATACTCATCGGCAACTTCTGTTTCGACAGTTTAGGTGCACACCGACCTTTCGTGATCTTATCACCCTTGTCCATGTGAACACTAACGCGTAAATACAACGTGCTCCTACGATCTGTCTTTGACTAGAGAGTGACCTGAGCCTCGCCCTTCCCCTGCATCCCCACGCACCAATCTCCGCGCCAAATTGATCATCAATCCGCCCGCCGAGTGCACGAGGAGGCGCCTTTGAACCATCAGAGCGACTCCCATCGGTTGTGGCCTCCGAGAAGGCGCTTGGTGCTACGGCGGCGGGTGCGCACTTTAGCTGTTTTGCGCATTCATGAGTGTACTTTCCACAGCTATGTCATTCGAATCGTCGGGCATGCCAGGCTGGCCAGTCTGTTCCTAATAGCACTCACTAGCTAGCACTTTATCGCTGCACGGAAACGGAGGACCGATTCAACCCCTTTCAGACATCATTGTAATACGTGAAATGGGCGGCCTGATGCAGATGTGGAGCCCAGCTATCAATAGCTAACGCACAAGCGAGCATTTTGCAGGTCCTGTGGATGGGAAGGCTCAGAAGAGTTGTCGACCAATTTGGTCTCCAAAATAATAAATAAGTCAAGCAGATCCCCAGCGCATCGAGACGTCTTTCGGCCTGTGAACATGGAAGTGCTCTCTGACCATCACCTTGTGTACTCAACCTTGCTCCAGATACATGATCGACGTTCCCAAATGCGAGCCAGACTGAGATGATCCGAATACCACCCTGTGGAAACGGAATGTTTCACTTGAATTGCTTGAATTGCACTTTGGAGTTTGGCTGAACGTAGTCGTCGCATGCGTCCATTAATCCCTGACTCAGTCGGTAGAGACAGCTGGCGTCCTTGGATTATGAGTCTCAAATCTATCGACAGGTGCTCAAAGCCTCACCTGCAGACTGCTTCATTGGGTATATTTGTGTGCCCACAATTTTCACAATGCCAGAAGTAGTAATTTTGTGAGCTGATACATGTAGTATTGTCCTGTCGGGTCCGCCCGGTCGACTTCACAGAATAGTCCCATCCAGTACTGAGAGTCATTAATCGATAGATGCGTGGTGATACATTGAATACACACATCCTGCACAAGGGTCATTGCCCGAACCGATGCATTGCCCGAATCTTCCTCACTGTGTGAGAATTAGCACCTCCCTCTTTTAAGCATTATATGAGCGTAAACATTACAGCTATAGAGACTTTGGAAGCATACATGGAGCGATAGCCAGAAGACATACCCACACAATTATGGTGGTTTGCGCCTTTGTTAAGCATTTATGATTGTGCAGATTGTTTAGGAACATTCTCTTGATACCTCCTGAGGCTTCATGGATGTATTTTGTCCACGAAGTTTCCTTGACTTATCCATTGTAACGGATGCACAGATTTGGAATCTTTCGATGGTACGGATCAATGACGTTCATTATTGAAAAGGACTACTGAAGTCGACCACGATTGCAATGATATCTCAGCTGGTTCACCTCAAACTAAACATGCGATGGAGTGCACAAGCAGTGTCATGTCTCAATCACGCATGAAGTTGTGAATCGTTTTTTACTTTCCTGTAACCGATGGATGACTTGCGGCGTACTTTTCCACATACCTGACCGACCAACCGATTGGGAGGTTTAGCGAAGATATTACGACAGCAGGTCATGTGATGTACACATCGTTGTTGCGGGCCGAGACCGGTTGGCTCGCATGGAAGCACAGGAAACAGCGCCAACAAGAGACCTTCCCCGTCTACCCACACGAGGTGATTATATGGTCTGCAAGTCCTCGCCCGAAGCCGGAATCGCAGCTCAGCCTTTGGGTAGCGCATTGCGGGAACAGCGACAAAGCTCGCCTCATGCAGGTAGCATTGAGTGATCGTTACTATTCTCTCTTCTCACATTTTTGTACCTACGACAGGTCCTCCCTCAACAAATGTGTAGCGCTTGATTGAAAGAATACCCACTCCGAAACAGTCGTGCAAGCATTCCCTACTATGCATATCAACAGTTCCTCCCGCAATCGCCAAGGGCCCATTCCAAGTATCATGGAAGCAGTCACTCAAGGCGCAACACTCTCGACCGCCTCCAGTGGCAGCCTGGCGGCATATACCTACACTTTGACATGAGGTCATTTGAGCCGATGTCAAGACATTGCAGATCCTGCCCAAAGACGTGAACAGTGATACATGTTGACTCAAGGATGCATTCTAGTCCGTTATGTCTGGAGTGATCTATCGAACAGTATCGTTTACGGGCCACAACATGCTTCAATGGAATATTCTCGACATTGCCGATCTACGAGTTCTGGTGTTCCAACAGGATGTTTTGGGCCTACAGCTATAGGGAACTGGATCACAGTAAACTCCTTCGCTGTGTAGCATGACCAGGCTTACTTTGACTATCATGATGTGAAATGTTTTGGGATGGTGATTGTCATCGACATGACGTCCACGTCTTTATGAGCTGAGACAGTGTCGTATCAAACTGCATCCTTTCTCTCAGAACAGCCAGGGGCCGTGGGAATGGCCAGGAACCCTGCTTCCGTTGCCAAGATGTAGTAACTTTGAGGAGCGGTTATCCAGCCTGACTATTGCACCAAGGATATGCATTGCGCCAACTTATCCACGCAACCGTTCACTTTTTGTCACCAACATAACTGTTTGGTTCAACAAGACGGGTTCACCGTTGTCAACAAGTTGTGAACATCATATCGTACAATATGAGGCGATTTGTCTGACGTGTGCATAGTCCTACACGTGATAACTCTCGAGCATGTTCACGTGAGAACCAGGTAGCAGGCAGTATCGCTCAAAGGGGTCATTCATTGTTGACCACTGTCAGGGCAGCGGTCTGCGTGTAACGCCTCTACAATTACTGTTTGATCATGTGGGCGACATTAGGAGAATGCGCGGGAACCTCACGCAGGAAGCGTCCAGGCCTGCCGGCTTATGCAATGAAGAGAAGCCCCCTTACCTTGGAATTGTGTCAAAGTGGGGCAGTTGTGCAAAGGACATGTCGCGGCCCAAGGGAGTTCCAGAAACTCGTATTGACAAACAAACGACGCCATGCTCCAAGTTTCAAGGGTGGTGCAATTGTACAGGGTGTTCAATGCTCAAATCCGTCGCTTTATCCAACTCGAACATCAACAGTGCTTTCAGACTTCATGCACAACTCAATTATGTAAACAGACTCTTTGTCGTCCTGGCGTGACTTTGATCTCCTGTCACCGAGGAGATCACTACTGTTTGCAAACGTATTGAAGTCCACATGACCTGTTCAGACGTAGACAGCTCAAAAGCCCCAGATTGAGTAATCTTTGGTGTGGTTAACGCAGCTGGTTGGAGGATGTCAACAAGGATCGTGCGGGGATGTGGGATGCGCCAGCTGGCCTGGGTGGGCAACATCGTCAATGCTCCTCCACCTCGAGTGAGCCTGCTGCAAACCGAAGGTCGCGAATGCTTAGCACGCCCCAGCAATGACCACATCAACCGCAGGCGTTAGCGAGGTGAGAGCCTAGGGTGACATTACGCCCGGACACGCTGCGAAACTGCTCTCGCATCGATGAGCACAGCACCACAATCGTCACAACTCAAGGCCACAGGTCACACACCACATGGTCCTCAAGCAAGGCTACTATGCTCCAACGCGCACTGCTCAATTCACCATAACGACAGAACATAGGAAATCGACATAAACGACTCCCTACAGCCTGGCGGCCTCCCTTCGCGGCTTGACACCTTCTTTCCGGGCCCTCACAACTCCCTCCTGGCTAGTCGTGGCAATGAGCACTCCGCTCTGCGTGTAAACCCGGCCGACCATCTGTCCGCGGCCAGACGCAAGGTCGACAACTTGAGCCTCCATTATATGCAGGAGAGGTTGGGAGCCATCGTAGTCAGGTGGGAGGGGGTAAAAATGAATCGTGTGATCGATTGTAGCAACCATGCCGAGTCGGGGGTTGGAAGTGGCGCTCAGCCCGATTGTCCGGCCCGGTGTCGCAATCGCCTGCGAGTCGGTCATGTAGCCGATCATGGCGCGAACCTCGTTAGGCGTCATGGGTCGCCCATCGAGGTGAGGGGAAAGCCAGATCGCACGTTGCGAGAAGTAGGGGCCATCCTGGGGCCGCCCGCTAACGGCAGTCATCACGCGATCGTTGCTAGCGAGGAAAGCGGCCTTGTTCTCCTCCGTGTCTGCGACTCTTTCATAGTCAGTTGCCGTCGGAGAGCTCCTGGCTTGACTTACTTGAGCCCGAAGTCACTCATGTTGTTGATGTGGTCCGCCCAACGGTCCTCGTATGACTCCTCATAGCTCCGTACGTTCTCCGGGAAGTCGCGCTGCCAACGCTTGCCTCCTGTAGGGTCTGGAGGTCGCGAGAACGACGCCGTGAGAGTGAAGATTGTCTCCGAGTTCTGGATCGCGTGCACAAGTCGAGTCGAGTAGCTCTTGCCTTCTCGTAGCCGTTCAACGGCATACGTGACTGACTTCCGCGAGTCGCACGGCAGCAGGAAATATGCGTGTGTAGAATGCAGCTCTAGCCCCTCAACAGTTTTGATTGCGGCCATGAGAGCCTGGGCAATAACCTGTCCTCCGAACACGCCGCGATTGCCCGGGGGTGTCCACAGATTGCCGGCCTTGAAGCACTCCAAACCCAAAAGCCGCGAAGGCGTCGGGATAACTTCGAGGCTATCGTTCATGGAGATGCCCATCGCGGTTGTAGAGTTGATTGAAGTGAAGGTGGCCACAGTAGTGTGATGGAGCGGAGGTGGGTGGTTGTATTTTTATGGTGGACCGGTAAACGGATGTTCAGAAACCGAAAGTGGGCCGGGTATGGGAGTGTACTTAAGCCGAGCCCACTTCCGTCCGAGCCGAATAGTGATGGCGCTCGCATTTTGTTTGCATACATGATCACTACAGCTGGTCTAGTACGCTGCATTGGAGTCACAGCGGCGGTAAGCCATACAGACGTGAACTTCTTCGGATCTACCCGTACGAGTGCGCGTAACAATAGAGTCGTCCATTCGATGCATTCTCCCATCACCTGCCCCTCCAGTCCTAAATCTATCCGTCTGAGCAGCGAACCACTATCAGTCCTCCTCAATCCGTGAAGCACGATGCTCCAGGCAGTACTGACCAGCCAACTGACTTACAGAAGGAAGATTTGAAGACTCCTAATTGTATCCTCCTAGTGAAAAGCACGTGTTTTGAAAGGCCCGTTTTAGCATTGACGCAGGTCGCTGACGTAAATCATGCCGCATTTAGACCCTCACCCTGTCTGGGCAGTTGTAAGACATTCTGTCTGCATTGGACAAACACGTCCGCTCCAATAACCACTTTCGCATCAATACACTTGGATTGAGACGTAAGATGGCCTACATAACTGCAGCGAGAGCGGCAGCAGCTACTGCGAGCATGCCCACAGAGGAAGTAACCTTAGAGGCACTGCTACTCTGTCCAGTGGATGCGGCAGAAGAGACTGAAGCTGCCTGGGAGGTTGCTGAAGGACCACTGCTCCGGGTCCTCGTGAACTCCGCGGCGGCGTCTTCCGAGCACGTGTAGTTCGAGGGCACCGTGTAATTCGACAGCAAGACCAAGTCTGTGCACTGGTACAGGGGGCTGTCACCCTGCCGTTGTTAGTTAATCCTTGACCCAATCGCCAAAGGGACATACCCCGTTATACTGGATCTGAAGGGTGATCTGGGAGCCGTTGGTGAGATTGTACGGCAAGGTGGCGAAGTTGATATTCCAGCAGGCGACACCCTCAGCCACCTGTGTCTCAGTTGCTGCTCTACTCCCTCAGACGTACCTGGAAGAAGTCCGATGCCATCATGATGGATGAAGTGCCGTTAATGGTCGAGTTGAAATCATCCCACGTCTTCGGATCAGGTTGCGTGGACAGAAACGCATCTACGGTTGCCAACTGGTGATGGGAATTGATCCAGATAGCCGCTCCGTTCAGAGGAACAGGCTGGCGCTGGGCGCTTGCCGTATTAAAACCGCCACAAAACTCGGGCTCCTTGTCTTCGTCGAAACCACGGGTGAGCTGAGCGTTAGTCAGTAGTGAATAGAGAATAAAACAGGGGACCAATCTTACAGGGTAGTCCAGCGTGAAGTGAGCATAAGTCACCGACGCCATCAAGGCTGACGCCAGAAGCGAGAAGACGAGGACCATGGTGAGGTGTCGAGATACGTGGGACAAGGAGGAGACAGGATATGCTAAAGCACTTCACGACACTTGTGAAGAGGGATGTCTTCGTTTTATAGCCGATCAAAGCAACGACGTCTCCCCCCACTTCCGCACATGTCACATGTGGGAGGGCATGCCGAGCGACAATCCCACCTCCTATTGGACTGAGTGCCAAACGGATTCGCCAGGCACCATCGATAAATGACTCTTCGAGGTGAGCCCTTTAGATCTACGTCGGATCGTCGGCATGCTCGGCGCAGAGCCTCTTTGTGCTTCCGCCATCCGCTAACCACCCATCACGCTGGCGCATCTAGGATCTAGGAACCAGGCCAGTTCCATTACTTCCCGTTACCCACCACATCTGCAGATCTGCAGACTACACCTATCTGCCTCCTACCGCAGACCTTCAGCGCAGCCTCCACGCTATGTTGCTGTGACTCGCATCCAATATGGGGGAGCTTGGACCATGCATGAGACAAAGCGGGTCCAAGACATTCGCAACAGTCGTCACCTCCATTTCAGAATTGGCCTGAACAGCTCATCCTTAGTCACCTGAGACCTCGACGTAGATGCTAATGAGCCCACATCACGCATGGAGATTGTTGCCCATGCAGCGCGCGAAAGGGAGTGACCAGGTGCTGGACACTGAGCGTCCAACTTGAAGCAAGTCACTGTCAAGTTTGGTTGCCTCGTAGCCCCCACGAAGATTTAGGTCTTCCTCTCTGCCTCGTCGATGGTTTGAGACCTGAGGGGCCGACTCGTCACCGAAGCGCGCGCACAGCTCCACGAGGTGGTCGCTCGATTACAATCTGGTCGTACGGCTGGCCGACCTCGAGAGTGGCAGTGGTCCTTGTTCCATCCCTGCACAGAATCTGAGGTGTGCCGTACGCAAGCCTGATTATGCTAATGGTAACGTCCTTTCAGACAGCACGGGAGATACCGCAAGCCAGCCAAGCATCCGATCACCCTGCCAAAGAAAGCGTTGCCGATTCGTTAACTCTGTACCTTCTTCTGCAGCTACTCATGCGACTTGAGAGTTCAAATCGGGGTAGAGATTTGCAGTTACTGCATCTAAGGTTGGCACCGCGAATCAAAGGCCTCCGCTGATAATACTAGACTGATAGATTGGGAAGTGACAATGTGATGGCGATATGAATGTGGAAGAGAGTTTCCAAAGACTGAATACATGGGCGTGACGTTCAGGTTTCCCAGCCTTGTCCCCAACCGGCTTCGTCACGAGTCAGGTAGGCAAAGACGAGGTGAACGGTTGAGAACGAAGCCGACTTGGTCAGCACCGAGGCCGTGGCGCTGAGTAGGCCTTTAACCGCCGGGGAGAGCCCACTCGACACTGGAGTTTTCAAGAGCGAAGCCCCGAGGTGTACTTTCATTGTTGTTGTAACGGCCATTGCCCGTACTTAAAACAACTAGGCGCTCCCGACCCGCTTGCCGAGGAACGACTGCTCTTTGAAAGAACCACTGGGAGGCTCTTGAACTGGACATGCCTGGACATGCGGGCTCTCCCTTTCAGATTAACCATCTGTGTAGTAGAGTTTCGTTGTCATGGGCAGTGTCGATGGCAGCACTGATCGATAATCTCTCATTTGAGAATGACGGTTACACACCATGTGCCTGCTCTACCTCTAGTGGAAGTCAAAAGGTGAGAGGATGACTGAAAAGATGACATGCTCCAACCCTTGATGTCAAGGCGAATTCAGCCAACATCAGCTTGCTGCTACCAGTGTGGTAGCTTGGGAGAAGATGTAAGCTGTTCAAGGGGGAGCGCCCCGTGGCCAGATACGGCGGAACCCGCAGAGGGCTGCAGCGCTATCGTGTCAGTTTCCACGGTTGCTTCACCAGGCGATCGAAAGGGTATGAGGTGAGGGCAGCCCACTATCATGTGTCAGCGCCTTTTCAGATCAGTTTAGAGCGATAGACAGCCCAGAAGAGCCTCGTATTCTGTCAACCTCTTGTCACGATCGACAATCTAGTGTCAATTTCGTTTGACAAAGGCGGAATTGTGGAAATGAACTGCGAGGACGTAAAAAAGTGGAATCTGCGAGCGACAGGTGGAACACCCTGTCGTTCAGCGCTTGCCTTGATGCCTCGGCAAGTGCCGCTAGACAAACGCTATGGGCTGAACCTCTCCTCGAGTTCGTCTTAGCATGCGAGTTTCGGCGCACCATTACGTTCTAAATCTGTCTCGTTTACCCTACCCCCCCTCCGGGTACCAGTAAAATACTGTTTCTCCAGGCTATGACTGAGCAGTAGTGTCGGTGGGGCGGATGAGTTTGCGCGCAGTTCTTCGGCTTCGCTCTGTCAGAAGCAAAATCAAGGTAGGAATGGCGCTGCCGTAGCTGCTAGGCAGCAGGGCAATCAGTCGACTCTCACAGGTGAATCGCATAAACACTGCATACGTAATGTCCGGTACAGGGGAGATCGTGAGTCAGATCTTGTCTAGTAGTGCGAGTTGTGGCCGCCATTGAACTGGTCGTAAGACGGGGACTTTGAGTAACCCTGGTTGTAGTTGCCGTACATGGCATTGCCGCCATAGCCGCCAACGAGCGAACCGCCGGCGCCGCCATAGGCCGACTGGCCATCATCCTCCATGTACTCTGGGTTGGGCTGTGGTTAGCAGACGGACTTGAGCAGACTAACTGCAAGCAGAGGGTCCTTGACCTCCCAGACCGCGACCTTCGAGCCAACGGAGAACTCGAGGTCCTCTTTGGTAATGGCTGATGATCAGCTTGATCACGAGGGCCAACTCACAGTCCCAGTACTTGTAGATCATCATCACAGTGAACAGCATGCAAAGCTGGAAGAAGAAAACGCCATCGATGTAGTGGGAGACGGCATCACAGATGGTAATGCTGAACGCGACGAGCAAGACACAGCCAATGACGTAAAACGCCACGCCGAAGATAATGTCACCGATGACCCAACGATCGTCGAGAGTTCGCACCACCAAAATCAGTTGAGAAACGATGTAGACGACTGCCGCGATCAAGGGGTAGACAAGATAGGTGATGAAGAGACCGATCGGATTGTTATAGTTGAGCGAACCCCACTTCTGGAACGTGCCGGCAGCAATAACGAAGCAGATGCCGCCCACGCCCAGGCAGCTCAGGCGCAGCGACTGGAGGGAATCAGCACAGCCGTCGTGAAGCCACTCCGCGATCTCTATCACTTACCCAAAGGCTCATAGGCGTGCCGTCCTCATACAGCTGGAAGCCGACAAACCCATTAACGAGGATGCACCAGTAAAGAGCCCCAACAGCACCGGCGTATACTGCTGCGAACCAAGGGTAAACAACATGGTGAGTGGGAATGACGGTCGAGTCGAGGAAGATGGCCAAGAGCTCAACGAACATGTAAATGTAGAAGAAGAGGACGATCTCCTTGCGGCCTACCGCCGTGTACTTGGATCGAATGTGGAAGAGCATAATGAGCGTCATGCCCAGCGCGGCAATGTGGACAAAGCATGTCGCTGCGAAGAGTCAGCTTGGGTGTACAGCTCGCAGGAGGGAGACAAACCTGGCTGGAAGATGATCTGGCGTCCGAGCTGCACATTGCGAGCATAGCAAGTGGGCTCGATGCCAGTCTCACCCAACATGGGGCAGACGATGAGCGATGCGCGCTCGCAGACCCAGTCGAACGACCCAAACTTGAAGGGCGCCGTCTTCAAAGACATGTTGGGCGAGGAGAGGATGGAACGAGGGGAATGGATGAAGGGAGTGGAGGCAGCAGGAGGCGAGAGTGATCTGGTCGTCGATGAGAGGATAGTTGCGCGCGTGAACTGGGAAATGCTTGACGGGGAGATAGACGTGGAAGAAGGTCGTGGCCGAGCCAGCTCGCCGTGGTGAGAATGAAGGGATGTGAGATGAAGAGATGAGTTGAACCCAGAAACGTGAACTGTTAGGTGCGCGGGCAAGCGGTGCGGTGCGGTGGATGGGCCAAGGGGAGCGAGAGGGGTTGGCAGGGGGCGCAGGGTAGAATGACAGCTGTCGCGCCGTAAAAGGGGTGGCTAAGCTGCATAGACGCAGGGTAGGAAGGCCAAGGTGGTCAGGGTCTACTCATGGGCTGGCTCCCGCAGGCCGCAGATCAGCAGAGGCTGAGTGGCGGTACAGCAAATACTTCCGCCCCCATTGATACCTTCAGCGATCAGCGATCAGCGAGCAGCGGTACCGCTGCTATCCGATCATCGATCCATTGATCACGCCGCCGTTGGTAGCTGTCGAATTCTCGTTGACCATCGAATAGTACGGGTAGCGCGGCTGCAATCTCCTCACAGCTTTGTATCATTGGCGCTGCGGAGCCCATGCAACCCTCTATTGTCTGCACTTGCCCGCTCCAGCTCGATGCTCCTTCCGGCAAATGTCGCTTACGGTTGCGGACGCAGTTTAGAAACGATTGTGAGTTTTCAGACGACTCTTCCTGCGGTTACTGCGAGCATGATCATACGTAGCCGACGCATGTCAACAGATTAACGGAAGACGAGTGCTATTCTACCTACACACCTGATCGCAGCTATCGCAGCCGGCAAGCGTAGCAGGCCTGTTCCTGGCAGCTGGCAGAGCAAGAGTGAACAGTGAGAACCAAGACCTCCCCAGGCCACACGCTGTGCACATGTTAGAACTCGCAACGGCCTCGCGGCCTCACGGGTCGCGGTCGATTGACGGAATTGACGGACGGCAGGCGCGCAATGAACTGCCATGCCGCCAGCGGGCTCGCAGAACCACATAGAGGGCGGATGGAATAAAGAGCTGGAGCGGACAGCCTCGCCCTGTGACGTCGGAGAGGTTCGCCCGCGCGTACCATGCCCCAATCGCGTCTACCTAATGACCTGTGTCCTCATCATGGGATATCTGAACACTTCCACCACACATTCTCTCTCCTTCACATCAACGAAATGGCCGCTCGTCCCGCCGAAGACCCTCAGCACGACTCGAAGAAGCAGAAGACCACTGTGAAGCGTAAGCTTAAACCCCGGCTCCGCTGACATCCAGACAAGGTCTGCCTGCTGTTCGTCTTTCGTCACCAATAGCACTGACCTGTACAGCGTCCACGATGGCTGGGGACTTTCCGAGAACGAGAAGGGCAATGCCATCTTCCACGGTGACACCACCAACATGGACAAGATCCGTGACAAGCACAACTTCGTTGAGCTTGAGGCGTCGGGCCTCGCAGTCGGTCTCAAGGAAGGCCTCATGGGCAACTCCGAGGTCGGTCACCTGAACATTGGAGCTGGTCGCATCGTCTGGCAAGACATTGTCCGCATTGACCAGTCGATCAAAAAGGACGAGTTTAAGAACCAGCCCGCAGTGGTTGAGTGCCTGAAGCGCGCCAAGGAAAACAACGGTCGCCTGCACACTATGGGTCTCCTGTCAGATGGCGGCGTGCACTCGCACATCACTCATCTTCTCGCCCTCCTTCGTGCCGCTAAGGAGCAGGGCGTCAAGCACGTATACATCCATGCTTTTGGCGATGGCCGCGACACTGCCCCCAAGTCGGCTGATAAGTACGTCCAGCAGCTCCTCGATGGTATCAAGGAGATCGGCGTTGGCGAGCTCGTCACGTTTGTCGGCCGCTACTACGCCATGGATCGTGACAAGCGTTGGGACCGAGTCAAGATCGCCGTCGACGCTCTAGTTCAGGGCGTCGGTACTAAGTCAGACGATCCCGTTAAGGCTATCGAGGACTGCTACGCCAGAAACGAGACCGATGAGTTCATCAAGCCCCTCATCTTCGGGGATCAGTCGACCCGCCTCCACGGTGAGAGAACCTGGACGTATGGACCTTGCTCAACCAACAGACAACGACACCATCTTCACCTTCAACTACCGTTCGGACCGAATGCGCGAGATTGCCTCACTGCTGGCCTTTGACGACGACAAGCCTATTGACGTCGAAATCCCCAAGAATCTGGTATGTCATGATGGGGCGCCGTCACTGACGTCCAGAGCGTCACGACCATGTCGCGCTACAACCCGGCATGGACGCTCCCTGTCGCCTTCCCCCCTGTCTCCATGGACAACGTTCTTGCTGAGTGGCTCGGCAAGCAGGGCGTTAAGCAAAACCACATTGCCGGTGGGTGGCACTCCCAGAGTCTGGCTGACCACCAGAGACTGAAAAGTATGCCCATGTCACCTTCTTCTTCAACGGCGGTGTTGAGAAGCAGTACGCCGGGGAGGAACGCGTGATGATCCCCTCCCCCAAGGTTGCCACCTACGACAAGAAGCCGGAGATGAGCGTTCAGGCCGTTGCCGACAAGGTTGCTGAGATCGTGAAGACGGGCGAGTATGAGTTTGTCATGTGCAACTTTGCTCCTCCCGACATGGTGAGTGGTCGCTGCTGATTATGTACTGATATCTCAGGTCGGTCACACCGGTGTCTACGACGCCGCTGTTGAGGCCATCACTGCGACCGACAAGGCCGTTGGAACTATCTATGACGCATGCGAGGAGGCCGGCTACGTGTTCTGCATCACCGCCGACCATGGTAATGCCGAGCAGATGATCGACCTGGAGACTGGTAACCCCCACACCGCTCATACCACGAGTAAGCTTTTGGTGTCTACATGACTGACCCAAGACCGTGTACCGTTCATCGTTACTGGTGAGAAGGGCACTTTGCAGGTGACGGAGGAGCATGGCGCGCTCGCGGATGTCGCTCCCACGATTCTTTCCATCATGGGTCTTCCTCAGCCCGCGGAGATGAGCGGCAAGTCCCTTGCAAAGGAGTAGCTTGTATCGAAAGCATGGTGTTGAATAGCGATGCAGAGTTAGCATTGTCCCTCATTATGTGTGCATATTGTGTTTTCTAATCAGAAGTACTTATGTCTTGGCGCGACTGCTTTAATGACTCTGGCATCTAAGTTTCCCACGGTGACGCTCCGCAATGTCCCGCCAATGAGTCTTTGTTCATCTCCACGCCTCGTTTTTTCTCTTCAACTAATTTCTATCTACAGAGGCCGCCTACGGACCCTTGCTTATCCTCCTTAAGCAAGGTTGACTCGTAGGGTTCAAGGCTATCTCAGAGCAATAGTTGGGTGCTACTTTGGCTCGCGCAGTAGGGTACGCCCCCATGACGGCGTGAGTCACAATGCCCCACACACTTTTGATCGCGGTGCCGTAGTCAATAAGCACGAAGTCGATAGCGTTTTGGGGACAGCAAGGAGGCGATCATCTCTCGCGATCTCTCGAGCTACGCAAGCGCGATAGAAAATGAAGAGTGCCGTTTTCCGCAGAGTTTGACCCACGGTCGCTGTCAATCTCCTGCAGGCCGCGCTGCAGCGAATGTCGTTGGACGACGAGGAACCTGTTGCATGGATCGGGTCCTGTTGACGTAACAAACCGTTGTCCACGTGGTCAAAGGTAGTTGCCACCCGACCAGACCCATTAGCCCATTAGGCCATTAGGGCCGAGGGCCACAGGACTAATGTCCACTATTCAATACTCAAGGTGTTGTCCCTGATCGGCCGCGCTGTCATCACAGAGGTCTGCGAGCCGCGGCCCATGAGTAAAGTGATGACGCCAACACCCACTCGTCCGAGCCTTCCCCCTTCCCCGCCCCCCGCCATCCCCTCCTGGACCTCCTCCCTCGCTCGAGGCCCATAACCATCCATGCCGCTACTTCGCTCGAGGAAGCCCACTCGTGTCTTGACACACTCTTCAGACTCGGCAGAACATAATCCAGAAGCCCCCTCTCTCGCTTCGCCCAAGCTAGCTCCCTCGCCTTCCAAGCCCGGCCTCACTTCCACAGCAAGGCCCCTTGCTCCCATTCTTGCCAATACCACGGACCGCGTACCCACCGTGCCCGTCGACACACCACGTCTTGTCGTCTCGGACGCCTACTGCGACAGCCCGACAGACGTGGTTAGCGCCCACGCCGTCGGCCTCGAGGCAGCCATGTCTGAAGCCCTCGACACGGACCAGGCGCATGAGCTCGCGAGAGAAGGTCGCAAAGCTCACAGAGACTCAATAGTGCAGCGAGTTGCCGAGCGTATCCACTCGCCCCCAGCGACCGAGAGCCGCAAGAAGAAAAAGGGGCGCCGCTCACGACGCGCCTCTACATCATCTGCGATATCCCAAGGCAACACTATCGCTGCCGCGCTTGCCAAGAGCGGATTACAGCCTGCAGAAGGCGCATCTTCCCAAAGAGCCGTCTCGGTAGGCAGGTCCCCGTATCTCTTGAGCACCCAGGACTATGACAGTGATGACGGCTACGGCTCCGAGGACGACAGCGAGAATGTTAGCGAGGATGATGGGATCGATCACCTTCCCGTGACCGGGTTCGCGGTGGCGAGCAACCGCCGCAATGCCGAGTTTCATGGGCTCTTTCCCACCGTGGACGAGGGCGACTATTTGATTGAAGGCAGGTTCACTTTGTGTGTCAACGCTGATCAGAAGACTACGGCTGTGCTTTGGCAAAAGACATTCTCGTTCACGGCAGGCTATACGTCTCAGAAAACCACATTTGCTTCCACTCCAACCTGTTCGGGTGGATCACCGATGTGGTCATTCCCTTCGCGGAAGTGCAGACCATTGAAAAGAAAATGACTGCGTTAGTCATTCCCAACGCGATCGGGGTAACTACCAGCAAGGAAAAGGTGCATACTTGTTGTCCAGTAGGCCAGGCTGACCGCAGTACACATTTGCCTCACTCATTTCTCGCGACTCTACCTTTGATGTACTCATGAACATTTGGCGAATCGCCCATCCGGGTGCAGAAATGCCAAACGCAGTTCCGAATGGCACCTCTCGCCCGGCCTCTGTTACCGAAGGTACTTCGCCTGCGCCCGCCGCGACTCATTCATCGACGGAGTGTCTGTGCAGCAAGACGGGACAACACTACACAGAGCTTGCCCTCGACACCACCTTCCCGAGCTCTCCAGACAAAGTCTACAACCTCATGTTCAACAGCGGGTGGTACCGCTGCTTCTTATCTGACAACCAGAAGTTAAAAGGTGTGGCTTGGATACGCTTGCGATGAGTGATTGACCTTGGCTCACCTACAGACATTGAGTCATCTGACTGGCGGCCCGACGAGGGAGGCAAGCTCAATCGCTCTACTTCCTACATTAAGCCTCTGAATGGCTCTATTGGGCCTAAGCAGACGAAGTGCCACATCGTCGACATGCAAGACCACTGCGATTATGACGAATACATCTCAATGATCACCACCACGCGAACACCTGATGTCCCCAGTGGGGGCGTCTTCAGTGTAAAGACGCGCACGTGTCTCACCTGGGCCGGTCCAGGGTCCACACGCGTTGTTGTGACCACCGAAGTCGAGTGGACCGGAAAGTCCTGGGTAAAGGGTGAGTAGTAAGTCGGCCGTTTTGATTGACGCGTAGGCATCATCGAGAAGTCGGCGATCGATGGCCAGAAGCAGTATCACGATGATCTCGCCAACGGTATGAGAGCGTACATGAAGGAGCACCCAACCGAGTTCACCGTTGCTGGTGCTGAGGACGCTGAAGAGGTCCAGGAAGAGGCTTCCAAGGGTGGAACAACAAGTATCAAAACAGAAGCGCAGGAATTTGCTGCCAAGAACCGACGTGCACGACAAGACGCCGACTACTGGCAGCTACAGGGTGCTCTTGACTCTGTACTGAGCGGTTTCACCTCGATCGCTTCCGGCATCGGCACCGCCTACAATACCATCAGTGATCTCCTCAGCGACTCGCCTATCAGCAAGGCATCATTTATGGCTGCGCTTATCGCCGTCCTTGTCGCTTCCAACGTATACACCTACGTCGCGCAACCCGAGTCCAAGCACAAGGAAAAGCGCCTTCAACGATTTGGGTACGAGAACGACGTCGCTGAAGCAGTGAAGTATGTCCTCGATCGTCGGGCAGCCGCGACACCCAAGGACGAGATTGCACAGCTTCTTCTGCTCCTGGATGAGGTCGACGAGCGCTCCGTCGCCCTTCGCAGAGCTTTGCAACGTGCTGGGTTGAATGGGGAGTTGGAGTCGGTCAACAGAGAGGATGAGCTAGATTAGTGTTGGCGACCTGAGACGATCATGCAAGACATTATCAATCTCCTCCGTTTGGCCCGATCGTGACTTGCCTGAGCGGAGAGAGCTGACAAGGCAATTGTCAATCTGGGGAGGTCGAGGCAATGTTAAAAATGTCGGTCCGAGGAGGGTGAAACTGCTTTATTTGTCTGTGGGAACCGGAGCGTGATCATCCTTCTGTACGCTCCAGGTGTCCTCTCATATCCCTCAGTCATGAGGGGCAACGTGGGCTACTATCGTTCTAGCGTTGGTGATGCATCACACCAATATAGCAAGCGATGGTGCACCTCACGTTCTTTCAGGTGGTGGCTAGATAGATATCCTCAGGGTCTCGACGCGTCTCCGCAGCGGAGGCAATGTTGAATGACCTCCACCGGCGTGTATGACTTCACGCGACGCGTCCGCAAATAACCCAATCACATGGGTGGCCCACCGCCGTGTCTCCCTTCATCCTTTCATCAACCATCTCACCAACATTAATCACAAACCGACATGACTACGCAGCGGAGAGCATCCGCTCGCGTTCCTCGCAAGGCCATCATCGACTCCAGCGATGAATCGGACGAAGACGTGCTTCCATTACAACCGAGCACGAAAGACAACAAACGCAAGCGGGTGAGTTGACGCCTTGCTGTCGCTGACAACAAGTCCGACCTCGACAGTGACGAGGAGGTACCAGAGCTCGAGGATGAGGAGTATGAGGTTGACTACATCGTTGATAGCCGGTGGCGAACCTACGGCAACACGCCGATGTTCGAGTATCTCATCCACTGGAAGGGGTATCCCGTCGAGGAGCGGTCCTGGACCCAAGGTGACCAATTCGAGAACGATGATCCACCCGTCCTCGCGTTTTACAAGAAGTACCCCCGCAAGCCGCGGCCCACTCAGCGCACCATCTTCGCCTTGATGGTGGGCGGCAGACCATCCAAATCCTCCACAGCCTCTCAGAACAGCGTAAACAAGCGGAGGCCCACCTCCGCGAAGCTTTCCTCTAAAGTCCTCAGTAAACCGTTGCTTGCTAAGCACGCCAACAAGGGCAACGCGTCCAAACCCAAAGCGAAGAAGAAGGCCGCCGTTCCTTACGAGTCCGACAGTGAGAAAGAGAACTATGCAGCAGTCCCGTCAAGGGCACCCAGCGTGGAATCTGAGGATGAGTTCATCGCTGTTTCAGATGGCTCCGGGGACGAGAGCTTCGAATCGGATCCTGAGGAGCCCGAGGACGAACCAGAAGCGGAACTGGTCTCGGAGGACGATGACAACGCGGTTGACGACAGTAAGCACATGCGTCCGGCGATACGCTGACACAATCAGAGCCAGCTGCGCGAGCCAAGAACGGGGGCTGGGGAGTGCGAGTCAAAGGTCCGAAGAAAGCACCTGTCAAACTGGGCGCCTTCAAAAGCGGTGTTCTACCTCTTCGCCCCAAGGGTTCCTCCGGTGCAGTAAAGGCTATGACCTTGGCCGACGATCTCCCTCCTATCAACGACATCGAAGCCATCTTTGATCACCTGACCTCGCGGGTGAGTCTTGGAGTGAGAAGGGCACACTGACGCGAACAGCTACCTCAGATAACTGAACTAGTTAAGCGTCTGAACGGCCGCAAGCTCCGTGTCGCCACCATGTGCTCGTGAATTGTGATTTTAGCGATGTAGCTGACGCCAGGGGCACCGAATCGCCGTTACTTGCACTTGGCATGATCGCGAAGTCTGTCAAGCAGCAGCATGGCGTGACCCTCGGTTTCGAACATGTTTTTTCCTGTGAAATCGAGCCCTTCAAGCAGGCCTACATTGAGCGTAACTTTGCCCCTCCCATCCTTTTCCGGGACGTCACGGAACTCGGTAAAGATCGAGCGCACACCGCTTATGGATCCCTCAGGAAAGTGCCAGGAAACATCGACGTACGAAGCATTGCCTATACAGTGCTGACAGATAGATTTTAATCGCTGGCACATCATGTGTGGACTACTCGGGACTAAACAACGAGAAACAAGGCATTGATGCCAATGGCGAGTCTGGCCGCACTTTCCGCGGAATGCTGCAATGGGTGAAGAAGCATCAGCCGCCCATTGTGATCCTGGAGAACGTCTGTAGTGCTCCATGGGACAAGGTTGTGGAATACTTTGCCGAGATCAACTACGACGCCAACTACACTCGGTGAGCTTCTGACCTTGAGAACAGTTCCATCTAATCGCAGTATGGATACCAAGGAGTACTACATTCCACATACTCGCACACGTATCTACTTGTTGGCGACCCCTATGACCAAAGCTGGCCCGACCCATCTCCCCGAGAAATGGATGGAGACCGTCAAGGACCTGAAGCGTCCATGGTCATCACCTTTCGAAGCTTTCCTGCTTCCAACCGACGACGCTCACATCCACCGTGCCCGCCTTGACCTCGCGGCGGAGCGCTACTACAAGGACGGCACCGCGCGCAAACCAACAGACTGGGGGCGATGTGAATCGCGCCATGCGCGTGCTCGTGCCGACGAGGAGCTGGGGGTTCTTCGACCTCTCACAGCATGGAAGGAAGCCGGCGTGTGCAAGGGCCTCGACTGGACCTGGAACGATTGGTTGTTGGCCCAAACAGAGCGCGTTGTTGACCTGTTGGATATTTCGACACTTCGCGTGGCCAAGGAAGGGATTGACTCGGGCTTCAAGGCAATCATCTGGAACGTAAGCCAAAACGTCGATCGTCAAGCCGGATACTCCAAGACGGCACTCGCCCCATGCTTGACTCCCAACATGATCCCTTGGGTTACGAATCGTGGCGGCCCTGTCACTGGTCGTGAGGCACTCGCACTTCAAGGAATTCCCGTTCGTGAACTTCTCCTCACGAGTGAGACCGAGGATCAACTGGCCGATCTCGCCGGCAACGCGATGACCACCACGGTCGTCGGCGCGTCCATGCTGGCGGCATTTCATGTCGCGCTGAGAACTATCCCGGAGGGCGAGGATGCCATGGAGAGCGCTGAAGAGCAGAGACGGGCAGATGCCTTACTGCCGGCACCGGCCGATCGAGTTATCGGCGAGGATGTGCTGGAGTCGCATGACTTGGATCTTGCCAAGGTATCGACCGCGTCTATTGCTGAAGTCCTCCTCCAGGCGGAACGCAGTTCGAGGCATTGTGTCTGTGAGGGCCAGTTTGGCACAGCAGAGAAGCCGATCATGCAGTGCGGGGCATGCGGATATCGCTCCTGCACCGGCTGCGGCGGTCGCCCCGAGCACGTCTACGCACCTTGCGATACCCACCGCGTTGAACCTTCTGCGTTTGAGCAGCAGTTCAAGGAGTTGTTACCAATGCGTGTCCAGATCGCCGGCATCAACCCCTCGTCGCTCGAGAAGCTCCGTGTAGAAGCGCAGGCCAACGGGAAGGGCGAAGTGGAGCAGTCCGACTGGGAGCTATGGAGTGATGCTGTTTCGCAAGCCGTCGTCGACATGGAATTCCGCTTCCGATACCTGAAGCGACAGAACACGTGGACCGCCATCTACGAGGCTCCGAGCGCCATACTCGAATGCTGGCTCCGCAACTCGGCCCCGGAGTGGCGTCTCACTGTCAAGGCGCCCGCTTCTGAGCCCGTCAACAGCAGACTCCGAGCTCTTCTCCGCCATGCAGTCGCTCGTATGCGTCTGGACAAATCCAGCCAGGATGTGCTGAGCGGCAAATGGGAACTGTGTGTTCCAACGCAGCAGATCTTCACCGTCCAGATGAGTGGCAGTGGGGACCTCGTTCCGACCTGGGAGGCCGGCCTCGGTTTGCGAGGACAATTCGCTGGTAAAACACGCTGGAGCCAGCTTACCCTTGACGTTCCCCCAGAAGCCACTCGCGCCCTGGACCGTGGCCTGTCGGGAACGTACACGCTACTTCCTTTGTGTGGCCAAGCTCAGAACTCCCTCCATGTCAAGACCTCCGATAATGATCAGCCTTCTTTGTACTTTTTCCTCGACCCAACTAGGTGTGGCGATCCTAAGGACGACAGATACGTGTTCTCGACATCAAATGAGCGTCTCGACTACACGTCAGAGCGCGATATCATTGCGTCACTCTCGCCGGAATGGCGTGAGTCAGACAAGCCATCTGAGTCGATCAAGATGACTGTGGATGGTGGTTGGATTTGGTGTTCTGCAGCCCGCCTCACAGCTGTCGGCGGCAAGGACATTGTAGTAAACGACAACGCCGCTCACCGCGACGACGCCACGTACGCCATCCCCGTCTCCGCACGGGCGGTTTGCGCAGCCTCCGACTCGTGCGAGCAGTCTGTCGCCATTTTATCTGTCGATGTTCCCTTGAAGTCTGACAGGGCGGAGGCCATGTGGAAGTCCGAAGAGTGGACTCAGGTCGACCTACTCCATAACGGCAATGCCACCTTCTCCAACCTGGCTTGGATCACCGAACGACTCCCGTCCTTGGACCGCTTTACATCTTGGAACCATCTCAGAGACGTGGAGGTGAGTGGACTCTGCGGGAGCAGCACTAATGGCCAGATTTCCGGATCTGAATGCCCAACCTGTGCGCCGCTGCCACCCACAATCCACTGGATCAAGCAGGCCGGCAAACTGGCAAAGAACGGACGCAAGACCAAGGCCACCATTACCGCCTTCGAGGACCCCCTCGAGGCAGCACGGTACGAGATGGTGAGTCGAGGGACCCCTCCTGCACTGACGCAGTAGGCTCTGAAGAATCGCCCGTCACCCTTTGATGTACAGCTGCGGCACATGGACGAGGTCGGATCTTTCCGCATTGGCCTGAACATTGTCTCCCTGGCCCACCGCGCTCTCTCCCGCTTGCCACGCAGCGACGCGAAGGGAAAGGTCAGACTTTCATGGCGACTGACGCCTGGACAAGCCACCGATGTGCCCGAGAAACCGCGTGTCTTCTCGATGCCGTCTAACAAACGCGACCCCGAGCATTCGCAACCGAAAAATTTCGAGTTGCCACTTCGTCCCGAGCAGCTGCGTTCATTGTGGTGGATGCTCGAGCAGGAGCGCGCTGAGGGCAAACATCACACGTTCGTGGAGGAAGAGATTTCCGAGGCACTTCTGCCGTCGCTCGGCTGGCGAGCCGAAGGCAAAGCGGAGCGCCCAGTTATGGTCCGTGGCGGGGTCATCGCTGATGAAGTTGGCTACGGAAAGACTATCATCTCGCTGGCTTTGGCTGCTGAAACAAAGGGTGATCCCGCCCCAGAGCCTGCGCCGGAGCATTTGATCGACCTCAAGGCCACGCTAATTGTTGTTCCCGGACACCTCAGCAAGCAGTGGCCCAGTGAGATAGAGCGCTTTACCGGCAATCTCTTCAACGTCGTCGTCATCCAATCTATGAAGTCGCTCCAATCAAAGAGCATTGCCGACCTCCGCAAAGCCGACCTTATCGTTGTTGCGGCTGAGCTTTTCGACACCGAGTTGTACTGGGAGCGCTTCGAGTACCTTTCCGCTCAACCGCTAGAGTGGCTGCACGAAGCGAACGGTGGCCGATTTTTCGCTGATAGGCTTGACTCAGCCCTGAAAGCACTGCTGGACCAGACAGCGATTCTCCAGACCGCCGGTGCCGGTGCCGCACACGATAAGATGGAGGAGCTTCATGACGCTGCAGAGCAGGAGGTGGAGCGCAAGAAGGAGCAGATGAAGGCTGCCAATTTCGGAAAGCGGCTTAAGGGTGCTGCATACCGCGACAAGTACGACGACTTGCCAGTCAAGAAGAAGGCTAAAGGTGATGATGGTGAAGAGGATGATTTCGACATTTCCATGCCCAAGCCGACGTTCCGCCAGGCGAGTGGGCCCGAGTCGCTCAATAGCTCAAGGGTCAGGAAGGACTTCAACCTCATGACATGCCCAGTCTTCCACATGTTCCGGTAAGTGAGCACATCAATCTAGTGCTAAGACTAGTTTCCGACGAGTCATTGCCGACGAATTCACATATCTTAAGGATCGCGCTCTTCCTGCCATCCTCCGCCTGCATTCGTGCTACAAGTGGGTGCTCTCCGGAACTCCCCCAGTCCAAGACTTCCCGTCAATCCGGAGCGTTGCGACGTTCATGGGCATTCACCTCGGTGTCTCAAGCGACACCGAAGGAGGCTCGGCACACCGGAAAGCTCGCGCGAAGGAGCAAACTGCGGCGGAGCGGTTCCACGCCTTCCGGGAAACCCACTCAGCCGCATGGCATAGGCGTCGTGATGACCTCGCCCAGGAATTCCTCAATAAGTTCGTCCGCCAAAACTTGGCGGAGATCGACGACATTCCGACAGTGGAACACATCCACACATTCAAGCTACCGGCTTCTGAAGGTGCTGTCTATCTGGAGCTAGAGCACCACCTTCAGGCTCTTGAGATGCAGGCGTAGGTGTTCCAGGAAAGCGTCATACTGATGACAGGCGCAAGGAGACCAAGCTCAAGGATGTCACGCAGGGCGATCGCAATGCTCGTCTTGAGGAAGCCCTTGCAGACTCGAAGACCGCAGAGGAAGCTCTTCTCAAGCGGTGCTGCCACTTTACCCTGGACTTGACGGATAAGAAGCGGGACGCCAAGTCTGCGCGAGAAGCTTGCGAGCACATTTCCAATGCGCGTCGCCAGCAATTACAAGGATGCGAAGAGGACCTCCGCCGAACCATCAACCTTGCTGTCGGGATGCAGGCGGCTATCCGCAAGAAAGGTGGCTTCGAAAAGGGAGAGGCGCAGCCATTCCGCGACTGGGTATTCTCATCGCGCGACAAGACCAAACACCACGGGGATGCTGAGGCCGCCGAGCGCCTCATCAAAATCCTCCGCCAATGCTGGGTCCAGTCGGATGCAATTCCAGACGTACCAGAGAACGGCATAATTCCAACCATTCCTGCCAAATTCAAGCTCGCCGACTTCAAGTGGGAGCTTCGCGAGCAGACTCATCTGCTGCGCCGCCTCTCCAAGGAGCTTGTTGCTCGGGTGCGCTCTCTCCGGTTCTTTGAGGTCGTGCGCAAACTTCAGCACAATGGCAACGAAGCGATCGAGGTGCTGAAGGCCTCCGCATGCGGACACTACCCGGAGAATCAAAAGAATGTGCCGATGGCCCTCCTCTCGTGCTGCGGACACGTCGCCTGCTACGAGTGTATGGTAAAGAATGTGAATGATCAACGATGCGTGATGGGCGCGGACTGTCACGCCCCCGTCCGCCACACCAACATTGTCAAGGTGTCGTCGCTGGGGATCGAAGGGGAGCTCTCATCTGGCCGGTACGGCGCCAAGCTTCTCCACCTTGTCAACCTCATCAAGAAGATTCCGAAGAAGGAGCGCATCCTCGTCTTCTGCCAATGGGACGATCTCGTGCCCAAGCTTTCCGAGGCCCTCACTCACGGAAACATCTCCCACGCGCAACTCACAGGCGCGAGCACAACTCGCTCGAACACACTCAGCAAGTTCCAGAATGGAGGAAAGGACGCGGCGCGCGTGCTACTCCTAAAGCTCAACGATTCTTCGGCGGCAGGTTCCAACCTTACCGTGGCGAACCATGTCATCTTCCTAGGACCGCTCTTCACCAATACCTTGTACAGCTACAAATCGACCGAGACTCAGGCAATCGGCCGTATCCGCCGCTTTGGGCAGGAGCGCCATGTCCACGTCCACCGCCTCTTGGCCCAGGACACAATCGACGAGACCATTTTCAACGCCCGCTTCGAGGAGCTGTGCAGCAAGACGGACTACGTGCCCTACCCTCGCGAGGAGTATGCCCATGAGCAGACGCAGAGATGACATTTGCTGCGTCCGAAACCTTTTAATATTCCAGCGGGAGAGTACGCGCCTCAGGAGGCCATAGAGCAGTGCGATACTTGTGCGATAATGCATAATATAAGAACGCGGGATAGTGCACACTGGTTACATGCTTCGCTTACAACACTGCGTTCCAGCAGCGGGAATGCCACATAAAGATGAGGGAGCCTCCTCGAATCGCTCTGAGTGAAATGTACATGCGAGGGAGGATACAGGGGATGGGGACGAGTTCTGTTGACTGGCTACAGGGGCTGCAGTGCTGGGACACACGCGCAGAAGCTTGAAGCAAATGTGATACAAGTGAACATGGAAACGGGGAGGATAACGAACCGCATATACTGGAGCAATCATGTGCCACATCTGCGAGCACTGGCCAAGTCGCCGAGATGAGCGATGTTTACGCGGTAGCTTGACTCGCGCCGCTCGCGCTTGAGCCCGCGCGAGGCGGGGCGAGCTGTGCTTCGCGATGGCTGGGACTTGGAAGTCCGCGACGATTCCGTCTTGAAATGACGACCAGCCGGCGGGGTGGAAGCGCCCACCTTCTCTGCGGCGGATGCTGCTTCGCACACCCTCGTCTCTCCGGCAGACATACGGGAGGAAGCAGCCCCGAGTGATGCCTCAGGCCTAATAACCCCGTTTGAGCTGCAGAGCGATACCCGTGCGGAGGAGGTGGCCGGCCTCGCGTTGCGAGATGGCGACGGTGTGCTCGGAGCGGCGTCGCCGTTAGCGGAAGTTCCAGGAGGCGGAAGTGCAGTTGCCTCCTTCTTGACACGGGGCGACCCTGTAGGGAGCGTCGGGCTGGAACTCGGACTAGTGCGGACAGGTTTCTGGACGTGGTGAAAGCCACGGGCAGCGTTAGCAGGGGTGCCTTGAGACCTCATGTTTGAGGGAGAGGGCGTCTGGACGCTGGATCCAGCAATCCGCATGGCCTGATCAAGGACCCACGCGCCGCGATTGTCGCGCTGTGGCATTGCAAGACCATCGTCGAGGTTTGACCACGAAGCCATTGTATTCTGCGAGTCGGCCAGCACAAGTGCCAAGAGCTCTGCTTGGAAGCCCTGCGTCCGTGCAAGCCAGGCCCGTCCGAAGCGGGTCGACGTCGCAAAGTAGAGGTCACGCTCTGCTAGCATCTTGTCGTACGTCTCATTGCTGACGGCCACCCTGAGAAGATCGGCGAAAAGCAAGTAGTCGAGACCGTTGTGTTGAGGAACAAGGGTGTTAGGCGAGACTGCTGCCGGTTTGAACATCTTGACAAGCTCCTGTAGCTCTGGCAATGGCGAGTGACGCGCGATGGGAACCTCCTGAGGGTCAGCTGAGGTTTTGATCTCGACTTGCGATCTGCATAGGCCATTTGCCTTCCCCCAGCGCTGCGTTGTTGAGCTCATTGAGACGCTGCTGGTTTTGCAGCTCCCATGCAGTGGATTTTGCTTCGACCAGAACGACCTGTACAACATCCCTGTTCCTAGCCATTTCACAGCGGCCAAAACGATCGCAAACATGGAAGCGTGTAGCTCTGGGGTCGTCAGTGGTGCAGTTCAGCAGGAAGGGGTTGCTTTGCACGGCGCCATAGATGCTGCGCTTATAACGGTCGGCGTGCACCTGACAGTCAGATGTGTCCATACGGCATGCTGAACACGAACCGGCTGGTTGAAATGTCGAGCGACCTCCATGACAACCTCTTCCCACCCAAAGCACCAGGCGTTGATAAAGAACACTGTGTCCTCCGGGTAGAGGCTCATCTGCGTAACTAGAGCATCAATGACAGGTTCCTAACGTCAATCATTGCAGCTATTGGAACTCACCTTTTGTGGCATGTCTCCAGTACCCATGCTACTCGTCAGCGTAAACCAGTCCGGGCAGCTTACAAGGCACTGGTGTCCAGGTAGATGCGGTCGAGTTGACGGGTTGCTGGGAAGTCGTCGGATGCAGGATGCTTGGGGGCCGACGGGAAAAATGCTTGAAGTTGAGGGCAGCGGCGCAGTGCCTGTCGAAAGGTGAGGTCTGCGCGTACATCTCCAGTATGCAAAATAGCCTTAGTGCTATTCTGGACAAGGAACCTCCGCTGTCAGCTGAATCCGACTGTTAAAACGCACATGGCGGACCCAGGGCAGTGGTTGGCATCCAAGAGAGTGATCGTGACGGGTTCCGGGATATGCACCACTTTGCTCTGCCCATAATCCAAAGTCTCCTGATCTGATCAGAGGTGGCCATCCTCTTTACGCACGATGATTTGGCTTCGCGCAGCTAGACCCTCATACTTGCGTCGTTTTACTTCCCGCACTCCGTTGCGGAGATGTTCGCGATCCTTCTCGGCCTCGAGGCGCAGGAGCATGCGCTTGGTGTCAGGGGAACAGATGATGTTGCCAGTAAAATCGTTGGTGAGACCGACTAGATGATCCGAGTGCACATGAGTCAAGAGGTAGTATTGCGCATTGGGAGCCGGGATGCAAGGTAGCTTGGGGTCGAACGGGTCTGGAAGTGTCCACCGAGGCCGGTGAGCAGGGGGCGGTGGGGTGAAGCAATCCACCCTGATACGGGGAAACTCGAGAAGGTGGCCATCTGTGGTCAGTGCTGGGAGAACTATACTAGCTTACGGAAAAGGCCTGCCATTGCCGGGAGGGGCAGGTCAAAAGCAAATCAGTGAATGACGGCGAGAGAAAGGAGTTATGTTGATGATGAGAATACCGTTGCTGATACTACACCTGTGTGAGTGACGCACAAGCGCGTTGAGTTGACTCACCCATTTCAGGTGGATCGTGCCTGGATTGCCGGCTTCATCATTGCGGATCAGGGTGGTCGACCTCCACTTCTGCCCTGATGAGGCGGAATGCCGGTGACTCCCGACGGGGTTTGTTTCCGCTCTCCTCCTCGGAACGGTCGGACTCCTCATTCCATAACCATTATTCCAAAGGCGAGCGAGACACAGTGCACGTCCAGACGGTTGCAACAAAGGGGCAAGAGGCTAAGTGTTCACATAGAGGTTATAAACAACAACAAGTGGGGTACTGGATACTGGGTCTATGGGTAGTCTATACGGTTATGGATATGTAGTAGTAGTGTTTGGTTGTCAGGCTGGTGGAGCGACTTAGAAGGTCGACCACTCGTGCTTGACCTCACGCTCTTGTGGGGTGCGCGTGCCACTCTCGCTGTTACGCAGGGACCAGCTCGATGAGTCGCCCTCGTCATTGGATTCGACGTCGCTCGTTACAGGAGTCGAGACCCACATGCGCCGCCGACTCTGTCGCTGGAGCTGCTTCTCGCGGGCGGTGCGGCGTTCGCTCAACGTCGGCGCGAAGAGCGGACCAACGGCCGGCTGGGTCGTACGGGAGGCAGGACGCTTCGAGTGGGAAGGCATGACGGCGAGGGGATACAGAGAGAGAATGCCAGAGCGGTCCATCCACTCCTCGATGGGCGCAAGGCGTGGCTCGAGCTCGTCCATGGCCGACTGCGACTTGGAGCGGTGGATGGAGCGAGTGGGGAAGAGCTGAGGGCTTGCAAGGAGCTCGTCGTCAAATGCAGAGGCAAAGGAGCTGGTGAGGCTCGGCGCGGTCTCGCTCGGGCGGCGGGCATCGTCCTCAGTGCTTGCGCAGCAACCGTCACAGACACGGAGGGTGCGGACAACCGTCTCGCCCTTCGAGGACTTTGTTTCGAGAGGGAGGCGGCCGGTCGAGTGCTGGCCACAGAAGATGAGGCCGCAGAGACGACAGTGGTGCCGGCGAGGGCCAATGGGGAGGGCTGTCTGGGAAAACATGGTTGAGCAGAAGGGGTGGCTGCAAAGAGCAGTGTCTTCGTCACGCTGGATGTCAGCATGCGAGCTTGTCGAGTTAGTAAAGCCACTCACCTGCCATTCGCTACGAGGCTTGGCTACAAGAGCGGTTGGGTCAGACGACCTGAGACCGGCGGTGCAAGCAACGTGCTCAAGAGAGGTGCTCGCCGAGGAAGTCACGGATGAGGTGCAGCCGATGTCGGATGTGGCGCGACGCAGAGGGAATGGCCGGGGGAGACCAACCATCGTGTCGAGCTTCATGGTAGGGGGAGCTGGACGGGGGAAGAAGCCCGAGGTCGGGGAGGCTGCGGCGTCAGCGGTGCCAGGTGTGCGCGAGAGACTGAGAAAGCAGCGACTTACAGCAGACGGACTTTACAGCGGGCTCAGTAGGCATGTCATCGCAGACGACCACTTCAAGATTGGCCCTGTTGGATGGGGAGGACTTGAGCTGAGGTGGTCTGCAGAGGTGGAGAAGAGAGGAGCCGGTGGGGGAAGACTGGGTTGACTGCATGTCGTGAGAGGGAGGGGGAGCAGTGAGTGATGACCAAGGAGTTGCCGCAGTTGGTGTATTTGTGGAAGACGGCCGCCTTTTGAGACGAGCGGCGATGGAGTGAAATGAGATGAGTGATGAGGATGGAGATGGAGATGAAAGCTGACAGGCGGTGTGTAGTTAAGTTGTGTGAAGAGAGTGGGTGGTCGTGTGCAGGCTGTTGGGAGTGAGTATATCAGCGATCAGCGAGTGGACGAGGTGGATCGGTGGAATCTGTGGATCGCCTGGCATGCCGCCTGCACGCCGTCCACACACCCCATCCTCGGCTCAGCTCTGATGCCTTGCGCGCGCTTCAGTTCAGCCAGTTTCCATCAGGAGTCACCTGGTTGGCTTTGGTTAGCCTTTCCTGTTGCCCTTCGGCCCTAGACACCCTGCATAACGGAGCCGTGGAGTCGTGTGTCTCTTGGGGTGATCCCTATCCCCGAAATACCCTTCAGGCTTCAGGAGGAGATAGGGAGTGCTGCCGTGAGTTCGAGTTCAACTATGGAGGTGTGGAGCAATCTCCGAGGGATCGGGGGGAGATAGCATTAGGAAGCATAGGAAGTGGCTAATCCACCGCCAAATCTCCCATTAGCCCCCATTAACCCCGTCCAACCCCGGGTGTCGCACGAGCGAATCTCCCCTTAATCCTCTCATCCTTACCCAAAGCAGCTGACACGCACACCACCCTCACACCCCTCAGCGCACAGACCCTTTGGTCTCTTGGCCTCGAGGCTTGCGCTTACTGTGTAATTAGGGCTTTAATCGGTTCGGCCCAAAGCGCCACCCGTATGGGCCCAGGCACACGTGCGCACTTGGTCTTCGGACCCCCGGACCATATGCTGGATGCACGCGATCCATGTCCCGGCCCGTCCACGCCGCCGCCCATGCCGCCCAGACGCATCCATCTCCTGACCCGCAGCACCAGATGCAGTGCTCCCCCTTCAGCCCCTTGCTCTGAGGGACTTGAACGTTGTTCTGCAGGGAAGCAAGTTGTTCTCCACTTCCCTCCCTCCCGTCCAATGCTTCGTCGCTCCAGCACGCTCCAGTGCGCTCCAGTTCGCTCCAGCAATCCATCTCCAGCTCCAGCACCCCTCCCCCCTTTACTCCCCAACTATTGCCAGCTACAAGCTAGAAGCGAAGCGGGGTTAGCCTTCCCCTGACCCTTCAAGCCCCTAAGAAGACGCACATGGGTGGCTGAGGTGGCTGATCAGGCTGAAGCTTCGAACGCCGCCCGGGGATCCGGGGATCAGATCAGATTGTGTCCACGACGCCGCTGTTCACATAAACGGCGGGCGTCCTCCGCTCGCTATGGCTCGCTAACTGCAATCACTACTACTGTACTCTCAGTTATCGGACCGATTGAGACTTGACTGCGTCCGATTACTACTAATCGTAATCTAGATCATATTATCGCCACGGCCCGATCCGATCTGGCCTTCCTAGCCCCGCGGGTTTGGGCCGGACCGCTCTGGACAAGAGGCCTCTTCTGGGCCACGACTACTACGTTTCCCGCCTCTCCACCACATCTGCACTCAAGACGTCAGCTGCATCATTTGCATCATCGACATCAATCTCAGATTGCCTCGGCACTCGGAGGATGCGGGAGCCCGCAGATCCACGGCCAACCCCTGTAGATCATCGGACCTTGCTTGCATGCGCGAGTGCGCCCATGCTCATGATGAAATCGGTATGTGGAGCATCTCACCGAGCACTAGACCGAGGTGCCGCGAATCTTGTGGGCATGCGGAGCGTGCGGGATTGTGGGAGTCTTGTGATGACAGCGGTGTGACGTCGCTTCCCGCATTCCCGGACTGTAGCCGTTGCCCAACTCGGCATCTTGCGCGCGTTTCGATGATAGAGTTGTCGATTAGCGGTGGAGCCCGTAAATGTGGGAAGTGACACTAGACATTCCTCGTTGCCGCCGGCCCGCTTCAGGCCCGCCTCAGGCCCGCTCAATGGCTCTTATGGGGCTAACGATTATATGTATGTGGAGTTTCTCGGGACTCCAACACGCTATAGCGTTAAAGAGCCCTTATGATGTCAAGTGAGTCATGGGAGAGCTACGACCGTTACCGTCACTCACTGATTCTATGACAGCGATGACAGTGCCTGGTCTGTATCTGAACCCGTCAGAGATAGCCTGATGGCGGGAGCAGGCGCTGCTCAGTCGAATAGCTGGGACGTTGCTTGTGGTGTTGCCGCCTACAAACCTCCAACCTCCGGGCTCGGTTGCACATTGACGATATTGAACGCCGATACTCGGTGCAATCAGCGCCACATACCAAGTCGCGGACCGAAGCGCGCGGAAGAGGTACTCGGTGATCAGCGATGGGCGATCAGTCTAGTACCGAGTGTCTCACGATTCACGATCTCACGGAATGAGACAAACGGCTGCCCTTCCCCTGATCGCTGATCGCTGATCGCTGATCGTCCTCTGACCGCGCCGGCTGGCGATCCGGCGATCAAACGCTCCGTCGCGCAGTCTCAAAGCATCGCACCCGAGGTCCGTCTCAAGGTGCAAGGTGGCTTATTCAGTCGAGGCTTGCGCCGCGTTGGCGTGGGAGGAATGTCGACAGCTTAAGCAGCCACAGTCATTCAGCAAACGTTGCAAGCGAGGTGAGCCACATTCCACTTCGCTTCTTGCCGCACACACTCGGCTTTCAAGCGCGGCAACAACTCAACGCTTAGCACAATAAGGACTGTCTTGGGGCACCGCGGGGCTCGCTTCGAGAGGGTGCCCCCAAGCAGCTTGTTGATGCCGAGCCGGCTTGCGACTGTCAGTGGCGCTGGAGGCGTTGGCAGCCTCTCATCGCTAGCTGGATCAGTTGAGGAGAGCGGGCTTGAGGTTGTGCCAGCCTCTCTTGTCAGCAATGATCACGGAATGAAAGCCACATGCCATAGCCGGGTGGTGAGGGCGTCGTTTGTTCAGCTAGAACTCATGTGAACAGCTGGCCTTGAGGCGCGATGTGTCACGTGCTAACGCTTGGGTGGCGGTGTTGGGCTCAGATCTCGGCGATCAGCAGCCCACACTGTCTTTGCTAACTATTCGCTCTCCTGCTAGGAGGCGTTCAACGACGCCTGCGGCCAACATGCGGCAGAATTGAGGTAGTCAGCTTGCGCGGCTTGAACTCACGATTGTGTTAGGGCTGGGATTCTAGCTCGTTAGACGCTTTCCGCTCGTAGATCGCTTAAACTCATTCTGGCAAGAAGAGCAGTGGCAGGATTCAGGACTGAACAGTCATCGAGCAGGACGAATTTCACGACAAGTAGTGAAGCAGTCTGTGTGCGCGCACACTTTTATCAGCCAGCCTGACGATTAGATGTATGAATAACGCAGGCTCTCAAGGGGATTATTTCTCCGTGCCTCAGCTCTTCGATATCATCACTTCCGCAATACGCAATACGCACCAGACCCTCATGCGTGTGCTATTACACAATCCATGACAACCTACGACATGCCTGGTAGACGGAAAAGGCGTCCCGTCGGCCCAGTGACCCAGGAGCAGAGCTTAGATGCCTCCCCCTCGGCGCTTGACAAACTCCTGCAAGTCGTCCTTGGTCGCGACAGCCAAAACCCAGTTCCGCTCGGCGTCCGTCACTGCTGTCAGATGGTTCTACAACTCTTTCCAACTCGTCAAAGGCTCACCTAGGGCGAAGTCGGTACCGTTGGTCAGGAAGAAGCTCTCGAGCGTCTCGAGCGGTGTGTCAGGGGTGATGACAGAGTATGGGTGACGGCGCGACGTCGTGGGGAAGTGTGTCATGTGCGAGGCTGCCGTTAGACTATCAGGCTGAACAAATGGAGGAGACGCGTTTGATCCACAGCCTGATCTAATAGCACAGGAGAGACGCGTCCGAGCCCAGTGACGAGGCGAGTTTCACGCAGATCGTGACGCGTCCGAGCGCAGCTGGTCTCGCTCGATCTCGCATGGACCACTATCCACATCTGCGTTTCGTCCCCTCCCAATGCACAGCACTCACAGATAATGTCCGTCTCGCGCGTCTCGCCAGCCTCAAACTTGCGCTTGATGGCCGGCACGTTCAGATATCCGATCGGTCGGCGGTTCGAGTTCAGGACGCTGCCAAGTCAGTCACGCTTTGTCAAGCGTTAGCGATCCAAAAGCGTACGGGAGCTGGTCAAAGTCGCGCTCGTATGCAGCCTCGAGCGCGAAAGAGAGAGGCGCGTCCTTCGGCAGGCAGAACGCCGGGGGCAGCTGCAGGTCCTGCGGTTAGGGTGCGCATCTCGCTTCAAGCTCACTTCAACGACGGCTCCGCGGTACTTGGCGCCGCTGGCAACCGAGGCGGTGGGCGTTGTTTCCCTGTCGGCCATGATGCTTGATGGGGTTGATGTTGACAAAAGAATCGAAAGTCGTGTCATGCCGAGATCCTGGCGATTTCGTATCTTCCAACCACGTGGTGAAAATGGGCCCCACGTCGCAGCGACAGCGGGGCGGGCATGTCGCCCCTTGTTGCCGCTGCCGTCATTGATGCGGCCCGGCGAAGTGGTGTTAACCGGTCGCGGTCTCATCTCGACGTCTCCATCATCCATCATGAGTGTGACCAGCCTGCCCTCACAGTCCTTTCCGCAGGCGCACAGACGGCGCCTCTACATTCTTCTGGCGGTCGCCATCGCCGTACTCCGCACGTCGCAACTCCCGTCCGCCTCGTCCGCCCGCGACGTCGTAACACTGAAGGCATGGCGCGATGCCCGCAAGGCGCGCTTCAACGAGCAGCGACGGCGCGAGCGAGAAACACCTCTGTAAGATACTAATGTCAACAGTGCTGACGGTAGCAACACGCCCGCGCTGGAGAAGAAGCTTGTCGACCTCGTGCGCTCACACGACCTTCTCCACTAACCGCAGTATATTACTGATCCGTCCGGCTCGCGCACCCTCCTCATACCTCACCGCGGCCGTATATCCAAGGTGCGGATTACGCCCACTCCTGCAGAGACATATGAGGCGAACCGCGCCCTGTTCCCGCCTCTCAAGGCCGGCGAGAAACTCGGCGTAAACAAACGCTTCTGGCAGATGCTTCGCGCAGTCCTCGCAGTAGCATTTCCGAGGTGATTCCGAGATTGACCATCACTAATCGCAGTAAAACGGGCAAGGAGGCATTCCTACTGCTGCTGCACACGTTCTTCCTTGTTGCACGCACGTATCTCAGTGTGCTGGTCGCGCGCCTAGATGGGCGCATCGTCCGCGATTTGGTACGCCTTTTCACAAGCCCTCACCGATCTGACGACAGGTATCCGCAAACGGCAAGGGCTTCCTGCGCGGCCTGGGCTGGTGGTTTGTCCTTGCGTTGCCTAGCACGTACACGAACTCGATGGTGAGATCGATCTACGAGTAGACTGACGCCAGATTCGCTATCTCGAGCACAAGATCGCCTTGGCATTCCGTACTAACCTCACTCGCTACATCCACGACATTTATCTGTGAGACATGCGTTATGACAGAGCTGACTACAGTAATCAAAACCTCAACTACTACAAGTTTGGTCTTGGGCTGGGTGTGACGGCCAACTCGCCTACTACGAAGGTCGCGGACGGCGAGAAGCAGACTGGCCGGAAAGGGGACCAGAAGGAGAAGGGAGAGGCTGCCGATGCCGCTGCGGGTGGTGCTGACCAGTATGAGTGAACCTATTGCCTTGCTGACGGCTTAGACTCATTACCACCGATCTCGCACGGTTTTGCGAGACCCTCGCTGCGCTCTAGTATGTCTGACGTCCGGAAAGAGCTGACCATCAGTGGCAACATGGGCAAGCCATTCCTTGACATGGTCATTTTCACCTCACAGCTCGCAGCATCTCTCGGCCCCGCCGGGACAGCAGGTATCTTCTTGCAATACTATTTCACCGCATGGGTTCTCAAGAAGGCCACGCCCGCATTTGGCCGTATGGCAACGACCGAGGCACGCATCGAGGGCGAGTACCGGACTGGGCTGGGCCGTGTCGGCCGCGACTCCGAGGAGATTGCGTGAGTCCTAATCCTGCATGATTGAAGCTCACAGTCCAGCTTCTACGATGGAGGCAAGCGCGAGCTAGGCATCCTGTGGACGACTTACCAGAAGCTGTCCAAGCACATTCACACCATCTTCAAAGCCCGCATTCCCTACGGGTGAGCTGCCATGCGATTATGTCGCTGACTTTAGCATGACGGAGGACTTCGTCATTAAGTACTGTTGGTCAGCAGTGGGGTACTGCCTCATGTCCATTCCGGTTTTCTTCCCCGTCGCTCGGCATGTCACCGGTGTTTCGGAAAATACTAAGCACAGCGAGGATAACGACATTGCGTCGCGTACTGAGAGTGAGTGCAGACCAGATGACTTGGCTTATCGCAGGCTACGTCTCCAATCGCCGCCTGCTGCTGTCGCTCGGTGACGCTGGCGGTCGCCTCATGTACTCGGGCAAGGAGCTGGCTGAGCTTTCCGGCTACACCAGCCGCGTGTACTCGCTCCTGGCCTCGCTACACGCGTTGGACAACAACGATTACCCGAAAAACCCTCGCCCGGCATCGCTGCCTCCTAACATGGTTGGTACAACTGCAGGGACAGGTATGCTAACTCCAGCCATTCTACGATCTCGGCAATGTTAGGGGGTCAGTAGTCGTGGGCCGGAACCACGTTCTTCTCAAGGGCGTGCCAATTGTGGCACCAGCTGGCGGCGCCGCTGGCGCCGAGCGTGGTGGCGAGGAGCTTATCCACCGCCTCGATCTCCGCGTTGAGAAGGGCGAGCACACGTTGATCACCGGCGCCAAGTATGTCCTATCACGGAAGCCAACTGACGTCAAGCGGATCGGGCAAGACCTCGATTGCGCGCGTTGTGGGCGAGTTGTGGCCTACTTGGTCGGGCCTCCTTGAGCGCCCAGAGCAGGGCGAAGGCGGTATCTTTTTCCTGCCTCAGAAGGCGTACCTTTCCATTGGCAGCCTCCGTGATCAGTGAGTTCGAGGTACCATTCCCGGCTAACGCCACAGGGTCATCTAGTACGTCAATCGCCGATCTTTTGATGCGGGGAATAAACTTACGCAGCCCACACACGTACGCCGAGATGAAGGCACGAGGCCGGACAGACGCCGAGCTCATGAACATCCTCGAGCACGTCCACCTCGCCTACCTTCCCGCGCGCGAAGGCGGGTGGGAGACACGCAAGGAGTGGAAGGACGTGCTTTCGGGCGGCGAGAAGCAGCGCATGGGCATGGCCCGTCTTTTGTAAGCTGCAGCCTGTTTAGTTCGACTGACAACAGCTATCACCGGCCAAAGTTCGCCGTGCTTGACGAGTGCACGTCTGCGGTGTCTACTGACGTCGAGGGGCTCATGTACGAGCACGCCAAGTCGATAGGCATCACTCTTATCACAATCTCGTGAGCTAGGCAGCGGAAACCGGACTGACTCGCAGCACCCGCGCCTCGCTGCTCAAGTACCACAATCGTCACCTGCGACTCGGCGAGCCCACGCTCGCTCCCTCGCTGTCGTCCGTCAACCTGCGCGACGCAATTGGCACGCCATCGACTCCTCTCGCCTCACAGGGCTGGCAGCTCACCAAGCTTGCATCAAGCACAGCTGAGGAGAAGCTCGAGGTTGACAAGGAGATCGAGCGCCTCGAGCGCGTGCTCAATGTCGAGGTTGACCTGTGGGAGCAGCGCCTCAAGCAGGTCAACAAGGAGCTCCGTGGGGGACAGTAGACCTGGAGATGAGAAACGGAGAGCGTCGTGTTGTATATGGTCGAATATGAAGATGTCACAGACAAGAACTGCATAAAGACCTCCAAATAATCTAGATATCCACAAAAATTAGGGGTTGACGCTTGGCTCTCCACCGTACTTGCCCGACATCGTGGCCCGGTGAACGCCAGCAAACGTCCACCCGGGCGCGGACTGACCGTCTTCGACGGTTTCCAGGCCGATGCCAGACAGGACACGGCCAGGGCATGCAAAGTGCGCGTCGACATTAACGGGGGCGAGGGCACCGCTGGTGATAAAGCGCGCAATAATCTTGTTATCCACTCCTTCTCCGGGCAGAACGCGGTAGGTGATAGCCTTTCCGTCCGGCGAGTCGGACCATGTTCCGCTGACAGGCTTTGACTGGGTGGTCGTTACTTCTGGCTCGCGAGGGAACGTGACGGCGAGATTAAGATCGGCGAGACCAGCGCCGGGCGTGACACGATAGTGCAGGATCATGCGCGTCTCACCCGCTTTAACCTGGAACGCAGGCTTGATCGTGAGCGGCGCGATGTCCGGTCGCTCGAGCGCCTGGTACTGAAATAATACGGGCCCACGGGGGCTGCCATCCTCTGCCTGGGCAGTGGCGTGTGCCACTGCATCCGTGTTGAGGTAGTACTCGCCCGGCGCATCGGGTACCTGCGCGAGGAAGGCGGGGTTGGGCGAGATGGACTCAAGGTTCTCGAACTCGGTGAGACGGATGTGGATTTTAGACCCGGGTGGCGGGAGGGGCTGATCACGCGTGGCAGCCAACGAGAGGCGGATCTCACCGTTCACCATGGTTTGTACGACCTGGTTCTGACGAATCAAGGCGTGTACCGTCTCTGTGATGGAGGCGTTCAAGCCCGGAATGGCGGACGAGGTGGAAACAGAGGGTCGAGCTGGCATCGTGGGTGCCTGGCTTGCGCCTGCAAGTGAGGCTGTAGGTGAGAGCGGTACAGGTGGCGCGGTAGGGGGCGAAGGGGCGGCGGCGTTCGCAGTGGGGAGCGCAGATGTACCATTGGACTGCGAGTGTGTACCAAGGACTGCCGCTCCAGCTCCGGCGGCCAGACCAGCAACGGCAGCTCCGCCCACGACAGCGGGGGGCTGCATCCTACCCTGTGGGGAAGGAGCACGTTCCAGCGTAGAAGACGGCGCCTCGAGGCCTGGAGATGGGGCTCCAAGACCAGGAGAGTCGAAGGGGTTGCGTGACGAGCTGGAGACAACAGAGGCCGAGCGTCTTCTTGAGACGTCACCGCGAGGGGCGAATCCGTCATCAGCAAGGTGCTCTTCCTCGCCCATACGAGCGAGCGCAGCCATATGTGCTGGGGGAAGCGGCATCGCGTCCGCGGCCGTTGCCTGCATCGTGTGGCGAGCCTCGCGGCGGCCTCGGGCAATGGTCGATCGTCGGGCAGGTGGCTGGGGCTGCAGGCTGAGTGTCTGCTGCATCTTGGCAAGAGCTGCTTGACGCTCGTCCTCGCTTTCCTTGATTGGAGCGGGTGCCATGGCGAGGTTAAGGCGGGGGGTTTCGCCGATCGACGATGAGCTGGTACTCTGGTTGTCCTGCATCATTCCCGGGGAGGAACTTCGCTGGCTTGCAAAGAGGGCGGACGGCAGTGCGACGCCGGCAGCACCAGCTGCGCCCGCGGCCATACCACGAGACGAGGAGGAGGGGATGCTCTCATTTGGCTCATCCCACAGCGGCTTATGCCGGTCCGCGGGGGCGATGGTGTAGCCCTCAGCATCGACTTGTGGCGCCTGTTCTCGATTAGCTGCGTCACTCGCCCCAAAGCATACCGATACTCTCGTGCCACTGGGCTCGCGCTTGCTTGCGGGTCGCTCGGGTATGGGTTCGGGCTTCTCGCGCACGGGCGTGGAGAGATTCCGCTCACTGTGGCCATCTCCAACAGGCTCAAAGCCGTCCCCAGTAGGTCGACGAGTGCTGCGTACCGAGGTCGCCTCACTGCCACTGCGCTGACGCCCAGCGACAGTGGCCTTTCTGGACAACATGGACTTCAGACCACCGAACGTGCCCCCCTTGGTCTGAGACTGTTCATGGCTCGCCCCATGGGACGAGACATTAGACGTCGAGCCGTTGGCTCTTTGCATACGCGGGGTGAAGTCAGAGGCGCCCGTGCCAGTTGTCTGCATTGAGACGCGAGCTGCGGCGTCAGCGGCGTGTTGGGACAACTCCATACGTGTCTCTGCCTCTGGAGGCACAGAAGTCTCTCGGGGGCGCGAGGACCCGCGGCCCCCCGCTTGGGAGCCCAGTCGCACCCCGATGGCCACGACCTCGTCCTGTGGCTCCCAGCTCAGGAGCTGCGCGGCAGTCTGCTCTGCACGCTGGCCGTCCCGCGCAGCCATGTCGCCGCGAGCTGTCGCCCAGCGCACAACAACCTCTTTGAGCCCGCGGAGACGTTCCTCGTCCAGGCGCTGGTACGCGCAGAACAGGACCGGCATTTGCATTGAAATCTGATGGGTTGAGGTGCTGAGATCCGCTTCGAGGTCGCCGACCTTGTTCGAGTTCTTGCTGAGCGCCTTTTGAAGCTTAGCGTTAACCTTCTCGTTGTCTTTGAGCAGGCGGTCGATATTGGCCTCCTTGTCATGAATACTGCGCCACGGCAAGATCTTGTTTGGGAGGTCGCGGACCGGGCCTTCAAAGTCGGACTTGAGCGTGGCTGCGAGCGTCGAGTGCGACGATGCCGTCTGATGATGTCAGTGAAAGACTGGCACGCGACGCACCTCCTGGATGTCTCCAAGAACAGCATCCCACAACTTGGCCTCGCCGCCATGCTGGTCCCACTGCGTGCCGCCCTTGCCGAGGAGCTGACCTTGCTCGGCGGATCGCGCCAATTTGCTGAGTTTTGTGGCGTAGTCCTGCTCGATCAGAGCGCGCTCGCGATACAACTCGGCGAGAGCATGGACATGGGTGGTGGATGCTTGAAGACGCTTCTGGAGCGAGTTGAGGAGGGGCCTAGCGTTGGCAGTTTGGAACTCCTTGCTCCAGGTGTCCTCTGGTAGAGCGTCGCTCATGGTGCCGACGTAGGCCAAGAAGGTTTTGTGCGAGAGAGATGTGGACAGGTGGAGATGGAGTTAAAAAGAGGAAGAAGGGGTGCACTCGGTGGGGGACGGGGTGCTGGGGCGTCGAAAGATGGTGCCGAGCAAGGCTAGACGGTACGCTCGGGGGTACGACTGTTGATGGGAGTCAGAGACGAGGGAGAAAGCAAGATGGAGGACGGAGGGGCGAAGAAAGATGTGAGAGGAGGTTGGATGTTTACGAGTGCGATATGGACGGAGATACGGAGGGGATGCGACTGCCGCCGTAAATGCTTTGGAGCCACCAGCGAGAAAGGATCAGTGCGGGCGGGCCGTACGGTGAGAGCGCTGGGTGGGCGAGGACTGCGACGACGCGAGACGTGCGTCACTGCTTCATGTCGGTCGGTCAATCCGGGCCAACCACAGCCGTGGTTTGACAACTGCCCCACTCCAAGAGTAGGTCTGGGAGACAAACAACACGTCATCCGCAGTGATAAGCCTCCGTGGAGAACTTGTTGCAGGAATCCACCTAATCCAGGGGCAGCGCATGATGACCTACCCAGCGCCCTGGCCTGCCTCGCGCCACCTCTCCTTCTGCCACCTGGCCCCTGTGGAGGGCCATCATGCACCCCATCCTATCGTCACCATCTCCTTCTTCTCTGTCTCCATCTCTCTGCCATCTCTCAACTTGCGTCTTCATCAACATATCATCCCAGACTCACTCACCGCCCCAACTTCGCCGTCTACATTGCGCACACTCTTCTTCCTGATCACCAGGCCCCCCCCCCCCCCCCCCCCGCCCTCACCGCTCGCATCATGAAGGTCTACGCCCTCGCTCTCCTCTCCGTAACCTCGGCCACCCCTGCCCAGGCCACGGTCCTCGGCTCGTCCCAGGATCTCAGCTCCTTTTCCTTCTACCAGCGTGGTAGTGTGGGCGAGTTCATGAACTTCTTTACAAAGGTGCGTCCCTGTTCCACTCAAACGATAGGTGTTGGCAGTTGTGGAGTCGCCGATCACGCGAGACTGACGCTCGTAGACCGTTGCTGAGCGCACGCCGCCTAACCAGCCGTCATCGGTAGAAGAGAACAACTACAAGGCGCACGTCTTCCGCAATGCGAGCCGCACGCCTGGTGGCCTCAGCTTGGCCGGTGAGTCGCAAGGGGCCGGTGCGGGTCGGGGCTTGCTTTGCTCAAGATCTCGATGCAGTGCCGCCCCGTCTTCTACCGCACCGCTTCGTTGAGGCGCCGCTAATGTCCAGCGGTCATGATTACCGACCTCGAGTACCCGTATCGCCCCGCCTTCTCGCTGCTCACAAAGCTTCTGGACGAGAACGCTGGTCTTCTCCAGCAGCTCCCCAACCCTTCTGCAGCACCTTCCCTTGCGGCCGCGTCCGCATCTGCGTTTGGCGGCAACCCATCGCAGAATGCCCAGGGCGGCCTCCCACCTGCCCAGAAGGGTAAGCTGGAGGGCACCCTCGCATCGTACTTGGCGAAGTACCAGGACCCCAAGCAGGCCGACACCATCATGAAGGTGCAGGCAGAGTTGGACGAGACGAAGATTGTTCTGGTGCGTAAACGCTGTCTTTGGACGAGAGGTGCATGCGGGTTAGGCCTAACCCTTAGCACAAAACCATCGAATCTGTTTTGGAGCGCGGTGAGAAGCTGGACAACCTCGTCGAGAGGTCAAATGCGCTCTCCTCGCAGAGCAAAATGTTCTACAAGACGGCCAAGAAGGTAAGCTTTGTTCGGCGTGGACAGTGTTGACCTTTAGCAAAACTCGTGCTGTGTTATCATGTAATCTCTATAGACATTCACGTTACGGTCATGTTCACGCTTTGTTGCTCTCACCGAAATGGTCAGGTGAGCCGAAGCGTATGGTCCTTGGCCTTTGCAGCTGATAGCTGGTTGATGCATGTTGATGTTAATTCGACTTTGATATAAGTTAGTGTGCGTTTCGCTCCTGCGCCGACATTATCTCTCGGCGTGTCACAAGATATGTGAAGATGATCAGCTCTGAGCGGCGATCTCTGCCCACGAGTGATGCATGCACCGTGGGAGACCTGCCACAATCTTCGTGCCTGGGTCAACATTTTGTCGCGAGATGGAGGTCATCCTCGTTCGCATCCCTCTCCATCCTACAATGGCAGCCAAGGCCGGGCCCTCCAAACGCGCTGCGTCCCCGAAGAAGGCGAAGACCGCCATGAATTCCGCGTCGGCATCCGAGGCGTCGGACTCGGAAAGCGTGGACAGCAACGACATTGACGAGGCCGTCGTCGAGACACCCCGCCCAGCCAAGGCTGCGCGCAGAGGCGCCGCCTTGCCGCGATACCAGCCGCCGATCGGTATGGACCCCGTCGCGGTGTCGACGAGCTTCAAGGACAGCCCATTCGAGTACGATGCGCTCACGAAGAAGGGCGTGGAGCTGTGGGCCATTCGGGTGCCGGCGGACGTGAGTGCGAGCGGACTGCGCAGACGGAGTGCAATAGGAGATGGCGAGGAGTGTATGGCCGGGACGACGGACCATGTCACTCCCTCCCGTCTTACGTGCCTCGCGATTAGTGTTGACGGCGTTCATCAAGGCGAGAAGCTGACCCCAGTTCAAGGTGTCGCGTCTGTCCTCGCTCGCCCTCGAACGGCCGAGCAAGAAGGGCGTGCGCGGACGGCTGGAGCGGAGCAGCGGGTCATACACTCTCCAGACTGCGGAGGACGGAGACGGCATCGGTGCCGAGATGGCGGGCATGAGACTGCTCGTGCCGAACATGAAGGCTGGAGGGAAGCTGATGAGGGGTGAGTTATGTTCGGCGAGGGTGGCAGGTGGAAGTGCGAACCATGGAAGGGGAGTTCGGGTGCCAGCCGAGCGAGACAGGAGATAGAGGGGCACGCCTCTGTTTCTGTGGCCAGGCGGCTCGTGGCCGCCAGTCAACCGCAGGGGGCGAGAAGACAGGACACGGATAATAGCGAGCAGCCCCGACGCATACACCTGCGCAGTAGCTGACCTCAGCACCGGGGATGATTTCGCGCCGCCTTATCCTCGCGCCCACCGACGACAAGGCCCAGGGGACGGCGTACACGCCTCCGCCCAAGGTCCAGCGGACACAGCCCGAAGAAAAGCTCAAGTTCCGCAACCGCGCGTACGGGTTCGACACGCCTGGGCCCAGCGAAAAGGCGAAGGCACGGGATGGCGGGGCAGTCGCCGCGACGGCTTCGCCGACACAGGCGGCAGTGGTGCACGCCGAGGAGGACGCGCCGAAATCTCTGTCCCAACCCACGTCGTCACAGAAGGAGAAGAAGGCCAGAAAGGAGAAGGAGGGCAAGAAGGATAAGGAGAAGAACGCGGTCAAGGTGGAGAAGGAGGGCAAGAAGCGCAAGTCGGAAGGGGAGTCGCCCAAGAAGAAGAAGAAGATCAAGGCCGAGTAGAGTAGCTTGGCCGCGGAGGAGGGAGGCCATCGTGGGTTGCTGCTGCCTGCCATTAGAGATGATACCTATGCATTATTTATGTTACACCACTAAGCTATAGAATACAGTACACACTGGAAGTCGCGGCTCAGAGGAGCGCGAGCGGATCGTCACCGCGAAGGATCTCGTACACTTTCTTGCTCAGCGCCTAAAGTCAGCTTTCATCACCATCACCCCTCACCGGACCGAGGGTGCGGCGCGTGGCCACCCCATTCGCGAGATTGCCCACCGAGGAGCCGGCAAGGAGAGTTGCGCCGTCCCCGTCGTCCTCGTACGCCTCCATCAGACTCCTTAGCGAGGGGTAGTTGCGGGATACGCCGAGTGCGGCGGAGGTTGTGAGGCCCGGCACCTCCTGAAGCATGAGCTCGAGCACTTCGCCAGGCTCTGTGCCCTTCTTCTGCCCCTCCGGCGGCGCGAAGGCAAGATGGCTCTTCGTGAGCTTCTTGTAGGGGCGGAACGCGACGTCTGCCGCGAGGTTGAACAGCCAGTCCTCGATTTCCTCCGTCTCTTCGACGAGGACGACGAACACGTGCTGCTCGACCTGGGCGCGCAGGAGAGATTTGTCCACCATATCTTTGGTGACGCGGCGACCCACCGCGGGGCGCGCGGGGCGCGCATTAGTATCGTGCAGCGCGGCGCTCACATTCTCGCGGTGAGTACGGTTCACAATCGACGCTGTCTTGGAGTGGTACTTGGCTAACCCTTTCACAAGCAGAAACACCTGCTCGTTGGGTCTGTTCGCGACGGCCAGCCGGATGTCGCTCAGCCACTCCATGAACATGTCCTCGCTCTCAGCGAGGCGGTCCACGATCCCATCCACGCTTGTCACCATGACAAGCGTAGGCTCCCACTCGAGGCGCTCGGCGTCCAGTGGGGTAAACCTCTTCGTCGTGGCGTCCCACACGGCCTTGACGCGGCGCAGGAATCGGATCGTGCCGGGCGCAACGGTTTCCTCCTCGGTCATGTAGTGCAGGGAGGATCGGTTGTCCTCAAAACGGAATTTGACCTCCGGCAACGCACCCGCGATAGGCGACGAAGGTAACGACAGGTCATACGCCAGATGCAACTCAATCTCCCGTAGCGCCTCGACCTTGGACGTTCGTAACTGTCGTCAGCCAGGCTTGCTGTGATCAGCTCACTCGATTGGCATCGGCCAGCTTCTTCTGGTACGACTTCTCCGCCTCCTTGGCCGCCTTAGCAGCGTCGCGGTCATATTTCTGCTGAGCCTTCTGCGCTTCTTTGGCCGCTGCACGTTCATCCGCGACGCGCTTCCTCTCGGCCTCTTTCCGCGCGGCCATCTCTGCTGGTGTTTCTTCCTCAATCCCCTCAAAAAAACCACAAGCCGCGTTATCAGCCTTTGCTGGACGAGATGGGCGGGGGGGTCGGGGGCGAGACGGGCCAGGCTGAGTATCCTCCGCCTTACCTCGGGGCGCATCGAGCTGAGTAAGTTCCTCCTCGCGGCGGGATGGACCAGGCTGGTTCTCGTCAACTATGACGAGGGCTGATCTCGAAGCCTGTCGTCAACTTCTTCGCCTTTCCACCACCCACCTTTGCCGGTCGCTGGCGTACCGATGTGAATGCCGGGAGCGACGATGTTTGCTTGCGTTTGGGGGCACGTGAGCGGGATGTTGACGGACCGGAGATCGCGTTCACGGTGGTAGTGGACGAGAAAGACTTCGTAGCAGTAACTCGCGAAAGAGCCGCGACAAGATCGTCATCTGAAGTATCCGAGTCGTCGTCCACCAGCACGGCTGTGATCGTCGACTCGGTGTGTATCACTGCACTCGACGAGGACACGCAGATGATACCGTCATCTGAGCCATCGGAAAGAACGACAATATCTCTCATCAGTCCCCAAAACTTGATGGGCTTACCTTTGTCACTCATTGGCATGAGGATTGAGGTTATTGACGTGTTGTGTGATACTCGGCGCGTGTGGAGCGCACAAGTGGAGGTTGGCAAGGAAGTGATATTGAGGTTGACTGGACTTAGACGCGTCGCGGACTTGTGCCTATCTCCGCAGAAGTCAATCCGGTGCATATCACATGCAACATGCTCCCATATCACATGCAACATGCTCCATTCATCTATTAACATATATACTTGCGTTATGAGCCGGATTGGAGATGGCCACGAAGAAACTTGTCCACTGGACAAACGACATATAATTAGCCCTGGTACTCTCGGAACTCCTTCCACTGGTCGCTCTTGAGAAGCGATGCGACGTAGGCATGGAAAGCCGGCGCCTGCGCAGCCGAGGTCATGTGGAAAAGCGGGGTAATGGTGCGCATTGTCGAGCGCTGGATCTCCTCTGCACGTCAGCCGCATTCCTTCAGTAACGCACCCTTGCGCTGAAGGTCCTGCTTGATGGTGTCCTCCTTGACCTCAAGATCCTTCATGATCGCGCGCAGTGCTTCAACAACGCCGTCGAGGTGCGGCTTGACGATGGCCGGCGCCAACTCCGCCAAACGGAGCAACAGCATAAGGCCTAGTACCTTGATCTCGTTCACATCGCGGAGCGCCGCCAGCACCCGGTCGGTGAAAGAAGGCAGGTCAATTTTCGCGAAACAAGTCGCGAGGAGGGTGTACATTGTTTCGTACGCCGTCTTGCGGTTCTCTAGTCCATCGTCCTCCAGCACTGCGGTCAGCCGTAGGACGTATGCTATGACTTACCCTTCCAAGGACCCATCTGGACATAACGCTGCAGCTCCTCTTTGATCTCCGTTTCCTTGTACAGGAAGGGCTGAAGCGTGCTGAGCTTGTCCGAGATGAGGCTTGGCTTGTTTTGAGCAGCGGCGTTGAGCGCAGCGACAGCCAAACGACGGACTACGGGTTCCGCGTCATTCATCAACGACAAGAAGTCGCCAACGAGAGGAGCGATCATCTCAGTGTACGCTGCTGACGTGTCGATGAAAGTGTAGCGCAGTGACGCCGCAAGCAGCGCTCGCTGCTGAGCGTCGCCGCTAAGCATGTTCTGAATGTTAACCATCTCCTGTCCTGCATCTTACCTGAAGCTGAGGGACGAAGCGAGCCGAGTCCGCAATCGTAAGTTTTCCAATGCACGCCGCCTTGATGTTTCTGATACCGTCGTAGTCCTGCGCCGTCTCTTGGCCAAACAGAGGATTCCAGAAGTAATCAGCCAACTTCTCCAGCTGGCCGGTGGAGGAGTGCATGATGACCTCCTTGAGCGAGTAGAGAAGCAGGAGGCGAATTGCCTGGTCCTGGACCACCTCAATATCGCGCACGAGTACAGGGAGGTAGGTGTCAGGGGCGCCAACGGCCATGTTACCTGCCGCAAAGGCAGCAGCACTCCGGATATCCTCGTTGTCATGCCTGAAGAAGCGAATGATGCGCTGCAGCAGCTCGGCGTTCACGGTGAGGTCGTTGAGGCGGCCAATCTCTCCAATACTCAGCAGCGCTAGGTAGACATCTGTCGGGAGTGCACGCGAGGACTTCAAGGAGTTCTCAAACGTCACAAGGATACCCGCGAGGTTGCGCTCGCTGTGATACACCACCGTGCCGATGCACTTGGCAGTGGTCGAGAACGCAGCAGTGGTCCCCAGCGAAGCCCCAGCCAGGGTTTTGTCCTGGGCAACATTGAGGACGAGCTGGGGCACTAAGCGAAGCGAGCAGTCCACATCACCGTCCACATAGGCCCCAAAGAACTGGACAAGAGCATCAATGGTTGCGGCGGTGTTGGCGGTTTTGATGGCGACCATAATATGCGGGAGGACGTGCTTCTCAACAGTTGCACGGGTGGCGGGTTGGCTGGCGAGGACGTTGGCGATAATCTCCAGAGCGGATGCCTGGTCGAGGAATGGAGTGAGCTCGACAATAACGTCTGAAGCAACCCCCTCAGGAAGGCTGCCGCCGAGGCGCAGGAGAATGCTCTGGATCGTGGTAAACTCGTTGACCTTCGACACTGAATTCTTGTTACGACGGATGTAGAGAATGACTCTACTGAGGATGTCCAAGAGCCACTGATTGAATGCGGGGCCTGAGCAGAGGGGGCAGGCGGCGACCTGGCCAGCCACTTCGACGGCGGTCGCAGCAGTGTTCTCGCTGTCGAGACGAGCCGAGATGAGTGGAAGGGCCTCGCCGAGGCGGTCCGACAGGGCATCACCTTCATGTAGCAGAAGGTCACCCAGGGTAATTAAAGCCCTCTCGCGCACGTCGCCGTCAACTGAGTTGTCCCCGAGCACGCTGGTCGTCGCCCTGAAAATTTCCTTGACCGGGCCGTCAAAGCCTTGGCGGAGCGGAGATGCGGCACCGCGGTGAAGAGGGCGGATGCTGCCGGCGAGGGCCGAAGCGGCGGCAAAGGCCTCGAAATTGACGCGCTGCTGTTTATCCCGCATGCAACGGACCACTAGCTTGGTGAGCTCGTCAAGATGAGAGGCATAGCTCCGGCCAACGTGGTGATTGAAGAAGGAAGTGAGGAAGGTGAGGACGGCGATGGTGAAGGAGGAAGTTGTACTGTCCGAGGAGCGCAGGGCGGCTGCGGAGCTGTTGCAAATGGCGTCTGCCTCATTGTCCAACCCGCCTTCCAGTGCCTCGACAAGCCCACGAAGGAGAATGAAACTCTGCTGGCGAGCGTTTACAGTCTTTGCGCTGGCCTGCTTGAGAGTAGCCTTGACAAGCTGAGGACGGATTTCCTGTAGAGCAACAACGGGTGAGCTGGTCGTCAGCGCATGTCGGAGCGGTACCAGCGCTCGAATCACTCACTTCTCGCCATCCTGATCCATCCCGTCGTTGCTGGGACGCTTGCGCTTGTTTGGGGCACTGCCGTAACGGTCATTGGGACGAGTATTGACGGTTTGGCGGAGAAGTGCCTCAAACGCCTCCAGGACCTCCAGACGCACACTCTCCTCACGTTCATTGAAGCGAGCAATGAGAGGTAAGGCCACGATCCGATAGAACTCGGCAAGGAGGTCTGAGCGCGTGTTGATTAGAGCTTCGAGGACCTTGGCGGCACCACGGCGGACCTTCCACGAGTCGTCCTCGTCGTCGGTATATTCTCCCTGGTCAAACTCGTCCTCATCGTCGTCAAATGCGTCGTCGTCCATATCGACGTCTTCGTCGTCGTCAAAATCAACGTAGTTAGGATCGTACTTGACCAGCTCCATGCAGCGGTTGAGGATCGGGGAAACCGAGCCCGACATTTCCTTGGGGCAACGTGAAAGAAGAACTTCCAAGGCCAGTTGTTAGCTTCGATCGACAGGCGGTATGTGGTTACATACGGTGAGAGCACCCTCCACCGCCTCGGTGTCCTCCAAATTATCCGTCTGCTCCATGATGATATCGGCGAGGCCGTTGTTGGCGACAAGTGCGCCAACCTCCGGAGATGAGGGTGTCTTCGCCAATCCCGACACAGCCGCAACCCAAGCCTTGGCGGAGGCGCCCCCCTTTGTGAAACCCTTGCTCATGTCGTCCTTGAACGCGTCAAACTGGCCGGGGCATACAGAGATGAACGCAGCGAGAGGCGGAACAGCGCGCTTCCGCACCGACAGTTTGGGATATGTGAACACCTCCTTCAGCAATTCGACCGAGAGTGCCTGCAGCTCCTTGGACTGAGCGATCGCCAGCGGAAACCGCTGGTACACGTCCGTGAGAATCTGGAGCAATTCCGACGCGAGTTGGGGGTTGGCATTGGCCTTAAATATGAGCACTCTGCTCTTAAGATGGGAAACACGTCCCACTCACATGCGTGACGTTATTGCGGATCGTCGTGAGAACCGTGCTCAAACAGAGGACCGTTGCCTCGCCGTCAGTCGACATGCTCGCCACCACGGATTTGAGAGCTTGTGTAAGCTTTCACGTCGACGGAGCAAGCTCACCCATGCAGGAGATGTCTCGGTTCTCCTCGTTAACTTCCCGTGCACCTGTCTGGTCGATGCCGTCGGTCAAGGTGGTTATGATCTGGCGCAGGTACGTGGGACGCGCGCGGGAGGCCATGTTGGCGAGGCTGAGAGGTCAGGGGCGCGTCGAGGGACAGGCGAAGGGTGTAGAGAAGGATTGGGGAAGTGAAGATGAGTGGAGCAAAGAATGGGGCGCAGTAAGCACTCACGAGCGCACCGCCGCGTTCTTGACCTCTGAAATCTCGTCATACAGCAGGGCGAGGACACTCTCGGTGAGCGTCTTCTCGGCCGCCTCAGCAGCGTAAGGTTCGGGGCCTTTGCCGCTCTGTCGGGAGCTAGCGTTGTTGAGCGCAATAATCCGTTCCAGCTCCTTATTAAGATCTGTGAGGCCAATGACACTGGCGTCAGCCCACCCGAGGGATACCTTACCGAAGGTCGAGGTCTGTGGACTTGAACTGAGCGTCAGCGAGCTTGCGCGGCTGCCTACCTTGTCCTGGAGGGAGGGTAGCATGGCCGTGAGGGCCTGTCTGGTAGTCATGGCGAATTGTCGTGTCTCTGCTCGTATACGAGCAGAAGACGATGGGCAATAGTGATGGGAGGAAGGAGCCTAAGGAAGATGACGAAGGCAATCGGTCGTGCGCGCCGGAGATGGGAAGGGGAAGTGGAGGCGACGCGTCGCGTGGATTTGGTTCCGAAAATCAATAATGACATGGATTTTACCGAAATCAGGTCGTCCACAAGGCGGAGGTTCATGGTGAGACGGGAAAAGTCAGTCCGCGAGGCCGACTGATCTCGCTCGCTCAACGATCTCGGCAACATCCTCGGCGTCGACCGCAACTCTCCTGCCAGCGACAAACCCCTGTGCTTGGCGACCTTTCACTTCCTCACCCCCTCGCCGTTCTAGACCATGCCAGTCCGCATCCGCCTCGCCCGCCACGGGCAGAAGCGCGCGCCAGTGTTCCACATTGTTGCGATCAACTCAAGCAAGCGCCGCGATGCTCGCCCTCTCGAGAAGCTGGGCGAGTACGACCCTATCCCCCGTATCCCCATCGAGAACGCCAAGATGCCACCACCCGCTCACGTGTTTGGCAACGACAAGGTCGCGATCGCTAAGGAGAAGCGCATTGAGTGGAACGTCGAGCGGATAAAGTACTGGTTGGCAGTCGGCGCGCAGCCGACGCTGACGGTCGTGAAGCTTTTGGAGCGGGTGAGTGTGCTGCTGCTCCGCTTGCGGGGGCTGGCGGCCTCGCAGAGTGCCGAAGACAATGGAAATGGAGCGTTACTGACGGCAGGCTGGCATCCTCACCACCCCGCACAAGTGGCAGCACCGGTGGTCCCCTCAGCCCGCGCCGGGATCTACGGGAGCAGTTCAGCGTGCGGTGGCTGAGAAGGCGGCGAAGAAGGAGCAGGCTACGCCCAAGGCGGCGTAGAGGTCGTAGGAGACGAGAAGAAGGAAGCACTCCTCTAGCCTCTTGCATGCGCGATCGGTCGCGCGCACATCATATGCATTGTATTTCACGGCGGGCATAGGGCGATTCAGAGCCGTCCCCGTCAGTCTGTTCAAGTACAGGAGGCTTCACTAAGCTAGCACGCTGCATGCGCTGGCGAGCGGCAACGACGAAGGACGGAAGCCTGTCTCGGAGCATACCTTTCAGCCCAGAGTATACCCAAGGCCCAGGAGGCACATAATGGTGGTGCCTGAATTGGCCACCTGCAACTTTTTGGACGGTGACTCTGTTTGGATGTCCCAATCTCCCATCCACCGACCATGTCGCTCAACGCCGAGGCCAGCAGCTCCAAGCATAAGAAGAAGGAGCGGCGGAGCAAGAAGGAGCATAAGAAGGAGCGCCAGACGCAGCATGTCGAGGGCCCCTTCGAGCACCGGGTGCAGCGCATGCGCTTGAGTGTGCCGCCGAAGTACGCGGCCGACTGGCTCGCCGGCGTGACGGAGACACTGGACGGGATGCTCATGCGGTGAGTACAGTTTCTCTCCGCGACGTCGCTGGCGGGCGGCTCACTGTGTCTTTCCTCGAGCCCGCTGCCTGCCGGTTCTTCATGTCGTGTGCCTACCCATTCAAGGTTGCTCCACTTGAAGCTGACCCTAGATACGTATCGCAGATGGGCGGCGTGCTCCTCGCGCACTGGAACCACGAGGTGATGGACGACACGGTCAAGATTGTCAACGAGTGCCCGTACGGCGTGTGCGAGGTGTCATTCCACTCGATCATCTGGGCGCCTGTGGTGGGGCAAGTGCTGTGTGAGTTTGTTGCGGCTAGCCCATCGTCAAGTGAGAGACGCTAATGGCAGACGGCACCCACTCGCTCTCCTCCCCATCCCATCTTTCGCTCCTGTTCGCCAAGACGTTCAACGTCTCCATCCCCCTCCAGCACATCCCGCGCGACAAGTACGAGTTCGAGCACGCCGACCTGGCCGAGGAGGATTACTCGAGCGACGAGGAGGACGAGGGCGTGCACGAAGTCGGGAGGTGGAAGGAGGGGGACAAGGTCCTGGGCGAGGGCGGTGAGCGAGTCGCGTTCACCGTTATTGGGTGAGTTGATCCGTGGTGATGCGGGGAGTGTGGAGCGAGTAAGTGGCTGACTTCAGGTTGCACGTCACCAACCAGATGCTCAGCCTTACGGGGTCGCTCTTGGATGACCCAAGCAAGCCGCAGGCGCTGCCAGAAACCGCGCGCCGCAGCCCGTCTCCCGACATCCTGGTCATGCCCAAACGCACGGCACGCACGCCACGCACGCCGCACACCCCGAAGACCGCGGCCGGTGCCGAAACGCAGAAGACAGCGCCTGCAGCGCCAGAGACGCCCGCGATTGACGAGAGCAAACTCTCTGCGCGTGAGCTGAAGAAGCTGCGCAAGGAGCAGGAGAAGGCGAAGCGTGACGCGCGCAAGGCGCGCAAGGCAGACGGCGAGGGCGAGGACGAGTCGAGCTTGAAACGCAAGGCCGACGAGGAGGAGGGGCCACGGAAGAAGCGCAAGTAGTGCGCTGGGGGATACAGATGCATAGATACCCATTAGTCTACCTGCTGGTCTCTGGACTCCTGATCGCCTGGGAAGGCTTAGTGGCGCGTGAGATCGACCGTGCGCGTGCCGACGCGCTGCGCCTGCTCTGGCGCATGCGTGATCCACAGCAGAGCCTTAGGCCCCGTGCCCTTGCGCGGAGTATTGCTTCCCTTCCGTCAACGGGCTCTCGCTCAGCCTCACCTTGGGCGCGCTGATCGGCGCAGCGGGCAGCATGGAAACAAGCGTCTTCTCGACCGCAGCGGCGCTCTCGGGGTCAAGTGCCGATGTAGGTTCTAATATTAGCCTTCTCTTTACCGCTCTCCAACCTCAACTCACCATCAAGAAGCAAGATATCGGCCCCGGCCAACCCAAGGGCAATCGCGAGCGCGATGCGCTGGCTCTCTCCGCCGCTGAGTGTCCCCCACTCCCTCGTCCACAACACGCGCTGCACGCCCCACTCCTCCGCGAGCGCCAGTGCGTCCGGCTCGGTGCGCCCTTCCTTCTTGAGCTCCGCACAGCGCGTCTTGCGCGCCGAGAAGCCCCGCGCCTGCTCGAGGAACTGCAGCGGCGTGCCGGGAAGCAGCGATGGCCGCTGCGGCACATACTGCACGCGCGTGCGATAGTTCGGGATGCCGTATTCTCTGCTCGACTTGCCGCGCAGCAGCACCTCGCCTTTCTGATACACGTTCAGCTCGGCGATGCACTTCAGCAGCGTCGTCTTGCTGCTGTTAGCGGAGACGGGGGAGGCGCATACCCGCATCCACTCTCGCCTTGGATTATCACGACCTCGCCTTCCTTCACTTCCAGAGAGATATTCTGGTGTTAGATCGGCGCGGGAGGAGAGGAGGGACAAACGCACACTCAAGATCGCCGAGCCGGAGCCGTCGTCGCGCCGCAGCGTCAAATTGCGGACTTCTAGAAGAGGGGCCATCTTGCCGAGTGCAGTGCCGGAAAGGACGATGGGGAAACACAAGAAGAGAATGAGAGTGGAGAGACCTCGTGCTGCGTCCAATTTCATCGTGATGTCGCTAGATCAGCCAGCGGCTATGACGACATAGAGGAAATCCAGACCGTGCGGCCACTCCTCCCGTCCGTGTTCGATCGCGAACTCCGCATTTCTTTATCCTTGAGGCCAATCCCAAGCAATTGGTAACACACACCTGCTATCCAGTGATACATAACAGGAAAGACTACATGCTGTATCGAAAACATGCTACTTCTTACTCAACATCCTCAACCTTTCTGTCAGCGCCGCATGTTTAAGGGTGACTCACCGCAGCGTCGGCCTTCTTGCCGGCGTCCTTGCCAGCGTCCTTGCCCTCTGCCTTGTCCGGGGTAGCATCATCAACATCCTCCAGGTCCTCGTCGTCAAAGTTGGGCATACCACCGGCGCCGCCCATCTGCTCCATCATCTTGGCCTGGGGTCAGATTTGCTCGGCATTGTCGATCTGCACTCACAAAGTCCATGCCACCCGCGCCGCCGGCACCGCCGCCCATCCCGCCGAGAAGAGAGGCCATGTCCATGCCACCGGGACCGCCACCCATGCCACCCATACCGCCCATGCCGGGCATGCCGCCCATGCCACCCATACCGGGCATGCCGCCACCGCCCATCATGGAGGCCATGTCCATGCCGCCCATGCCACCGGTGTCGACCTCCTCCTCGCCGTCCTGCTCGTCCTCGTCGACCCACTTGGAGAAGTCGGTCTTGATCCAGTTACGGTTCGGCTTCTCCTTGGTCAGGCGCGGCCAGTACTCGGCCTGGGCCTCCTTTTTGCGGAGCACGAGCATGAGGTGGCGAGAGTTGAGCTGCTTCTTGGTCTCCTGCGGCTGTCAGCGCGTAGGTCGGCGAGTCAGCCAAACAACACTTCACTCACAGAAGGAACAATCTTGGCGTAGAGGTCAAGGTCACAGCTCCACTCCTTCACGGGGATACCCTTCTCGGGGCTGTCGTCAGTTGCCTTCCTTGAAGTTTACAACCGCGAGAGCTCACTTTCCCGACGAAGCGGAGAACGAAATCTGATCCTCAGTGATGTCAAGGTTGGGCTCGCCCTGAATGTTGGGCACATTGAAAGTCAAGTAGATGATGTTCTGGCTGTTAGTCGGACTGCCTCTGAGAGGATAGGGGAGATCGACACTTAGCGATCCGGATAGTAGTTCGGCCACACTCAGGCCGCGTCAAGACCTACCTTCTCCGGCTCAGTCGCAGACGAGCGCTCGGCGTAGAGAACCTCGGGGTGAAGGGGCTTGGGGGCGGACATTTTTGTTCAAGCTGGTCGTAAGTTTTGGTGCAGTTGTGAGAGGGGAAGACGGTGACGAGGTGGTGTTGGATGTTGAGAACACCTCCACCACACCCCGGGACCAATTGCGGGGGTCGATCTCCAAGTGGAACCGCCTGGAACATTTCACCACCAAGACGTCACTTTGGTACCCCGCCAGTCTCATAATTAACATCTAAATAGCAACCAGCGATACATCGGCTCCATCGATACCTTGCCATCGCATTGTGGTTTCAGAGCGTTCTCTGGCAGTGCAGATCCGTTGTTTATCTCCCGGGGCGAGCACGGCTCGGCACGTGTCTCAGCAGGCATCTGGAAGGCTCAGTCTCCAGTACTCCGTCAATATGCGGGAGACAATCCTTTCGAGACAATTCATTTGCAAGCTACAGCACGGACTCGACCTTGGTACTACCTCCATGTCACTCTGGGAAGTCTTGTTAACCCCTCCAATGGCCCGTGATCAGGTTACAGCCGAGGAGGCTCGATAAGGGTGATGGTCTCTTGGCCGAGGAACTTCTGTCCAGGTTCGAGCGACTTGAATTCGCTAACAAATCCGGGCTCAACGCAGACGTAGCGGTTCTGGAGTTAGCATCCGTCCAGCAGCGCTGAGCTCACCCATCCGCCTTCCTCCATGTCTCCAATCTTGCTTCCCGTCTCCTCAGCTGGGTTCCAGATAACACAGCTGGAGTTAGCTCCTCCTCGGGGGGAAAACAGAGACGCACTCTTCAAAGCCGCGGAAGCGGACCTTGTAGCCGCCCCCCTGGCCGTCATCGACGCGAACCTCCTGCCCGGGCACTTTGGCGTAAACGCTGGTGTCAGCTTATCACAGTAGCTGTATTAGTTACCGGTCAACCTCGGATGTGATGGTCAACGGGCCGCCGGCGGCCTGGTGCTCCGACCCGCCGAGCACCTTGTCCTTGTAGCGCACGCCGGCGTTGATCCCAGAGATAGAAATCTGCGAGACGTCCGGCACGGCGAGATAGTTGTGCAGCAGGGCCTGGAAGCGGAACGCCTCCGAGTCTCGGTTAACGACATGGATGTCGCAGCTAATCTGGTGTGCCGCGAGAGTCACAACGTAGCTCAGGTCATAGTGGTAGGGGAAGGACTGGGGAGGGGGCGGAGCCACGAGGCGCACGGATACGCCCTCGTCGCGGTCGAGCAGGATCTGGTCGAGCTTCCACATCTGCGTGCGCGCAAATCCATGGTTCTTGAGGGCCGCGTACTCAGGGGGCGAGGAAGGCGGGGGGCCAAAAATGGGCTGGAGTTAGTTGGCCAGGACGCAAGATGCGTGAGCTCTCACGAAGACGACGGGGACGCCGCCTCGAATCTAGATATCAGTGGGGAACATGGGCAAATGAGTGTTACTCACAGCCGCCGAGCCGTCGAGAACGGCCTTCTTGGAAAGGAACATATGCTCGCGCCCGTTTACCTTCCACGAGGTAACCGTAGCTCCGTGCAGACTGTAAGTTAGCTTGAAGCGTCGCGCCTCGGCATACTAGATTTCGGCACTGGCACCCTGCCATCAGCATACTCTCACTCTTGCTCGTCCAGTAGAGTAGACGCACCGAGACATGCTTGAGGACGATGGTGTTACCGGTCTGCTCTACACCCATGGTTAGCTAGAATGTGTGATGGGAAGAGTGTGGTTGGATGAAATGAAGGCAGCTGACACGGGGGGTGTTGTGACGCTGTGGACCTTGGGTGAGTGTGGACGATGCCGATTCCTCACGTTCCTCGGTGAATGACGCATGACGCACCTTCCTCGCTCCCTCAACGGTTCTCACATGCCGCACTTTGAGATTCCCAGGCCCACGTCCACCAAAGCAATACACCCGTGGGAGAGCTTGTCACGCGCCGAACGTGGGTCGGTTGTTCCGCTCACCGATCACCGATTGTCATTCGTTCCCACCCTTGGACTGAATACATTCAGGTATCTGCAAAGCAGCCTTCGCAACTCGCAGACAGCAATTAAGAGAGACTCTTCAGTCGCTCATGTCGTGCAGGACGCAGACATCAACATAGCCAACGACCCCCATTCCACTTCGTACTCAAATCGACCCGGAGATGATGGACCGGACCTTTTGATCTTGCTGGAAACCGGATCACCGGTCCGAGGGTGCGGCAATGGGCCTCGGCCAATCATCGCGGTTATCGATATGGCGGGGGATCGGACCGCCGGGGCCGACCAAGACCCAGCCGGGATGCATCTCGCATGCTCGCGCAAGCTGAGATGATACACGGCTGCCACTGCAGGAAGAGAGATTCGAGGATCGAGCAGGACAGAATGAATAGAAGAGTAGTCTGGCTCAGGCGCTTAAAGCAATCAGGTGGAGATACGTGTCCACTGGTACGTTACCTGCACAAGCAGGACACACAGGTAGGCATACAAGGGCTTGTCAGCCGATGACGGCCTCGGTGACCGGTATGGCTATGGCACTGAACTTGAGCAACGTCTGGGCCTGGGCATGCTGACAAGAGAAGCGGCACGCCTAAAGCGGAGCGGAGCTTGAGAGTCCGATTATGGACCTGGAGTGGGGTTCCTTGCGGCATTGGCTGCGTCGCCTGGCCGCATAACTCGCAATATCCCTGAAGAAGGTAAAGAGAGGTTAGGTGGAAGATGATATGGAATTGGAATGGTGTAATGGTGTGCATCATCGGTCAGCCCTCCACGCCTCACCCTGGGTTCAGCAGCGTCGAATGCAACAGTCCGCACGGCCGTACCCGCCAGCCAGCATCCTCCCCCGACTGCCCGGCCCCTCTGCCGGACACCGGACCACTCACCCTTCCCCCCGCCCCTCACCCCCAATCCATCCCCATCCTCCTCCCCAACCCTCCTCGTCCACAGTCTTCTTAACTCTTCTCTCTCTCATCTCATCTCATTTCACTTACTCTCTCTCTCTCTCTTTCTCTCTTACTCCCTCTCCCTTTCATCTCTCCATCTCAAAACTCAAAATGTCCAACGACTCTCAGCTGTAAGTTCATATCCGCTCCGAGACACCCTCATGTCCTCCCTCCCCATATACCCGTTCCCACGTCATCGCACCCAGTAAATCATCTGCACACGTTGCCAGACGTCCCGAGCAGCAAGCACCTTCCTTCCATATCCAGCTTTCACCTGCTCTCTCACTGGATTACAGACGCTGACGCCCGTAGTGCTGACATCGGCCTCATCGGCCTGGCTGTCATGGTAAGTTGGACCCGAGCGACCCCGTTCCGCTACTAACCATACGTAGGGCCAGAACCTGATCCTCAACATGAACGACAAGGGGTTCAAGGTCTGCGCCTTCAACCGGTGAGTGCCTGCCCAGCCAGTACCTTCAAGAGGAACCCTCACTAACAATCAGTACCGTCTCCAAGGTGGACCACTTCCTGGAGCACGAGGCCCAGGGCACCCAGATCATCGGCGCCCACTCGATCGAGGAGCTCTGCTCCAAGCTCAAGCGTCCCCGCCGCATCGTACTTCTCGTCAAGGCCGGTCAGGCTGTCGACGACTTCATCAAGCTCCTCGAGCCTCACCTCGAGAAGGGCGACATCATTATTGACGGCGGTAACTCGCACTTCCCCGACACCACTCGCCGCGTCAAGGAGCTGGAGTCCAAGGGTCTGCTCTACATCGGCATGGGTGTCTCGGGTGGCGAGGAAGGTGCCCGCAACGGCCCCTCGCTCATGCCCGGCGGTTCGTCCGCGGCGTGGCCCCACGTCAAGGAGATCTTCCAGAAGACCTCGGCTCAGGTCAACGGCGAGCCATGCTGCGAGTGGATCGGTGACGGCGGTTCGGGCCACTACGTCAAGATGGTTCACAACGGCATCGAGTACGGAGACATGCAGCTCATCGCCGAGGCGTACGACATTCTCCGCCGCGGTCTCGGTCTCGGCCACGATGAGATTGCCGAGATCTTTGCCCGCTGGGAGAAGGGTGTCCTCAAGTCGTTCCTCATCGAGATCACCCGCGACATCCTCCACTTCAAGGACACGGACGGCGAGCCCATTGTTGACAAGATCCTCGACAAGGCTGGCCAGAAGGGTACCGGCAAGTGGACTGCCATCGACGCCCTTGACCGTGGCATGCCCGTGACTCTCATTGGCGAGGCCGTCTTTGCCCGCTGCCTCTCGGCGATCAAGGACGAGCGTGTCGCCGCTTCCAAGGTTATCAAGGGCCCTGCCCCGGAGCCGTTCCAGGGCGACAAGAAGCAGTTCATCGACGACCTCGAGCAGGCTCTGTACGCCTCCAAGATCATCTCTTACGCCCAGGGCTTCATCCTCATGCGCGAGGCCGCCATCAACGAGGGCTGGGACCTCAACAACGCCTCCATCGCCGCCGTCTGGCGGTCCGGGTGCATTATCAAGTCGGTCTTCCTCTCCGACATTACCGAGTCGTACCGCAGCAACCCCAAGCTCGAGTCGCTCCTCTTCGCGCCCTTCTTCCAGAAGGCCCTTGAGAAGGCTCAGCCCGCCTGGCGCCGCGTCAACGCCCAGGCCACCCTCTGGGGTGTTCCCATCCCTGCCCACGGGACCGCGCTCTCGTTCTTCGACGGCTACCGCTCGGCTGTTGTCCCGGCCAACCTCATCCAGGCCCAGCGTGACTTCTTTGGCGCCCACACCTTCCGCGTGATGCCAGGCAAGGAGAACGACCACATGAAGGCTGGTGAGGACATCCACGTCAAGTGGACCGCTACCTCGGGTGATGTCTCGTCGAGCACGTACAACGCCTAAAAACGGAGTCATTGGTTGTTAGGTTTCAAGTAGCTGAGACGCTGTAGATTATGCGAGTAATGAAGGCACAGAGGGGGCTAGTGGGAGGTGCCTGACAACTGGCGGTATTATGAGTGCCGATAGATGAACAGACCCCTCCTGCATACGTTGCCGACATCTTTGGTCAAGGAAGTAGGAGATACTTGTTGTGACGGGTGTGGGCGATGTGGAGGTGGAGGTGGAGGTCCAAAAAGTCGAAACGCAATCTCGCTGTCTTTCCACCTTTGGACCATCATCAATGCTGGTGCGCACAGCGTTCCCTTTTCCCTCAAAGGCGCCATCATGGTTTGCGGGACACATGGCGCGTTCGCTGCGCGAGCTTCCCGCGCTCCTTGATGAGGTGGACCTGGTCTTTGAAGCACGCGACGCCCGCCTTCCGCTCACATCGGTCAACCCGGCATTTGACGCCATGCTCGAGCGCGTCTGGGGACACTCTGGAGCTGGACCAGACAGGCGAGGCAAAGGAAAGGAAAAGATTGTGGTGTATACGAAGCGCGATCTCGCAGAGGAGCGGTATGAGAAGGTGAGCTGCCTCTCCGACCTCCATCCATTATTTCTACATCGCTGACACCAGCCCCTTACCCACACGATGTGGGAGCAAGCGCGGCAACGCGTACAATTCGTCGACTCGCGCGTGGACGCGGACGTGCGTACGCTTCTACGACAGGCAGCGGCGCGCGCGCGCTCCGCCGGCGAGGCCGCGACGGACCTGAAAGTCTTGGTGGTCGGCATGCCGAACGTGGGCAAGTCGTCGCTGCTAAACGCGCTGCGTCGCGTAGGCGTGCGCAAGGGCAAAGCGTTTACGACAGGCGCGATGCCCGGCGTCACCCGTCGCCTCACGGGCACCGTGCGCGTGTACGAGAAGCCGCCTGTGTACGTGTTCGACACGCCCGGCGTCATGGTCCCGTACATGGGCCACGGGGTGGCGGGTGTCGAGCGCGGGCTGAAGCTCGCGCTGACCGCCGGCCTGAAGGAGGGCCTGTTCGAGCCAGAAGTCGTAGCGGATTACCTCTTGTATCGGCTAAACCTGCGGTTGGCGGCCGAGCAAGAGCTGACGCCCGACGAGTTCCAGCGTGAGTACTTCTCGAGAAGGGGGAGCTGACCTCAGACGAGAGCTACACCGCCAAGTTGCCCGGATCTATCGCGCCAACGCAGAACCTCGCTGAGTTTCTCGACGCGCTGGCGTTCCGCCTCGGCGCGCTCCGTAAGGGCGGAGAACGCGACACCGATGCCGCGCTCACGTTCCTCCTCAAGCAGTTCCGGGAGGGGCGGCTGGGCCGGTGGACCCTCGATGACGTGGACGGGCTCGAAGCGGCGTACGTCGCAAAACATGGGGCCCGGGTGGTTGATAGCGGGGTGACGGTGAGCGAGATGGGGGCGATTGGGCGGCAGGTCATTGAGATCCCGGAGATTGAAGATGAGGTTGAGGTGGCGGAGCCACTCGCGCAGGCTTCCGGCCCAGTCTCTGACGCAATATCGCCCGAGCTTTACCCCCCACCTCTTGACGACACACCACTCCCGCCCCTCCCGCCATCGCTTGACGAGCGCGTGGCGCTTACGGTCGGTACACATCTCGCCCGTGCAGAGGAGGAGAAGGCGGATGCCGACGCAGGGCGCAACATGTCCGCGACGCAGGTCAAGAAGACTGAGCTCCGAGCTAAGGCTGAGTTCCGCATCGCAAAGGCCAAAGAGAAGGGCCTCGACAAGCAGCGGCCGGTCAAGGCCTTCGGGTACCACGCCAACAAGGGCAAGGGCGCGAACACGAAGAAGCGGCGCAAGTAGGGTGCCAGTTGTGAGCGAGAGGAAATTGGTGTGCATGATGTATGTATGATTATCTACTCTGCCAGGGCCGTGCGGAGGCGCGCGAGTGACCGTTCCCGCCCCAGCACCGACATGATCTCCGCAACGGTCGGACCTTGTGGACGGCCGGTGAGCGCGTGCCGCAGGCTCATGGTGATCTCCTTCTTCTTGTACGCCAGTTTGTTAAACGTGGCGTGGATCGCGTCCCATGCGCCCTGAGTTGTGAGCTCGCCTCTGCCCTCCAGCTGCTCGATGACGGTCGACACGGAGTCGGCTGATGTCAGCAATGACACAATGGGAAGCTCACTGTAAGCGTCCTGCTTCAGCTTCGCCTTCATCGCCCGTGGCCCCTCTGCAGCGTAGTCCGGGTCAAGGAAGTAAACCGCGGCGGCGTCCGGCATCTCGTTGAGCCTCGTGACACGCTCGAGCTCCATGTCGAAGACACGGCCAACGTATTCTGTGTCCTCAACGAGGGGAGACGCGGCAAGAGTTGGCTCGGCCCGCAAGTCAGCGTGGAAGCGCGCCACAAGCGAGGCCCGTCCCTCCTCCTTCGGAGCTGGCGAGGTAGCCTTCCGCCGCAGAGTCATGCGGTTGATGTAGTCGAGCTTGGACAGAGACACAGCGGCGCGGCGGTGCGTGATACCTCCCACGTCGAACGCGTCGACTAGCTCAGTAAGTGAAAACACTTCCTCGAGCTCCTTCATAGCCCCTTCCCGCTTGGCTGAATGGTAGTCCCACCCCAGCAATGCGAGGAAATTCAGCATCGCTTCTGGCTCGTATCCCCTTTCCGCGTACCGCTCTACATGGACGTCGCCGGTGCGTTTGGACAGTTTCGTGCCATCCGCATTCACCAGTAGCGGGAGATGCGCGAACGCGGGTGGCGACCATCCAAATGCGCGGTACAGCTGGTGATGCTTGGTCACGCTTGGCAGCCACTCCTCCCCTCGCAGCACGTGCGAGATCCGCATGGCGTGGTCGTCCACCACACTGGCAAGGTGATATGTCGGCCACCCGTCGGTCTTCATCATGATGAAGTCGTCAGCACCTGTGCCCGTGACGTTCGGCTGCGCGGCGCCAAACACGAGATCGTCAGGGAGCGTCTCTTTCTCCTGCTTGGACTGGAAAGTTAGCTTGCTCGTGCGACCACTGGTCATCACAGTCCCGTACCTTGAAACGAATCGTGTACGGATGCCCTGCCTCTTTCCGTGTCCGTACATCGTCTCGGGAAAGATGCCGACACCTCCCGTCATATCCCAGGCGTCCCTTCTTCGCCAACGAAACGCGGATAGCTGCAAGCTCATCCGGCGTGCAAAAGCACTCGTAGGCGTTGTCCGTCTCAATGAGCTTCTCTGCAGCCTCACGGTACAGATCCAGCCTTTCGCTCTGAACGTATGGACCGTACCCGCCTATCCCTGGGCCTGGCGTCAGCAACTCCGCTCTCATAAGCTCCTCCTTCAACGCCTAAGCCGTCCGTATTCACTGCTCGCGCACGTCATGGTCGCCTCAGCGCCGCTCGGCTACGCACCTTCGTCATACTCGATGCCAGCCCAGTCGAAGGTACGCCGCAGCGCGTCCACGGCCCCTGGCACCAAACGCGACTGGTCTGTGTCCTCAATACGAAGAAGAAGCCTTCCCCCCCATTTGCGCGCTAGGAGGTAGTTGAAGAGTGCAGTGCGGAGACCGCCGAGGTGCAGAAACCCAGTCGGGGAAGGAGCGAAGCGGAGACGAGGTTCGGATGCGTTGGCTTGGGCCTCAGATGCAGGTGTCGTCGGGGCCTTGGAGCTCGTAGAGCAATGACGAAGACCCAACGCCCGTGGACCGTTCAAAGGCAAGCGCCTCAGCGGTGCACGCATGTCGCTGTTGTCGAGATGCAACTTTCCGACGTTCCGACTTTCTGAAGATCGCTGATCTCCGGAGTGGAGGTTGGCCGCACTTTCCCACGGTCATTCATGACGCGTCCAACCCCGACGTGTCTCGAATTGCCGCCCATCTCATCTCTTAACGACCGACATGCTCAAGAAAGAGGTCCTGGTCACATATACCTTCTACCCCTCAGGGAACCAGGACCTGCGAAATGCCGTCGCTGGGCTTGAGGAGCAGTTTCCGCTGCGTAACCTTCACTGGAAGAGCAGCACGCGGCCGGCACTCCGTACGATCCAGGAGGTCGATATCAAGTTCATTGAGCTCGGCGATGTTGCGCCGGCCAAAGGGACGGTGTCGGCCAGTGTGCTTGACACGCCGCTTGTGAACGTCTGCTTCGTATCCTGTGATGTGAGCTCTCTCCTCCACTTCGTACTCTGATCACACATGCACCACTCCAGCCCCCACTACTCCCTTTACTTCTTGCTAACCCTAGGACGACAATGTGTATAAGAATAACACGCGATCATTCATCAAGGACTGGCTTGCGCTGCTTCAGTCCAGGAAGAACGGACACACTTCTGTGATTGTGCTGGTGAACGCACCGACAGCGACCGGCGCTGCGCCGAGCTCGAAGAATGTATTCGGGCGCGACAAGGGGATCATCGCCAAACTAAAGGCTGATTTCAACCACAACAAGCGAGACATGTGCGTCCGCACCCTCTTGTCCTTATCTGACATCAGCTGCGCGCAGATCAATCTCCCGCCAGCGGGCACAACAGACCCGGCCGCGTGGCCGGATGTCGTTAACAAGCTCAAAGAGAGCTTGTTGATTGCGTTCGACAGTGCGGTGGTCGAGCGAGAGGAGGAGGTCAAGCGAGGCGAGGCGCAGCGCGTCACCGTCGGCTGGAACTTCTGCACTTGGTTCCTTCTGAAGGAAAGTCTGGCCAACTCGTTCGAGGGCGTCAATCTGTACGAGGACGCGCTGGTAATCTACGAGGAGCTTGAGGCGGCATTCCTTCAGGTGCAAAAGGAGCAGAATCTGAGCTGGTTTGGCGCCCTCGGTGGAACTGGCCCGCGAGACGACTCGCTCCCCATTCTCGATACAGACGCGAAACCATACCGAGACTTGCTCATCCAGAGCAACATCACTGTCTTCGACTTCAGGGTATACGTGTTTGCCCGCCAATGCCAGCTGCTCGGGAAGATTGGGCGCATCACAGAAATCGCCAAGCGCGGGCAGTGGTTTGTCGCGAGCTTGGCAAGACGCTTGCGCGAGGCCAAGGTGGGGTTTTGTGCTGGGGAGAACCTGACGACAGGGCGACCTACCCGAGTTCTTCATTGAGAGCTGGACATTCACTGCGTGCATGGACCTCGTGGCGCGCTGCGACGAGTGGTCCCGCCTCGACCGTCCGAGCGGCGACTACTCTGGGTTGATAGCGTACGAGTCGGCGCGCTCAGAGCTACTCGATGTCGCGCGGATACAGGTCGAGCGCATCGGTGTGGCGACGGGAAAGCTGCCGGACCGTTATCCTTACAAGGCGGCGGCAGATGTTTCGGAGGCCGATGATGAGAAGTTATATGCTGCCTCCGAGACAGGTAGCATCGTGAACCCAGACGCGGACCCGGCGTCACCTAGACCGGCGCTGTCGAACCAGACGTTCATGGACGCTATTAAAAACGAGGAGGTTTTCTTCAACCTGTATGAGGACTACTCAAGGCAAGCGCTACAAGCGTATCAGTCTTGTGGAAAGGTCAACTCAATGATCCGGATCAAGACTGGACTTGCTGCGCTCGCGCTGTACGCAGAACATTATGACCCAGCGTTCGAATACTACCGCTCGCTCGCCAAGGATTGCTTGGAGCTACATGTGTGGGACCGTGTGACCAAGTTTGCGCTTGAAGGTGCGCTGATGTGTCATGCCAAGCTGGGGAAAGAGCAGAATGCGCAATGGGTCGCCTGGGCACTCGAGTATCTTAACGCTTGCGCGGTGACCACCGCGGCGGAGGGCGAAACGGCTCAGCTTGAAGCCACTACAGCCGCACTGCGAGTCCTGACGGAAAGGCGACAGGTGCCAAACGCCAATATCTTCAAGATGAGGATACTAGACCACGCTGCCGAGCTCGATCAAGATGTCAGTTTGACGTACCTCAATGTCGAGGTAGAAAACACGCTGCCAGTCAACATGGCTGTCGACAAGGCCGCGCTGGAGTTCGACTCAGACATATTTGAGAACATTACTTACGCGACGGACCCAATGGAATTCAAGCCGGGGAAGCAGGTCGTCAAGTTTTACTGCTCAGTGAGTCGGGTAAATATTCTTTGCTGATGGCAGACATCCATCGCCGGTCCAGTCACTCTGCGTCAGACTGTCGTCACGTTCGGTGCGATCTCGTTCATCGCTGCGTTCCCCAAGAATCAGCTCATCGTCCCGGTGCACCGGAACCTTCTGGGGCTGCGGACCGTGTTGCGCATGCCTACGCTGAGTGCGACTTTCCATGGACTCGCTGACATCAGTCGACTTGGATCAGGAGAAGAAGGTTGCCCTCGAAGTACACGCCGGGAAGCAGGCGGTCGCGGCGGCGAGACTTGTGGTTGCGTCACAGATGGAGGAGGTGGGCTTCATGCTGGAGCACGCGAGCTGTGAAGGGCGACGTGAGTTCAGACAGAGTTGTTTAGGGCGGAGCTCACTCGATTCAGAACTCGACCTCTCCTCGCAGAGCATCGGAATTGGAGACCTGGCGGCCGACGAGATCGTTACGATCAGCGTCCCCTTTGCGGGGCTGCCGAGAGGCGACCTTGCGAAGACCCAGATTGTGGTGCAATACGAGACCTCGGGTGGCCGCGTGTGCACGTACATCGACCAGCAAACGATCGATGTCGGGCTGCCGATCCTCGTGAACGTGCAGGATTTCTTCAGACCGGATGTTCTAGTGTCAAGCTTCACGATCGCCTCGGACGGGCGGGAATACGTGCGCGTCGGCTCCGTCGAACTGAAGACGCGTGACCCGTTCTCCATAGAGCCTTGCCGTCCAAAGTGGGACGAACCACTTGTATGATTAAATCAATGTGGAAACTGACCCCAGCTCGTGACGCCGACGCAACCCATGTCCTGTCTCTTCAAGGTGCGCCCCAGCGGCAGAGTATCGTCGGGCCAGGCCGTTGGCCTTCTCATCAAGTACCAGACCGTGACGGAAGAAGTCGACCTTCTATCCCAAGCGGCGCTGGACGCGCTGCCCGATTCCTGCGCCAAGCTCGGCCGCGCCGTGCGGAATCACATCGAAGACCGCCCTGCGTGGCTGCAGCCATACCTCCTCTCGTCAGATGTGCGAGACATCTTCGACGATCGTTGGCGCCAAAGTGTCTCAGATCTTCCGCAGCGCACCGTGGACGCATTTATCTCGGCGCTGCAGCCCTCGGTGCCGCAGTGGAGAACGCTGCGCGTGCCCGTCGAAATACCGCTCCGCCGCCTCCTGACGACGGTGACGCTCACGCTGTCCGGCGCCCCGATGGCGATCTACGAAGGCCGCGCACTCGCGTTCGACCTCGAGCTCTCCACTTCGCTTGCGTGGCTCGGCGAACCGCCGTCTGAGATGATTGTGTCTTACGAGCTCACGGCAAATGCCGAGGACTGGGCGATAGCGGGCAAGAAGCGCGGCGTGTACGTAGCCGACCCGGCATCTCCTCAGCGGCAAAGCATTGTCCTCGTCCCCGTACGCCATGGGTCGCTCGCCCTCCCGCCCGTGTCGGTGCAACTCGTGAACGGCGGTGGCATTGTGTGTGAGACGTACATTGCCAACGCAGCACAGGGTGTTAAGGTTCTCCCAAGCCGGACGGGGATGACCACGCTCGTGCCGATCCAGAGGTGGGAAGAGCAGTAATGTGCGCACCGCGTCAGATAACCATACCCAGCATCAGATGTAACCATGTACTAGTTGAAAACATGCATGCAAAATGAGTCTAATACAGTGTACACATCTATCACCACCGCGCCAACACCTGACCGACATACTCGGCCGTCATCTCGAGACCGTGGTACTTTGCCACAGCGTCGATCATTCTCAACCGCGCCCCTACGTCGCCACGGTTCAAGGATGGGCGGAACGACCCGCCACACCGGTGTGTTGGGGCGAGGTTGGAGCTCGCGTCCTCTCCACACTTCAAGCACTGCACGTCTTGTGTCTGCCACGCCGCGATGAGGCGCGATACCATATCGATAAGAGGGTGCTCGATCTGGAAGCGGTCGTATGGGTTGCCGCAGCGCGCACAAGCCCACATCTTCCTTGGCGCGGGGTGCTTCTCCCCCGTGCGCAGGTCGACAGACGGGAGGCAGTCCGGATCGCGGCCGAGGTCGACATCACGGATCGCATTGCAGCGCCCGCACGGGATCATGGGCACGACCAAACTCTCGCCAGGGTTGCGGAAAGTGGCCTCAGGCGCAAACTCACGCACCTCGACCAGCTGGAGAAGGTTGCGGCGGAGCACGATGACGGCCTCGCTGTTGTCGGTGGATAGGGCGAGGACCTCACACACAGCCTTTACGAATTCAAGAGCCGCGTTGTCGCGGCCACGTCGCTTTGCGCCAGGAAGATCGGGGAAGGCCAGGACGTCGTTGTCACCGTTCGCATGCGCGGCCGCCTGTTGTCGTTTGAAGCGCGCCACGTCTTCGAGCAGTTTGCGCGTCAGCTTGGTGCTGATAACCTTGGCGGCGGCCATGCGCTCCTTCTCCTTCGCAGGATTCACCGCAGCTGCGTCCCCTGCGTCCATGTTGAGCGTGTGCACCGGACGCAAGGGGCCGCGTCCATTGTTCGCTGCCAGCTTGGCCTTGTACACCTCGCAAATGAACTCGCCGATGCGCCGCTCAAAGCAGACCTGCACCTCTGTCGGGAGGAACGCGCATATGTTCCAGTCCATGCTGACCTGGAGTTCGTCCTCCTTCGTTGGCGCCTGAGACGCCGCTGCGATCTGCGGTGTCACACGGACGCCACCAAAGTTGGCAACGTCCATCCAGGCGAGGAAGTTCCAGTAGTGCACCACGTCGATGACTATATGCCGGAACAGGTCGTGCGAGTTGGCCGCCGTCACAAGATATTTAGCAAAGGCGAAGGCGCTGCCCGCGTCCGGCTTGGAAGTGAGCAGGAACACCTTGTTGAGGTCCGCGTAGACCACCGTCGTTCCCAAGCGCTTGAACTCTGCGAGGAGCTGGAGTAGCGTCTTGCGCATCAGCCCGTGTAAGAAGCGGTACAGCGCTGGCTCAAACATGCAGCTCGAACTCGAGCTGATCCATCGCCAGAACTGGTCCACGACGATGTCCGCGGGCGAGTGTGCCGCGCCGCGAATGTGGGCGCGCGCCTTGTCGAGGAACCAGCTGCGCACCATTGACTTGAGTATAGTGAACGTCTGAATTGAGAGCACCGCATCGCCCAGCGTTACGCTTCCACTGTTTGTTCCCTGCGCGTACTCGTCAAGGTTATGAGAAGCGGCGCCGAATGCCATTGAGCCCGACCCACTCCCTTCCATCTCGTTGACTAGCGCTGACTGCAGAACGGCGTTGATGGCCATATCGGCAATCTCGAGCTCCAGCACCACGGACGAGTAGCACCCACGCGTCGAGATCTGTGGGGCAGTTGGCTCGTCAGCGCCATTGGTGTCCTCCTCCGCACCGCCGAGATCGGGTCGCGGCGATGGCGACCACCACAAGAGCGTGTCCTGCTGCTTGAGACGGCGCGCAAACTCGAGATCCGCGAGGAAAACTGGTGGATCGGCACCCAAGTTCCCGAGCGGCACATCGTAGTGCGCGGCAATCTCAAGTTGGCTCGCAATCCACGACGACAGACGCAGATACTGCACAATCATGCGTCGAGCAGTGTTGACCTGCCACATGAGCCCCGCCTCCTCCTCCTTCAGAGGGCGGACGGTGATCACAGGGAACTCGGAGAAGACAGCATGGCGTGCCTGGTAGTACCCATGGTCAAAGGAGGAGCAAAGTGCAAGGACGTTCATCCCGCCACGGATCGCTTGCAGGTCCTTGACGAGATGACGCATCGCTCCCGCCTCAGTTGGATAATAATTGATGTCCGTGTCCAGCTCGTCCGGATACTGGAAAGCCCCACCCCTGGATACCTTGTCGATGCGCTCCGCGTACCAACGTGCGGGGTTGGGCAGTTGCTGGCGGTTGCGCGCTCCATCGACGACGTAGATCTTCGCTGGTCCGCGGGGAGGGAACAGCGCGATCAGATGGTGCGACTGAATGGTCGCATGGAATAGGAAGTAATAGCGCAAGTTCAGGCCGCCGTTGAGGTACTTATGACGAATGACGCTGGCTGCCGGGCGCTCGAGCTCTGAGAGGTCGAAGCCCTTATCGAGACCACGGTTTAGGCCGCCGAGTGACGCGGACCTGAGGGCGCACGCCGTTCCAAGGCCTAAGAGCGCCCGTACAATGAGCGGGACCTGCAGCTCGAACGCGCCGTCGACGTTGGGGCTATTGATCAGGCTTGAGAAGTGTGACTCGCCCTCGACAAAGAGCCCCTCCTCCACTTGGAGGCGGAAGAGGTGGCGCGGCGTCTGTCCGCGTGGTAGAACGCGGGCCACCTGCAGCGCCTCATAACGGTCTGAAAAGGTATCTGTTCCTGGGCGCTGTTTGAAGTTAAGGTAGAATTCGCGCTGAACGCGCAACCGCACGCTCTGGAACGTATTGTCGATAGCGAGCCAGAGACGGAACTCTCCAGGCCGCGATGTTGGCGCGATCTGGAGGATGTCCCACTGCCGCGTCGCGAGTGTCGAAGACTGCGTCCTGATCAAGGATGACACGGTGCCATCGAGACGCTGACCTCCTCGCTTTCGCACGCGGTTGCGCTCCTCACGCTGTTTGCGCCACACCTTACGCATAACGCGAATGTAGCCGGAATAATCCTCCAATGGGTCTGGCACGGGTTCCGGCGACTTCGCCTTCTTGTTGCGCTTTACCACAGCGACCTTGGGCTTGTTGATGGACTCCCCCTTGCCGAAATCCTCCATGTCCGGAGCAGTCGCGCGCATCTTGGCAAACATGTCCGTAAGCTTGTGCTGCTGGAATTTATCCTCGCGCGCGGCAACTCGCTTGAACAGCCAGTCTGGGTGACGGATACGCGGGACGGGGTTTGGTACTTTCTGAAGAGCGGCCGGGATGGTGATGAGTTTCTGAATAACCGATCCGAGACGCTCCGTGTAGTACCCCCAGTCAAGAATCTGGCGCATGTCAAAGTCGGTCATGCTGTTATCCTTGAGCCACTTGCGGAGAAAATGCTTTTTGACCGCTGGGTCCGCGTCAAAGATCGCGACCGGAATGGCACGCTCTGTAACTGGCGCACCGTTTGGCTTGGCCGAGATAATGAATCGACATGACAGGCCCTTGTCCTTCACCATTTGTTCGCCCAGGAACTCGGCAAGACGGCGAGCTGTGCTGATGGATGTGGACTTCTGCCCAGCGTACTCAGCGAGGGTCTTGGACATGGAGCGGTTTTCAGCAATTAGATCGACGAGCTCCCCGTCGTGCAGACTCGACGCTTTGCTTTGGAGAATGTCGAGCCACTGGTCGGCGACGGCAGCGACAGCCTTGTAGCACTCCTCGGTCGTTGTTCCGAGCAAGAACTTGTCGAAGATTTGCGACTGGAAAATCTTGATGAGCTGCAGCTCGCCACGACGCTTGACTTCGAATCCCTTCAGCTCAGCGAGGGAGCCGTCAAAGTTAAACACGGCGTAGCGCTTCTTCAGCAATTTGTCCTCCTCCTTGGACGACGGCAAGATCATGGCCTTGTACGGGCCATCTAGCTCGAAAAAGATCGAGTTCTCCTTGCGCACCTCATACTTCCCGGTACTCTTGTCAACCAACTCGTGATATTGATGATTTGTGAAGCGCTGGTGAACGAGGTGGTTCAACATCGTACACGGGTACTGAATGCCGAACTTTTTGCCGCCCTTCAACTTGAACTTGAAGTCCTCTGGGAAGGCGCCCGGAAGCATGCACCAGATACCGTCAGTGTCGAGCTCAAGCGGACGCCCAATCTGCTCAACGATCTGGCGCGCCATCTGAATGATTGTGGCGCCAGTCAGGCATGTGATGCCGGCCATCTCCATAGAATACCAGCGCGCACCCTTGCGCATGACGTAGCCGTAAAAGGAGTTGAGAATGCACTTGTGTGCAAGCTGCAGTGAGTCGTACAGCACAATCATTTTCTTGGCCTCGTCAACAGCTTGGAGCGCGCCACCCTCGTCGACTGCCTTATCGAGATTCTTCTTCCACGTTTTGTGGAGCCCCTTGTACTCGTAACGACGGTCACGAAACGCGCGTACTGTGTCAATGTAGAAGGAGTTCTCTCGCTGGCAAATGATTGCCGTCTTGGTGACGACCTTCGTCTCGTGTGTCTTCTTATACACTTTTCGCGAGTAATCGCCAAGACGCTTGTGGATAAGCGCCGACTGCTCGGCTGCGGGCAGGTCGACGAATCGACGCTTTGGCGCGTTGGGGAATTTTGGTGGGAAGAACTCCTGCTCAAGCGCGTAGCGTACCATGTTGACCTCGTCACGCTTGGCTGGGAAGTATTCGCCTCGCCATGCCCATTCTAGGCGGCGGTCGCACACCTTGTCGGGCCGGTTGTAGTCACACACCGCGCATGCAGCCTCGTCCTTGACCGAGTCGGGCTGAAGACGATTGGACAACATGATGTTGGGGTACATGGCTGCGACATCCAAGTGGTAGATCAATGGTGGGTCGAGACGATTGGGTTCGTCGCGAATCAGCTCGAGCTTGGCCGCGATCTCGGCTTTGACTTCCTCATAGTTTTCCACATCCTCCAGCTGAATCTTGCCCTCCTCCTCCAAAGCGAACTTGAGCGCATCATCGAGCTGGTCGAGAAGCTGCTGCATGGCGGTGGGGACGACCTTGAAATGAGTCGGGATGTCAGAGCGGAACACACCGGCCTCAAGAGCCTCGACATGTCCGCCGACGTAGGTCTCAGAAGCCAGTAGATGTCCCTCGTAAGTGACACCGTGTGGATCCTCGTGACGATTTGGCATCATAATTCCGGCGTCGAAGGCTTCAACCTGCCGTCAACTCCATACCAACTCGCTGGCGCTCACCATCAGAAGTGTCTCGCACAATGTTCCTGTCCCCTTTCGCAACACCTCGTCCGGATTGAGCGGGATAATGTTGCACAGCGAGAAGATGAACGGGTTGACGTATTTCATGTAAAGGTAATAGGTGGCGACGGCGTCGGACACCGAGTACTCGGCAAGCTTTTGCGGCTGCTCGATGGCGTACGGTGTCATCAACTCTGGGTCGAGCTCGATAGGGTTGTAACCGAGCTTAGCGGTCGTGACAGCTTTCAAGCCTTGACTCCCTTGTGGGAGGTAAGAATCACGCTTGACCCATCTGTACATGAGCGACGACCCAGCGTGGTTCTCACCGGAAGCAGTCCATGTGCATGCACGCCGTGCACTTGTACTCGCCCTCGTTGTCTGGACGGAAGCCGATCTCGCTGTACATGCTGATGCCGTGAATCTTGGCACGCGCATCCACAAATGGAAAGTCGAAGCTGTCGCCGTTGTATGTCACCATGACGGTCGGCTTCGCGTCGCGGATGTGCTCAAACCACCGCCTGATGGTTGCGGCCTGACATTAGTCACAACGCGTCATACCTTCTTACCTCATCGGGCTCGTTAAAGATGGTGAACTCGCCCTCGTACTCCGGTTTTGGAGTGTACTCGAAATCGTCGATGTCGTCGCCGACAATCTCCCGATTAGTGATCAGATAGCCCTGCCCATCGATCATGTACGAGATCATCATGATCTGGTCCGTCTGCTGGTCTGGAAACTTGAGCGGCTGCTTCGTCGTCTCAATATCGTATGCCATGACGACGGGCTCAGCACGCCTGACACGGTCAGTCAGCCGCTCCATCTTGATGATGCCCATGCTCGAGGATACATTGTACCACAGACCAACGCGGAGGTTGAGATCGATGGCGACGCGGAGGTGGAACGCGATGTCGTGCTCGCGGACCTCGATAATGCAATCGGCAGGCTCCTTTTCTTTGCGTTTCCGCGCGTCCTCGTCTTCTCCCCACGCAGGTCCACCGCCTTCCTCCTCGTCATTGCCGCCGGCTCCCGTCTGGGCAGCCTCCGCACCGACAACGTCTGCGTACGCATCCACGGCTGTGAACTTAGACGCATTCGCGGTCGCAAGCGGCAGTAATTCTCGTCGGACAGCTTGAAAGTCCTGTGTGTTGCGAAAGAAGAGCTTGAGGAAGATCGGTGGTGCGCTGAGGAGGTGATTAGGCTGTTGTCAGCGCGTGCGCCGTAGTCAGACAAAGCTCACCAAATTGAGGTCCCATTTCTTTTCTCGCTCGACACGGACGACTAGGCCTTCGAACCTCTTCATGAGCCACTCGTCGACTATGCCCTCCGTCCCTACCTGGCGTCAGCTGGCCCCGTGGTCCTTCCCTCACTCGACATGTGACATAGAAGTACGGCTCAAAAGGGATCGTCGCCTTGAACATCCCCCCGTCGTCTTCAATGAAGTAGTAGTCGACCGCTGATAGCCCGCTAGAATGCAAGTCCGACTTGACAAGCGTCTGGTGCATGTTGACCAGCCATCCGTCTTTGGACTCGCCTCCCGCAAGGTTACTCTCGAAGCGCCAGAAGCCGAGCTTGTCGTCGATCTCGTCGGCGACCTTGACCTCCTCAAAGCGCTCAAGAAGGGCTGTTCCGTCGTCCTGACGCACAGGGGCTGGGCGGTCAGCTCCTCCGCTGGCAGCGCCGCCGCGGCCACTACGCTTGCCGGTAAAGCGCGTGTTGCCCTTGGAGCCGCCGAAGCCGCGGCCTCGCCCACGGCCTCGGAACGACATGTTGGGAGAGCGGAGGAGTGGCGGAGAGTCGTATTAGGATGAAAGGGGACGTGAGATGGTGAACGGAGAGTGGAAGATGTCGAGAGGAGATTCTGGATGATGATGACCGTAAGCTGGACGCGTGACTGAGACGCGTCCGCCCAGTTACGCGTCCACCAACATTGACTCTTTCCAATTTATCCGGACCTCCCATTTTGTGCGCCTCGAAAGCAAACACGCTTCACGCTTCTACCTGCTGATAATAGCATCGCGAATGATTTCTGAATGTCCTCCGGGAGAAGCGCCTCAACAGCTTAACTTATGAGACATGCACGGGTAGATGAGCAGGCATATGGTGCTGCATGATACGGAGGACCCAATCTAAAGTATGAGCTGCCTCAATTATAGCCCACGCTCATGTAAGGCCAATGAACAAACACGCTACTGAATACCGGTGAGAACTTGTGCCGTGCCGGCGGGGCAATCACATCACTCTCAGCCCGTCATGGGAGGTCTCTCTCCATCTTCAGAGCTTAGGTATAAGCACACCTCATGCAACAAGCATGGGCTGCAGTTTGTGGGTTCGGGATGCAGTCCGCTTAACCCTGGGAACAAGCTACCCGACAGCGCAGTAAAACCTGGTGTCAATGAAAACTGTGCGGCCGGATATGCAGCGTTGAAATCTACTGCTTGCCATCCTTATGCCGCTCTGGGGTGGCCTGGATGAGCAGTCTACAAGGCTAAACCGTTTACCTCAACGTTGTATCCGGTCGCAGATCAAGGGAAGAGATGAAGTGCGGGCTGCCACTAATATATTGGTTGTCAATTGGAAGTATGAGTAAAGGTATACTGCTTGGGTTGCATTACAGATAAGGGATCCCACGTGGGAATCTGGATCCGTCCGTAATCAGGAGGTCATCACACGGGGGTTGGGTCCAAACAAAACAGTCGCGCATCAACATTCCGCTTCCTCCCAACCCACACTCTTCCACCATGTCAGCACCACGAGCGTCAACACGAACGCGTCAAACTCAGGCTTCAGCGATACCCACGGGTCGTGTTACTCGTCTTCGCTCTCAACAGGGCACAGCGGCGCCCTCACCGGCTGGCTTAGGCAAGCCCGGCTTCCTCGCCAAGGGCAAGGAAGGCCTCCGCAAGGTCTCGGACAAGCTCAAGGAGAAGCAAGAGAAGGACAAGCAGGAGAAAGAAGTGAGTCCTACCCACCCGCGTAGTCTACCGCTAACGCCAGACTAAGAAGGCAGCGGATACATACACCGAGCAGCTCCAGGCGTACCTCCGCATCCGACCTCAACTTGAGGCTGAGAGCGGCACGCCATACCTTGAAGTGCAAGATGGCACAAGTGTTCTCATGCGCCCTCCGGTGGAAAGCCGTCTGCATATGCCCAAACCGAGTCAGCTGTACTCGTTCAACCGTGTGTTTGGGCCCGACACGGAGCAGAATAACTTCTTCAATGAAACGACCAAGCCGCTGGTTGAGAAGCTGCTGCAGGGCGAAAATGGTCTGCTGTTTGCTTATGGTGTGAGCAACAGTGGCAAGACGTGAGTTTGTCTCCTTATGCTGCTCCGACATGATACCTTTCACAGCCATCACACACGCTTATTCTAGTTATACTATTCAAGGCGGGGACAGCTCGAAGCTCGAGGAGCGCGGCCTTCTCCCTCGCTCAGTCGACGTAGTGTTCAATTCCATCAAGGGGTTGGAAAGCAAGGAGAACGTACGTCTGATGAAGGGCTGCGCTGACGATCAGCTCAAGTGTCAGGGCCTGGCTAATGTCGTCCTTACCGATGAGGACGACGGTATCGACCTTCACAGCCTCCCGTTCGAGCCCGAGGCTCGCCTCAACGACAGTATGTCTTCCTGGGATCGACTTGGCTGACATAAGGCGTGAAGGTTGACCGCAACTTCTCCTACGCTGTGTTTGTGTCCTATGTCGAGGTTTACAACGACAAGGTGGGCTTCTTTACCACGGATGAACTGACTTGGCAGATCTTTGACCTCCTGGATGCAGTCCTGCCCTCGACGCGGCCTAAGGTTCCTTCTGCCACTCCTCGAGCTTCAGCATTGCCTCGGTCGTCGGCAATGCCGCGAAACATGAGCACCATAGGCCTGTCCGGGCACATCAACTCGTCCATGAGTCTCGCCGCTCTGGCCAACGGAGGCGCCGGCATCCTCAAGCGCAGAGCTCTTGTTCTCAAGAACGATCCCGATGGGAATGGCAAGTACATCTGCGGCGCCCACGAGATTCGCGTTCGCACTCGCGAGGAGGCACTGGCTGTCTTCCGCTGCGGCCAGGGCGCTCGTCAGGTGTTTGGGACGATGGCCAACCGCGAGTCAAGCCGGAGCCACGGAATCTTCACTATTAAGGTTGTGCGCGTGCACAATGGCGCTCCGGAGGACCCTGACTCTGCTTCCGTATCACGCCTCGCAATCGTCGATCTCGCCGGCTCCGAGCGCACGCGCAACACGGCAACCACTGGCGATCGTCTCAAGGAGGCTGGTAATATTAACAAGTCACTCATGGTGCTGGGCCAGTGTCTCGAGGTTCTTAGAGCCAACCAGCAGCGCATCGCTGCTCCGTGCCCACCAGGTGCCCGGAAGAAGCTAGCCATTGTACCCTTCCGCCACTCGAAACTCACTGAAATCTTCCAGAACTTCTTCGTCGGTGACGGCCGGGCTGTCATGATGATCCACGTCAACCCCTACGACACTGGCTTTGACGAGAACTCACATGTCATGCGTTTCTCCGCCATCGCACGCGAGATCCAGACAACTGCGACGCACAAGACGACGATTCCTGCTCTTAAGCGCCAGATCTCAAGCCACCTCAGTGCCTTCCGCTCAGCTATGGGCGGCGGACAAAGAATCAAGGTCATGGTGCCCGTCGTGGCCAAACTGCCGGAGGCCTTGGTATCAGAGGCGCCGCCGACACCGGCAGCTTCAGCTCCTCCGGTGATTCCCACGCGTACCTCTAGCGCTCGTGTAGCCGGCTCTCGGCCTTCTGCACGCGGGGCTACAGCGGCTGTGAGCGCCAGCACACGTTCGACTCGCACTCACACGCGGCCTGCACCATCTCCTCCACAGGCGCCTTCCCCGGCCCCTGAACCTGAGCAAATCAAGATGATCGAGGAGGAGCTTGAGGTTGTGGAAGAAGACGCTGAGGACGAGAGCGATGACGAGCAAGACCTCCTCGTCGAGTACCTCTTCGAGCAGCTGCGCGAGCTCAAGACACAGCTGTTTGAGAGTGAAATGCGCAATGCGCAGCTCGAGGTTGATATTCGTGAGGAGGTCTCACGCGACCTTCAAAACACAATCAGGCGGATTCATGCCGAGTACGAGAAGCGGCTCCAGGCGGCGGTAAGCTGGAACAGAAATTTAACCTGACGTTAGGCGGCCGCTGCCGAGCTCAAGGCGGACATGAAGCTCGACATAGTTCAGCGCACCATGGGCGATGTGGGAGACTCGTCGGTCGATGAGAGCTTCGAGTCGTCCACAGACGGAGATCTCACAATGGTGAGCTATACAAAGGTTGCGCATCTAACCATAGGACTTCCTCTCCGATCCCTTCCTCAGCGCTCCGATTCGGAAGCCGAACGACGGCTCGACCTCGGAGAGAGAGGTCGAAGAAGAGATTTCTATGATATTCCACAATTCGGGGGACGTGAGCGGTTCTGTCGATGAGGACGACGAGGGGGGCGTCACCGAATCCGAATCGGAAGAAGAGGAGCCCGTCGAGGGCCGCTCGATGCTTAGCAACGCAGCGGGCAGCGACACCGAGATGGAGGATGGCAACGACTCGGAAGAGGAGGAGCCGATCGAGCTCCGCCCCATTACACCAACCGACGAGACGCCTACGCCGACAGCGACGACGCCAACGGGGGCTCAGGCGGAGCACTCTGGCGAAATCGACTCTGACGAGGAACTCAACTCTTCAGATGAGGAGGGGACCGTCGAAGACACCTCCATGGTGAGCATGTGCACGAGCGCCGACTCCGAGGAGGGGGAGGAGGACGTCTCTGGCGACGGCTACGATGATGAGGACGAGTCGGAGGGCGGCTCTGATGAAGAAGACGACGACTTTGATGCGTCCTTCGCTTCGAGCGTGTCAGCGGAGTCTGAGCCTGCGCGTCGCGCCTCGAGGCGAAGCCCAGTGAAGGTCCAGGCGCCAGCCAAGCCCGCTCCTCTCCGCGAGAGTAGGCGCCAGGTCACGTACAACGAGGACGAAGATCTTATGAAGCCCGCCACTCCCGCTCAAGCCAAGAAGAAGCGCACATTGGGCAAGCGTATTGTCACCGAGGACGAGATGGCGGCTCGCGAGCCTGCTGGAGGTGCCGAGGTGCGACGCATGGTGCGGGGCCTGTGATCTGTGATATGTTTTGTAGTGTTTGTATCTGTTTTTATGATTACGATTTCTTCAGAAGCAAGAGGCGCTCGCGGAGTACCATGCTCAACAATCCGGCGATCCGCCAACATGGCTCGCCTGGTCAAGTGGGCATTCCGCCATTCCGCTCCGGATTGGATGACGTTGATCAGCCATCAAGACACCGATTGCACGGTCTGTCACTGACAGCACTTATCGTCCATGCACCTCTACCTTGATAGGCAGCAGCACGCCGGCCCATTGAGTCACTGAACACGCAACCATGCAGTGCCGAGATCAGAACAGCGGACGGGAGCATGTGACTCGTCACAATTGACGATCCGACGCGGGCTAGTGACCCTCGCGGTCACCACGGGCTCGGCCGAAATCACATTCCTCCTTCCTCCCTTCCTCCCTCTCTCCTCTTCATCATCTCTCAACCATCATGTCCCGTCTCGTGAAGCGTCGGGATGCTCGTCCTGATGTTGAGAAGGCACCGCTTGTTGCAGACGACGACGGGCGCAAGGACCGCAGGCCCACCCGCCGCTCGCGCCTCATCCTCCCGCTGGCCGTTGCCGCCGCAGTCTTGTTCATGCTCACCTCCGACACGCTCATGACGATAGTCAAAGACGACTTAGGCTTCCCCTGGCCGGGAGAACCAGAGGCTCTTCCCCCCTTCGTACATGAGGGTATGAAGCGCTGCGCGCATCTTAACCACGCGCCGGCTCCAGAGATCGCGACAGCCGCACGCAAGCATTCCGACCGGTACGTTAGGGGCACCTCGCCTGTGTTGCTCAAGAACGCGACGCTGTGGACGGGCGAGAAGGACGGCACCGAGGTGCTGCACGGCGCGGACGTGTGGCTCGAGGGCGGTGTCATTCGCAAGATCAGCAAGGAGGGCAAGAAGGACTTCGAGGAAGAAATGGTCGAGGCTGTCAGGAACGGTCACAAGGTTGAGACCGTCGAGCTCGACGGGGCCTGGGTTACTCCTGGTATTGTCGACGTGCACTCCCACATGGGCGTCAACTCCGTACCCGACCTGCAGGGCAGCGACGAGACGAACAGCTTCAAAGCGCCAATCCAGCCGTGGCTCCGCAGCCTGGACGGTTTCAACACGCACGACGCGGCTTTCAATCTGAGTATCGCCGGCGGCATCACGACCATGCTCGTGCTCCCTGGATCTGCAGGGAACATTGGCGGACAGGCGTTCACGTTCAAGCCGCGCTGGACGGATGAGAACACGCCGCAGAGCATGCAAGTCGAGCCGCCTTACGTTATCCGGCACGGCGAGTGGCAACGCACCCGCGCGTGGCGCCACATTAAGCATGCGTGTGGTGAGAACGCCAAGGCGTGGTACCACAACGCGCGGATGGACGCTGCGTATGACTTCCGCCGAGCCTATGCCGAGGGCAAGAAACTCAAAGATAAGCAGGACGCGTGGTGCGCCGCGCCCAAGAAGCAGAAGGAGCCGTTCCCGGACTCGCTCGAGTGTGAGTGGTTTGCTGACAGGCTGGCTGCGAGCAAGACGAAGGACATGCGAGCTGACCACAGGGGAGGTCATGGCTGACATCATCCGCGGTCATGTCAAAGTCAACATTCACTGTTACGAGACGGTCGACCTGAACGATCTCGTGCGCGTCTCGAACGAGTTTCAATTCCCCATCGCTGCGTTCCATCATGCCCACGGTAAAGTGCATCGTGAAGAACCCAGCTGACAGGCAGAGGCATACCTCGTCCCGGGTCTCCTCCGCCAGGCATGGGGCAAAGTTCCGCCCGCTGCCGCAATCTTCGCCAACAACGCCCGGTATAAACGCGAGGCATACCGTGGCACACCATACGCCGCCAAGGTTCTCGATGAGGCGGGCATCAAGGTAGTCATGAAGTCTGACCACCCAGTTCTTGACAGCCGCTTCCTGATTTACGAGTGCGTCACAACCAAGCTCCTACCCCGAACGCCCCGGGAGTTGTTAACGATAGAGCCGCACAGGCGCACGCTTTTGGTCTCGAGTGGAACCGCGCCCTAGCCGCTGTTACCACCACATCCGCTACGGTTGCTGGACTTGACCACCGCCTGGGTTATGTCCGCCCTGGATACGACGCAGACCTCGTCGTCTGGGACAGCTTCCCGCTCGCAGTTGGGGCTACTCCCAAGCAGACGTACATTGACGGCATTCCGCAAATCATCCACCCTCATGTCGTTCGCAAGCCTGCGGCCGCGCAAAAGATCACGCCCAAGGGCGATTACGACAAGGAGGCCGCTGAGGCTGTGTTGGCGCGTGGTGACCCCGACCTTCGCCCGAAGCACCGCTCGGCCAACATTGTCTTCCAGGGCGTTAGTGCACTTTACCTTTCCGGCGTGAAGACGCTGGGTAGCGGCGAGCCCGGCACCGTGATCGTGGAGAACGGCAAAATTACTTGCGCTGGCAAGGAGTGCATTGCTGCTGCGGGCGAGTACAATACCATCGACCTCAAGGGCGGATCGCTCGCGCCTGGCCTCATCTCATTCGGCTCCGAGCTAGGTCTCACTGAAATTACGGCTGAGGAGACGACACAGACTGGCAACCCGCCCGGCATTCTCGACGATAATAAGATCCTCTCAGGGCTGCTTGTTCATGCTGCCGACGGTGCGCAATTTGGCGGAAAGGACGAGCTCATGGCTCTCCGCGAGGGTATTACCACCGGCGTGTCATGTCCCACCACGGGTGATTTCCTAAAGGGCATGTCATATTCCTTCTCCCTTGCAGCGCGGCACGCGCTGGAACAGGGCGCAATCACCAATCACGCCGCGGCGCTGCACATTACGCTGAGGCAGTTTGACGACCCGCACGGCGAGTCGAGCCTTGGTGTCGCGACGTCGATTGGCGTCCTACGTCGCCTGCTCCATGGCGAGGTGGGCAAGGATGAGGTCGCGGCTGCGTTTGCGAAGGTTGCGGCTGGCGAGCTCCGCCTCGTCGTCTCCGTCACCTCGGCGGATGCAATCGCCGCCCTCATCCGTCTCAAGCGCACGCTGCCAAGTATGCGCCTCACGATCCACGAAGGCCATGAGGCGTGGATGCTGGCCGATGAGTTAGCCGCTGAGAACATCGGCGTCGTTGTTTCCCCGCCCCGATCTTTCCCAGTGCTGTGGGACCAGCGCCGAATTCTTCCTGGTCCACCTCTTAGCAACCTCACCCTCCCGGCTTACCTGCACTCACGAGGCGTCAAGGTCGGTCTAGGCATCGCGGAGACTTGCGACGCGCGCCTCACCCGATTTGAGAGCGCGATGGCGTACGCGTTCGCACCCACGACATTCTCGCGTCAGGATGCCATTGATCTCGTGAGCGCAAATCTCGTCGAGGTCCTTGGCCTGAACGACGGCCTCGGAGCCGCTGGGGGCGATGAGGTCGACCTCGGTTTCGTGGCATACGAAGGTGACATGTTCAGCTTCGAGGGGCGGGTGCGCGCTGTCCGTGCGCCGGGCCAGAACGCCATGGACCTCTTCTAGTCCCCATGCATTCCACGGCATTGCGGAGCGCCCGCCTTGTCGCGGAGTTGACCCGCACCACACCGCTCGATGTCAGCTGCATGACGCGTGTACTCGAGAGAGCAGATTCAGGAAAGATATGAATTGAATTGCTCAATACGTGCAACGTGATACGTCCGCCGATGACGGCATGCCATGTACCGATCGGTCCAGCACCAGTCTGTGACACTCTCACCAGGACGTCAGTACTTCTTCGCCTCGCTCTTCGTTGCACAACTCAAGGCGTCCGTGCACAAGATGGCACAACGCGCAAGCGACCCCCTCCTCCACTCTCAGCCAGCATATAACAACGGCACCTTGCCATCCTCTGAACCTGAAGACCCATCGTTCAGACTTGCAAGCATGGTCCAAACTCAGCGCGACAAGACCGGCATGGCACTTGTGCTTGTGAGTCACTCCCAGCGTGCTCCACTCTCCTGTATTGCTGCGACTGCCAGTGGACTAGGTCTGGGCTAGACACCAGCGGCGGCGTTGCGCCGCCGAGTCGCCCGCCCGATGTCTGCCAACGCTGACCCCAGGCCGGCACGTCGCTCCTCGGCCTCTCGACCATAACGCTCATCCTCACCTCGCCGGTCCCCAAGCTCTTTGCGTGGCACCCGTCGCTGAACTCGCTCTCACTCGTCCTCGTGGCGATCGGCATCTCCGTCGTGCAACCGCCCACGCCGCCGCCCGACGCGCGCCAGAAGCGCATCGACGTGCACAAGCACGTCCTCGGCTTCGCAACCTTGCTGCTCTGCGGCGGGGTTACGTCCATGTACTACAGTGAGTGGAAGGAGGCTCGGGGTGGCAGAGACGGGGTAGCGTGAGGCCAGATGCCGGACGGAGAAAGGAAGGGGGAAGATGATTTCTTCGGCTGGAGGGCTCTTACAATAACAGCAAGTGCGCTAGAGGGGGCTCTCAGAAGGGCTTATCGTTGTAGGGGATGGGATAAGAGATGAGGCTTAGAGCCCGAAGACGCTGACCACCAGACAAGGAGGCCAACGGCGCAGAGCACGGCGCCTCGCCGCACGGCGCCGCGGGATATGTCGTCCTCCTCTGGATGATAGGGCAGGCGGTCCTTGGCGGCATCGCTCTCCTCGCGGGCAAGCACGGGCTGTGGCTTTACAAGTGGCACCGGTGAGTGAGGGCGAATGGGTGCTCTACAAGGGGATTGAGCGGGGGTGACGACGACAGGACGAGACAATGACAGAGCGAACAGCGCTGACCCCAGCCTGTCGGGATACTTCTTCACCGCGTCCGCGCTCTTCGCCGCGTTCGTGGGCGGCATGCTCACGCCCTGGTCGCAGACGCGCCCTGCGCCCCTCCGCATCGCCGCGTACTGCATCGGCATCCCGCTCATCGCCACTGGGCTGGCCATGCGCGTCCAGACCAGCAAGATGTCATTTGGCAAACGCCGTGCTTAATAGCTCACATAGAGTCTGCTTGCAGGCATCTTAAGCATCCTATGACACCGAGCTGGGGGGAGATTCAGCCACGTCTCTCAGCTTGCAGTCGTGGTGATCTAGTATCCCTTTGTCAGGTCGACGAGGTTGAACGGCCGCTTTCCTTCGCGAATGCGTTGGGCGTTGGCGACGCAGATGTCCGTCGCGATCTCGAACTCGCCCTCGGCGTTGCCCGTCAGATGCGGGGAGACGATGCAGCGGGGGTGCGTGAAGAGCGGGTGACCGGTGGGGAGTGGCTCGGGGTCTGTGACGTCGATCGCTGCGCCGAAGAGACCGTGTTCCTCGTCATTCAATGCGGCAAGGAGGTCCTCTGTTGTTAGCTGCGCAAGATTATTCTCGCATGACGTCTACGTAGGAACGCGTCGCGCACCACTCACCAGACTTGACGATGTCGCCTCGTCCGACGTTAATGAAGATCGCGTCCTTCTTGAGTAGCTTTAGGCGGTCGCGGTTGAGTAGCCAGCGAGTCAGCGGCGTGCTCGGCACACATGTGATAAGGACGTCGCACTCGGCCAAGAACTCATCGAGCGATGCCGGTTCCGATGTCTTGTACATTCTCTCGGGGATCGAGCTGTCGGGGTCCCCCGTTCCGGGAATAACGTACTCGGGGTCGCTGGCGCGCGTGCCCTTCGTGTTCGCGGCGATGATCCGCATCCCGAAGGCCTTGAGGAGACGAGCCGTCTCGCGTCCGATAGCTCCGTACCCAATCAGTCCGGCGGTACGGCCGTACAGATTGCGCGAGGTGTAGTACTGCCCGCGCAGGTCGATACCATAGTCCTTGCGCCATTCCTGCTTCTCGCGGGCCACTGTCAGCACAACCTGGAACTGGTGGAAAAGGTTGACGGTCATGGCGACAATCCAGGGCGGGATAGACAGCGCGTGCGTGCCGGACGCATTCGCGAAAGTGACCTTGGCTTTGTCGCCTTGGTCGCGGAGCTCCCGGATGCCAGAGGAAAGGCGCAGCGCCGTGTCCACCCCCGCCGTCGGCAGCTGGACGTGCCGCAGCTGCGGCATGTCGTGGACTGTGAGGTCGCCCGGCAGGCCCTGCCATGCTGTGTAGAGGAACTGGACACGCGGCAGGAGCTCGGGCGGCATCACAAAGTCCGGGTGGTAGTGCACCTCCTTGAAAGCTGCCTTCACCTTTGCGAGGTCGCTGGCCGGAAGCTCCTGGAGCACAACGCAGACGTCGAGAGGCGTGATGTCGGCCGTCATGGTAGTCAAGGGAGGTGGGGAGGCGATGGAGGACGCTGAATGACTATCGATGAGAAGCTCAGCGAAGCGATAGAGTTGTGAGTAGGCTAGACAAAAGGACGCTGGTGAGAGAGAACGGTGTGCAGATCGTCATCTTGCCCACTCCGGTCACCCGCGATCGCTTGCTTCGCCAAGATGCCGATAAGCAGACTTCTTACCGATTTCTTAGCAACTGTATTGGCATTAGTTCGGGAGATGCCGATACTAATGGATTGATCCACGGGTTTCAGTGACTCGGCTCTCTCGTTGCTCATCAAGCACGCAAGCATGCCGCTCACTGGCCGAGCGCTCACCGTTCTTCGGCATTCAGCGAGCAGCCCATCGCTCGTCTCCAAGCGCCGCCGACTGAAAGTGGTCTTGAGAGAGAGAGTGCGGAAGGGAGACAGCCCATGTCTACTTCAGACGTCAGTAGGTTGTTAATCTTCAACGATCCATCTGTGCACGCCTACGACTATCCCATTGTCGAGTCGCCTTCCAATATTCACTATCCTCAACAATCTCAAGACGATAGCTGTCCCCGTCGGCTGCCCGCCTTAGAGCGATGAGCTGACCCGCTTGAGCTGAGATTGCCAAAGAAACGACCTCGGCCGGCCGACCCAGCCACACATCAAGGTACCCATCGGCACCCCTCCTTGAACTCCACTTCCCAAGTCACCGTCGCCACTGACCTGCCACCATTCATCGGCTTCAAGTCTCCTCACGTCGTCTGCCTCCTCTCCTCCGCCCATATACCCCGCTCGCCCGTTCCATCCGTCCCAGACCTCTACTGGCACGCGGCACAAGGGCAAGGAACGAGTTACACGACAGAGTGTACATACATACCTTCTGCAATCTCAAGGGCACGGCATATCAATGTGCCGATCGGCCTGATCGCCGGATATCCCGTGACGTCAATCTTCCGCCAGTCCGTGCGCCATGTCTTCGCCGCCCCGCACCATATCGCCGAGCCCCGCTGGTTCCCCGCAACCATATGGTAGTTCCTTGCGTTTTGCCCACATGCTCTTCCATTCGGTGAGGACACATGCTTTGCAGAGCCGAGGGAGTGAATGGGGCTACAAGACGCCGGGCGGCGACTCACACATCCTCACAGCGTCCCATAAAGGCGCTGGAACTCGAGGCTCAGACGACGCATCCCCACTGCCATGACCAAGCCAGTACACGACTATACGGACCTGAGCCGCATGCAGCTCTACACGAGCTTTGCGCTCGTGTCGTCTTTGTTCTGTAAGATCTCCGGCGAAACGTACTAACCTAGTCCTCTGGGGGTTCAGCTACGGCTTGCTCGACGTGCTCAACCAGCACTTCCTGACTGTATTCCAGCTCAAGAGCAAGACTGAGACGACCATGCTCCAATTCGCATACTTTGTCTCGTACCTCGTCGTTGCGCCGCCAATGGGCCTGTTCATGCGCAGGTACGGCTACAAAACTGGAATTCATGTCGGGCTCGGCATCTTCGCAACTGGCGCCGTGCTATTCTGGCCGAGTGCCAAGTATAGGCAGTACGGCATGTTTGTCGCGTTTACCTTCGTAGCTGGCTCGGGTCTCGCGACGCTCGAGGTCGCAGCCAACACCTACAGTGAGCCCAGTACCGTGTATTAGCTGACAGTAGTCACTCTGCTTGGGCCCCCGCGATATGCGGCGCTCCGCCTCACGTTAGCGCAGGGCTTCAACGGGATCGCGACTGTCGTGGGACCGCTCATCGCATCACACGCCTTCTTCAAGGGCAAGAATGCGACAGAGCTCGGAACGGTGCAGTACGTCTACCTTGCAATGGCATGCTTTGCGACGCTCCTCAATTTCTCACTCGTTTTCATCAAGCTCCCAGAAGTGCGGCAGGCGGTGTCGAACGAGGACTTGGAGAAGCTCAAGCGCGGTGGTTGGAAGGGCTTCTTCAAGAAACACCACACAACGTGGGGCATCTTCGCAGAGTTCTGCTATGTCGGCGGACAAGTCGCGGTCGCCTCAATGGCCATCTTCTATTTTATCCACCAGCCCGGCCTGAGCAAGCCCATTAGTGCCTCGACCGCGTCAAATCTCTTCGCAGCTTGCCAGGCAACGTTTACTGTCGGCCGTTTTATCGCCGTCGTCTACCTCCGCTGGATCGACCCTGCGTTTTCTCTCTTCGTGCATGGCGTTATGCTCGTCCTCTTCTCGATCCTCACCTCGGTCATCCCGGGCGCTGGCGGGATTGCTTGCCTTTTTGTGGTATTTCTGTTCGAGAGTCATTGCTACCCTGTCATCTTCGCCCTCGCCTCTTCAAACCTCGGCCCGTATGCCGTCATTGGCGGTGCTCTCACTGCAGCCGGTGTCAGCGGTGGTGCATGGTACCCGTCAGCACAGGCCGCACTCGCGGACCGTGCGACCACTCATATCTCATACCTCGTACCCATGACTGGATTTGTTCCGCTGATGATCTATGGCGCCGTCATGTGGGTTCACCGCTGCAACCAGCACGGCAAGTACTCAATCTGGGTCAAGGATCTTGAGGGCGCCGACGCCGTGCACATCGAGTCCGACTTGCGCCGCCACTCTCTCGCACCGCAGATGAGCGCTGATCTCCACTCCTACCACAAGGACGAGCACGAGTTCTACGAGCATGCGGGAGTGGAGACGCGCACCACGGAAGGACACAGAGCTGTGGAGAGGACGTAGGAGAGTTCGCAAGGTGTACACACAAGCAGCTTTCGCAGGAGTAGAGGGAGGGGTAAACGAGAGATCAACACGTTTGTAGGGCGCCGAAATAGATCAGAAGTGAGCATGTATTAGCCAAACAATGTCTTGTGAGCATGTGAGAATCCTGATATGTCAACATTGGGTTGCACCGTTGTTGTGGTGTCGTGGTCCTGTAGAGAGTCGGAACCATTTAGCATTCCGGCTATTCTCAGCCACAACAACAAACCCAGCGATTTTAACCTCCACCTCTTCGCATCTCTCCATTCCTCATGACGGGATGACAACCCTTACGCCTGCCGGTCCACCAACAGAGTATGGTGCGCTCCGCGCTGGCGCGCACTACGCGACCCTTGTTCTCGCCTCAATGCTGGGCACGCTCATCCGCCTGGGCTTCAATGCGATCGGTGATTGTATGTCGTCTTGCTCGCGGCGAACGGAGCTAACAATAGACAATGGGAGCGTGATCTTCCCACTCGCATGGGCACAGGGAGTCGGCTGTGGGGTTATGGGGCTTGGCACCGCACGCAAGCCCGAAGTCGCATGGATGTGAGCCTGCCAGTTTGGATGGAGCTAATGCAGATATCCACCGCTTACGACCTTCGTGACGACCGGTACGATGGCCCCCACCCCGCATTAGCTGATAGCAGGCATCGCGGGCTCTACCACAACGTTCTCGTCTTGGATGCTCGAGGGGTTTGAGGCGTTTGCGGATACGCCTGCGGGCGGGTTCAGCAAGGTGAGCTGAGGTGGCCTGTGCTAGCTGAAGGCAGACTGTGAATGGCGTTGCGTACTCGCTTGCAACCTTCGGTATTTCGTACGCCGGAGTAGTGCTTGGTCACCAAGTCTCCTCCTTCCTCCCATCGTTACCGCGCCCCCGGCTTCTCGGCAAGCCGTGCCGCCTTTCGCCAACGCCCGTGGTCGACGGCCTGATGTTGCTCCTCGCTGCAGCCTCGTATGCCGCAGCGCTGGCAATGTACTTCGCTGCGCCGACGTACTGGCGGCGTCACGCGGTCTTTGCGCTTCTCTTGTCCCCACCCGGCGCCATGCTGCGATATGGACTGTCGAGACTGAACTCGGGGAAGCGCGTCGATGGGCGCTTCCCGCTGGGCACGTTCATCGCGAACGCGGCTGCAACTCTCCTCATTGGCGGAGCGTATGCTGGCATGCGCCGCCCCGCCGGCGTGGTGGCGTGCGACGCGCTGCACGCGCTACAGGATGGGTTCTGCGGGTGTCTCTCCACCGTCAGCACCTTCGTTGTTGAGGCACGCACACTCCGTCGGGGGTGGGCGTGGGGGTACGTTCTCAGCAGCGTTGTGCTTGGACATCTCTTGATTCTCGCGACGGTTGGTGGAGTGCGCTGGACTGAGGGGCCCATCGGCGTGTGTACCGGAAGCGACGCAGTGTAGGGGGCCAGTGAGGCCAGTGTATACCGTCTCATCGAACAACCATTCACATTGTATGTAAAAACCTGTATTCACTCAGATGAGCATGTATGATCTAGCTAGAGAAATAGCCTCCGACGAGGCCGCTCCACCACACACCCCAGAACATGGCCAGGAACGCGCTCACGCCCATCCCCGCCTTTTGGTTTCCAAAGCCGAGGAGCACGAGAATGGACCACGGAAGACCGACCGCGCGGTCGAGGATGCTTCCGACAATCCACCAGAAGAACAAGTCCTCCTCTGTGCGCGGGATAGGGCGAGGGCGCGAGGGTGGCGGCGGCGGCGCGAGCATGGGAGCGCGGATGGGGTTCAAGGCATTATGCGCGACAGGTGGGAGCACAACGAGCGCGTGGACAGGCTTGTGATCGGAGATGGTGATCTCGGGCGAGGAGGTGAACTGAAGGATTTGGGTAGTATAATCTGGCGCAATGCCGGGAACAGCGTCGGGGGCGTACAGGGAGGGCGGGTCGGAGTACGACGCGATAAGGATACGGTCGGTCCAGCCCGGGATACGTTTCCTGGCATTAGCTTTGAGTGCAGCGTGCGTGTGTGCATGTGGAGCGTCATGGAAGTGCCTGATCATGAAGTACGCACTCAGAGTATCCCTCCACCTGCCCCACAACGCGCTTGTATGTGGGCGCGAAGCGCGTGAGGTCACCCTCGCGCATGCCACCAAAAGCGCGGCCAGCGGCCTGCTCGCGCTTGAGCGTGTCGAGGGACGCAAGGGTGGCGCGCTCACGCTCCAGCTGTACCAGATCGCCAGTCTCTCGGGGGTAGTGGCCCGGCAGACGCTCGAGGCGGTAGTTGAGGTCGCCCATGAGGAAGAGATGGGAGGTGTGGTGCGGCTGGAAGGGCTGCAAGCGATAGAGCGGATCCCCGCCACGGAAGACGAGGGAGGAAAGGATCGTGTTGTATTGCTCATTGCGGGCCTTAATGTTGTGGTCGTGGGCCTCGAGGTGAGCTGAGATGAAGCTGGCGTGAGCGCTGCAACGGAAAGCGAGCCCTCCGAGCCAAAGCGGCAGCCCATTGGTCAGCTTTATGAGAGACATACGTGAGGACCTCCCAGCCGCCATCCTTCCCTCGCTTGATGGGCATGCGCACGCCGACCGCCGCCTTGTTGCCCATGCCGAGTCGCCATAGCCCCACGCTGGTGCGGAGGACCTTGCCAATTCTCCCAGCGGTTGTGCTCTCGCGCGCAAAGACCCATAGCGCAGTACCCACCCGGCATTCGCGCGATACGAGGGTGTATCTCTCCTTCACCTTGCCGGGGGATGTGGAGGTAGCATGGGCAGAGAGGAGAGCCTCGATGCGCTCCGTCAGTGCGATGAGCACGGGGCGGGACAGACCGGCCACTACTATCAGCTATGCCGGAGAGTTAACGCACTAGCGAGGTGCAGCGGAAGGAGCTCCTGCACTGCGATGGCGTAGATGTCGGGGGTGGCGGCTTCGGCAGCGGCCTTGTGCAGCTGAGGAATGAGCCACGAGCTCAAGTCCTGCTCCTGCGCGCGGCTGCCCTGGAGACCAGTGTTGTAGGTGGTGAGAAAGACAGTGAGGGGGGAGCCCATTGTGAGCAGTGAGAGGAGGAAAAGAGAATGGGCAATGCAGAGAGAGAGATGGGGAGAGGGTAGTGATCCGAAGCGGCCGAAGATTAACGCGGGTGGACGATCGCGATCGCGGAAGCTGGCCTGCCCTGGCGGAATCCGCTGACACAACAGGGGCAGGTGGACCCCGGATGACGCCCCGGGAGAGCCTTTCCTGTTGCCCGCCGCAAAAGATTCGACAACAGCAGGGTTCGAACCTGCGCCTCCGAAGAGAACAGATGTTGATTGTAATAAATTCAAGTCTGCCGCGTTAGACCACTCCGCCATGTTGTCCACGAATGGTACTTGAAACTGCTCGTTCTCAGGGCGCGCACGCACGTCCTCGTAACTGTTAGGATGCAGAGATGGTTATGAGTGTCGGCGACACGTCCGTGGGGGTTCTGGTGGTGGAGGTGTGTGGTGGAGGACTCGGTGGAGGGCATGTAGTAAATAAAATGCTACTTGAACTGCCGTTTCCAATATTGTCCATAAAATGCTACTTGGAACGACTGTTCTCAGGCCGCGCACACGCGTCGTCGTAGCGTGTAATTATGCTGTGCCACGCACGGCCTGCGAAACCGGATGTGTCAGACGAGGTTTAAGAGTGGGTGGCGGGATTGCTACAATCTGATGGCGTGGATGGTGGTAGTGGATAGTTTTAGCTAGTTCGGGACTTGTGTTCTCCGAGCCGCGAGCCGCCGTCCCCACGTTGTAGCGCACTCATGCAAAAGAATGGACAGTAACAACGGACCCGAGGTTGCAGTGGGGTGTTTGATGATGGACGGTGAGCCGAGGCGAGGCGGCCGAAGACCTAAGGTCGGCAGTGTGCTGTTAGTTGTACTGGAACTGTGGTGCAGAGCGCGCGGAGGTCGGGGAGACCGTTGCGTTTAATACCGGTGATCCTCTGCGTGGTCGTGGACGAGGATCATTGTCAGAAGTTTATGGTTGTGCAGGTCCCGACGCATGTTGGGAGGCGATACTTGCCCTGTGAATCTGCAAAACAGCACCTTCAAGACTAGGACTACGAAACCGGCTCTGGCCTCGTCCACGGAGTGCAGGCCAAGGCGGTCGGAGAAGAGGTTGCGCTGTGTGGAAGTACCCGTCAGGATGTAGGCGTCAAACAGTCAAGTGCATTAGGGGTATAGGGGCAAGCTGGCAACTTGAACTCGTGCTGAATGGCAGGGGGGGCGTCAGAAGATGCGCCCAACCGCCAATTTACAGCCAACCGCCTTCGACCAACGTCGATAGGCTGCCCAGGTTCCCACGACTAAACCACTCCGCACTGTGTTCAGTGTGCAGAGTACGACAATCATGTATGGTTCTCAATTGACTGACTGCTGGGCACCATCTGCCGCGCTGCCAATCTAATGCGAAGTGATGGCAGACACGAGCTCAAGTGGACACTGCAAGGCGTTAGGATCTCAGACCGTCACAGTGGATTGGGTACAAAGAATTGAGATACTTACATTGTGAGATGATTAGGAAGTGGAGATGCCAATCCACGTGAGCGGGACCAAAGCAGTCCGAGTGCCACGGGGTCGCGTGGAGGTGCATGCCCCGCCCAGGCCGCCTTCCACCTTCGCTGTGCGCGTCGACAGATCCACATCTCCTTTCCTTCTCATCGCCCACATCATCGCCCAGCATGAGCGGGCATTACAACCTCAAGTGTGAGCTCGGCTTACCGACCTCTTGATCCCAGCGCACCCAATGCACGACTGACGCCAGCGCTCATCAAGGCGATCCGCTCGTGCAAGGTATACCTGTCCATGAACAACCGCTGACGACAGACACTGGCGGATGAGCGGTCGGTGATTCAGAAGGAGTCGGCCGCGATTCGAGTGAGTCTGCATCGAGCTGCGGTGTCGGTGCTATGAGCTTCGGGGCCTGCAAGCGAAGCATTGCCACGCCCCAGGCCCGTCATCGGTGCAGCGCTCTTCCTACCTCAATGCCGCGCTAATGATAGACATCTTTCAAGGAAGAGGACTCCTTTATGCGACACAACAACATCGCCAAGCTCCTGTATATTCACATGCTTGGGTATCCAGCGCATTTCGGACAGATTGAATGCTTGAAGCTCGTTGCCTCGCCTCGATTCTCCGACAAGCGCCTTGGATACCTCGGCATTATGCTGTTGCTGGACGAGAACCAGGAGGTTCTGACGCTAGTGACCAACTCGCTCAAGAAGTGAGTGCTAATCTTTCGCGGGATAACGCATCATCTCGTGTCGCCGGCGTTGTGAACCCTGGAATGGCGCTCACGCCAGTGATATGAACCACTCGAATATGTACGCCGTTGGACTCGCGCTCTGCACATTCGCCAACATCTCATCCGAGGAGATGTCGCGCGATCTCTGCAATGAGATCGAGAAGCTGCTGGGCAGCACAAACACGTATATCCGCAAGAAGGCAGCCCTGTGCGCGCTCCGCATCATCCGTCGTGTGCCGGATCTCATGGACCACTTTACCGAGCGCGCAAAGCACTTGCTCCAGGATCGCAATCACGGCGTGCTTCTTGCTGGCATCACCCTCGTGACTGAAATGTGCGACCTTGACGACGAGGTTGCCGCTCAGTTCCGGGCCGCGACGCCCCTGCTTGTTAAGCACCTTAAGTCACTTGTTACCACAGGCTTCAGCCCAGACCACGACGTTGGCGGTATCAGTGATCCCTTCCTGCAGGTCAAGGTGCTGCGTCTGTTGCGTATTCTTGGGCGGGGCGACGTCGAAGCTTCCGACATTATGAACGACATCCTCGCGCAGGTGAGCTTCCACCTGGCTGTGGCGCAAGCTGACACCAGGTCGCCACGAATACGGACGCATCAAAGAATGTCGGCAACTCGATCTTGTACGAGACAGTTCTTACTGTTCTGGAGATCGAAGCGGACAGTGGCTTGCGCGTCATGGCAATCAACATTCTCGGCAAGTTCCTTACCAACAGAGACAACAACATTCGTTACGTCGCGCTCAACACGCTCAATAAGGTGGTAGGCATCGACACCAACGCTGTGCAGCGCCACAGGAATACCATCCTTGACTGTCTGCGCGACGGCGATATCTCCATTCGCCGCCGTGCGCTTGAGCTTTCATATGCGCTCATTAACGAGGGGAACGTGCGTGTCATGACCCGCGAACTGCTTGCCTTCCTCGAGGTGGCAGATAACGAGTTCAAGTCGAGCCTCACGACGCAGATCTGGCTTGCGGCGGAACGATACGCGCCCAACAAGCGCTGGCACATTGATACTACGTTGCGTGTGCTCAAGACCGCGGGTAACTACGTGCGCGATGAGATCCTGGCCGCGTTCATTCGCCTCGTCGCACACACGCCCGAGCTTCAGTTCTACACCGCTCAGCGCCTGTTTTCTGCTCTCTCGTCTGATCTCTCGCAGGAGTCGCTTACCATGGCGGCCATCTGGATTATTGGCGAGTTCGGGGATGTTCTTCTTCAGGGCGGCACTGTCGACGACGGCGAAGAGGTAAAGCAGGTCACGGACGAGGCAGTCGTCGATCTCTTCGAAACGGTCCTTAATTCGCCCTATGCCAACACACTCGTACGGCAATGGGTCCTGACCGCGTTGGCCAAGCTCACTGAGCGCTTCAGCGAGGTGGGTCTCAACAGCCAGCAAGAGCGTGTCAGCGCCCTCGTAGCCGGCTACAGCAGCAATCTTGAACTGGAAATCCAGCAACGCAGTGTTGAGTTCGGTAACCTCCTTATCACGGGCGATCTCAAGCAGGGCATCCTCGAGCGTATGCCGCCTCCCGAGATTAGGGCGACAATCATGGGTACCGTTAGCGAGCGACGTACAGTTGGCACCACCCGAGCAGACAAGGACACGGTTGTGGACCTCATTGGCGATGACCTGGGCTCCGGTAATGCCACGCCGCCGACTGCGAACCCGAGCCAGTCGCTGCAGTCTACGCAGGACCTTCTGGCTGATATCTTTGGATCCTCGGACATGGGCTCGGAGCCGGCAGCCCCTGCTGCGCCAGCACCATCCCAGCCACAGAGTCGGAACCAGAACATCATGTCCCTCTTTGGCGCATCCCCGCCCAACTCACCTCCCTCCAGATCGCCGCCTCCTACTCAGTCCACGGGAGGTTCGCTATTCGACCTCGTCTCGCCTTCCCCATCCGTTTCCGCAAGCTCACCACCTGCACGCTCGCCGCCACCGCAGGCGACCTCTCCTCCGCGTTCGCAGGCATCCCAACTGCAGTCATACCCAGCCTACGACAAGAATGGGCTCAAGATCACGCTGACGCCTAAGACGGGCGCACAGCCAGGTGTCGTGCAGATCCTTGCACGCTTTACGGCCACCAACCGCGTGGAAGGCGTAAATCTTCAGGTCGCGGTGCCCAAGACGCAACAGCTGCAGATGCAGGCCATCTCCAAGCCCGACATCGCGGCCGGTGGCACTGAAACTCAGCAGCTCCGTATCCTCGCCCCGCCAGGCGCACAAATCCGTCTTCGTCTTCGTATCCAATTCAAGGTCGATGGCAGGCCCGTGCAGGACCAGCAAGATTTCGCTGGCTTCCCGGCTGACCTCACGGCAGCCAAGTAATAGGACGTGTCACTAGATAGAGTATGCCACATTTTTACTCGCTATGCGTTGGAGGTTGGAGGTCAGGTATGCAGCATGAGGTGGGGCCAGATAAGCCTCCACCCCGGCGCCGGTCCGGCCCTGACGCCCACACGGTCGATGCGTCCATAACCGCCAACTCGAATCTAGTCGTGCTCTCTCCATCACACTCATTCACCATGGTCGTCGCTCCAGTGCTCGACAAGTCCGACCCCAAGATCGACAAGTGAGTGCGACGGCGCGGTGCAGTAGCCCGAGCGGTACCTGTCACGCGCTCCAGATCTGAGAGGATGTCAAGCGCGTCCTCTCCACCACCTTCCCTCTGGCCCTCCCGCCCGTCTCGATCGTGCCGCAAACATCCCCGCCGCGCCGCCCTTGACGTTGCACGCCGCTGACACCAGGATCTACCCCTACCACCTCCCATTCTCTGATGACTGGAGCGAGAAGAAGGAGCTCTTCGGCAGCACCACCATGATGATGGCTGGTGGTGGCATGTTCATGCGTAACCCCATGTGAGTTACAGGTGCGGCGTCTCGGCGCCATGCGAGGCGCCGGGAGGTGCATTGTGGGATTAGAGGGATGGAGATCGGAGACAAAGGCCGGCGAGATCAGAGATTACGGCGGTAACGGATGTCAGTCAATGGAACCCGACGCTCGCTCCGCTCGCCTTTCGTCCCTCTTCGGCTCCTCACCCCAGCCCTTCTGATTTACCGACTGTCGTCCGTCGCTCGCACTAACCCTAGGATTATCTGGACCGCTGCAGTGCTCGGCGTGCAGAGCTACGTGACGCAGGAGCCCCTTCGTGCGCCAAAGGACGCCAACTCGCCTTTGGCGACCCTTGGGTTAGTCCACACATCCGCAGCTGCTGCGAGGCTGTCAGCCCAAGCTCACACCAGCATGGCTCTCTCGGGTGTTATCGCAACGACGATGCCGAAGATTATGCTTGCACCCGAGGCGCAGGCGCCGAAGGTGTAGGCTGGGGACGAGAGGGGATATGCAGCGCCTTGGGACTTGGAGAGGTCGACACGCTGACGCTGTGCTGCGCTAAGGAGAGGAGAGGAGATCGAACCAGAGAGGGAACTGACCGGATGGTCGGGTGACTAATGCGGACCTGCAGTCAATCTGCTCGACATGAACACTCATGGGAGCCACTACGGACCCGAGGAGGCTAGTGGGCTAAAGCAAGAATAGCAACATGTTTGGTCGCACAGCGCAACAAGCGATCAAAGCTCGACCTACTGGATGTAACGGCTGGCGGCTGGCGGATGGCGGCTGACAGCTTCGCACCACGCACTGACCGCCGATCATTCAAACACGTCCGACGCCTTTGCTTCGCCTTCGTCGTCACCCTCTTCTCTTCTTCACTCATCCTCCCTCGCTCAATTCACTCAAAATGGACGACAAGTTCAAGGAGCAGCCAGGCCCTCACACGGGCGACTACAAGTTCTACACCACCACCGTGCCAGTCACTGTGCCGCTCCCGAACCCCACGACGCCGCTGGCGCCGGCGCCCAAGCCGGTCCTCCGCACGAAGTGGTACGGGCTGGAGAAGCCACACGCACTCCTCTGGCTTTCGCTCGCTCTCAGCACACTCGCCATCATCCTTGGCGTGCCCAAGGGCTCTTTACCCACCGTGACCGGCCGTCATCGGGAGCTGCGGGTGAGTCGTGGTGAATGCGTCGTCGCGTTACGTGGATGACTTTGCATTGGTAGGCTTCCCTCGATTTCTCCGGGTGCCCACCCAAGCAAGCCACCGCCTTTGCGCCTCTCATCATTACGCCTCCTTCTGCTTGTCGATCTCACTGAGACCTCATCCTAGTCCCATGTCCCGTATCAACAGTGCCATATCCTCACGCCACTCTGCCCATCCTCCTCCAACTAATCCCAGGCTCAGGAGCTTCTCGTCCAAGAGCGCCTCACCCTAATCAACCAGCTATCTGGCCTTCTCCCGCCGCCCCTCGCGGCCCTCTTCGCGGTGCCCGACACCTCCCCCACTGCGCTCGACACGCTCCGCCTCTCGCGCGGCCTCCAGCTCTGGCACTCGCGCGGCCACACCTGGTGGAACGTAGAGGACCTCGGCGCGGGCGCGCAAGTCGTGCGGACCGCGCAGTCCTCCCCGTCCTCGGCCTCGCCTCTCCCCGACCGCGAAGTCTGGGTGCTGCGCTCCGGCGACGGCGACGCCCCCCTCCTCGCAGCCCTCACCAACAGCCTGCTGGCGCGCGAGCGCCTCTTCGCTGAGCTCGAGGCGGTGCGTGCCCAGCCCTGTCCCGCCGCGACGCTGTCCGTTGGGGCGGGGGAGAAGCGGAAGGACAAGGACGAGGACGAGTGGCGCGCCGAGCGGCAGCGCCTGCGCCAGCGCAGCGACGAGCTCGAGGAGCGCGAGCAGGACGTTATCCAGCGCGAGATGTGGGTCGTGGATGCTATGCGGTGAGTGGCTGACGGGATGGGCCTGACAACAGCAAACTCAGCGACAAGTCGCAGTGAGAGATGGCCATGGCACACACTGATGTCAGCAATACCGCGTCCCAACTCGAGCTCGAGGACCGTGTTGTCGAGCGCCTCAAGGCCTACCAGCGCCAGATCAAGACTGAGCTCTGAGCTCTGAGCTCTTGAGTTCTTCGGGCCAGGATGTGACGCTTCGGCGGGAACCCACCCAGCGGCTTCCAAACACGACGCACGGACCGGCACGCTTCCCCGGCACAGTCACCTTCGCCCCGTCTGCAATCCGCAGTTCATTATTCAGAGTAGAAAATTCACCGTGCACTCATCTTCATGAAATTGCTTGTCTTGTCCTGCTGAGCTCGGGGTTGCTCCGCTGCTTCCGCCGGTCCCCGCACACTGTACACTGCTCGTGCCTTCTGTCCTGTAGACACGCTCCCCGCCCTCCCTGGTGGCCACAGGCGCGCCCCTGATGTATGCGGCCTCGCTTACGCGCGACCATGGCAACCAACCCATTTTGCCCATCTGCGACCTTGATCTGGTCTGCGACGCGCACTGTGGCGCGTAAGGCTCATCATAATGCTTTACAAATGCAATCTATCTGAACAAACGTGTGTGATATGGTCAATGCAGGCGTGAGAAAATGTCGTGCTATGTCCAGATGGCCTGGAGGAATATCTACAGCCAAGCGAGTGCAGATCCGTGTCGGCCTCCCTTGCTTGTCTAGATGGTCGAGCCGATCGTACTCGTACTATTGCGATTCGAGCTCGTCGTGCTCCCGCTGCTCTGGCGGCCGACGAGTATACGTCCGCTTGCCGGGGGGTGGGAGTTAGTGCGAACGGCCGCATAGTCGCCACTCGACGTGTTGCCCTTCTTGCTAAGGCGACCGCTTGGTGGCTTAAGCGTAGCTACCGAGTCGCTACGAACTACTCCAGTGGGCGAATCGGACGACAGCGAGTCTGAGTCAACGTACGCGTCGGGCTCAAGCGCGTTTGGAAGTCCCTGCGTATTAGCACTGACTGCTGTGTAAGAGCGCACCGCAATTGCGCCCGCGTCCGGAACCTTGTCGATGGGCGAGTCCCACCGATGCTCATACCCAGATTTGACGCGGCAGTTTGACGACTCCTCTCGAATCTCTGCACGCAGATCCTCTGCGCTCCACCAATTGAACGAGTTGAACACGACAGTGCGACGCCACATCGTGCTGCCAGGCAGCTTGCGGTCGAAGGGACCGAGGAAGGCGTGCGCGTGAAGGTGGGGATAGGGCAAAGCGGGATCTGCTGGCATGCCATTGACGAAGCCGATACGAATATCCTTGGCGGTGAAGCCGCGCTCTGCATCCGCAGACGAGTAAGCAGCGCGCTCGAGCAGGAGACTCTGCACTGTCACAATGATTTTTGAGAGAAGGGGAATGTCTGCCGGTCCCTGTCTCAATCAGCACAGCTTACGCTCGGGTACGTACAAGATCGTAGACGCTCAAGAGGTGGCGGTTGAGTACAATGATCAGATGACGCCCGTCAGCGCATAGGGCCTCCTTCCCTTCGGCGGGGTAGACGGTGATGTCGTCGTCACGGTAAATGATGCGGTGATTCCCAATGATGATCTCGGGTGGTGGTTGGCGTGGAACGAGGCGGGGGGAGGTCGAGGGATGAGGAGAGGGGGAGGCGGGACGGGCACCAAATGGCTGTGAGGAAGGTCCAGCTCTCTGTAGGTCTGGGGTGGCGGAGCGCACTGGAATGGGAAGGGCGATCGGGGCGAGCGGCGCGAAGCCATCGCGTGGGGAGGAAGGAGCTGAAGGAGCGAAGGAGCCCCCTCCGGCCATGGCTTGGGAAGCGGCGCATGACACGAGGCCGCAGAGGACGCACCCAGGATGAACAGCGGGAGGAGCTTGGTATGGTGCGGTTATGGAGGTCGAGCTCTGGCGAGATGGAGAGTAGAGCAAGGGAGCATTGGGGGTGGTGGAGGATGGTCTCGCGGGGGGAGTAGGGGAGAGGCGTCCGTTGTGAGAATGGTATGAGGGGGAGCGCGCCGCGCTGATGGCGGACATCTGTGCCGAGGTGGAGAGAACGAGAGAGGAAGAGAGAGAAAGAGAGAGAAAGAGAGAGGGAAGGAGGGAGGGGTGAGGAGGGAGGAGAGATGAAAGAAGAGATGGGAGATATGTGAGAGATGAGGACGATGAAATTGGTGGAACGAGGTGGACTTGAGCGAGTGAGGCGCGCGGATTGCAGGCTGCAGGCTGCAGGCTGCTAGCTGCTGGGCTGACGCTGTCGGAGGATCGAAGGATGAGCTGTGCAGATTAGCCCTCTGATTACCTTCTTGGCCTCTTGGGATTTGGGATTAGGGATTAGACACTCTGCGTGGACCGATGCAGGCACCCAGAGATCCAGAGAGGGGCGTGATGGGCGTGTGTGAGGTGGAGCCTGGGCGAGATGGATGCTATCCAGTACGTAGTGTGGGATGAAAATAGACGGCGAATACGCAGCCACCCTTGGCGTCTGGGGGAGATTGGCAGGGATGCAAGGGGACGCGAGGATCCGTGGATCGGTGGCGTCACGGCAAAGGACGATATTAATAATGTTGGACAGCTGGACAGGCAAAGAGCTATCAGGACGAGATGGATGAAGGTGATGACGGTGATAGACGATGAGACGTTACAGATAGAGTACGCGTTCATGCGATCATGGCAACGGACAGGATGGATTAGGCCGGCATGTATTGCATGCTGTACACAATATTCGCTGGACTCTTCTCCTGTTGTGCACCCCCTTTTGACGTTGATGGCCAGGCCCTCGGGCAGAGCGGCAGGGGAACTTGGACTTGGGTGAGTGCATGATGAGGAGGCGAAGGGGGTTCCTTGACCCCTCGTCCCCCTCTTCCCTCGCCCCTCGCCCGCGCCCCGTCGTTTGAATCCTCCCCTCTCCTTGGTGATCTCTGCAGCTTTGTACCTTTGGCTTTGGGACGCGATCGATTCAATTAGAGTCTGCTTCTGCTCTTCCACCATAATCCTACTCCTACTGCCGCGCTCCGGTGCCGCCAACCGTGCCTTCGCGGCCCTTGGGCCTTGCATAACACCACGTCATTGGCCTTGTAAGAACGGAACCAAATATACTACACGTGGAGGCGCTTGCCATGTGCGTTGCGCATGGTCCAACTCATTATATGTTCCGCCGTCTTAAGGCTCGGTTGGTGTTCGATTCGAACCAGGGAATGAGCACGGCGCGCAAAGGAGGCGACGCGCGGAGGGAGATGAGACGCGGATCCAGGCGGAGAGGAACGTGGACCATGCGGCGCCATCTCTCTCAAGTAACCGGTGTATGGCACTCCTGTACACTGGCTTGTCTGAGTGCACCGATGGGAAGCGGGAGAGGTGGGGGAGCAAGGCGGGGGCAAGGCGGCCGGCGGCATTGGGCAATGCAATGCGGGGCGGAGATGGACAAGGTCCGGCTAACTGATTTGGCCGGGGAGCTTGCCGTCCGGTGTTGGGCGAGACGATATTCACCGTACACGGCGCAGGTGCCTGGATGCCTTGTGACCTCGAGCCGAGGGCATTTAACCGGATCTTGTCCTTCTCCGGGCCCCCCTCACCCTTCACCCCCCACAGCTCTTACACAGCGGCGTCTCGCTCGCTCACTGTGCCAATGTTCTCCTCCGACCTGCTTGTAGACGCACCCACACTCGCCCAACTACCTATGCATGCATACCACCCAAGGATCCAGCCTCTGGGGTCTGAGCCCAAAGCAGAGAACCTCACTTGCCAAGGAGAAGGCTCGAGGCGAAGAGCGAGCGAGCGAACGACGCTAGGGTTCGCTAGGTCAGGTGGGATTGCCCAAGAACGAGATGCGGAGCGCCAGAGTGCCACGCCCACCATCCGCGCATCTGTCGGCCGTTATAAAAGTGCCCAGCCATTCCCCCCATCATCTCTCCTTCTCTCTCCATTACCCCCCCCCCCCCTCTCTCTCACCTCTCTCCTCCTCCCCACCTAAAGAAATCTCACCATGCCTCCCGCTCCGGCTACTCGCGCTTCTATCGTTCGCCTCATGAACGCGACCGCCTCGGCGGGCTGCCGTGGCTGCGGTCGCTCGCACTCGGCGGCGCACTCGTGCGGCCCCTCGCACTCGCACTCGCGCGGCATGGCTACTCCCGTCGACCTCCCCGGTCCCGGCAACAGCAACGGCGACTACGCCTTCGAGGTGAGTTCATTCTGCTCGTTCTCGCCACCCCCCATACTCTCGTCGCCATCAAGTCTCGTGCCTGCTCCACCGAAATGCGTGGCCCCAGCGCACCCACCTGTATCTCGCCTATTTAGCCGACCCCCCCGTCTTGCGCTTGCTTGCTCCGTCCACCTAACCCCCGCACCATTGAGCAGACATGCTGACCCCCGCTAGATGGCCGCCTCGACCCTCCGCTTCGGCACGGGCTCGACTCGTGAGGTCGGCATGGACATGACCAACCTCATCAACAAGATGCCTGCCAGCGAGCGCGGCAACGCCAAGATCGCCGTGTTCACTGACCCCAACATCGCCAAGCTCCCCGTCATGAAGACGGTCGAGCAGGCGCTGCAGAAGGAGGGCCACAAGTTTGTCGTCTTTGACAAGGTCGCCGTCGAGCCCACTGAGGCTTCGTGGCTCGAGGCTATCGAGTGGTCCCGCGGCCAGAACCCCACCCACTTCCTTGCCGTTGGTGGTGGCTCGACCATGGACACGGCCAAGGCTGCCAACCTCATGACCTGCTACCCCGACAAGGACATGTACGAGTTCATCAACGCCCCTGTCGGCAAGGGCACGCCCATCGCCAAGACCCTCCACCCCATGGTCGCCGTCCCCACCACCGCCGGTACCGGTTCCGAGACGACCGGCACTGCCATTCTCGACATTCCTTCCAAGAAGTTCAAGACTGGTATCGCTTCGCGTGCTCTCAAGCCCACTCTCGGCATTGTCGACACCCTCAACACCGCCACCTGCCCCCGTGAGGTTGCCGTCGCCGCCGGTCTTGACGTGCTCTTCCACTCGCTCGAGTCTTACACCGCCATTCCTTACTGGGAGCGCACACCGCGCCCGACCAACCCCATTGCGCGCCCCGCCTACCAGGGCTCCAACCCTGTGTCGGACATCTTCTCCAAGTGGGCTCTTGAGCAGACTGTCAAGTACCTCCCCCGCATCTTCAAGGACCCCTCGGGCGACGAGGAGGCTCGCACTCAGATGCTTCTTGCGTCGTCGACTGCCGGTATCGGCTTCGGCAACGCCGGTGTCCACCTCTGCGTAAGTGATACAATGTGCCGGACTTGGCCGAAACCCGAATTCCGCTAATCCCATTAAGCACGCTGGCTCTTACCCCATCTCGTCGCTCAACAAGGCGCGTCCCAAGAAGGACCAGTACTTCCACCCTTCGTACGCGCCGGACGTGCCCCTCATCCCCCACGGTGTCGCTGTCTCTCTGACCGCCCCCGCCGTCTTCAACTTCACCTCGCCCACTTCGCCCGACCGCCACCGCACTGCCCTCGAGATCTTCATGGGCAAGGAGCGCGCCGCCGAGGCCGCCGCCGTCAAGGACGCTGACCTTGGCGCCGCCCTCCGTGAGGAGATCTTCAAGTTCCTTGACAGCGTCGCTGTTCCCCGTGGTCTCTCCAAGGTCGGCTACGGCACCCAGGACATTGAGACCCTCGCCAAGGGCATGCTCCCCCAGCGCCGTGTTCTCGACCTCGCCCCAGGCCTCGCGGGCAAGGAGAACCAGGCTGAGGAGCTCGAGCAGCTCTCGACCATCCTTGAGGGCTCGATGTCGTGGTAAGCAGTCCCTGATAGGCGAGCTTCGCTTTGGGTTCGGCAGTCTACTCTAAAACATCAAAATCATTATCAAGGGCCCAATCGTGTGTCGAGGTGTACGACGCGTTGGGAGCAGCATTGTAGCATGCGAATGTGATTAGGTATGCACTCGTGCATGAGCCTTTGTGGTGCGGAATGGATAATGTGTCTGAGCGCTAGACTTCGGCATGGGTGAGTTGCCGACACAATGCGGCAGCCGAGATCAGATAATTACACCGATCCGTCAGGCGCGCCGGCGGCATGCAGATGCTGGTGCGCTGCGTAGGGTCGTTAGGCGCTGCGCATGCTCAGAGCGCTGTTCCTGGCCTGCGTCGACGGATATTATATCGCCCATTCAAGATATCAGGCGAGGTAGTCCGGAGCTTCCATGCGGCGTCCGGATCTAGCAGGAGCGGGTGGGTCGGTCGGGCAAGTCAGGCGTCATGGAGGCATCGTGGGAGAGTCATGACGGTGGTGCCGAGGCCACGTGACCTCCACGAGACTTCGACACGTCGGTGGACTGTCCTGGAATGACACTCACCTCGAACTGGTTAGGCGCTCAACAATCTCACTCATCACCTCACCCCACACTCCTTCAACCATGCGCGGACTCCGCCGAGCACTTGCGCTCGCGCTTTTGGTCCCCTCTGCCCTCGCAAAGCTCGACATCAGCGGCGCGCGCGCCGTTGTCACGGGAAATAACGGCGCCGAGAAGGCGTATGCGTGAGTTGGGCGTGATGCCGGTTCCGGCGCGGCGGGATGTTTGGTCTTCGGCGAGCTGCTGCAGTTACGGGAAGCAGGCTAGATACCTTGCGGCCTGATGACATATGCTATACCCTCCTAGCCGTTCTCCCCGCTGTCCCCGAACACCGCTCACGCCAGCATCGAAAATGGCAAGTGGTCCGAGCCGGTGGCCCTCTCTCCCGCCGCAACCCTCAAGCTTACCTTCACCGTGACGGACGGCGGCTCCGGCGTGGCCCCGCAGCAGGCCTTCATCGTGTTCCGGGATACGCAGGATGATGAGGCGGCTCCAGTAACCCTCCAGCTGGGCGCCAAGCCGACGGGCAAGACGACATACTACATGGTGCGTGAAGCGGAGGAAGGTCATGACTGACGGCAGGACACGTCCAAGATCCCGTCGCAGCTCGCGCACACCTCTGGCGCGCTCGAGGCGTCGCTTGTCCTCTCGCACAACGGCGAGGGATACAAGACGACGCTCGGCGCGCTCTCGCTCCCCGAGTCGTCGCTGTTGGAGAAGCCCGCGGCGCCGACGATCGGGAACGGCATCGCGTTCGCCCCCCAGCCCGAAATCACGCACACGTTCCGCCCCGACGAGAAGGAGATCCCCGTGATCAAGGCCAGTCTCGGCGCGTTCGCCGTCATGGCCCCGTGGATGACGCTGCTCGCCCTCGTCGGCGCGGTCTGGCCCAGCTTCACTGTCAAGACGCCCCCGACGATGATGTACGCGTGGTTTGCGTGTCTCGTCGCACTCGAGGCGCTCATCCTCCGCTATTGGATCGGATTGCGGCTGTATCAGGTGAGCAGCACGCGAGCGGCGGCCCAGATCACGCTGACATCAGCTCCTGCCCCCGTTCATCGTGCTGGGCGCCATCACGGCGTATGTCGGCACCGTGGCGCTGCGCGCTGCGCGCGTTGAGCGCCTCAAGGCTGGCGGCACGCCCTAGCCAGATAAAAGGCATGCATCTCTAGACAGCACTGGATCAGGGACGCTGGGTGCGACTGATGGTAGACGCGCGAGTGTGTGCTGGAGCGCCGCTCGATTGCTGTCTCCCGGTCCTTTCTAGCCCTCGCAGCTTCTCACATTTCACAGACTTCTCACATATCAAAAGCACTTACCAGCGTCTGGCAGATATCAGGAAGAGCTATCGAAGGAGATTGTTGATTCCTGTCTAAGGTTCAGCGCCTCTAGCTCGACTGCAGGCCCCGAGTAACCTGCTCTCTGATTATAGGTGCTGAGAGCCATACGCTCTTTGTCTCGGCGAACAACACACAGCAGGTAGGTGCCCAGTACGTGGCCAATAGATATTGTCATTGGGCGTCCCGGCGGGGACTGGTTCGGCCAGCAGGAAACGCTACCCTTGGCTTATGTGTTTGCCACTTTCACAAGATCACTCCCCTCGTACGAGACGATGGCTTGTGCGTGAAGATGAGTCCTGCAATGAGCCCGATCTAGGGAGCTCTCAGACAGCACCTCGTTGACGAGTCCCACGTCTCCGCCAAGCCTCGCCGATGAACCATGATGGAGACGAGGCGCGGCAGCTTCTCCGTGTAACTCCATCTCAAAGCTCCACCCAGGTGATTGTTTTCTCAACGAATTCCGTAAACTGGCCTCCTCACTACGTCTCCGCATGCTTGCAACGATCTTGCCACCATGGCCCATGCATAAGTGCAGTCCAACTGGGGCCACATCGGTAGGTCAAGTGGTCCCACGGGGCCCCGTGGAGGTGGCTACTTGGCGACCCTCCTCGCACGCCATCGTCAGGTGAGTCGCGGTCATGTCCGATCCTCCGAGCAGGCTGATCCTCCGTCTAGATAGCGCACGCCATGGCTCGGCAAAGTCAAAGTCAAAAGAAGTCGGGATACTCAATCTCTTCTCCTTTTTCACCACCCGATCCACGACACCCATGTCCTCGCCAGTGATCTACACGTCCGAGCATGCCGTGCCGGCGCTCCCGCGCCTCGGGCTGTTCCAGTACCTCTTCCCCGCCGAGCCCGTCTTCGACAGCTCGCTCCCGGCATTCATCGACGGCATCGACGGGCGCGAGATTTCGCGCGCCGAGCTCGAAGACGAGGCGCTGCGTCTCGCCTCGGGCCTGCGCGCGCTGGGCATGCAGCGCGGCGACACGGCGTGCATCTGGGGCCTGAACTCGCTCGAGTGGGTGCGCGCGGCATACGGCTGCCTCGCGGCCGGCATCGCGGTCACGCCCGCCAACTTTGCGTACGAGCCCACCGAGCTCGCGCACCAGCTGAACAATTCGGGCGCAAAGTTCATTTTTGTCGCGCCCGACCTCGTGGACAAGTTCAACCGCACACGGCCGCTGCTGGAGCGCGCGTTCCCCGACACGCACGTTGTGCTCCTCTCCACGCTGGAGAACAAGCCGTTCCCCACGCGCTACCGGGCCGTGGCGGAGCTTTTCGGGGCGCGCGGCAAGGCCGAGAAGTTCGCCGGCGCGCAGACGGACGCCACGACGTGGATGTGTTACTCGTCCGGCACGACGGGCTTGCCCAAGGGCGTCGAGACGACGCACTGGAATCTCACGAGCCAGCTGCAGGCGTGCGCGGTCGCGTGCGAGCCCCTCGGGCCCGGCGACAAGATGATCGCATACCTCCCCCTGAGCCATATCTACGGCACGACGAACGCGCTCTTCCAGCCGCTGTCGGTTGGCGCGGCGGCCGTCATCCTCCCGCGCTTCGAGGAGACGAACGCGCTGCGCGCGATCGAGAAGTATCGCGTCAAGCACGGGCTCATCGTCCCCCCCATCGTGATTACGCTGTACAACTCGCCAAATCTCGACAAATACGACCTCTCGTGCTTGCGCAGTGTGTGCTCGGCCGCGGCGCCGCTGGGCCCCGACCTCATCGCGGCGTTTGAGAAGCGCCTCCCCTCCGTACGCGTGACGCAATGCTACGGGCTCTCCGAGACGTCGCCGCTAATCACGGCGCTGACGCGCGCCGAAGTCGACGCCGCGCCGCCGGGCTCGATCGGCCGCCTCCTCCCGACGTTTGAAGCACGCATCGTCGACGCGGACGGGCACGACGTGCCCCCCGGCGAGCGCGGCGAGCTTTGGGTCCGCTCGCCGTCCGTCATGAAGGGCTACCACCGCAACGCCGCCGCGACGGCGGCGACCATGGCCGGCGACTACTTCAAGACGGGCGACGTCGTCGTGCGCTCCCCCGACGGATACTTCCGCGTCGTGGACCGCGTCAAAGAGCTCATCAAGTATAAGGGCTTCCAAGTGCCGCCGGCCGAACTCGAGGCGCTGCTGCTTACGCACCCGCGCATCGCGGACGCCGCGGTCGTCGGCGTGTACGACGCGTCGCAGGCGACCGAGCTGCCTACCGCGTACGTGACTGTGCGCGAGGCGGTCGACGCCGCCGCGTTCGACCAGGAGATCCAGGAGTGGGTGGCCGCGCGCGTCGCGCGCCACAAGCGTCTTGGAGGAGGCGTGTTTGTCATCGACCAGATTCCTAAGAGCGCAGCAGGCAAGCTTCTCCGCAGGCAGCTGCGCGATCGCGCCCAGGCCGATCGCGACGCGCGCAAGGGTACAGGGCTCAAGGCGAAGCTTTAGGGGATGGCGTGTGTATGGTGCGCTCGCGTGTTGCACACGCCAGCGCATCACAAGGGCGGCTCGGTTCTGGAGCTGTGTGTGTGGGGAATTACAAGATGTGGAGCATGGTTCGGTCAGTACAATGTTGTTTGGGTGCATCAAGGGTATGCTTGAGTCGCGGGGGGTCGGAGGGCTAGCGCACTTGGCCTTGTGCGACGTTGACAAAGTCAAAATCACTTCCCTCCAAAGGACGACTGACTCTCTCACCCCACTGATTCACAAGCTTAGCAGTATGGACCACCTACAGTAACTCGCCGAGGCCAAGCTAATTCGATGTGTACTTACACATCCTTGGACAACTCAAAACGGCATGCTAGCCCGGTGACGCTTCACTGCAGTCTCCACCGCCTCATACTCCGGGGCTGGCGGTGCGTGCTGGGCGATCTTGAAGTACGACTCGAAGAGATCAACCAGCTCGTCGACGTGGTATCCGCTCCTGCTCGTGATGCTGGGATTCGACTGGTCCCACGCCCGCGTGAGCGCCCACAAAAACGCGGGCGGGATACGGCGGCTGACGGCGAACGGCATGCTGCGCGGATCGAGGTCGAAGCGGCCGTCACAGTCGCCGTGGTTCCGGCCGAGGTTGGGATCGAGGACGGTGGCGCCCAGCGCCTCGATGCACAAGTCGAGGTCGCCCTCGCCCGCGCCGACCGCGAAGCGCTGGTACGGGCGCAAGCGGCGGTCGCGGTGCAGGCTCGTGAGGGCTGTGCGGCGGGGGATGTCGCAGCCGTACGCGCGCAGGAAGGCGAAGAGGCGGCGGAGGCGGTCGATGACGTCGACACCCGATCCGAGGGCGCTGCTCGCCAGCCGTTTGTGCACCAGCACGCTGAGGAAGTGGTCGAGGGTCGTGCTGTCCGCGTCGCGGAGGACGATCTCGCCGCCGCTGCTGGCTGTCACAAGGTCGCGGAGCCGTGGGCTGTGATCAGATCGCGGTGGATCGACGGCGCACCTCGCAGCCTTGAGGTGGATCGGGTTGGTGTGGCAGCGTACGCCGTCCGAGGAAACGAGGGTGAATTCGCCCTCCTTCCACGTTGGGCTGTCAGTGACGCCGTTGGTAGGAATCGGCGAGAGCGCGAGCATGTCAGAGGATCAGATGCGGTGCGTGAGGGAGGAGGTGCACGAGCAGACTCTTGGGAGACGAGCAGCAGGTATAGAGTCTGTGACGTCCTCGAGAGCGCGACACTATCGGAGGGCGTTCTTGTCCACGTCCGCTCAACATCGTCAGTATGCACACCGTTCTACGACACCAGCTTATTGCGTTATCACTTAAGCTACTGCACGTTAGCTTGTGCCCATCCGCCAGTTTGAGGCTCTAATGAGTGATGGGATCGGAGGAGGTATGAAGCCAGCATTACATTTCGTTGGTACAACCTCAAGAACCCTATGTCCACCACGTTCTTTCCGGTTGACTCCGCATCTGGACTGCACATTGCACGATTGGAAGCTTGCCAAGATGGCGGGGCCATGCGGTTGCACAATAAGCTTAGTTGAGGTAGTCCGCTTCACCTCTGTGCTACAGCACTCGAACTGGCGATGTATGCATGCATCCACAGCGACAACACTCGCACACTGACACCCATCCCCCACCCCCCACCCCACCCACGCCACGGCCCACCTCCACTCTGGTATTATGGACGCCACATATGCGGCGTTATAGAAACTCCAGAGGCCATTCGCCCACATTAGTGTATGTTATATCTTGACCCGACACGTAGGGTGACACCGGCCCAGAGATTGGGCCGGCCGAGATACCCCCCTGTGAATAATGCCCTGCTTGCGTGCCTACCTTCACCACCTACCTTGCCTACCTACCATCAAACCTCCCATCAAACCTCCCATCAAACCTGCCATCAAACCTGCCATCAAACCTGCGCCTACCTGCGCCTACCTGCCTTGCCTGCCTACCATGCCCTGCCAACAGAGATTACCCCCCCCCCCCTTCAAAATGCCGCCTGCCTACCCCGGCTACTCTGCCTGCCTACCATAACCACCTGCCTACTACCCCGCCTGCCTACCCAACCTGCCTACTCACCTGCCTACCTACCTGCCGACCCACCTGCCAAATGCCTGCATTGCCTGCCAATTGAGTCACCCCTGCGCCTACTTGCCTACCTACCTGCCAATGCCTAATGCCTGCCCTGCCTGCCAAATGAGATCCCTCCCTTCCATCAGCCGCCTGCCTACCCCGGCTACACCTACCCACCATCCGCCTACCTGCCCTGCCTACAATGCTCTGCCCTGCCTGCAAAATGAGATCCCCCTCCTCACTCAAGCCGCCTGCCTACTCCGGCTAATCACCTACCCACCCGCCCGCCTGCCTATATGCCCTGCCCGCCTGCCTACATTACATGCCCTGCCCAAGTGAGTCACCCCTTCCTCCCTACATGCCTACAAGCTGACACACGCCTGCTTGCCATGTGCCTCATGCCTGCCTGCCTGCCTGCCCGAGAACCCCCACATGTGATCACCTCATCTACCAACCTGCCCGCCCATATGCTCGCCTGCCTAATACCCCTGCCTGCCTACATACCTGCCTGCTTCTGCCTAATACCTGCACATGCCCGCTAAACACGAGTCCCCTACCCAATATGCCCGCCTGCCTACCTGCAATGCCCGCCTACATCTACCCTCCTGCCTGCCCCCTGCCTGCCCAAGAGTTACACCTGCGAAACACGCCTCTCTACTTGCCCAACTGCCTTGCCTGCCTGTGCCTACCCAATATGCCTACCTGCCAAGTTGCCGCCTTATACCCTTGCCTGCCTGTAAGGCCTGCAACCGCCTGCCTGCCACCTTGTTCCCCTGCTTGCCTTGCCTCACCTGCTTGCCACGCCTCACCTGCTTGCCACGTCGTGACACCAACCAAAACTTCAAATTGCGGCGTTGCACTCAACAGCACTATGGGCGGCTCGTCCGCCACGCCCTTTTGTATTCCGGCTACCACTCTGACGCTGACCTCTTTCGCTGTCGCAGTTGAGGTGCGGGGTCCTCCTTGAGGGGCAAAACACTGACCTCGGACCAGACTTTGATTGCTTTGTGACGGCGGCCGGGATACTGCATTCACGTCAGGCGCGCGAGGCATGGTGAGGTTGACTCCGCCGTGATCGCGTTAGTACCTCTTGGGTCATCAGTTTCTGCCCTTCTGTGCTGACTACTCCTTCACATCCGCTTCGTCATACAATTAATCCCAGTCGCTGTCAGACTCGTCTTCGTCGTCCGAGTCTCCCAGATCCTGTTTACGCTGCGCGAGTGCAGCAGCGAGTGACGACGCGAGGCCACCGCCCTCAGATGGTGACGCGGCAGCCGCGACCGCTACACCGCCAGCCACCCCAGCGGCTGCGGCACCACCAGCGGCCAACGGTGAGATGCGCTTCTCCGAGTCGTCGACCTTCTTGAGCTTGTGAACACCCTGCCCCTGGATCGACGCGAGAAGGGCCGAGCGTCCTCCGTCGGGCTTCGGGAGGGGCGGAGCGGCGACTGGCCCGCCTGGAGGGGGCGGCGGCGGAGGGGGCGGCCCGGAGCGTCCAGGAGGAGGCGGGGGAGGAGGTGGAATGGAGGGCGTTGAGCGGCCGGGGGGAGGAGGCGGTGGAGGCGGAGGTGCGGCTGGCGCGGATCGACCGGGCGGAGGAGGGGGAGGGGG